AAGAGAGGGGACGGCTGGCCGGACAGGGAGAGGAGGATCTCGTGGAGCATTGTGCCGGAGTGCACAGTCGCGTGGCCTGAAGTTGGCTCTGTTGAGGTTGGTCGGCAGAATGCAAGCCGTCGGCTGAGTCCCGGCTCCACTTGGATCGGAGGCGACGCAGAAACAAAAGACCACAGCCAAGCAGCTCGAACCGGCACATTCAGGAGAGAATCACCGCTTGAGACTGATTACCCCCTGCAAGAGATGGCCTGAGGAGCATTCATGTCCACCCCTCCGTCCAGCCAGCGGACAATTCACCTGGGCCGGCCCAAGCAGCTGTAGACTACATAAACAACGTGCAACGATTAACTTCTGGGCTTCGTGGGTAGCTAATGTGCAAATCAAAAGTCGGGCTGAGAACAAGGCAGCTCTTCTCGGATGCCTCAGGCTGCGGGCGATGCAGGCTCCCAGCAGGCAGAAGGGCATCAAAAGACGACGAGCTGAAGGGGATGATGGTTGGGTTGATTCTCGAATCCGCGCTTTGGGGCAGTTTGAACGCCAAACCGAAAGTTACAGACGACTGTGGGGCACTTTCATTGGTCAAGATCCCGTAATTATTGAAATAACACTGTAATGTAGCTCGGAGCAGGCGATGATGACGGTCTCAGCTTCTCGTCGGAAGCTGGCGATCGCCAAAACACCCTCTGGATCAATCCCCCTCTGCTTTGTGTTCTCTGCGGTTCTGGCAACATCTGTCCATTCAGATCACAACTTTGGCTTTGAATTTTCTCTGCTTTTCTTGCGCTTCACCTTTCTCCTGTATCTATTTCCTGCTCAGCCCTCTTGGGCCTTGAACCCTGCCCGTACATAAGCAGCTTCCCCACCATCCCGCTTCGAACGCAAGACATCATACTCCATACTCCGGAAGGTCTTGCTTTTTGCAAGGCTTTCGACCGTTCTACCTTTCACAATTTCCCCGCACGTTGATAGCCCAGAACCTGGGAAGCTTGGGAAAAGGAAAGCTTCCAACGGCGAAGCACATCGACCTGAAAAGAAGATCATGACCGTAAGCCGCCTCTCTGTGTTAACTACCTGAACCCCCTCTTCCTTCACTTTGGGCATTAGTCAGTCATATCATCTTCTGATAGCTAGACTGTGACCTGATTTTCACTGCGACGGCATTATAAAAGCAATCCGCGTCTTCACATTGTCCTTGGCTATTTCAACATTTCCAACGCTTGAGCCCACGTTATACAAACCTCTAACTCCCTTGGATAGACTACCAACATGGATATCGATACCGAAATGGCTGTGGAGAAGATTAAGCAGGGCGAAATCGATGAATCGCTCTATAGTCGACAGCTGTAAGTGTAGTACCTTTTGAAGCGCACCCCTAGATATCATTGTCCCCTGACCGGTTGTTAGCTACGTTCTCGGCCATGAGGCGATGAAGCGGATGGGCTCGTCGAATGTTCTCATAGTAGGACTTAAGGGATTAGGAGTTGAAATAGGTATGGATTATCTGAGTGCAATACCGCCGCTGCAAGCTAACCTGCTGTGTCCTTAGCCAAGAATATCGCGCTCGCCGGAGTAAAGTCATTGTCTCTCTACGACCCGGCACCCGTAAAGATCGCCGACCTGTCTTCACAGTTCTTTTTACGTCCAGAGGATGTAGGGAAATGTCGTGCAGACGTGACCGCGCCACGTGTTGCTGAACTCAACGCCTATACTCCTGTTGTCGTTCACGAAGCCGACAGCCTAACTGCTGATCTCTCTCAGCTAAAGAAATATCAGATAGTGGTCTTGACCAATACCTCGTTGAAAGATCAGGAAGTCATCGCCGAATACTGTCATCAAAACGGAATCTATGTCCTCATCACTGACACTTTCGGATTATTTGGCTATATTTTCACGGATTTTGGAAAGAGCTTTGCCGTGGGGGACACTACTGGCGAGGAGCCTTTAAGTGGAATTGTCGCTGGTATTGACGAAGAGGGTCTTGTATCGGCCCTCGACGAGACAAGACACGGCCTAGAAGACGGTGACTATGTAACGTTTACCGAGATCAAAGGCATGGAAGGCCTTAACAACGCGGATCCTCGAAAAGTGACGGTCAAGGGCCCTTATACTTTCTCAATCGGTGACGTTAGTGGACTCGGCACCTACGAATCAGGTGGACTCTATACGCAAGTAAAGATGCCAAAATTCATCGATTTCAAACCATTAAGCGAGCAAATAAAGAAGCCGGAGTTTGTCTTCTCTGATTTTGCCAAATTCGACCGACCTGCACAGCTTCATATTGGTGTCCAGGCACTGCATAAATTTGCGGAAGATCACAATGGAGAGGCCCCCCGCCCCCATAATGACAGCGACGCCCGCCAGGTTTTCGAAATTGCGCAGAAACTTGCTAGCGATACCGAAGAGAAGACTGAACTTGATGAAAAGCTGATAAAAGAGCTGAGCTACCAAGCTCGGGGTGATTTGAGTCCTATGGCGGCATTATTTGGAGGCTTGGCTGCTCAGGAAGTTCTGAAAGCCGTCTCGGGAAAATTCCACCCCATCGTGCAATGGATGTATTTCGATTCTCTGGAGTCTCTCCCAAAATCTGTTGAGAGGTCTGAGGAACTCTGCAAGCCCTTGAATTCTCGATATGACGGCCAAATTGCGGTTTTTGGGAGAAAATTCCAGGATAAAATTGCTAATATCAAAGAATTTTTGGTCGGTGCCGGTGCTATTGGCTGCGAAATGCTAAAGAATTGGGCTATGGTTGGTCTCGCCACTGGCCCTGAAGGTCAAATTACCGTGACAGACATGGATCAGATCGAGCGAAGCAACCTCAATCGTCAATTTTTGTTCCGTGCGGGCGATGTCGGCAAACTAAAGAGCGATTGCGCCGCAGCGGCTGTTCAAGCCATGAATCCTGAACTCAAGGGAAAGATAACTACACTGCGCGAACGCGTTGGTCCAGACTCAGAGCATGTCTTTGACGAGAAGTTCTGGGAGCGCCTAGATGGAGTTACGAATGCTTTGGATAACGTTGACGCTAGAACCTACGTTGACCGCCGATGCGTCTTTTTCCGAAAGCCTCTGTTGGAGAGCGGCACACTTGGTACAAAAGGAAATACCCAAGTTGTTCTTCCAAACATTACGGAATCTTATTCCAGCTCCCATGATCCCCCTGAACAATCATTCCCAATGTGCACGTTGAGAAGTTTCCCTAATCGTATTGAGCACACTATTGCTTGGGCTAGGGATCTGTTCCAATCATACTTTGTTGGGCCTCCAGAAGCTGTGAACCTCTATCTCACCAAGCCCAACTACATTGAAAATACCTTGAAGCAGACCGGTACTGAAAAGCTGACCCTGGAGAGCATCCGAGACTTCCTCGTCACAGAAAAGCCCATCAGTTTCGATGACTGTATCACTTGGGCCAGGCACAAATTTGAAGAACAGTACAATAACGCCATCCAACAACTCTTGTACAACTTCCCCCGAGACTCTAAGACATCTTCTGGCACCCCGTTCTGGTCAGGTCCGAAACGTGCTCCCACTCCCTTGAAGTTCGACGGCTCAAATCCAACTCATCTTGGATTCATCATTGCTGCCGCAAACCTTCACGCCTTCAATTATGGGATCAAGAACCCCGGTGTCGATAAAGCCCATTATCGGAATATTGTGGAAAATATGATCATTCCCGAATTCACTCCGGTCGCGGGCGTCAAGATTCAGGCTGATGAAAATGAACCCGATCCCAACGCACAGCCTGCTGGTGGGTTGAACGACGATCGAGAAGAGCTCCAGCGCCTTATTGGCTCCCTTCCAAGCCCCAAGTCTCTATCTGGCTTTAAATTGGTGCCTGTCGAGTTCGAAAAGGATGACGACACAAATCACCATATCGATTTCATCACAGCCGCAAGCAACCTTAGAGCAGAGAACTACGACATACAACAAGCGGATAGGCATAAGACTAAATTCATTGCTGGAAAGATCATCCCAGCTATCGCCACTACGACCGCTCTTGTAACCGGCTTGGTTATTCTTGAGCTCTACAAGGTCATTGATGGCAACGATGATATTGAACAATACAAAAACGGCTTTATCAACCTAGCTTTACCCTTCTTTGGATTTAGCGAACCGATTGCCAGTCCGAAGGGGAAATACCAGGGAAAGACGGGCGAAGTCACAATTGACAAACTCTGGGATCGCTTTGAAGTTGATGATATACCTCTGCAAGACTTCCTCAAGGTATTCGAAGGCAAAGGCTTGGATATCAGCATGGTCAGCTCTGGCGTAAGCCTTCTCTACGCCAGCTTTTATGGGCCAAGCAAAGTGAAGGACCGACTGCCTATGAAGTAAGTAACCGCGCGATAGACAATGTGAATGTTTTGCTGACAGTTTTCAACTCCAGGATGAGTAAATTGGTTGAGCACATCAGCAAAAAGCCAATTCCTAGCCATCAGAGAAATGTTATCTTCGAGATCACTGCTGAAGATCAATCCGGCGAAGACGTGGAAGTACCCTATGTGATGGTCAAGCTGGACAAATAGGCAGCATATTAGTTACTTCAACCCGTTGTTTTATGGCAGGTCTGCTATATTCATTTGCCGCTTGGGACATCAGGCCATGGATAGAAGGTATTATATTTTATTATTTGGTCAAAGGCGACGAGCTTTGTTCTGTCAGAGGCGGCTAGATCAAATCATGATTCGCAATATTTAACAATCAAGTACAAGAAAATGCTTCTCTCTTGCTGATTACCCCGTCGTTACTCACTGATTTGTAATCTGGCCGGGGGGTGACGAAATGAAGTTAAAAATAAGTTCCAAGTCTGTGCCAGGAAATGGGAGTAAACCGCTGAGGAGAATATAATATATATATATATGGTCAAACTTCGCTCTCTTAGGTGCCCCCAGTATCTTCCCGTATCTCACATTTTGTCAATGCTTTCATCTCTCCTTCGTCCTCACCAGCTAAATCTCTGTAAACCCCTGACGTCAGCCAAGGCCTTTGCAATTGCAGCCATGTCGGTGCGTGTCAACTCCTTGCCATGGCAGCCCGCGATGTGTCGCCTCAGTGTGAACAGGCCATGAGGAACCACAACAGTGCGAAAAGCTGACAATATCCATTTATAAACCTGCAGACCGAGAGCAAAATCACCAACTGGGTCGATCCCAATGACAAATCCGGAGAATTCAAGCGCAAACCATCCGCTTTTCGGAACTGGATCTCGAGGGAAGCTGGAGCGCAGTTCCCGCCGGAAAAGGGCCGGTATCATCTTTATGTGTCCTATGCATGCCCTTGGGGTATGTATATTCGAGATTTTTTTTTTCGCTCTTCTAAACTGGTCCTTTTGAATCGAAGCCTCGATAGCGACGATTGCTGACGGGTTGGGCTTCTCGATTCAACTAGCGCATCGGACGTTGATTACTCGAAAGCTGAAGGGCCTAGAGGACTTTATCTCTATTACATCCGTGCACTGGCATATGGGCGAGCAAGGTATGAAGGCGTTATATCTTCCATTTGGTTCATTTCGACCTCATCTAAACAGTTTCAAGGATGGCGGTTTGTGACTCCTGATGAGAAACTTCCTGGCGAAACGCATCCGGACCTATTGCACAATTTCTCGCATATTCGCCAGATCTACTTTGAGTCGGATAAGAATTATGAGGGTCGATTTACCGTGCCAGCGTTGTATGACAAGAAGACAAAGCGGATCGTGAGCAATGAGGTCAGTCCTTTTACTCCTCTCCGATAATGAGAGCCGGGGAGTGTTGACAACGTGATAGAGCTCCGAAATCATCCGCATGCTCTACTCTGAATTCGACAGTCTTCTACCGGAGAAATACCGGAGTATCGATCTCTTCCCTCAAAATCTGAGGAAGGACATCGAGGAAACGAACGAGTGGGTATATGACACCGTAAACAACGGCGTCTACAAGTGCGGATTCGCAACGTGGGTTTTCTCTATCTACTACTTCTACATGGGATAAAATCGGCAAATAATCCATTCTAACCCACACATATCAGAACTCAAGAAGCCTATGAAGCAGCCATCTGGCCCCTCTTCTCCTCCCTCGACCGCATCGAATCCCACCTTGCTTCGAAATACGATCCTTCAGACCCATCCAGCATCTACTTTTTCGGAAATACCGTCACCGAAGCCGACATACGCCTGTATACCACAATCATCCGCTTCGACCCGGTTTACGTGCAGCACTTCAAATGCAACGTGCGAGACATTCGCTCCGGGTACCCGGCCATCCATCGCTGGCTAAGACACTTGTATTGGGATATTCCGGCGTTCGGTGAGACGACGGACTTCGAGCATATCAGGAAACACTATACCAAGAGTCATAAGCAGATCAATCAGTTTGCGATTACGCCGGTGGGGCCGGTGCCGGATATTCTGGGAAAGGATGAGGAGGTTGGAGCTGTCCAGAAGAAGATTTGAGTCCGAACAGAAGGAGTTGTTAAGAAAATCTCCATATTGTTTCATCCGAAACTCTGGATCTGTTAATGACGTGTAGAATCCCGTTCTCTGTGCCCCAGAGAGCTCTACCAAGACTATAAATAAACAAATGAGGGTTGTAAATATTTTTGAGTCGCTATGCAACGATCTGGCTACCTATCTAAGGAGGGCTCAAATTTTAAATCAAATAAACGCGAGAGCCAATGCCAGGCGCTTGACCACAATATTAAATGCAGCAGGTAAACATCCAGATGTTGGGGACACCAAAAGTAGAACTCATGGGTGCCCACGGGTATGGGAACAGAGCATCAAACCAAAATACATATATCGCTCAAAATGCAGTATGCAATGCAGCACCAAGAAGGCAAGAAGATATAGAGATACATGGAAACTTTGAAATAATGATTCAGCTTTCCAGCTGGGGTATCATAACCACAATGGATGGCATTAGGGTGTATCACATGCAATGGGAGGGAAAAAAAGGAGAATACCAATTTCCATTAGCACGGGAAGCAACGAGAATCGTACCATACGAATGCGCCAGGTGTCATTCCTCTGATTAGCTCAATCCAAGGAGTCTCTTTGAATTCTCGTATACGATGTAGCTGATCGACACCGACGGTACCACCTTCAGCAAATTTGGCGTTAATCCTCTATAAAGGCCACGGACTCCTTCGCTTTCGAAAGTTTTTCGAGCTACGTCCACGATACCCGTATACGTGGCCTTGTGTTGAGTGGTTCCTTGCGCCTGTAGACGTGTCCGAAGGACGTTTAAAGGGTAGACCATTGATGCACTGAGAGCACCGCTAAATGCTCCTATGGCACCAGTGGTGAAGTTGCTGAGTGGTGCGTCTTCTTCATGACAACGGAGAAGGTGGGCTTTGCGACTAATCAGAGTTGATTTAAGATATTCGAAGGTCATAAGGTCAATGGCCGCATAGGGGAACATTCCTATGAGGCCCAGTTGAAGACCACGATAGTAAGCGAAAACACCGTTGGTCGACCACATCTTCCTGGCAGTTGCAATGATGAGACGGTTACCACGAAGACCACCTTCCACGGTTTCGCATTGCATGCGGCTATTGAACATTAGCCTTTGAAATGGGAGAAAGCGGTGAAAGGCCTACATACAATTTCAAGGTATCTAAGGGATAAACGAAACATCTAACAGGGTCAGAAGGGCTGACGAGACCTCACGGGTAACCTGGAATCTTACTGAGAAACCATGCCGCCAATTCCACCAGCCAGAAACTGCGAAACTGGGAGCAGCTGCTTTGGATCGTGATGCCCTTCTAATCCTGCGAACATGCGCCTGGAGGCCTGACGTACAATATTTGGTAAGTACGGTAGATCATATATGAGGGACGGTTGACTCACTTCGTATGCTCCGAATTTGATAGCTGACTCAGGCATGACTTTGGCAACGTTCAAACCGTTTCCTGGAAGACTATTTGTTATGCGACTGTTCTCAATACCATCATATTCGGGAAACCGACGAACCGGCAAATAAGCTTCGTATCCCACCCGCACGCCACAGGTCCTTCAGGGCGTGGACAAGTGGCCATGCCCTCCACCCTGCTACCTCAACAGCAGCGCCAGACTTAACACTGGCTGCAACAGATTGCGGCTTTGTCTGCGCAATCAGATAGACCCTCAGGCGATCCAGCGGCGCCGTCGAAGTTCTTGACACAACACCAGCCATTCCGCCCGCAAGGAAGTAACCTAAGTGGGGCGTGCTTTCCGTCAATACGTGTTCAAGATACCGGAAATACAGCCACAGTGATACATTCCAGGGTACAGGAAGCCATTCAAGCTCAGCATCACCGGAGGGAACGACAGGGCCATCGGGATGATATCGAAACACATTGTCTATGTGGGACTCGCGACCTACTTTGGTCACTGCTATGTTCGGCATCGTGTCTTGAGAAGAAGAAGAAGAGGAGGAGGAGGAGGAGGAGAAGGAGGGAGGAGGAGAAACAGACTGAACAGGACTGATTGATTCAAGGAGAAAACTTGTAGGAAATCGGTGGTCTGTACCTAATCCCTGGAGAGGTTCGTTTATGTGGACGTCACCCTCGGGGTTCAAATTTCCAGTCGCAGAATAATAAGAAAGAATTGCACGCATATTAGATAAATGCGTGGGATTGGCCGGGAGAAAAAGAAGGAAGTCCCTAAGACAAAAAACTGAGGATGAGTCGCCGGACGTTATGGTTGCGATATATCTTTTTCTGACATACCTCCATTCCTCAAAGCTGATTACCCCATCGTTATTTGTGTCCATCTCCGAGAAGAACTGGTCCAGTTTAGACTTACGAACTGTCAAGCCAGCTCGCGCAAATGCAGATTGCAGTTCTTCTTTGTCCACATGGCCGTCATGATCGCGATCAACTGTTTCGAAGAGCTGCCAGAGCTCTCTCTCCGCACGTTCGACGAAGTCCCGAAATTCTGAAAGCGTTGATTAGATAGGGGGTTATTCTTGTTCGGTGCTTAGAGAGCTGAAGAATAGGGTTTGCGCAGGAGTTGTTGCTCACCATTGAACTGGATTCGGCCATCTCCGCTTGTGTCGACAGCTTCTATAATATCCTTCAGGAGGGAATCTGCATTTTTCAAGGCTGGTAGAGTTGTCAGCACCCATCCAAACGCCGTAGTTTTCTTGTATGTCAGGCTCCAGATATGTTCGGTGGAGATAGAAAACTTACGATGGTCCATCTTCTTCAAGCCCCTCTTGAAATCTTTCAGGTCCACCTGGCCCCTGCGGCGGTCATCAAGGATCTCCCAGAGGTCATTGATCCTTTGTTCGCGCTCATGTTCCGATTCTCCTCGCATCTTCTAAATAGATGGGAGAGGAAAAAAGGGATTTTTCGAGCTCTCACGACTTTTCGCTCCTCGCACGGGTATTATATGACCAAAGCGGTTTTGCCGGCGCATCCAGGTTGTTTCCCGCACAAGAGCGGGCGTCGTTTCTGGTTCGGCAGGCGTTGGCCGTACATCAGAGATTCAATCTCAAGGTTTTCGACGGCAGGTAATTTTCCAAGGTAAAGAGACTGCAGCAGAGGCACGACTGGATCGCAGATGACTTGGGACTTTGAGGGTCAGCAGGAAAATTATTGATGTCAAGCTGCTTGAGTGGGAGGGCATTTGCTTCGCTCCAATTGGCCCATGGGCGGCGACGCTTGGCGCCGCGTGCAGAAAAAAAAAAGAAAAAAGGCAATGCAGAGCAATGACGTCTGGGCATTGGCGGCCTTCTCGCCCATCAGCTCGATGTATCGACACGGATTTTCTTTTTGTTAGGCCGATAGCGGGTCTAACTGGACGATGACAATGCGCTCTGCGCCGCCTAAGATGTGAGCGGTGCTCGACTGCATATCGTCTCACTCCCGGAACTGTTCGGGCCCCTTGGACAATATCCGGAGCTCGGTCGGATAATTCGAGACCCAGACGGATTAGCCTCTCTGAACCCCCAGTTTATTTTCAACTGAAGGAAGTCTCAGGGGGAGGGAGAGAAAAAAAGAGAGAGAGAGAGAGAGAGAGAGAGACGGACCTTTTAAATGGCCGCTGATTACTGGTCTTCAACTCAGCATCAATCCTGGCTGTTTGGGCGTGAAGAGTTGGCCGAGGCGAGAAAGGTCCTTGGAGATGCCGAACGACCCTTTATCCAGCAATATCCCCTTCCCGACCTCAGGCTTTTCAATATTTACGTAAATCAACGTGAGTGCCACGCTACCCTTACTGACAAACGCGAGAAATGGGTTCAGTTGCTAACCCAGTTGTTATCTTCAGAATTAATCAAGCTAGCGAAACGTCTCAACGTGCGGCAGCAAGCGCTAGCCACGGCTCAGGTTTACGTGAAGAGGTTTTACACCAAGGTCGAGATCCGCCGGACGAATCCATATCTGGTGCTTACGACCGCATTCTATCTCGCCTGTAAAATAGAAGAATGCCCGCAGCATATCAGGCTTGTTTTAGGAGAAGCCAGAGGATTATGGCCAGGTCCGCAACCCTTTCTTTGCCCTTCAGTTTAATTCCATAACTCGTCTCAAGACAGCTATCATGGAAAACGTAGCGACTTCCACGCTGACCAGAAGCCCAGAGTTCATCGCTCCTGACAGCGCGAAGATCGGAGAATGCGAATTTTGGCTCATATCCGAGATGAACTCGCAATTAATAGTGCATCACCCGTACCGGACCCTCTCCGAATTGCAGAGCTACCTATCACTAACATCGGATGAAATCGCCTTGGCCTGGTCAGTAATAAACGATCATTATCTCACCGACCTGCTACTCCTTCATCCTCCGCACGTCATCTCCGTGATGGCCATTTTTATTGCGGTCGTATTCAAGCCAAACCAGCATCAGGTTGTGTCCATTTCAGGTGGTTCTTCGGCGACAGGAGCTCTGAGGGACGGGAGTACAAACATTCTTTCTGCCTTTAATGATAAGACGGGAGCTGGCATGCCAGCAAAGGTCCAGAGAATTGTCGATTGGTTGGCAAATAGCGACATCAATATCGAAGCGGTCATTGAATGCACGCAGGATATTGTTTCTCTTTACGAAGTATGGGAGCAATATAGCGAGAAAGTCTGCAAGGAGCAGATTGGGAGATATGTAAAGAGCAGAGGATTAGATAAATGAGAGCTTCTGTTGGTCTCCTCCGCAGCCTGCCCTTCCTTGACAAAGCTGTCCAGTTCGCCAACTGTGTGTTGTCCGCGAGCGGTAGTTACACAGCCTGATGGCTAGACCACAGTTCATTCCTGCAGCCTCGTACAGCTTTGTTGAGAATTAGCAAATGGTCTGGTCAATAATTTGCAGGAGATGAAGTTGAAGTCATGTCCGGTCATCCATAGCATAAGGGAATTCTTTCATCGGCCAGATACTTTCCCCCATACTATCCACTGCAAACACTGCGGAGTAACCAGACGTTGGAATCGTTGTGAATCGAAGTCGAGTTAATCAAGCTTGAAACAGAACCAGTCAATTCAAGTTGAGGTGTGCTGCTGTCCTGCCTGCCTGGGGGATTTGCAGCCACTCCCTGTATGGGAGTACAGCGTCCTCCGTATGCGAGGGAACATGGGGTCATGGATTGGGGGGGTGGGTGATTGAACACCGACCTGTTGATGGACTTGCTGGCGATCTTCCATAGATAGAAGCACCAGGGATATTGAAGAAATTTCTTGGAATTGGGCACACAGTAAAACGGGGCCTGGAAACAGGACGCCCTTTTTACTTTAAACTACATGGGAGCCCCGAAACATGCTCGGGGAACCTTTTTTGAGCGCCTAGAGCAAAAGCCCACCGACCTCCCATTAACGGAGGGCAAAACACGCCCGAGAGGGAGAAGAGGGATTGGTTTTCGGGAGGTCTCGATTGTTGCGACGGCAGGGTGGCTGGGCGGTGATTGTCCCAGAAAATGGTCCGGGCGCACGATGCCCCTTACTATTTTCTGTGTCCAATCGAGAAGCGGCCTTGAAATTGCTCGGTCGTGTTTCAAGGACAAAAGCTGAGACAGATAAGAATAAGTGAAAGCGGGGGAAATCAGCTCAGATGGCGTAATAATTCGTCTGGAACTACCAAGCATCGGGCACAGTGAATCTTGCGGTTATCGATAAGCGTTCGAGGGGGGTGCGGGGAAAAAAAGCACCAGAAAGATGAAGGATGACAAGTTGCAGACTTGGCCAATCAAGATCCCGGGCGCCAAATGCAAAAAAAGTGTGGAGGATTTCCAGAAGATGCCCGATTGTCCTCCGGGTTGTCTTTTGGGCCAGGGTGTGTGAAATTGTTTGCTTTTTCCCCGTTCCTTGACAGGCCTAAGGCAATGCAGGGGGCAATGATTGGGCCGTGAAAAAAACGGCGCAATCGAACCCAGATCGCAATCTCTCTTACCCCTGGCCATTCTCTAAGGGGGACCTTGAGGTCCGTTCCCCGTCGCCAGTCGCTTTCAATTTGGTTTACATACCGTCCGGCACCCACCATCCAATGCCCGCCGTCCTAAGGAACTACGGAATACTTTTTGAGTACTCCGTAGTTAGTTAACTATTCACGATTGGGATGATTATGTAACTCGGATCGAGCGGCGATCGTCTGCGCTAGACCGAAATAGGACCGCCAAGGGCAGCTGAGTCGCTGAAAGTGGTTCTGAGTGAGGCAAAACGAGCAAATCATACTACTGCAGAAGCTGGGGACCCACTCCAGACGCAGCGTCGATTGGCTGGCGGATGACGCCAGAATGGGGCCAGAGCCTCAGACTCGCCACCAGCACCAGCCTCCATTCCCAATATGGCCTAGTGTGCTCTCCTGGCTCCACAGCGCCTTTCCGCTTTCGGCCTGGCCATGCACGCGCCCATGCGCTGCCACCCTGACCATTCGTCGGTGGCTTGTTTTTGTTGGACGGGGGGGGAGGGGTACCTCTGGGTCGGCGGTGGATCCTATACAAAAGCCGGTCACTCTGCCCTCAGTATGTAGCGCCAGAGACCCGTCAATCAGCCACCAAAACGCAGTGTTGTCACTTGACTTGCGCCGGATAGACTTTTCCCTCTCCTCAACCTCCACTTCCTGCTCACACCCCCCCTTCCACCACACCGACTCTTTTTTTCCCACACACACACTCTCTCTCTCTGTCTCTCTTCTCTCTGTGCCTATTATTATTAACAATTCGCCTCCGTCACCCATCCCACTTCCCTTTCGTTCCTCCACCCCCTCCTCTCTTATCGCTCTTCTCATCTGTCATTTCTTCATCCTGTCCTCTCTAAACTTTTCTCTTCTTCGTTTTCATTGTCTTCATTGCTCCCGCGGCTCGTCGCCACCCCGTAATAGACATCAGGAAACAAGCAATTAATCCCGCCGCCCTCCGATTTGCCCGGCTGGATTGACATCGCAACATCGGACAAAAGCAGCTCAACTCCTAGTAACACATCAACTACTCCCAGATCGAGCTTCCACCAATACGTCCATTTCCCTCCCATTGCTCTCAAATCAATCTCTCGCCCGCCATGTCTTCATACTTCTTCTCGGGACACCACCCACATCAGCCCCAGCAGCACCAGCATCAACACCCGCCACCCCCAACCCACATTGCGCAACACACCTCCCATACTCATCATGGTGGTCGCTCTCGTCGTGCGCAGAAGATGGGTGGCCAGAACTCCCATAGGCAGTTCCGTGGTGTGAAAAGTATGAGGGAATTGGCCGAGGCTCCTGCCATCACAGCTTTCCGTGCCAGATTCGAGGCTGGTCGTTCCTTTGACCTGGACGATGACCTGGAGTTTTGCCCCGGTCTCTTGACTGAGGACGATGTATGTCTTGTTCATAGGAACCCTGCTCATGGTTTTCCGTAGGCAGCAGTCGGGTTAACCTTTCTTCCTTTTTCTTTTTTTTTTACAGTTGCAATCCATTGCGTCTTCTGTTTCAGACCGTTCGTCCCTCGCCAGCGCCTCGCCCGATTCTTCACCTCTTCAGCACCAGATTCAGCCGACGCAGCAGGTGGCCCCGGCTATTTCGCTGTCTCCCGCTTCAATTAATTCCTACAACTCGAATAGTTTTAATCAGATGAAGATCCATCAACCATCGGCGGTCCGAACAAGAAATGCCATTCCAATCGTCAATCCAAGCACTGGCATGCGCGTCTCGAGCCCCCCGTCCACCATCTCACCCGGCATGATGCAGTCTGACCAGCGTCGATGGTAAACATGACTCGGGGGAAATGGAAACAAGCTCAACACCCCCGGTCTCGTATATACGTCGTTCTTCCTCCATGCCGCTCGGTATCTTTCTGCATCTCCTGGGTCGACCATCCTTTTCTACTTGTTAACCAGTTCCTTCGGTTTATATCATCTTTTTTATTTTCAGTTCGAGTACGATTCCGTGGATCACCGTCCCTCCCGACCACTTAATACTTTCGACTTGTATATAAAACCATTTTTCGAACCCTTCCGCCCCTTTAAACCCCCCTTTTCGACCTTATTTTGCGGTGATCCAATGTTTTATACGAAGAGACGTTTCGTTTACTGAGAGCAAATGGGGTGCATCACGAGCCGATTATTTACTGTCATTTCTGGTGGTTTCGTTTTTCTCTGGAGAAAAAACAAAAAGAGTGTCCTTGATTCCCTTTGGTCTTAACCCGATGATGAAATATAGAATGAGCGGCGACTGTGTTTTGGAAAAAAGGCTGTACAACGGACCGTGGAGTTTTGTTTCTGTTTTGTCCCCGAGCGAGCGAAATCTGTTTCTTGTTGCCATACGTTACATTTGCACGGTTGGGCTTCTGGTGGGTGATTACGTGTGGGCGAAATCTAGCGTGATATCCATGATCATATTCATTTTGGGCCGTGGCTGAACTGGAGTGAGATGGGGATATACTTGGTCTTTTTTTTTCTCTTTTTGGTTTGTCTTTTTGCCATTGTTTATTTTTACTGCTGTTTTTCTTTTTTTACCATTTCCCGCTCCATGGTTGTCTCTATAGACAGAAATGATGTATGGGTGCATCGGTCTTTGTTTTGTTTTTGGTTGAATACTCGACGCAGCTTATTCCTTTTGGCTATTTCTAACATACTAAATACGCCTATACCACTTATTCCCTCATTTACGCGCGCTCATTAATTCTCTTTTGTTTTCGCGGTTTATCTGAGTTTTGTTTTCTTTTTGTTTTGGAAAAAGAACAAAAGAAACCACGGTTGGAAACTACGTAAAGACGGAGTGGGAAATACATCCAATACGGTTTGCTTGCTTGCATTCCCGTGCTTGCTTGCTCTCAGGCTTGTCGGTCGGTCGGTCTGTTGGCTGGATGGACGGATGGCTAAGCTGGGTGGAACATATGGAGAATAGCATGGTTCTTTTTTTGGGGGGCCCTGGGTGGTTAAATCATTGTGGAATCCTTTTTAAGGGAGGATATTGCTGGCGGTCGGAGAGCAACTTACAGCAAGCTTTTTTTTTTTTTTTTTAATTTTTTCCTTCTTTAATCCATTGGATATATACATATACAACGCATGAACATTCTTCTCGAATTTCACATTATTATCTAATTTTCCTATTATCATTCCGTTATTCGACGTACAGTGTTCTAATGTTCATCTCGTCCCCTGCCAAAGCCTTAGCGTTGGTTTGACGTTCACCATTCAGAGGGATAATGAAAACCAGTTCGTTGGTTTTTGTTGTGATGATGAGTCCTAGGCTCGAGTCGTAACCAGTGCAACTCGGCTTGGTGGGCAGTCAAGAACGAATGAAAGGATAATACTCCGAAGAGACCACACGCCAGTTGGCTATGGTAGCGAACTCGGACAAGGCGACGAGACGAGACCGGATCGACCGTCCCTCTGCCTTCAACCTATGCATGAACGCCCCGGTTCGCTGGATACGTGTGCCTGTGTGGCCCTCAGAACCCACCTCGTGGGGTAAAGTGAGTCATATAGGCGCTCGTTCTGAGCGGTCTAGCCTAGGCGCTCTCAGCTCGAGGGTAGGTATCCCGAAAAAATTAATAGTCTGGGGTCTCCTCTCCTTGTCAGTCGGGAAACATCTCCTATCAGGCTTTGTCCCACTCTGAATACTCTGTACATCGCGATATTGACCCGTTGATGACATGACATCATTAGTTAGTGCAAGGGCTCCGTTCAAAATGGCCTCGCTTAGCAAGGAGCTGCGCGCGCCAGAGGGCGAGCGGCGTTATGGACCGTCAGGGCCCCCTACTCCAAGATTACTGAGAGCTGTTACGCATTTTCAAGATATGAAGTCCTTAACCGACCTGGGGACAGCGCCTCCATCAATACTCTTGTGTGTGTCATATGGATCATCACTTCCATCATGTTCCAGAGTTGTCGACCAGGCCTTGCCAAGCAGCTAGCAGGACCTGATCTTCAAGAGCAACAGACGCTAAGGTCACGATCTAGGGACCGTTGGCACATGAGAGCCTCGAGGCACCTGAGTGCACATAGAGGCATGTTGCTTCTCTCTCGCGACTTGATTATTTGCCGTATCGAGAAGATAAAGACGTGTACGTGCCGATAAATCATTCCGTCGCTCGAAAAATGCGCGAGAACTTCCTCTTGCCTGCAAATCCACCACTACCAATCGGCAAAACGGCTGTTCTCACGTAAGGGGTATTGCATTTTTACTCTCGTAGTTTGCAGAGAGAGAGGAAAGGCTCGCGCTCGCGTTTAACATACCTCTAGGCCGTGTTCCCCTAACGCCATCGACACTTTTCGAATGACCCCAACGCACTCTAAAGACATGGTACCAGCTACCTTCCGGAGAAGTTGTGCGCTCCTAAGCTCACGCTCAGTACTTCGCTGAAACCAAGTTGGACACAGCAAGCCACTTTTCAGAACTAAGTTCACATCACCAACGCCCGTCTGCTGCGTTTACACCAATGGCTGTTCTATTTATCAGCTGGGGGTATCGTGTCTCAATTGCAGGCGGCCAGTGCAATTTATGGCATCCACCATCCTAAAAACAGTGGCATGCCAGTTCCGGAAATCTATGGCTAGCACATTGATGGAGACGAGGCTTTTCTTTAATACATGGAATTGGTGGATGACCAAATTTTGGAGAAAAAAAAAAGTGGGATTCAAATTAGTTTGGAGGCCCGCGTCTAAGGTTTGTGCGGCGCTATGGACGAGCGTCTTCGATCTGCTTCGGTTCATACAAGATTCAGAGGGGGATACAGAGCTTCTTCCCGCCCTGGTTTACCCTTCTTTTATTTCGCCCTGAGATGCCTGGGGGTCCGCTGTTGAGACAATGCGGAGTGACCTCTTAAGCAGGGAGCATTATGAGTGCCTGTTTCTATGACAGAGCAATTGGTCAGAAGTTCACGCCAGAAACATTGCCTTTTCACCACGTCAAGGGACCTTATGAACGGTTTATTCCTCCGCCGTCGCTGCATGCCAATTCCATAGAGCCATTACAACCTGAACCCGCTTTTCGGAAGGAAGAATGGGATATAGAACACTTGCCAATGATATTGCAGGAATACAACTATACAGAAGAGGCATGCTGGTGGTATATATCCTCGCTAGGGCAACAGGCAGCATTTCCGATTCAGCTGATAATGGTCCTCCAGCAGCAGATGCAATTGCTGTGAGAGAGCTTACAAGCATCAAAATCTCACCATATCCCAAGAAAATGGCAATGATACATGCCCCGCAACTGATGTTGCTAATTTTTTTACACAGAAAAGGCTCTCAATTTTGCGGTGTTATCTGCAGGAGTCCGCTGCTTTCCACTGATCCTTTCTTCTTTGAGAGGCGTCTTTGAAATAATCATCCCCACAGTGAAATTGTATTTTTTTTTTAATCCAGACACTCCCCGAGTTTAGGGTATAATTGGCTTCCAATCCATGTAGGTATCACTTCTTCCGGCCATTTCCATGACCCAAAGTTCCTGGTTTACAATCATATCCTTAGATGCTGAGAAAGAGGCAGCAGCACAAAAGTTGCCTTTGACAAAGGGACCACAAGTACACAACATGGTACCAGCTAGTTGTCCAAACCAGCATCCAGGACGCAAATACAAAATATTCTCCATAACATGCAAGGTTCCAATCAGCTTCTCGGGATTTCAATTCTCCCGGCGTGAGGAACTCTCTCATGACGTCATAAGTGGCCCATCTAGAGACAGACAACAAGTTCATTCAAGGCAGATGAAGGGAGAAGAGTAGTTGGATACCTCTGTGCGGGTACCAGCATCGCTAGAATTGCGTAGCAGGCCATACCTATGGTGCTAAAGTTACATAGAACTTGGTCACTCTCCTGCCTATATAGGTTGGTATCTACTCCGTATATGTAGCTCCCTATCCGTACTCGAACGTCCTCATTCCTAGTTCCCCAACCATCGACTTATAACCCTTCGAAACCACGAGGAATGATCATCTAAAGAGCAATCATGTCTTTCCTTTCCTTCTCCAGATCTCGCCTTGCCCGGGTGACCGCCCTCACTCAGCAACCGTGCCGCATGGTTCTCCCGGCTTCATCACCCCAGTCTTCATCATTCCACTCCTCGGCCTCACGCAGTGTCCTTAAAGAATCCGATAGACGTAAGCCATCTTTCCATACTAATAATAAACAACGTTCTTGCAAAATCTCTCAAAGCGACCAAACTGAGATATAAATGCCCCTTCTAACAGTATATACGCAGACCGTGACGACCTAGGGAGTGAAATCGATAAGCACAACCAGGACCAGATTAACCGCCACAAGGAAGGTCACGAAAAGGCCGGCTGGGTGGAAGAGTTGGCTAGCTCGAGCGAGGAGAATGTATGTCTTTCCCTGTTTGTCAATTTCTCTCTCCCTTCGTCATTTTCCCAATGAGTCTCTAGACAATTAACAGGCCGTCGCGTGTGGGACTGTAGGTTAAAGCCGACAGAGGCGAAATCAGCGATCCGACCTTCGACAAAATTCAGGAGGAAATAAAAAAGCATGCTGCCCAGGGGAAAGGGAAGAAAGCATGAATGTGATACTTCCTCGCTATGCTGAAGCCCGAGGCCATATCTCCAACGGCGGTAGAGGCTGTCTGTGAGCCTTTGCCCATATAAATTTGTGCATTGAAAGTTAGTGGAATGGGTTATTTTAAAGCACTGATGGGGCTATAAATATTCATGTTGGGGTTTCGATTGAAACGAGGCCAGCCGTGAGGTTCAGAAACGATGTAACTGTATATAATGTCTCAGCAGAAATAGGAGATAGGTGCTGTGTATACATCATGATAAGACAGCCAAAAAAAAACCAAGTAATTTATATAAAGTGTTGTATATTATAGGGAAGGCACTGAGAAAAGATGCCTATGAAGAATAACACTCAGCACCAAAAACAAGTGTTTCACACCGTCGACCAACGCCTGTTGAGCCCGCATAATCCATCCGTATGAAAAGTCACAGTGCCATAAGATGCTTGAAAACGTCGTTCACATAGAAAGTACACAAAGCGGGAGAGATCGCCGAGCTAAAAATGGAAATTCGAAATCTCTGAGAATCCACTGGTGGAGTCTATCAGCGCGATGAAAACCGTGCAGAGGTGTATGTAAAGCCCATTCATCTCTTTAGAATTCAATCAGGCTCCGCCGTAAGTCCGACTTTTTTTTTCGTCTTTGTTAAATTCACTTCAGAATCACGATCAAAATCACCAGAAGGATGATCAATCCGATAATCCACATTATCCCTCGGCTCTCTCTCGCATTGCGCTTAAATTTTCCCAGTCGTCTCCGGGCGCCGTCTAGTCTGCCGATGTGCCGGTCAACGTGTCCATCAACTTCATCCAACAGGGCAACTTGGCCTTCTAATTCGTCGCCGATCTGAATACTCAGTTGATGCTGTCGTCCGATCGACTCTCCTAGCCGGTCGAGCTGGTCGTCCTGCTCTTGCATGATCTGAGCATGATGTGCGTGAATTTCTTCATTGCTAAGTTGAGAATGGTCTAGTGATGGAGATGGAGAGTCTCTGTATGGTTGTAGGAGTTCTCTGCGGTTGGGGTCTTCCTCTTCTTCGGCTTGCGCGGTGAGGGTATCTGTGAATCTGACAGATTTGGAAACCGGGTGCTGTGGAGTTGGGTGTTTAAGGGTAGTGGAGGCGGATGCGCTGCTGGCCTTGACAAAATCTTCAGCAAGGGAAGGGTCGTTCGGAGATGAAATGGTATCTTTGGAGGATGAGGATGGGTTTTCGTAGAACTGAGATTCGAGGTCATGGAGCTGTTGGCGAAGGTTGGACGCTTCTTCTTTGAGATCTACGAATGATCTAGGATAAAGGCACACACGGAGATTAGTTTTGATGGATTTCCAAAAGTAAGACGTGGTTCTGCCTCGATGAGCAGCCTTACGAGTCGCCGTCTTCTTCCAGCCGTCTGGCCTCCTTCTCGACGGATTCGATGCCGTCCCGCAGCGACTCTAGAGAGCGCGATATCTCTCCATCCTGAGAATTGGGTTCAAGGCTTAAGGATATGGCTCTTTGCCGTTCAAGTAGAGATAGTTTGACGTGATCGGCGAGTAAGAACAGCTGGCCTGGGTTACTCATGCTGCCGGTACTGACCCGGTAGGTCTGCCTCTCCCGCAGGTTTGGAGCGAATACGTGATGCTGCCGGTGGCGCAACAACGGTGGATACCGGCAACTCTGGATTCCTTTGCCTTGCGTTGATCGGGGTGATGGACAAGTCCGAGTGATGCTGGTGCCTCTGCGGTCGAAGGTGAAACTGTCGCGAACTTGTCCGTCATGACGTATCGGTAACAGCCGGTATTAATTACAGAGTTTCAGTGGAACTGGTGGCGGATTTGCGGCGTCACGCCGTTACGGGACAGCGTTACAACGACGTCCGGGTGTGTCTCAACCCGGACCGCAGTTGACGGAGCATTCCCGCCAGAGGACGATTTAAGAAGACCTGCCAACCAAACATCGAACTTTCTGAGAACTCGTGTCTTCCTCATCCTCCAGTCCCCTAGCGAGATGCAAATAATCTGCATCTGAAATCCCTTTATCACCATCTCCTGTTCGCCATCTCTTGTGCTTTTGATATTCAGAGGGCCCGGCTAGCCCCGCTTATCGACTGCGGGACGCGGGCAGGGAATACCTGTCGGAGCAGCAACGATAACTTAACACTTTCGCCGGTGAACTGTTTGACAGGTATTTGCTACATACAACAAGATGGCATCCGATACCGATTCCCTGGTGGACCTTCAGTCCCTCGAAACCGTCTCCGAATACGATGGACATTTGATGTGCCCTATCTGCCACTCTCCTTTCGTTCGCCCTATGCAACTGAGTTGCGATCATATCTTCTGCGAGACCTGCTTAGACACCTGTGCCAGGGCCCTGGACTCTTCGGACAGTATTGTATCTTCCCAATCCCTTCCGGACGACTTCATTTGTCCGACTTGTCGACTTCCTACCACTTCCCCGCCCAAGAGCGCTCCCAGACTCATCGTGGCCATGTGCGACGAAATACTTGTGAAGTGTCCGTGGAGTGACCACGGATGTGACGAGATTATGCAGCGTGGCTATGTACGCTCACACTTGGAAAAACATTGCAATTACAGACTCGTCTCCTGTCCAGACGAGGATTGCGACAAGATGATCCGCAAGAGAGACATAATCCTAGATGGATACTGTTTACACGAGCCAGGGACATGCACAGACTGCGGCGAGGAGGTTATACAATTGATGATTGCCGTACGTATATCGTTTATTTTTCTAGAGATATCCTTTCGGTCACGTTAATAACTTTTCGCAGGAGCACAAGTATAAAACATGTCCCAAAGCAGAAGTAAGATGTTCGGGCTGCGAAGCCGTTTTTTTCCGATGCGACCTTGAGGAGCACAAAAACCGTTGCTTAAAGACTGCTTGCAAAGCGTCAATTTACGGCTGCCGTGCCAGATTGCCTAAGTCCGAGATGGGAACCCACGAACGGGCCTGTCCTCTGGCTAACCTTGGGCCATACCTTGAATCCCAATCAACACGTATCGCTTCAATGGAAACCATGATCAGGCTGCTCCAACAACGGAATGAGGTGCTCGAAGAAGGCATCGCCAGCATCAGATCTGCACTCCAGGCAAACAGCCGGCCGTTGGCAGCTGGAGCAGCTACAAGCTCCCCTGATACTTCGATTGAAAACCAGCGTACCTCTGTTTCAGAACCGATGATCGACACCACAACGCGGGCCGAGTCTTCTACCGCCAATAATACAAACACAACAACCTACCTCCTTTCGATCCATGAATCTCTCCGCGGGGAGGTTACCCAACTCGCCGACGCCTTGTCGGCTCTCGACGCCCGCGCAAACATGACCATACTGAATGAGAACCTCCGGCTCCGAGAAGACATGGCGCACATAAGCGCCGGTCTCAACACCGTCAGAATGCAAGTTCACATGCTCGTTAATTCAACCTTGCAGCAAGGCCAGCAGCGGATGATGGGCACCCGTCCCTCACCAACTCCTGGAAGTAGTGGCGTTAGCGGCTTAAACACACCCGGTCCATCGACATCTGCCAGCCAGGGACGAGGGATTGTGGAGCTGCCAGAGAGATCAAGGAGACTGAGCGATAGCCGAGAAGGCACGAAACTCTGAAACCACCCTGGTAGGGATCCGAGCACATTTTTATGTTTTCTCTCCCTCCGTCTTACAGTATCTTTAATTTTTCCCCTTCTTGAAACGATATCTCTTGTTACTTGTACAGTACGATTGCCGCCTGATATAGGCCAGGTTGATTTAGCATTGAAACCGACGAGAGCACGGGAACGCATGTATGGACAGCATTAATTTACTTTCATGTACAGGGGTACTTTACTTATTAGCTGTACTCACTTATTCTTAAGATACTTCATTAATCTTACTACCCTCGATCCACGCTTCGGAAGCCACAACGTCAACCACATATACAGAATAGATTATATATTCAAATCCTCATCAGCTAGCTGATGGTATCTTTCAGATAAACACTTTACAACGCCACAACAGCAGCCATAGCTGCAGCAACACCGCCGACAAGCCATCCAGTCGTTCCCGTAACCCGGGGTACACCACCCGTGCTCACATCCGTCGCGTCTGCACCACCGGCAGTGGCCGTTGCGTCACCAGTAGGGGTTGCACCACCAGTGGCGGCTGCACCGCCAGTAGCATCTGCGTCAGTAGTGGCGGGGGCAATGTTCTTGAGTTTATCGGCGCCAGCAGTGACGGGCACGGGGTCTAAGGTCATGATCTCAGGATTGGTGAAAACAGTCGAGGTCACCATGGTTGTAACTCGACCACGGATGCTAGCAGAGGCGGAGCCGACGCACTCGGCGCGAGTGGTGCCAAAAAGCTTGCAGTTGATTTCATTCCTGCCTTCGCTGGAGAGTGAAAAAAGAACGGAAGGAGTTAGTATGGTGATGTGTGTATGCGACCAGATAAAAGGCCTTTTTGGGGATTGTAGGAAGACGTACGCTCCGGCAACATGGATGGTGTTGATCAGCTCGTATGTGCTGGGACCTTGGGCAAGGGTTATTCCAGCAGACTCCTTGCAGATATTCACGTCGATTCCGATGGGGCAGAGGGCATAAGAAGTGATTGTGGGTTGCTATTGAAGTAATTCGCGAAAGAGTCAGTCCCGTCGCCTCTTGTGTTGCATGGGAAAAATGAGGAGAAAAGGGCTCAATATCTTACAGCGGCAATCACCGACGCTCCAAGGGTAATGCCCTCGTTCTTCAAGTCGGCTTGAGGCAGCCATAAGCTCACTGTAGGCGTGGGATCAGCGCGCTTTTCTAGCGCGGCGACAGCCAAGTTGCCAAAGAGGCAGGCAGTGAGCAGAGTTATCGATTTGGCGACCATTTTGACAGAGATTTTAAATTAGTTATTAAGTTGAAGAGAAGGTATTATATGAAGAAAGCGAACGAAACGGTGAAGGTGGTCGAAGATTTCTCTTCTCTTCTTCGGGTGTCAAAACGAATGTGGATTATGATTTAGAACGAAAGGACGAAACGTCACAGAACTTGGTGAAAATTTCTTTCCAAGCGACAAGACGGGGGTATCAACAGGGGAAAAGAAGGGAAACCGTCTTCGAGGCGGCGAACCAGACGTTATATCATGGTTCATATATGGCAAAACTGAACGAGTCAGGCGCCAGAATGAATGTCCCTGACTCGGCTAAGAACAAAGAGTTTTGTCATTTTAATGGCGGAGGAACCCCAACTCCGCCAGAGCCACTCACATTGGCAATTTGCCGTTGGAAACGGGGCTGATACCGCAACATCGACGATTTCAGTGGTGGGCGCGCTGGGTTGCGGCCTAAAAACTCCAGATAGTGTGCGACAAGGTTTGCGCCAGCACCGAGATGGCTAGTCGAATGGCAAAAGGGGCCAATCCGACCTGTCCAGGGTCGTCTCGGGGTCTTGATCCATTTTGGACGGGAGAGCTGGGTGCTCAATGTTGGAATGTTGGCGGTGCGGTGGAGGGAGGTGAGAGAAAAAAAAAAAAAAAAAAAGAAAGTAAAGGAAGCAAGGTGCTAACTCAGCATCCAGCCATGTCCCCAGGAACCGTATGTCGAACCCACCGCCGATCAAGACAAATAAGCTTGTTTAGGAGCTTAACTTGAGCTTGATCTCGAAAATCTCCCCCTTACGGGGTACATACACCTCTCCCAGCAAAGACTACGATAAAGGACAACCAACATATCCTTTACACGAAAGCTTTTGCTTTCCCAGAAAGATATCCGTCACTCACCAAGCGTCGTCAAAATCCCCCTGCAGAGATAATAACCCTGGGCTCAAGCCAGACCCGACAGGGAGAGAGAGACGATCCAGAGGGCGATCATGCCCATCAACCAATCCATCGGCGTGCAACCCCCATTTTTTTTTTTTTTTTTTTTTTTTTTTTTTCTCTTAATTTTTTGCGTCCATTGCAGACATACATCAACCATCTCTTCTACAAGCTTTTCTTCGGATAGGATCCGAGAAGTGAGCTCAGGGCGGATGCAACCAACAGCAGAGAAAACGCCTCAAGTAGCGTAGTCGCCTGGTAAGCAGGGGGGTGAAGACCACCAATTCGCCGGGGAAGAAACTGTTCATCAGCTTTCATTAACTACTCCGTACGGGCGCAGAGTTTCCGTTCCAAATTCCGATCGTCTCTGTCCAGCACGACTCAGCCTCCTGTGGCTGGGTGGGTCGTCACTTTGCGGCTCCGCTGTTGCACCTGGCCAATCACACGCGGAATCTAGGTACTAGCGCAATCTAGGGTTTGCCAAGAGCGGGTATTACACAAAAAGGGAAACGCCAAGCCTACGATGGTTAGGATTACTCAGCAGGTGTGGCTGGCACGGATTGGAACCCGTTCAGTCTGCACGGAGTTTGTCGACTGCGCGCATCTTGGTTGATGTATTTACACTCATGAAACAACAAGCATTGTGCTTTCGTGCCTAGACACCTTGAAATGACGATGGCAAATTTCCCCCATTCTATGGAGCATAAACCTGGAAACCTGGGTTATCCTTTCGGTCCTAACCCCTGCTATAACCACTATAATAATCATACGTGTGCGCGCCATGCGTTGGAGGCTGATAAACCCCATGGCCGTCCCCAGAGCCGGGTTGCCGCTGCTGGTGGTACTGTTCATAGCCTGCTGGTGGCGGAACGGAGAAGCCAGCATCATGTCCAGTTCCAGAGGAATAATGCTGCTGCTGCTGCTGCTGCTCTCCGACCTGCGCGTATGCTGGAGTCCCTATATACGGTGGCTGTTGACCGGTGCCGTCGTTGGGTTCGTCGGGCATTTCACGCTTCCCATGACCACCGGGTATGAAGCTTGAGAGTTTGTTCAAATTGGACATTCCGAGAATGGGCAGGCTCGAGAGCTTGTCCCACGGCATGCCGGACGAACCCGACGACCCGGAGTGAGACTGGTGGCTCTGGGACCCCCCTGTCAACCCAGCGAGAGCAGACAGGCCAGGGATGTTAGCAAATGAACTGGTCGGTTGCGGCTGACCATGCCCGCCATAAGGAGGAGGAGGAGCTTGGTGGGGCTGGCTGTGAGCATGTACATGCCCATGCCCATGGCCGTGGCTGTGTCCATGTCCGTGTCCATGACTTCCATCAACGGTGTGATTCTTTCCCGCCCTCACACTCTCTGCGCTTAGGATATGGTCCAAGCTTGCCCCTCTATCATGTCTTGAAAACGCCCACTGCTGCACTACCTCAAACATCGTCCGATGGGCTTCATTGTTCATATCTCGCAATGCCGGGTGGTGGAAGACACTGACACAGTCGTTCAGGACATGATCAACCGGAAAATCGGCGTGTTGCCACGCGTACAGAACCCGCGGGACAACAAACTTAAGAATGGCCGCTGCAACGCCCCCAGCAGGCTCGTTGAGAATGTTGGAAAAGTGATCCTTCGAAAGGAGAGAGTGCGTCGGGTCGGTGCAGTGGGGGTCGGTCCATGGTTCAAACTGGTGCTGTGCTGAGGAGTTGATAACCTCGGAGGATCCTAGATGCAGTTTTTTCGACGCAAACGTGATAAGGGGCCGTACAAATGGAGCTAAAAGGGAATAGACAAACACGGTCAGTGTCTCAGAGATTTTTTCCATCAACGACTCAAGTCCGGGGATCTTTTCCACTACGCTGCTGACTCTTCGAACAACCTTGTCTCTAAAAACAAGTATGGGATAGATCTGGGAGATTGTCTTTTGAGGGTCAAAATCGGGCATTCCTGGAATGTTAGCACCGTTTTGACCGGGAGCCCGAGTATCATCATAGTAGCCCGCCCCTTGTCCGTGACCATCATCATTGAAGCCTCGCGACGCACCATAACCTCCATGGTGCGATTGGTATTGCTGGTTAGCCTGTGCCTGGGCCTGCGACTGCTGCTGCAACTGCTGGGCTTCAGTAATAAGATCTCCCATTCCAGGGACATTCCCAAGCATATTGGTCAATCCGTTCAATGGCGCCGAAGATCCACTAGCTTGAGCACTTCCAAAAGCATTGTCTGCCTCGTCAATTTCCGACTGGGCGAAATGGTCCGTGGCCTCGCCCAAGACTGAATGGAAAAAGTCAACCATGCCAAATGTTCCTGTGACCAAAGGAAAGATATGCTTCCCCCGAACGGTCATCATCGTTTTCGTTCCGGTATGCGGGAAAACGTTATACATGCCCATTTCGCGCAACACGAGTTCACAATAATTCGTATGAGCGCCGAAATCCTCCAGCGTATGCAAGCCTTGACCAAGGCATCTTAACGCTTCATATAGATCTTCTTCGCGGCCCTTCTTATGGCCCCCCTTGGTGTAAAGCCTTCCGAAGTGGATGCTACGGGCAAAGCTGTACCTCACGTATCCTGCACTGGTGGCCCAGTCACCTCGTTCATTCGCAATGTAATTTTTCATCCCAGTTTCCAGATCGATGTCCAACTCAACTTGCCTCACTGGTCCACGCAAGCGCGCATCATATTGCCTAGCATCCTTGTTGTCGGCATAGTCCTTTGGGTTGCTAGGTCGTGTCAGCAACAGGCGATTCATTATTCTCCAGGATCCACACACTCAATATGCTCTTCCGGTCGATACACTCCTAGTCTTTCGGCCGTAACTTCAAATTCCCCGGTAGCATATCCAAAGCTCATGAACGAAAGAATCCACACCAGAACGCGGATGGTCTCAGATTGTAGTTTCTGCAAAGTTCCTACGTCCATGGCTTGCGAGCTTCAAGGTACTGCTGTCAGCATATATTCACACACACCCACACACAATATTAATCCTCCCTCATGGCAGAGAGCTTGAGAACATCTAGGAGAAATTGCTTGGTTCATAGACACAGAAAAATAAGAAGCGGGAAAAGACTCACTAATCGCGTAACCAGTTTCCAAAATACACTCTCTTGACCATATTTGACGTCCACTTGTGACCCTTGATAAAGGCCAGCGTCTTGAGCATATCTTCAATGTCGCCATGGCGCCAGTTTTTGCCCTCGATTTTAGAAATAGACGCGATATCTGATTCCAAACGGTTAGCCATTTGAGACAACCTTATCGGTCGGTCCGCAGTGCACGTTGCCGAGCAGCAAGTCAACTTACTTCCAGCTCCAAAAGCATTAACCTGCGAAGGGAGGAGGACGAGTATGACGGCGATGATCAGGAATGCAGGCTTGACGCCTGCGATATATGAGCCCATCGTGCTTTGATAACTATCGAAACACAGGAGACCGAGAATTTTTGAGGAAGGTTGGCTGGTTAGTTAAGTAACTGACAGCTTGCCTGCAGACTACAGGATGGGTTGTTCCCCCGCTTAGGCAATTTCAGCTGTGCTCAACGTGCCAACTACGTAAGAAGGTTCGTATTCGCACGTGTATCGCGTGGTCTCCGATGTTTTTGCTTTGCGGATTAATCGGCTTCATGCAAGTCAAATGGTGGGGTTCCCATATGATGAACACTTCAAATATGCAGTAACCCTTTATTTTTATTTTTTTTTATTTTTATATTTTTTTGTTTTTACTTTTTTTTTGTGACAGACAACACATCCGACCTGAAGCACTTGGCTGTGTGCCCTACAGCCAACCCGAAGCCAAGAAGACCTGGGGGCTGGCACCAAGCGATTCGTTGGACTGGGGGTCGCAGCCCTACAGCTTCTGTACGGTGAAACGCAGAGGAAGAGGAAAATAGGGGTAATGGTGAGATGTCAAAGTCGCTGGCATCTATTTACGTATGCCTTTATGTATCTCTGTCAACTAGTATCAAGAAGCAATAGCTATCAACATCTTAAGGCTCTGAAATCATGAATTTCGATCTTGAGGCCATCAACCAAATCATTGTTCCTCTTTTTTTTTTTTTTTTTTTTCCCCCTTCTACTTCTTTTGCTTTCCATTCTTCGAGAAACTTCCCGATGAATCGACTGACTCGTCATCAGTGTTATAGGCTTTAAACTCAAGTAGATGAAATTTGATTCGCTTTATCATCAACGGCCTTTGGCAAAACCCTTCAATAGTCAAATCACTGTCCCAAACTTCGCAATCGATCTTGCTCCTCAGGTTTGAGTGCCGCAAAGATCTCCTGGAACCCAGGCTTAGCGGCCTCCTCACGGAAGAACTGGGACAAGTGTGCCTGTGTCTCGTCGTCACGCTGACGGAAAACATCACCCTCCCCGAACGCCATCAATTCCTGTTTCGTAATACCAAGACCCAGGTCAAGAATGTTGGAAGGAACATCTTCCCAATCATCGTTCTCATCATCGCTTTCAAGGTCTTCAGTACCTACAACAGATCCAGCGGCGTTGATCCCCTTCATGCCAGATGCCGAAGAAAGCTCTTCAACGAGAATTTTAATGATCTTCAAGGGAGCGGGAATGATGGTATACTGGTCTGGATTGAGTCGAGACTGAGAACGTGTCTTAATTCGGCCAGTATCCTGGATGATAAGGTCACCTTTAACTTGCACTTCAGAGATCCGCTGGTCTCCAAGCGCATAAAGCTTCGCAAGAGCAATCACATTCTGCCTGATTTCGTCAAAGCCGACGAAGTTGACGGAGCTTTCGAGCCATTTGCTGAGCACGACATTTAGCCCGGAGCTACCGCCGATATCGAGCTGTGCAAGGAAGTCGATGACATCTCGAGTACTAACAAGAGACAACCGCGCGAATACTAGGATCAAGCTCTGGATGAATTGTGCCTGTTCTGCCGTGGCGAGACGTTGTGCTACTGCACGAAGGAGTTGGGGAAGGAATGGCCCAAGCTTCTCAGCACCAGCTTTTTCAACCAGTTCGGCGGCCAATGCGCCAACCTCAGCTGCAGCGCTGTCTTCCACGGTTTCACCCAAAAGGCGACTAATAATAATTAGCGCACTTTCGACTCCGTCCTTGCCGGTCTGAGGATCGCGCCAAGCAAAGAACTGGTTAGGGTCGTGTGCCAGCATGTGTTTAACAGCCAGAGTCGCCGGAGGTAGAAGGTCAGGCTCTGTGGACGCAAGCAACAAGCGGTTTAGCTTAGGCATCACCGACGCGACAAGCCCCTGAGGAAGTGGCTCCAAGCCATTTTCAGCAAGGGCACGTAGCAGCTCAACCGCTAGATTAGTCAAAGCACTTTCTTGTGTCAAATTGCCAATGTCAATGGCTCCGTTCAAAGATGGCAAGACTTTCTCGCAGAGACGGATATATGCGTCGGCGCCCTGTTCGGCAATGTGCTGCACAATTTCTTCAAAGGTCTCAGTCACTATCATTCCCAGCTGGAAGTTGCTTGCTCCGTTGCTTGCAATGTTGAACAGGAGATCAAGGGCCACAGAAGAAAGAACGACGCCAGGGTCAATCATAATAGCATCTCGAACCGCGTTAGCCAAGGTAAATTTGAGATCATCTCCTTCAGTCATATCACGGAGGTCATGGGAGGCAATGTAGTCGGACAAAGTGCCAATCATCTGGAGCTGAACCGGCATTGTCAATGCCTGTGGAAGGTTAGGCAATAAGTCTTGCAACGCGCAAATGCAAGCTACTTGAACAACGTCGGAGGAATCGCTAGAGATAGCTTTGACAATTGCTTCTAGATATGACAATGCCGTTTGATGGAAGCCTTCGCCAGCCGTCATTGACACTTTACCGGCCAAAAGATACCCACGAGCCCGGAGGAATACGTCATCTTGCTGTATGCAAAACTGGATGAAGTTGTTGAACCCGTTGGCAATGTCTAGCGGAATGTTTTCAGAAACTTCGTGAAAGTCTCGAAGCAACTGATTGACTACATAAAGCGCAGCTTCTCGTAATTTCCAGCTATATCGTAACTGTTAGCAGCCTTTGCTTTAAAAAAAAAAAAAAAAAGTGGAAGAGAGAGAGAAGAAAAAAGGGAATAAGAATAAAGAGACGGGGAGAATACCTCGAAGTTGTGTCAGAGAAGACGACATTGATATGTGCAAGAAGAGCTTTAACAACCGTCACTTTGAGCCATTCGCCCAACTTGATAACCACGTCGCCACTGCAGGTTCTAGGAGTATAATTTGATGTCACAGAACTCTCTTCAGAGATATACAAATTTACATCGATATCCCACAATCCTTCCTCTTCCGTAGAAATCTGAGCGTATGAGATGGCGAGCTTGAGAACGTCTGGAAGCCAACTGGTGGTTGTAGCTGCACTCCCTGCAGCCTGTAGTTGATTTTGAAGCTCAGTTCTGACTGGAGGGGCGCGTAGCAAGCTCTGCATAAAATCCAATTCCTCCAGAACCAGAAAATCGAGTGTATAAGGCAGGCCGTCTGCATCCTCCAATCTACCCTGTCTTTCGTCCTGAATGTAAAGATCATAGTATACGGCTTGAAGGGTAGATAGTTCGGTCCATATCGTAGTGAAGAGAGCAGTGCTATGCGGGGTAAGGAGAGTTGGAAAGACATTACGGATTTTCATCAAAGTCTGGAGGACAGGGGTAAATTAGCTCAAGTACGATTATGATCGATATGCAGGAGAGTAAGTACTACCTTAACAACCTGTAACTTCAATGCAATCAAGCCCCGCCACTGAGTTGGTCCTTGGGCGTCTGAAGCTTCTTCCTCTTCAGTTGGTGTCGGAGGAAGTGGCTCCTTCAAGGTAGCAATAAAGAATGGCGACCATCCATTTAATGCTTCATCCATGAATTGCTTGACCTCCGCCTTGTGCTGCTCCAACACCATCTCCAAAGTGTCGAAACACGCACGAAAGACGGATACGGCAAGTGCACGTAAGGTCGCTTTCCGGGCGCCATTAGTTGCAACGTTGAAAACAGTCGAGACCAGTTCTCGAGCAACCTTGAAGAACTGTTCTTCACTGAATCCCGTTTCAACAAGGTCCGAGAGAACCCTGAGCGCTCCGTGCAGCTGAGTGTCATTGCTTGTGGGAATCACTTGAAGCAGGGTCGGCAGCAGATCGGGCCACTCGTCTGGGAAGTCTGCACTGGCGATCTTGCTGACGACATAGCTCGCCGACGCCTTGACTTTTCGGTCGTCTTCAAGAGAGATGGCCAGCTCGAGCAGGACGCGTCGCAGGTGGACTTTGTTCGCGTCATTGACGAGGACCTGGCCCTTGAATTCATCCAGCTGTGACGACCATGCCGACACGATGAAAGTCCGAAGGATTAATAGCGCGGATTGTCGTAAGGGGACGGGTACGGAGGTATGAGAAGCGATTGACGCGAGGGAGAGCGGGAAGTGCTCGTTGGTGTAAAGGCCAAGAAGCCGCCCCTCTGCATTCTTGCGCGTCGCGGGAGCGGGCGACTGGGTGTCTGAGAGGAGCTGGAGGAGCTGCTGCTCCATGTTGCCCTGGAGAATATACGTTGATATTTTTAGAATTAAGAGCAAGGAATTGAGTTGGAGCTCGAGATTGGTTGTTGACGAAGAATGCTGGGTGGTGGTGTGGTGATGACATGTGAGGGGGGCGGAAGCCTAAACTTCGACCTAATCATCGACGTGGGTGACGCCCAGGGGCCTCCAGCGCGTCGAGGCCCGGGAGCAATCCTTGACCCTTCTCGTCGAATTTCGACTGGCTCCAAGCCGCATTACTACCAAGCTCCGAGGAGCTTGAACAAGAGGTTTACAGGGCCATTCTAGCAGTAATTGGTCGATCCAGGAGGCACCGGTGATGGGGCTGCTTGTACTCCGTAGACTCGGACTGAAACCAGGTCGCTCTCGGTTAAGATGCAAACAAAAAAATGATATGCTCGGTACTCTGGCTGCAACGTGCAGCTCGATTCTCTGATCAGGCATTCCTATTGAGCAAATATGTGAATACAGGAAAAGCCAAGGACGCAATCGACGCCCAAAATTTCCTCCAGAGGGGACTCAACCTGCTTCTTGTCCGACGCGGCAGAGATTGATAGCCAGAGCCCATAGCTCAAACGGATATGAGCTCCTAACCAATAGTAAACCAATCCACAGCAAACAAGGCTTATGGAATCACACAGTGAAATCTATCTCATGCCGTTCTTCCGGCCTGCGTCCAGGTATCTGGATTGCTCCCGAATTCTCCTGTTCTCGACGAATGTTCAACCCCTCAGCAACTGGAAACAATGAAAACTGCTGAGCCGCAGGGCGGGTTTCAAAAATTTTGCCTCCAAAATTAATCGCAGAATGCCAAAGCCTTCTCTTTTGTAGCTCGTGGGTTGAAGCTCCCCTCGCGCTTATTACACCGGTCAAAAATGCTCCCCTAGGCTCCGCTAGGGACGATCACTCGCCAAGAAAGCCGCTGGCGTCCTCGATGCCATGTTATCCGAGACATTGACGAACTTTAAAGAGCCTGAGATGGAGCACAGACGGGGCTTCTCAGCCGCGAAATTTGTGGAGAGAAATGAGGAAGACCGAGGCACCCCATGACCCCAATTCACCACAATACCTGCCTCTTACCATCGCAGAGAAAGAAAAAGGGCCATTTTTTTGGGGTACGTTGCTCACGGGGTCATAGATTCGTTTTCTTTTTCTTTTCTTTTCTTTTTTTTCTCGGGTGAGGCGAGCCTGCTAGTCAACGAGAGGTCTAAAATGGGCCGGTTGGCGTCGACGCTGCCGCTAAAATTAACCTTATCTTGTTCGACGACCCGCTATCCATTATGCCAATCCATGCGGGCCTTTCGGGATGTTTGATCACATCCGTCACTTTAGCTGTAAGCGCCGTAGAATAGAGAGCACGCGTTGTCTGCTTCGACTGGGGATTGGAGGCGCCGTCCAGTTTCTTGTCCCGAGTTGTGGCCCTAGAGAACGATCCAGAACCTGGGAAGATAATTACCTGGAGGGGAAAAAACAATCAAAAAAATAAATAAATAAAGAAAGAAAGAAAAAAGAAAAAAGAAAAAGAAAAGAAGAGTCGAGATTTCCCTCGTGCTGTGCAGGGCAAGGTTCATTAACCTTAGGTGCATCGGCCAGAGGTGAAACGTGGATTCGGCCATGGGTGAAATGCAGATCGAGACAACTTAAAAGAAGTGGTAGGGCCAAAGCGTAGTCATATGGCGAGTCGCATACATACAGATGTGTCTGTTTGCATTATATCCAATCCCCTTCCAGAGTGCACCGAGATATCGATCAATCATCAAGGACAGTGCAGGGAAAAAAAAAGTAATACCGTCGCGCCACAATGGGCCGGCTTGCAGGTCACCAATGCGCAACCATTATCGTCCCTGCTTCGCCGTGAAAAAAAAAACAAGTGGCAGACTCATCCTGACGTGGCAGCTCTGTAAGAATCAACCATGGGCTTCAGATTGGGGTTCTGGCCTCTCCTTGTACCCAGGCCAGCAAACTGAGGGTTTTCGAGGCATTTAATGCTGCCTTTAGGGCTGAGAGCAACTGAGCGTCAGCGCGGGGGTTGGAGGTGAGATGGGACGGATCCCCAGGCATGTTGCAAGACAAGGCAACCATTTGCATGTATATACTGCGTATGGAGTACCCGGCACTCTTTACCGGGTAGAGTAACCATGGGATTGACCATTGCGCAAGACGGGATGCACTGGTTCTTCTCACGGCTCGCAGGACTCGAAATCTATGCATGATCAGTGGCTGGTGATGGTTAGTACATACATACGCCATAGTTGAAAGTGGAATTTCCGGGAAAAAAGATCGAAGTTCTTTTCCCAAAAGGCATACATCCGCTGCCGGGAGGCGATCGCCATCAAGCCATTTCCACTAATCTTCCCCCCCTCCCCACCCGCCGGGCTCAGGAGGTTTGAACATTGAAGATCGTCCACGGTCGGTGATCTCATCCACCCACCAGGCACGTGATGGATTACGATATCTTGTCTGTCAACAAGGAGAGAAGATCACCATCCAACTTCAATTCTCCTTCTCTCGTTTTCACACAAAAGCACGCTCCTCTGCTCTCTGATTCTCCTCCGATCCACTGTTCTTTTGGTCATGCTTCACTCCTCCAGCAGTGGTTCGCCGCCTTCACACTCTTTCTTCTTGCTGACTGCTGCTGTTTCTCTGTTATCAGACTCAGTGTCCTGTGACTCCTTCAGCAGACGCGCTCCAGAATACCCCGTTCCTCCAGGAACACTCAACCCTGGTCTCAGCGTTGAAGAGCTGAAAGGGCCAGCATAGGCCTCAGTTGCTGAAAAGCGTGTCATATCTGTCCTTGGGCTCTGAACATTCTGTTCATTCTTCGCCCTCGTCTTGTTGCACACCTTTTTTTTCTTTTGCTCCAAGATGATGGCGCACAGAGCTGCCCACCCGGCTGCTGCGACTGATACCCCGTCGCCAGCCACTGACGCAACTCATTTCCCAACAACTGCGGCTCCTGCAGCCAACCCTGGTTCTGGCCCTCCCGCAAAACCTCTTCTCCCGCCAAGCAGTCCGACCACCACTGAGAACCGTGTTCCCGATACCTATGCTCGGCTCGCGTCCTCGTTTTCTTCTTTTCTCGCCGTGAGCATGCACCAAATCCTGTTTCTTCGCTCTGTCTATCCGCCAGCCACTTTTCTTCCCGTCCGTCAATATAACCACCCCGTCAAACAGTCGCGCCACCCTGGCGTCTGTTCTTGGATCAACGACGCGTGTTCATTCGTCGAAGCCGCACTGATAAAATCTTCAATCTCGGCTGCATCATTCGTCATAGTCTCCGAAAGGACAAACCGGCCATTGGAACGGTATACTTTCGACTTTTCCCAGATACCGCAGGTGTCGTCGACAGACATCCATACGCCATTTGCGAGCGCTGTCGCTGCTAAAACTGGCAATATCGAGAAATTTGAGATCCTCCAACAATCCGCAAATGCTGCCCAGTCTATTCCCAAGTCTGTCCCATCAACGGCCACCGTTGACACGGAGGCTCAATTTCGAGGTGTCCTCGCACGATTGGCGTCGGCGTGTGCAAGGCTGACTCCACTTCCGCAGCATGAAGAATATCGCCCCGCGCTTTTCGTCATATTACGCCCCAATGCAGAACCCCCTGCTGGTATAACAGCGGAGGAACAGTGGTGGATTCCAACTGAACCCAACGGCCTTTCTACCGTGCCCACTGAATCGGTGAATGGGGACTTCCCAGAACGAAAATCTTTTGGAAATAGCAATTCTAAGGGCCTAAACGAAAACAACAAGAGGCCCTGCCCCATTAGCCCAAAGACCCCCAGTAATGGCACTCCCAACAATTGCAAACGCTCAAGAGCGCCGCAAACCGTCCCTGTTCGCAGGGTTGATGCTGGAGAGATGCAGCTGGAGGTGTGGGCGGAAGAAGCGTATGGGAAATTCGAGATTCTGGACCGCCTTAATACCGGATAACCACCTTAGATTGCGATGAATTTGCTGTCATGAGTATTTCTTGCCTTTCTGTCGGCCAGTGTGCCTCTCTGCTGATGACCTCGCCTGTTCTGCTTTTCCTTTTCCCTTCTAGGAACCTACTCTACCTTGCAAGCTCGATACTGGTGGCCTGGAATGTACAAAGATGTGTCGGCCTTTGTGAATCCCTCAGTTGGCATTGGGGGCAGTGTTTGACATAGGCCGACACATCTTTGTACATTCCAGGCCACCAGTATCGAGCTTGCAAGGTAGAGTAGGTTCCTTCTCGTCCTTTATGTTTATTTTTTTTTATTTTTTTATTTTTTATTTTTTTTTTTTTCCCTCTCTTCTTTTTCTTCCACCCCCGCTCGGCATGACAAAGCCCTTAGCAGTGACGATTATCTGATGTCCATTCCTTGTCTTACCCGGCGTCTGCAGCTATGCCTTTTCTCTTCAAAATTCTTTTCCTCACCCTGACGAGAGATTTCTCCCTTTCTACCCCTAAATCTCAACTAATGTTCTAACCCCGTAAGGCTTCCAATCTCCGTATTCTATGATCTTGTTTCGTTTTCTTATTTTTCGCTCCTTGGTCTCTTCTACAACTTCGTTATTTTATGCATAGCTACGGACTGTTCGGTTAGATCCTAAAAAACAACAATATGATTTTCGAGCATACCAACTTATGAGCTACCTTTTTCCTTACTTTTTTTGTTCTCTCTCTCTTTTCTTTTAGCCTGAGACTTCTATTCAAGGTGAAGATATACGGAAATTCTATCACCAAAAGGTTCAATCCGACCCCTCCATACCCACAGTAACCACCCAGGTCCCGGACGATGGGGGTGTCGGTTCCCTAAGGAAATAAGATAGCAAAAGTGCATCTGGCATGGCTGTATAAAATCTTTCTGTATTAAAACGGTCTCTCAAGCGACATTTAACGAACACCGTAGAGGAACGAATAACAACACAGACCTCAACACTCCCCTGAAATGCTCAAACATCGTTTTTCCCTCCTTTATTTTAGGTATCTGTACCAATTTCAGTAGTTTGGGGGGGGGAAGAGAAAAAAAGGTCTCATATGTGCCCATTAGACCAAGGGCAAACAATATGACAGAATTTCGTTCCAGGCGGAAAGAAGAAGCAAGAAGGGAAAAAGAAACAAAAATTCGAGTAAACGCAACTATCAAAAGGGCAAAATAGTGTATCGAAGGGCCTCAAGGACATGAAGCAATGAAGCAAGGCATAAAACAGACCCCTTTCTTATCGTATAACGTACCTTTGCAGGCACATAACACCACCAGGCCTTGGGAACTTCCTTGCTCACGCTAGTAAAAAGAGTTCAAGACAATGCACATATGAAAGCATTGTATAAGAAAAATAAAGCAGGGAAAAGCGCGCACATTTAAAAAAAAAAAAGAAATGTTTGAATGTTTATAATTTTTGTTCTCAAACATACATTTATATTAGGAAATTATCATCTGGCCAGTCTATCATGGGTCTCACTTCGTTAGCAAACTGGTTCAGAGCATCTGCTCCGAAAGGATCATTTAATCGCCCGACGTATCGGTCTTGAAGGAGCTTCAGGCCTTCGAAATCGTCATTGACCGGCAATGCGGCGTGGGTATTAACAAGATCTGCTGGGCGTACAGCGGGGATAGCGCCATTAGCCGGGTTACGCTGGAAACGTTGTTCTTCAAAAAGGCGTTGGCGAAGCTGTCCTCCCACAGCAGGTTGCTGGTTGGTATTGTTAACCGCCGGTTGGGCGTTTTCTTGGACGACCGGAGCTGGTCGTGGGCCACCATCCCATGGAACACCATGTTGGAACGGTTGTTCTGCCATGTCGTCCTGAAAGTACTCCTGCGGAAGAGCAGGGAGAAAATTCTGATTACCAGCACGTTCAAGAAAGCCAGGTTGATGGCCATGAACTCGTGGCGCACCTGGACCGTTAGCGGCGTATAGCTGATTTACCAATGGGAGACCTAGTATGTTTTGTCCTGGTATATCAGCAAAGGTGGTCTTTGGTAGGTCTACTTCAAGGTCGGTTTCCTTCAATTCTGGGTGAGACTTCAGCGCTTCTTCGGTTGCTGTCTTTTGGGCTAGGGCTGCCTCCTGATAATGACGACCCTCGGATGGAGCGTAGTCATGCAGGGGGCATGAGCCGCCTTTGCCGGTGAAATGGTGGTATCCGTCCTTTGAAATATCTTTTTTGCAAACATAACACATTATCCACCGGCATTTCGTGCAATACAGCTTGTTGCAACCGTCCGCCTTAACAATAGGCATCTTACATTTAGAATTAGGGCATATGCGGATGATAGCCTCGCTCATGGCCTCTTCAATCTTGTGGCGCACAGGAATGTTCTTTTCCTTCCGGGCTTCATCGCAAGTTTTCGGGACGTGACTCTCCCCCTTGCATGAGCGGCAACTCACTTTCCAGCATTCAGATTTCAAGCAGCGAAACTCGCGGTTTTCTTCGACTGGAGGGTAGATGGCTTTAAAATCGCAAAAGGGACACTCTTCCAGCCCATCAATTTCAGCTTTTTCGATTTCATCGCGTTGACGGAGATCGTCAATTTTTCTCATCAGCGCAGTACCAAGGATATCCGCAAGTTCAACCTGAGAAAACAAAGCGTTGCAGCCGCTTGTGTCCATGCAATGGATTTCGTATCTCATGTACCCAATTTGGGTTTCTGCATTTGCCTTGATGCAAGACTGGCAGAAAAAATGGGATTGGTCACCGGCACAGGGGATCATGCGGTTAATGGGAGCGTCAGTATAACAGCATTGACATTCCATGAGACCTCCAGTGGCCGCGTGGGCTGCCTCGTTTGCTGCTTCTAACTTATCCGCTTCTGCTTGCTTACGCTCCTTCTCTAATAAAAGATGGTCCTTCAGCAAGGCATGTAACCCACGGTTTATTGAGTCGTCCCTTGTATGGTTCACGTACCTTCTTTCTGGACGCGCATATTTCTTGCATCCTGAAATTCATGTGTCAGAGTATCTCTGTGGGCCTTGGCAAGGCGAGAGCGTTCAAAAAGTGGCATCTTCTCGCGTCTACTAGCAACTTTCAGACGCCCGTATGGCACGTCGGCGAGGTTGGTATAATTAGAATCGAGGTAATAAAGATGTTGGTATGCGGCGTACAGAGTTATGTGACGCTGGAGCGTTGACTTTAAAAACTGCACAGGGATATCCGGGTAGTCAAGACGCAGAAGCGCTCGACTACACGGCGTGTTAGCTCTGCTTTCCTACCTTTATGCAGGTTGGAACACGATGAAGAAGTTGGAAGATCCCCCCCCCCGGGAAAGAGTGATAGATGATTGTATATGTCACAGTATCTAAAAGGAAGTTTGACCGGAAACAATCAAGAAACCGAGAAAACCGCGAAGCAGTCGCTAGGACACTCACGCAGAATTATAATAGTGTTTATCCCTCACAACCCCGTCATCTGGAGACCACTTGCCCTTATTTTTCTCTTTCTCTTCAATCTTTCTGCGCTTCCGCTCCTGTAAGGTGGGGTAAGGTCCGGCTTCGAGGATCGCATTGATCAACACTGCATCGTCGGGAAAGGCTCTAATGCGTTTCTGCTCTGCTTGATAGACCCCTTCGACGTAGTGCGGGCAAATGTCCGGGAAAACTGTGAGAATTAGAGCCCAGAGAGAGCCTGCTTCGGCGGAAACACCGTCAGAGGCAGCGAGAGGGCGAAGCACCTCATTCCCGGGCGTCATAGCGGCAGGTTGACCGGCGGCAGCGGCGGAAAGAGTTTCCTGAAAAGCGTCGTGTCTCCGTTTCATGCTGAGTCTTGCGGCTTGTCTCTCCTTTAATCGAGTCAGACTGGTCAACCTCATGGCTATGGAAATCAGAGGGCCATATATCCAACCCAAAAGAGGCAGTCTTCGAAATACGAAGGAAAGGATAATAAGAAGCATTAGTTGCAAGCTGCTACAGATGATGGCTTTGAATCCTCGAACGACATGATATGATATGAAAGGCCGAAAAGGAAGAAACGAAAAGACAATCAGAGGCCGAATGGTAGATGAGAGACAGGGCAGAGAAAAGTTACCAAGTTCGAGGCCCACGAGTGCCAGTTGCATGTACCTCGTTGTCAAGCAACCTGGGGAGTTTGTCTGTGGGCTTATTACCTGGTAGCGGCTGCGAGCTCTTGGTAGTTGTACCTAGAATTGGCGGGTATCACATGTCACATACAGCTTGGAAGCAAGGTTGAGTTTCGACCAAGGCCTGACAAAAATAGGCCTAAGCTCCAGGATGGAAAAGGTTTGAGCTTTGTGGACTAAAGTTAGCCTAGGCTGAGCTTGGCAGAATGATGATATCGAAGAAAGTTGGATGGCCCTGCCCGGACCTACCGTCACCGTTGGAGGTGGAAGCGGTGGTGATGGTGGTGATGGTGGTGGTGGTGGTGGCTTAATGGCAAAAGGGAACGGGGGGATTCTGGCCAGAAGGGAAGGGATTTCTGCCGGTTCGCGGGAGTCGACGCCGCCCCCGCCCTGATTGTTGACCCCGCCCTCGTAGAACGTTGCCGTCCCCGCTGCACCGGTTGTCCATGTAATATCTTCGACACACAATCTGCAGCGCAGAGCGAGCCTGCTGCCAATCCTGGAATGCTGGTGAGCTTGCTCTGGCGGACAGAGTCGAGATCAGGCCTTGCGCTAAGATGAATGCAGCATAGTTGGTGCCAGAACCTTTAAGCTCACCAATCGGCTTGGCTGAGACTGCGCCGCATGACGTTGATGCTTCATCGCATGGCGGAGAGGCGGATGCTGAGGCCGGTAAGTAACAGTGCGGGCGTGTGTGATACAGCTGTGCTGGTTGTGGATATTCATAGTAGTTAACTACTCTGTACTCCGCAAAAAGTGCGGCTTTCAACAGGCAGATCCTGAGCGGTTCATGGTTCATCCCTGGTGGGACTAACTAACTACAACTACGGAGTACGCATGCAACTAAATACGGAGGAGTTACTCTGCCCAGAGTACGGATACTAACTCAAAACTCTCCCAGCAGCCATCGGCGGCGTTTTGGCGCATCTGGATGCGTTTGCCTGAGCAAAAAAAAGAACAAATCTCTCATGGCTACACTAACACACCACCTTGAAAATGAAACTGCTGTTTTCGAGTCCTCAGCAATATCGACATCCCTGCTCTCCGCCTTCAGGAAGCACCCCCAGACTTCGAGGTCAGCTCCAGGGTACTCCAGACTCCACAACTCTTCCACCACAAAATTTAGCAAAACTAACGAAAACGCGATGCAAGGAGTAAAGCAGGCTCTGGCTCCCGTGAAACTCTCACACATCGCCTCTTCCCCACATTCCTCGCCGGGTTCCCTCGCTTCCCATCGGATCCGTTCCGGACAATTTCTCACCGGAGTCTCTAGCGAATACCAAAAATTCCCGATGCCTTGTTGTGTCGGGTATTGGTCACGCCTCATCCCGCCCACATTTAAACAGGGGTGCTTTTCTCGAAGCATTTCGCCGAAATCTTCCCCATAAACTCCGGTCCCAGGCACAGCTCGGCATCCTAAAACTCTTGGATTTCTCGGGATCCTTCCCCCCACGGCGTACGCCGTGCTCCGTACTCCGTATATATTCAAGGATCTACGGTCCGAGAGGCTCCTGAATCCAATCGATTCTCCTGTAAGGCAGCCAACCACCTCCCGTTACTTCTTCCAACCCCTGGGTGTTTTTTTACACAACTCACGGCATATACAGTTTTAAACCAACGCCCCCTCCCCCTTTACTTGTCCTAAAGTGGGAAAAGACACATTCGCCATGGGGTCCGCCGACTGCTCGTTGCCGCTCGCGACGTCCCCTGACCTCGTTCTCGTCGTGCCTACTCCTGACGAACGGATCGAGTGTTTAAAAATTAACGGCCTGGCATGGAAAGGGCAGCTGACGACAGAACAGTACATCCAGCGGGAGAACCACCTGATGAGCCAGAACATGACAAAGGACGGAGCCTTGACCTGCTGGATCCTCACAGAACGAAACTCACTCCCGGATTCCCGCCCAATCCTCAGTAGCTGCGAAACCTTCGCGAAACCCGCTTTCCTCGCCTATAATGGTAAGGTTGAGGATGTTCTCTCCCACGGTATTGGTAGCGTGTTCTCGCGACCCGAATATCGCGGACGAGGTTATGCGCGACGGATGATCCAAGAACTCGTTAAGATCCTCGAGACGTGGCAGCTAGAGAACTCCGCCAGGAAGAAGTCCATCTTCTCTGTGCTCTATTCCGACATAGGCAAGACCTTCTATGCTGCCCTTGGATGGAAGCCGTTCCAGTCGTCCCATTACTCCCTCCCGCCGCTGGAGAGACCACAAGCTAAGAAGGATATCGAAGGCCTGGATATGATATTGGTCAAGGACATGGCAAGAGACGATGTGAAAAGATACATGTGCTCCAATGCGGTTCTCGACCGATATCGCGCAAACCTGAGGGAAGCCTCTGCAAAAGACACAAGGGCCAAGGCTGCGTTCAGTCCTGACTTTGACAATATGACTTGGCATTGGGCGCGAGAGGAATTCTACTCCCCAATACTTGCTCCGGAGAAAGGTGAACCAAAAGTGAAAGGCGCATGCGTTCCGAGCCGAAACGTCTTCTTCTCCTGGAACCGAAACTTTGGTGCATCTGCCGAGCAGAGTACCCTTTTCATTCTTCGAGCTCTGCACGAGGAACCTTCATCCGCATCAGAGAGACAAACGATAATTGATGCCATCGCTGCTGTTCTCCGTCGCGCTCAATACGAGGCGCGCGACTGGGATATGGGGCGAGTGGAGATCTGGAACCCCTCTCCTTTGGTAGAAGAAGCCGTCAAGAAGCTAGACGCCAACGCAAAGTTGGTTCACAGGGAAACCAGCAGCATTACTAGTCTGAAGTGGAATGGCAAAGAACTGGGACTTGGAGAGGAGGTAGACTGGGTATGGAACGAGAAATACGCCTGGTGCTAGACTATTGATTTTGCGGAACATGGGAGGCTGTTTGAACACAATTAACCACCCTAAATATAGATGTGTGGAGGTAGACTGCACTGAGGTGCCTTTTTTGGGCTGTCTGTTTTCTGCTTCTGAAGCGGCTCTTAGCGACTCATTTTCCCTTTTACGGGCTTGATATCCCCTTGCTTCCCCGTATTCGGGCAAAAGCAGATGCTTGATGAAGTGATATGCTGGCAGGAAATGTCCTGTATTCACGATTTGTTTGTTACTGTGTGCCAGAATATGCGAATTATGATTTTTCAAGTTTTCAGAACTTACTTTGAACTTCTCTGCCGTTACCTCTATCCTCCATTTTTCAGGGATCAAGTCTCGCCAAGTCTCCAGAAACTCCCTCTCTGGCACCGCTAAGTGCGGATTAGGGGCTATGGCTTCCAGATATACATCGCCGACCCAATTGATCGTAGTTTCTCTGTTGAGGTTCGACCCTATGGAGTCGCTGTCAGCTTAAATGTGAGTAATGCTGAAAGAAACCTAAAGGATAGGCCTTACACTTGAGCTCCTCGAAAACCTGTAACTTAATACCGGATGGGGAATCGTCCATTAAACGGCGGACAATCGCATAAAAATGGGATCTAGGGAATGGCGCTTTTGCACCTGACGTATCCGAATCGTCGACAACGGAATTCCACAAATCGCGAACTAAGAATTGCTTGCTCAAATCAATTCCCTGCAATATAGAGCCTTCGAGCAATTTCTTCCAGGCTGATAGTTTCGACGCTGCCGATGGCCGCCAACCAACCAAATTCCCGCTATTTCGATCTTCATCAATGAAGCCACATACATCAACCCACGCCTCGTAGCATTCCGTGGGAGATAGAGGTATATCGGTAAACAGGCCGTCGAGGGCCTTTCTCCTCTCCGCCGTGCCAGGTGGGGTGTGTAGATCGGATTGGCGTTTGGTATCCACGTCCATTGCATTCTCCTCGATGTCCACCATATCATACACCTGCAAATTCCTTAATAGAAACGGGAGAGCAGAGTAGCCCTTGCCAACACTTTGTAGTTCTAGCGTCGACTTGCACAGCGCAATGGCCGTAACTGCATCACTGGCGTCCGTCTCCAAAACTCCGCCATCTTCCTTACGGCTGTTGTCAAGGAGCGGCGACGGTCTTAATACGAATATCGAATTTGAGGAGTGAACCTGACGGAGCGAGTATGTCTTGGTATCGGTACATAGGTTGACAAAGGCATCGTCTGTTCCCTGGTTCGACGATGAGCCGGAACTTGCTCTAGCGGCGGAGATAGACGGAGGAGGCGACTTGAGGTAGAGTCTAATTCCATCAGGTGCAAATGTCAGCACATTGGGTCTCGATCTTGATGTATGGCGATCATTCCACACTCAGCAACTGAGGAGGGGGGAAACCGAGGCAAAAGGAAAGCCGTACGGAGGAGCTTCGTCTGATGTAAGTAATGCGAGCAGCTCCTCTGGGAGTTCAAGGAGTCTGAACGCCTCTTGAGGTGCCGTATGCGTGAAGGGGATGCTTAGAGCTGTTTGTTTCTCCATATGGTCCATTACATTTCCCTGATTGATTAGCTTCGGATTTACGAATGGATTGCTCAGCGAGACAATCGTCGAGGCTGGCTATTTGCCAAGACCATCCACCTTCACTTGGTGCCAAGCCTTCGGATTTGGTATACAGAGAAATTGGATTGACTTGCTGGATTGCTGCCTTTGTATGACATGTATTTATTGCAGGATATGACCCAGTCACTTAGATATCTGCTCGAAGATTGCAGTAACAGTTGAACACCCAAGGGCCGAACAGATGATATCTCCGGTCCAAACCTCCCTGGAATCCCCAAAACCTTGTAACACATAAAATGTTCCTGAAGGAGCAGGGAATTGGGCCTATATCAGGTATTGCTTCAAAATAACTGCATACAGAACCACAAAAGTACTAGCAATGAAACAGTGCCCAGCCTGCCATCGCTTAAAGGGGTTCTCTGGGAAGAGGGTAACTGGGTAAACCAAAGTGTAGCAGTTCGAAGGACCACAAAGAGAAGAAAGGCAGATGAACTTAAAACAACCAAGGTATGGTATGATATGCAAACAGCAGTTGAGTTAAACAGCAAGACACATGTCCAGAAAATGTGAAAGAGCATTGGAACACGTATTCTTTCTCAAACCAGAAGTATCTGGGAGATGAGTGAGGTGGGAAAAAGTAGAGAAAAATATAAAATAAAACAAAGAACTGCCCGTTTCGAGTGAATTTGGAAGGATAAAAAAAAAATGTCAAGATGGCCGTGAGAAAGTTGTCAAAGCATAGATGAATGAAAGCCAGCTCAAAGACGATGAATAGAAAGTAATCGTACGGCGAAAACCAAATAGCTTCTCTTCTTGCTTTGAGCTTTTCCCTTTCGTCAGCGAAAAATGATATCACTTCTAGATCGAACTCCAGCTAAAACAGATTGCTAGGCCAGCGAAGAAAACTGTCATAAACCAAGTATTACAGTCAAGAAAGCCTTTCCCGTCGCATCGCCACTTAAGAGTCTAAATATGTGTTAAATTAGGAAGATCGAAGAGGAGTATCGAGACTTGAAGACCGACGAAGGAAGTCAGTACCCAGAAAACCATACGAGGGTTTATCGGACTCACTAATCTAGTATTAAAACCGCTTAATCTTCATTAATTTGACTTGTCTGATGGGGTTTTGGAGTCAGGAGAGGATTCAGCTTTGCTTCCTTGTTTCTGTGTGGCTTCTCCTTGTTTCTGCTGTTGCTGTTGTTTTTGATCCTTCTGCATCATATCTTGAATGGCTGCTCCGTCCTTTTCCCATTGAGCCTTTGTGTCTTTAAATTCCTCCTTGATTCGCTTTGTCCGTTCGGCCTTTTCCTTTTCCTCGGCCTCTCGTTGCAAGCGTTCTTTCTCCATTTCCTCCATATGTCGTATGTCATCAAGACTTGGCTCGTAAAGATGCCAGATTGTATAATGGGGCAACCCAACAACAGAAAACTTCATTCGCTTTGCCATCTGTGGATAGAGTCAGACAGAAATGAAAGAAGATAAACGACTAAGAATGGGTGAAATCTTACCTTCCCAAAAGCCTCGGTTTCCGCGTGTTTCTCAAAGCTGAAGGCAGGAAAATGCACTCCGGAGCGGAAAACTCTAGCTTTCGCTAGAATACTGACTCCCCCAACGCCATCAATTTCCATTTCCATATCTGGATCGCCATATGGATCCCGCAAATAGGCCAAATGTGGCCGCCACGTCGCGTATTCCGCATAGCCCTCTACAATCACGGCATCTTCGTCGAGGGTGTCCGCTAAAGCGAGAGCGGTTTCGGATTCTTGCCATGAGTTCAAGTCGTACGGCTGTTCCCCACCAAGCCAGTCAGGAAGAGGGCGCCAGACATCTGCGAACAATTGTCAGCTTAGACGAAAACAGGCGAACTGTATTTGCATAAAGTGTACTTACTTGGAACTATGACATCCTTGTTATGCCTCATGAGATCTTCCAAGATAGTAAAGGGGGCAGTTTCAACGTCAGCATCTCGCCAATATACCCAGCTGTGGTTCGGTCGCAACGTAGCGCTCAACAACCAGTTTCTTGCTTGGGCCATCAATTTTCTTCTCGAGGCCTGTGCGGCAAAACCATGTCTACTCTCCACGTCCTGATTCACCTTCTGTCCAAAATCTTTCTCTATAACTGAAACTTCTCCATAGGGCATCTTGGGGTCAGGATCATCTTGAAGATCCTTGAGCATTTGAGTGAGGAGGGACGAGGTCTCATCTTTGGAGTCTGAGACGAGAAAAGCAAGATCTATAAGATGATGAGGGTAGGTGAAGTTGCGAAGGTGTGAGAAGAACATCGGTAAGTGTGTAGCGGCATCACGGAGCGGTGTGCAGAGAAGAATTCGCTCTTCCCGCTCCCATCCTCGCGCCGTGCCCTGGGCGTTGGTGAGATCGTAGTATCGCACAGTTTCGAGTTGGAAATCATCATTCGCGGAAAGGAGGCCAAGAGTTAATGTGCCGAAAATCGTAGCTCGCCAGGAGGGAAAGAACAAAGTCAAAATACATATCGAGAGCCCGCCGATGATGAACAAACGTTGTATTAATTGTCTTCTTCGCCGAAGGGCTGGTTGTGACCTTGGTTGGAATCTACCCAGAGAGCGAAGGTATCAGCCCGTCGCTGCTCGCAGAATTTGCATAAACGGAAGCAGAGAAGTTCGGGGAACGGCGTGCGTCGTTAGTGCCACATACCTGTGAGGAGATATAGAAAAAGTACCGCTTTCCCCGTGAGGGTAAGCGGTATAGCCATTGGTAAAGGCGTAGTGCCTGTTCATATCTCCAACGCAGCCAACATGTGTGTCGGGAGCCCGATAGAGAGCTGCCTCTCCCTGCTGTTGGAGACGGAGAGTCCAGAGGTAAATAAACCCCTGACCCGTCCCCCAATGAACAGGTGTACAGTGGTGATCCTTGCAGTTAAGGGAAGCAAAGGCCTTCAAGGCCGGATACAGGTTTCCTGGCCCTAGTGGAGAGGAAACGAGCGCGGGTAGACGGAAAAGAAAGGCGGATGGACGTCGGATGGAGAAATTTGAAGATGTATCCCTCAACTGGCACAGGAGGAAAAGAGGACAAGCGAGCATACTTTTGGCGTGTCTCAAGTCTGTCTCTCGGTTTCAACTCCCAGCCAAGGGGATCATTGATTTTCCGACGCCCGCACAAAAGTTTCGGTGGGCCGGGTGCAGGACGCCGCCATGCTGCTTGCGGCAAGGCTCGGCGGATCCCGAGGCGAACACTTCGTAATCGAAGAGAAGATCTGCCAGCCGATCACCGTGAAACAGCACACTATCACCACCTGAAACGATGGACGGCCATCTTCCGTCCGTGAAGGATGAGGTGCCCCCAAAATATATACTGTCCGACATCCCATCATCGTACAACCGTCTGCCCTGCGTGGGCTTGGGACCTAACCCAAAGCCTCCAGCTGTCAGCCCGAACAATGGCCTTCGTCGGGATCAAGGTTTTTGAGTCTCAGCAGAGCTCGACAGGCAACAAAAGCTCCGCGTGCCCACCAGGATCGTCGTCGCCTTAGCCTCTTCGAGATTGCGGTGGCATCGGCTGCCTCGATCCCACGGCGATTTCCTCCCGTCTGATCCTCAACAATATCGTTTTTCCCCTCACAGGGAAAAACATCGATGTCGTACAGGACATCCACCGGGAGGGAAAAGCGACTCCGCTTCCACTCTGCCGCTCGACTAGGTGCTGATGCAATGACCCTGGCCTCAGCAGGCCGCTCCCCTCTCAATTCATCCTTCGCATGACCTCTTCCCGGTTTAATCGCCACTCTAGGCCCCGTTGGCAAAAGTTGGACAGGCAGGCAAAGCATTCCGTCCAGTAGATCAGTCCACGTGGGTTTTCCGATGTTGAGTAAAATGCGCTCTGCCAACTATCGGTTAACTGAAATGGCTCAATGCTGATGCTGTACGGAGTACAATGAAAAGTTTCCAGGAAAGGGCAGCGGAATACAGAGTATACGGAAATCACAAGCTAGTGATAGAATTCAAACGCATATTGAAGATGCATAGCGTACATGTACGGAGTACTGGACAAGGATGAAGGTCATCATTGCATCCACCCAGGATTTTGCTCTTAAATTTATCCCGGTTGCTTGTCCTTCGTAATAGAATGAACTCTGTCAATCCAGTGATCCTTTATTACGACTTGAAGATGGAATTTTTCAAGAACCTTGTATCTCTACCTCGGTGCTGGCTACTCATGATGCAGGGTCATGGAAAAAGAAGGGTGAATACCTATGGAAGACTCTATTCTATTCAGCTGTCGTTAGTGTCGCATTTAACCAAACATAGCCATTTTCCTGTTCTCTTATTGTATTACTTTTTCAACAATCCCTAATTGAAGATTATCTAACTGCTGCTCCTTTCAAGCTTTTCACAGTGCACACACCGCCTGATTTCGTTACCAGCTTCCCAACTGAAGGAGTTGACGGTGCTGTGCTAGTTTCGCCTCCACTGTTTAGCTGTGGCACTGCACTGCTATCAAAAGCCACTTCCAGCGAATCTGTCGTAGTGAAACCCGGCTGGAATGTCTCCCAAATCTTCTTCTTCGGGTTCAATACTTTCTCTGGGTCACCATTGTTCCAACCTTCAAAGAAAACGCGCTCTCCGGCTTCGGCGCCCTCAGGAGGAGAGACCAATTCAACTGGTCCAGCATGTGACTCATCGTTCTTTGGCGATGCCGCGAGGACCATAGCAGCAGATTTAATACCACGCATGGTAACGGGTTTGAGGTTGCAGACAGTAACAACCTTCCGCCCTTGCATTTCTTCCAATGGTACTAGCCCGTTTAATCCAGAGCACACAGTCCGGACTGTGAGTCCGGTAGCCTCGTCTTGCGTTGTATGCTCAGTGCCTGGTGCATCACCGCAAGCGATCGTGGAGACGTAAAGGGAATCTGCGTTTGGATGATTGATAGCACGAAGGATATGTCCGACACGAAGATCAATGAGCGAAGGTGAAAGGGGTGCTGCTGGAGCAGGTGCCTTTGGTTGCTTGGGCTTCTTCTCTTTCTTCTCCTTCTTGGGCGCACCGGCGGCTATAGCCCCGGCGACAGCTTTATCCTTCGCCACATCTACCACGGGTATATTTGCTTCATTTTTATCCGCATTCTTTCCCCGACCAACGACCAAATCCTTCTCTCCAACCCGTCCGCCTTTCTTCTCTCTCTTTTTCTTATTATTTTCATCCTTCGCCACAACGACCCTTGGTGCAGCTCTCACATCATTCACATCGATTTTAATCTTTTCTTCCTCTGGTATTTGCAAACTGAAAAGGGGTGCATTCTGCACGAGGTCAACATGCCGCACAATATGATGATATCCATCCTCCCCGGTCCTCTCCTCTGGGGACCATTTCTCCACAACCGGACCCAAGAGGGCATATAAAGCAACGTCTGCTACAGATGGTTTTGCGCCAAGGACAGTAGTACGGGAGGCGAGATGTGTATTCACGGTGATGAGGAGCGTTGAAACGCTCTCTATCTCACCCTTCTTCAAAGCTTGTGCCAACTCTGACGACCGAGACAACCATTGGTTGATTTCTGCCTTCTCAGCATCTGTGTAATCGGCCGTTGGGAATATTTTTGGGGAAATGGATTCGAGATCGGGCTCGGTAGAATTTGATGGAACGACTCGTGGGTAAGAACGGTAGAGGAGTGAAAGTAGAGAAGTCGCTGGCGCTGACGCGGTAGCCATTTTTGCAGCTTGGTTAAAGAGTGGTGTAGATCGCGCACGAGCAGTAAAGGACGACGTCGAATGAGTCACTGGCTGGAGTGATCGTGATGATAAACGACCCCGCGATATAAGTCGTTGCGGGGCTGATGCAGTCCGCAGGACGGAAGAGATGGGATTGGTAGGCTTCAGCTTGAAGGATGTGACTATTGGCTCAGGGGAAACTGAGCACCCAACTCAAGATAAAGTCTGCAATTTAAAAAAAAAGCCGACTTTTCAAACTCTCATCAGCATTTACCTTTGAACATCAAAACTTTTTAGAGAGAGAAAAAACATTGGGCAGGATTGGCCTCTACGGCGGAAGTCTTGGCAGTATGAGTCAGCCAGCCCTCGAAGCTCGAGGATGTTGGTCATCCGTTGAAATGTTTTGGCCGTGACTTTGCTTCTACGCAGCGTGTACTTATATTTTTTCTTAAAAAAAGGAAATACGGATTATTTATCTGTCTCGGAAGCTTGAATAGGATATCACAGGGGAAACCCAGCAAATAGTTCTTCCTCGCAAAGCCCACTATCAACAGCTCAAGATTGAAAGACTATTGCAGCCATAAGGCAGACTCAGGCATGGCCAGCAACATGCAACGATGGCCCTCGTAGGTCGAAGACAACAAAAATTGCCTTGAACAATACATCTCCAAAAACTTGAAGCCCACTACCGCTGTTAGATTGGACACCGCCAAAACATACTAGAGAGTTAAACCGTCAGCTAATCAAGCCAGGATCAAATGCTTTTAACCAAATCTGCTAGGGATATCTTACATTCCTCCCCAGTCTCAGTACTGAGGCCCACCTTGGAGAAGTTCATCAAATCGCCGGGTATTCTCGCGAGATGGGTATCTCCCAAGGAAACATAAAGGTCTGGAAGAGTCGCATTGCACGGGAAGATGAACCCGCCAGCTGCATATACCGATCTGGCGTTGTCAACCTGGTCGTAGTAGGCATTCACTATGTCCTCGTTGACTAACATTAACGTTGTGCCGGTATCAGCAATCGCGCTACCAACACCCTTGGTGATTCTGCGGAGTTGCTCGTCCTTGCCAACTTTGAACATTGTCGACTTGACTTCCCAAAATCCCCTAGAATTGTTTACGGGGATTGTCACCAAGTCCCCGTTAAACTTTGTTTCATCAATGGCTCCGAATTCATAAGAACCTGGGGCACCTTTCTTTAGCTGTGCAGCCAGAACAGGCTCATCCAAGTTGGCAGCAAGGTTGGTGAAAAAAGACTTCTGCTGTTGCGGTTCCACGGTGTTAAGTTCGTCGAAACCCAATCCTATCAAGCCATCGGATGCCTGGTCCAGTATGAATGAACCTGAAACGTCTGTCGGCAAGCCAACGGCTTGCTTTTGGACTGTCGCGCCGCCGATATCAACTGTGTCAATTCCAACTCGCCCAAAAGCGAAGGATGCGTCACCGTATGTGATATTGAAGGTAGCGTCCTCCAGGTCAGAAAAGGTTTTTGACTTGGCTGGGTCAAAAATTGAATGGCCTCTCTTTGCGTCTTCTGAAAGCTGAGTATTGAAGACCCAACTATGGGTATCCATTAGAAGAGACTATCTTTTTCCGGGGCATCCACACTTACGTATCTGAAGAGCCGGTATCGAGGTTCATGACGAATTTCTGGCCACCAATGGTAACGGGGGAGAGGTATTCCGCGTCATTGTTTGTAGGAGTGTTTGTCACAATTCCGGTTTCGTTCGCTTGCATTGCTTTTGAGACTGTATTCCGGTCGTTGTCGGAAGAGAATGGAGTGAAATCTTCAAAGGAATCGAAACTGATACCCGATGGGATAATCCCAAACTTGGCATATGCTTTTTTGAGAGCGCCAGGGCCGTCTGGCACGTAGTTCGGCTGACGAATTCGTTCAATTCTGACAGAACGGATTGTTTTCTTTAGGGGTGTTGGACTAGTGTGAACTTGCAAAGAGAGGAGGAGAAGCCCCAGCATCAATGACAGAAAATGCATATTTGGACTCAAGTTCATGGCGCTATCAAAGGCATGAGGGGCGGTTTTGCATAAAAGATATCAATTGAGAGAATAAAATTAAAAGGGTCCTAGGTTTGAGATACCAGTCACTGGCTTGAATGAGAAGAAAATAACGAACATCCTCTAGGAGAGAAGGAAAAATAGGAGAGAATTGCACGCTGATTGTCAACAATCAGCACTAAGAGAACGACTAAGCAACGAAAAGGAATGCAACCAGTGCACCCTACAATCCATACACGAAGAAAGAGAGAAGAAAGTGAAGCAAACTTGGGAAAGGAAGATGCCACTGAAAGCAACCCATTTTGATATAAGTGGATTCCACGGGCTCTTGACGACATCCCTGGGTAAATATTGGAAACGTTCTCTGTGGAACCCTGGGGCTGGACAAGCACGACCTGTCAGCATGAGGGCTGCCATTATCTGGATCAGATTGGCCTTGGACGGACATAACAAGGGCCTTGTTTCCAGGGTCAAGCCGCGGCGTTCACCTAATCCCACACGCGGATTGGAGAGAAAAACATCAGTGGAGATATAGCAGGTTTTGGAATCGATTTCGAGGCTGAATGAAAGAGCCACACCTTTTATCCAGGAGGCCACTACGGAGGTGCGTCTCAGAAGTCTTTACGCACGCTAGTAATTATAGCTGTATCAAAAGTACAATACCCCCCAACCAAATAACTACGGACCTACGAGTACCTTCTGATTTCAAAACAATCGCCAGCTTGAATCTCGTCTCAAATAATTTCCAATGCCTAAAAATAATTGGTTTCATCCAATTGCTATTTGCATCCAAGCTCTAGCTTTAGTCTCTTGGGGAATATCAGTTAATGAAGTCTCTACTGCTCTAGGAATTCCTGCTAGAACCCTCCAGGTGATTGAAAAATGAGCCAAAGACCGCGGCTATAAGCCTCAAGAGAACCAGTGAATTGATATTTCATTTGTTGAAGATGCAAAGCGATCAGGACGCCCTAAAGAGATAGATTCCAGTAAAGAATCTGAGATATTGGATTTGATTCGCAAGGATAGAGCTGGCTGAGAGAAATCCACTGAGATTCTTGCCTTTGAATCTGGTATATCCCAAGCTTATTCCCTTTGCAAAGGAGTGCCTTAAAGATCAACCAAGGACTCTAGTGCAAGAAGATGGAGCACCAGCACATATTCATTTTGCGCAGAGAAAGTTATATAGTTTACATGGAATAAAGCAGCTGCTTTGGCCAGGGAATTCACTGGATTTAAATGCAATTGAGCCTGCTTGGATGTGGATGAAAAGGTGTATGACTTCTTGTGGAGCTCCACGCGAAACCAAGACTGCAAGGGAGGTTTGGCTGCAAGCCTGGAATGAGCTTTTGCAAGAGAAGATTCAACAGTGGATTGAGTGAATTCCACATCACATTCAAGAGATTATACGGCTTGAGGGAGGGAATGAGTATAGAGAGGGTGGTTATAAGGGTCCTCGAGAGTATAAAGGTCAGCGTTTAAAGGGAAAGATCTCAAAACGGCAGGATCTAGGAAGGGATTGCTTAGCTAGTAGATTAGAAGCTGCAGAGACTCTAGCAGCTTTACATCTTGGAGATATGAACACTTGGGAAGATGTACAAGAGGAGAAATGAATCCCTGATCAAAGGTACAGGCTGATCCATACTAATTTGGTGGGGTTCAATGTATTTCTGGTACTAGCCTAATTACTAGCGTGCGTAAAGACTTCTGAGACACACCTCCGTACACTTCCAAGAAATCTCAATATTCGAGCACCTCCAATCGATGGATGGACGAGCCATGGGGGCTGGCGATCTTGGTTTCGAAGCATTGGCGTTCTGTTCTTGGCAACAGTCGTTTTAGGGGCGAATCATGGTGCGCTTTACCCTTCGACATAGTTTTCCTTCGGGATGCAGCGCTCGCGAGACTCGTTCGCTTCGACCTCATAGGCTGGCCACATTATCGCCGACAAACCCCTGGTGCGGCGGTACCCTGCAACCAACTATTATTATAGTCATCGTCCAGGATGCCAATGAGAGAACCTTCAAGTTATGGACGGGAAGAATATTTTCCGTCCCGGGAGCCTTGTCGCGCTGAATACGGACCCGGAATCAACAATCGTCCTCCCCTTTACACCCAGAAGACCCGGCAGACTCGCTACCGGCTTACGTGGTTCCTCCCATATCCTTAGCTGAGCTCATTCTTAAGGAACTCCGTACATTAAAGAGCAATGATCTGAGCGTGAAGGTCATGGACTTTGGAAACGGTCAGGATGACCTACTTAAGTGTCTTGTTCGGTTGCATTTCAACAATCTAACTTGGTTTTTCTTATTGAATATCTGCGGCCTTTCGTCAAGATGATCCAAAGCCTCCACCATACTCAATACCATATATATGAGCCCCTGAAATTGAGATCTGCCAAGGATCGAGCGGCATACTTGCATCGGACTGAGGGATCAAGGGGGACATATGGTCATTAGGCCGCACTGTATATACCATTTCAGAACGCTCGTCCATCAGGTTGCCAGGCTCTCGGGGACTAAGATTAACCCTCAATTTCGCTTCTAAATTTACGAAATGATATGGTACCTTTATCTTTCCCTATACATGGGGTGATGGGGACTATTCACTATTGGAAATGGCCAAACATGGAGGCCCATGACCTTCTCCGTAGCTTGCATCCTTAGATATCAAATACATTCAAGGTTTGCAGTTGCGTTTTGAACGAAATGTTGTATCTGGACGTGGTTCCGAGGACTAATTACAACGCTCCAGTTCAGGTGCGTCTCGCCTAACGCTTGATGAAGACTGGGCAGAAAGTCGAAGACGCATATCGAATTGTTCACCCAAAGATAAATCTCAGCCCTAGGAGCAGAATACGAACCTACTTATCGACTTGCTCTGCAATACGCTAAAAACCGAGTCGCAAGTCGCAGCTCGGCGCAAGAGCTCTCGCACCATCTGTGGTCTAGTATTGCGGGATTTGAGAGCTGAGAGGAGAGTCAAGGGAACCTTTATATAGCGGTGCTCCATTGCCCTTCGTTGATGCTGTCCGCCACCCGGGTCATAAGGCTGTTTCTCGACAATTTTCTGCGGATTCTAAATCATAGTATGTCAAGGCTCCCATTTTCCTAATCCTAAATACGACTAATGATAAAGCCGAATCTCCAAATGTCTCTTGTAATCCAGCATGGACCCTTTCTCCAAAAGGAATGTAATAATATCCACTCTGCGCTGAACTGTGGATGATGCTTTAATCATAGCAGAAGGTGGATACCAGGGATGGGTGATACGAACAGCGCATGCGATAGAGGCAGGATCAGTATACGAAAGGTTTAGGACGTTGATGGAGGGGAAAATAGAGAAGGTGGGCCTTGGCGTTGAAACAGCGGGACCAAGAAGGTTTATATCTCTCAGCGAAGTGGGCACCGGTCGCCTCACTAGATAGCCGCGCTTTACCGAAACAGGCAGTTTTGGACAGGCGTTTGTACTACAGGACACCCCGGAAAATCCGGGTAAACCAAATTTCCTTTTTCAGTATAGCGTCCCTATTCAGATAAAGCGTCTCGCGCTTGGCTATGGGATATAAGGAACCGTGCTTCCCGCTGCTTTTGTGCTTCTCATTGTTTTCTCCTTATTTCCATCTCTTTGTGCTTCTCTTATAGGTTTCCTCTTATTTTTGTCTCTTTGTTTTCCTCTCATTTCTCCCTCTATGTATCTCCTCTCTCCTTGCTGCTACTGGGGACTGTGACTCGCTTGTGTGCCGGGCTCCCTGGCAAGTCTGGTTGGATGTGTTTCTTTAATAGATTCGTGGAGAATCTATTGTTGGTCAAAGTATGAGATACCTGCGGCGGTAATTGTTTCATCTGCAGCCTGGAGATTAGAAAGTTTGCTTGTAACTGTTGGCTTCCTGAACCCTGCTGCATGTGGTGAACCATCTAGCCTACCTATCTACATACCGACATATGTATGTTAGGTATGCCTCACCCTCGGGCTACGAATTTCATAACCTCAGCTTACCTACATCCTGGGTTAAGAATGAAACTTCCAGCGCAGTTCAACGGAAGAGCCGGCTTGGGGGAGGGGCGGCAGTGGCAGTGGTAGTGATAGTAAGAAAAAGGAGAAGAGAAAAAGGAAAGAGAGAAGCGAGAGAGTGATAGTATGATGAGAAATAGTACATACTTTGCGGCATTTCCACTGCGAAGGTCTGAAAGAAAAGACGCACTATTGCGGGATTTTGGTTTACAGCAAATGCTATAATATACGAAGCAAGCCCTTTAAATGAATGTGCTAGGATGAGATGGAATTAGCATCCTGATTACATTCAGCAAGATGAAGTTCCCAGTGCCTGGTCTTTCAGGCTCCTTCATGAAGCTTCTAGTGGTTGCGTTGTCAACGCAACTTGTCTCGGGCAATGGAAGTTTTCATCTCAAAGTCAGCGACTGCAGCCTATTAGAAGAAGGTCTTGTATTCAAGGCAGTCAAGAGTATGAAATTAGCTGTGAGTTATCGTATCGATCTAAGCAAGCCAACTATTCTTACTAACAGTTGTAATAACATAGGCTTCTGTTGCAGAGGATCGCACAAAGAAGTTACTAGAAGTGCTTAGGAAGAATCCAGGCCCAGACGATTCGGTTAAAGGCTCTGATATCTCAAGCTTGATGTTTTTTGAAACTATGTTTGGAGAGGTGGATCCATGCGGAGGGATTCAAAGGGTGGAGGATATTTACAGTCAGTCATTCCAGTTTAGATAGTCTGACTCTTTGGCTACTAACACTGACTAGAAAGAATTGTTACGTTTCGGGAAACTCTCCAGAACCCTCAGTATAAGGTCAACATTGTATGTCGGGAAGCTTTCCTGAAGCAGGAAGAAGGCCGTAAGTTGAATTATCATCACTTACTTAACTACATTTGCAGATCAGATTGGCCTTGTCTTGTTAACTATACTGCTATCCTAGTTGATATGGATACTGAAGTCATGGACATGCGGCCCCCAGAATGGGGCGGTCAAAGGTTAAACTTTGTTGAGTCTAAGGACCAGTTGTTCCCATGTAAGAGTGGGGAGACACAGGCCTGGTCCTCAACAAAGTATGACATGGAACCAGAGCTCGTAGACCTTACAGTTCTATGTGATCAAGTTTTGAAGTCTTCGAATTGGAACGAATACAATTCTGTGCCGTACGAGACTTTACGAAAAAAGGAGTTTGAACCCGATTCCAGAAAAATCGATGATATTGATGATTACAATCTTGCAACTATATTGACCCATGAATTCTCACACTCAGGCTCAATATACGATTGTGACCCTACGGGTATGTACGGCACGTAAGAGTACGCTTAGCATTTATCTAATCTGAGAATATTAGAGGATCACGATCTCAACGGAGAACTATGCTATGGGTGGAATCTTGTCACTCAGCTTGCCCAGAAGGACCCAGTCGCGGCGTCTAGAAATGCTGGTAAGTTGGACTGCCATCTGGCTGATGAAACTTAAAGCTGGAAGAGACTCAGCGCGCTAATGTGATTCCAACAGACACCTTTGCAATTTTCCTCCTCGGCAAGTATTCCCGCACCAAACCTAGTCTTGAATTTGGGTGTCTTCCGCCTATGGCTCTGGCTAACAGTATTGGATCTTTATAGGAATGACGCTTGACAAGAATGACTGGTCAACGGGAAGCAGTAAACCCGTACCTCCCGACTTTCCTGGGCCGATCAGCCGCCTTACTTGGAATAATGGGAAGTGGCAGAAGTAGAGGTTGGCCAGCAGCCCTCGGCGGAAGACAATATCTATAGTTCCTGTGGTAGTTATCCTTCATGTCTGGGCAGGCAATTAACATCCACGCTCTGCAGTTGAAGGAACCAACAAAGTCCTCTAGTAGGGATTTCGCAGAGGCCTTAACCTTCCTCGGATACAAGTTGTTCTGTCCCACGCCCTGTTATCGCTGGCCACCCGAGATCACAATATCTCAGTTATCTTTTACCCAAGTGATCTAGTTATGTTCCTCGTTAGTTAGCCAATGGATGCTGTTGAGATTCCCGACTCTTTCATGTCCGTCATTATTCTAATCCTAGATATTCGTGACACCTACACACTCCTCTGCCTTCTAACCAACACAACCATTACGATGCCCTTCATCCTCCTACCCGACAGAATCAGCTATACAGACGGGGCATTTGCTTCACCGTTCCTTCTTGCGATGCTAAAGCTGCGGCGACGAAGCATTACATATATGTAATTTACTATACCCACTTGAACAGCTGTTGGTGAGTTTTGTCATGGCTACAATCGACGAAAGCGATGAACCTGTTGGTCGGCTTGGAGGGCATCACCGAGAGCGTAGCATTGACTACTGGAAAAATTTGGGGCAGTTGTCTTATAGTTGAAAGCTTGGGCTAGCTGTGACACATTGCTCAATTTGAAATATTTTCTTGACTCTCATGGCGAAGAAAGAAGCACTGATTCTACACCTCTGTACGGAGTATGACTGTAAGGTATGTTGCAAGGTCTTTTAAGTTCCCATAATTTTTCTCGCATGTCACATGTATAGGTGATGAATATTTGAGATGAGCTGCTCTAAAGATTATGAAAGCAGTGAATCAGGAACAAGTGAAGGCCACATAAAATATTACTGCCAAAGGCCACTGCAAGTGGCATCAGATTAGGTGTAACTTCGAGTCACTCCGTACGGGGGTATATATGTACGGATAACCCGCCATTCCTCCGTCGGTAAGATTCGGAACCACCAACTCCTACAACTCAAGCGCCGAGATGCAACTCCGCAACGTAGTTATGGAGATCGTATACCAACATTGCACCCATTCTATTAAATCCCAGAGATATCATCGCCAGGGATTTTGTGGCCATGGTCCTCTGTTCGAATTACTGAGAACTGAATATGATGTTAGGGCAGAACCGCAGAGAATCTCTGCATATAAGCAGTACAAAGCCCTCGGTACAAAACATGGAGCGACGAACCGCTCGGTAGCCGCTCAACCCTCGAATGCTGTCAAGCACGCAGTAGGGAAGAAACGACGCTTACACCACTACAGCCAAATCCCTGATTTTAGCCCACGTTGCAGGGCGATGATAGGATAGCCTCCCTATCAGCGGTTCATAGCGCACCTTTCAGCTATGTTTTGGCCCCATTGTCCTTGTAGTGATACAGCCGAAGAGGGCTCTATTTTTAACATCGTTGGCTCAGCCATCCCACAAGATAATCGCGACATGAGGTTGTCGACGCGATCAAATTTGTTATCCAGTTATGCTGCCCGGATCCTACATGAAGCCATCGAACAATATCTTGTTCTGGCATCTCCACCATGTCCACTTCACCGGACATCACAGATTATGTGAATCGCGGACCTCTGACCACAACATTCACCCCACCGACAACATGCTTCCAGACAGCATCCAGGGTAGTTATGGTCTTGGGCACCAGCACAGGCACAACGACCTACTATGGACACTGGTTTAAAGGTGATACGGCATGTTATCCTACAGGGACGATGCCCGCGAGTCTGCTCCAAGAGCCTACATTCTGGGGAACTTATTTGTGTGAGTTTTTGTGAGCTAGTTAGTCGCAAAATGTCAACTACAGAAGCTCATGTGTTGGTGGTAGATTCTCCAGGGCTGCATTGTCCCAGAGGTTGGTCCACTGCAGGACAAATAACCGGATCGTGGCAGGATCTAGATGTAACCGGCAGCACCAGCGGTGCCATCTGTTGCCTATCGTAAGTTTCACTTCCTCGCGCATCCAAGTTTCCGAACCGATCTCGTCTTCCACAGGGCTCTGAGCTACTACGCCAAAAACCATCAATGCAGACGTATTCTCTCCGAGTCTGCCACCCTCACATTTTCCCATGCCGGCGTGGTGAAGACGACTGTGCTGGATACTACTCTCAGCGTCTATGCGGACGGAATCCCGCTGATCTGGGAGTCGTCGGACCGTCTATCCATAGCAGAGCCGACGCCACCACATGGCGCAACAACACAACGCACAGCATCCCAGCCAACCTCCACAACATCAGACAGCAGCCTACCCAGCAGAGGTGGGCTCTCGCAAGGAGCCAAGATCGGTATCGGAGTTGGCGTGTCCGGGACAGTGATCCTCATTGCCGCCGTGATCTTCTTCCTCTTTTTACGTCGGGCATATCGAAAGACGATGCCAATGGAAATGCCAGTGCCAGTGCCCATGTCGCAGTACAAAGTACCTACAGAGCTTCCTTTGCAAGAGCGAAAGGCAGAACTCTCAGCAATAAACAACTCTCACCATCACACGCCATATTCACGAAACAAAAGTCCCTCTGAACTGCCTTCAGATTCTCTGAATAATCCATCTAGTCTGTCTACAGAGTAGTTATCCTGGATTTCCATGAAAAAGGGAAATATTCTTTCATATTTCAATGTGTTGCACCATCGCTGTACTCGTAGATAGATATTAATTAATTGACTTAAGGGGGCGAAATCACAACAGCCTTTAGCATTCGAGGATACCACTTGTTTTGGGACTTCCATCCAATCACAAGGAGATGGCTAAAATTAGTTAACTGTTATTCATGTTGACAGCATTTAAAAATCGAGCTATCTTTTTAGGGCATCAGCTTCATCGCTAAATAACCACATGCTAAGCTGTCGTTCTGCTCAGTCAATTTGAGTGAGGCCGCCCTGAAGGTTATAGCTACATGGTTGCAAGCCCCTGAACCAGAATTAAAATCAGGAACATCAGGACTCCAACCATGGAGCCATGAATGCGCAAAACTGTTCCTTTCTAATACCAGAATAGTTATTTACAGAATATCCGAATCCACTATCCACAAAAGATGCCCAGAATGTCTCCTTGCATTCAAGCCTTTACAAGTGCAGCAATTAAGACTACGACCCTTTCTGATTCTGTAAAAAGTAATTTTGATAGTACCAACTCTACCATCCTATGATGTTGAGCAGAGGGAGTGATCATGCTAAATATTGTTGGGCTGTTTGCGGATGTAAGGTTCAGCACTTGTTGATTGTCCAGGATGTCTCCTGTATCTCTCAGGCCATCAACAGGAAGGACAAAGGCCTCCGAGTATGCTCCTTGGCACCAGAATCCATGATTCACTCGTTAACTTATACTCGACAATGTAATTCTATGTACATACATATTTATTGGTCAGTCGTTATCGGTGTGTTGGGATTTCACATCATATGCAACAAAATATTATAGAATCTTGCAAAGGGGATCCACCATTCAAACTCCAATAAATGCGAAAGGGATATCGTAGAGTCATTAGGTAGAAATATAGACGTTACACGGCATCTGTTTCAGGGAGTACTTCGTCGGGATCCTCACCCACTTGTCGACTTATTGTTCTCACGACCTTTCTTAAGGCCATAGATGCGGGGCTTTCAGGATACCGGTCCATAAAATTTTCTCCATAATCACACGCCATACCAACCCGAGGGTCTAAAGGGACAGAACCTAGGAAAGGGATTCCCATGTCGGCTGCGAGTCTGCCGCCACCACCCGTCGTGGGCTTGAAGATTTGCGATTCATGAGTGCACTTTGGACAGACAAACCCAGACATATTTTCCACCAATCCTAATATCCTTATACCAGCTTTCCGGCAGAAATCGATCTCCTTCCGGACATCGAGAAGGGAGACTTCTTGTGGAGTAGTGACCAGAACAGCACCATCGACCCCGGACTCTTTGAGGAATGAGTTGACTGAGAGATGTTCATCCGAGGTGCCTGGAGGAGTATCGACTATTAAATAATCCAACTCCCCCCACTCAACATCCTTCAGAAACTGTTTGATCAACCCGTTTTTCTTCGGTCCCCGCCAAATCACAGCGTCGTCTCGGTTTGGCAGCATAAATTGGACACTCATCACCGCAAGGTTATCTGACACCCAAACGGGGTTCCATCCAGCATTGCTCACATGAATGGTCTCCGTCTCGACATCCATCATTTTCGGTATCGAAGGTCCACAGATATCCGTGTCCATCACACCGACGGTGGAGTCTGGATTGGATGCAAAGGCGTTGGCAAGGAGGGACGTGAAAGTAGACTTTCCAACTCCACCTTTACCGGAAAGCACAAGAATCTTGTGCCGTATCGAGGAAAGACGAGCGGTTATGATGGGTATGTCTGGATCGGGGCCTTTTGGAGCTGAGGCACAAATCGATTGGTTTGGGCAGCCGGCGCACGCATCGCCTTTGCCAGCTTGTTCCGATTCTGGACCCGGGCAGTGCTCTAAAAATTTAGGATTAGCACAATGTCACTATTGACAGTTTATCTGGGCGTTTTGGTTATTAATCACGTACCGGGCTCGGGAGCGACGAGTTTCGGCGCCGCTTTCGATGCCGCGCCAAGGGCAACGGTTGGCTCTTCGAACGAAGGAGCCATTTGTTTTGAATGATATGAAAAGTTAAGTAAATTCAAAATAAGGAGATGAGTTATTCCAGCCCTGAACTCCGGGTATCACGGTTCCAAAGTGGCTCCAATATCCCAGCAACGCGATGAGGGCCAAATATCTTTCGCAGTGGCGACTCTCGGGCGGCGGATTTGTCATGGAGCCCCGCTAACTTTAGAACGCCGCGGCTGCTGACAAGCTTTTTGAGCTCGTTAAGCTTATCCGTGTCCTCCATCCAAGGGCGAGCAGCGCATTGGCTTTCGATACAAATTGTAAGCTGGGCTATATAACTACACTCTGATGCAAAACTAGGATCATTACCTGCTTCTACTCTGTACTGTACTTCACCTACTGGGCTTGTAGTAAACGTTCGGTTTGGTGGTAAAGAAAAATGGGGAATTATAATTTTCTCAAGACCTGCCGGTGTTTTATGCAAATTACTTGTGTCCGAGAAAGAGGCAAGATCTCGAGGATTTATTTAGTTAGCTACGGAATACTGCGTACATCCGCAAATCTTGACTATTTTCATTATTGCACTGCTCGCAACTTGGTACCAGGTCCTGCACAGACCATGGCCGCCGCAACGTTCTTCGCCCCAGACCCACATGGAGATGCAACCATCGAAGGTCCGTGTGGACATATCGAGTGACAATCCCTTTAACGAAAAGGCACAATTGGCAACTAATGATGTGCGCTGGCTACGGAGTACATATACCGGAGGATGGCTTTGATCGCCGCCCTTCTGTGAAAGGATTTTTCACCATGAAACACCGGGATATTTGATGCCCCTGGAAGTCGGCAACTATTATGGAGTACGGAGTAGTCGATCATCAAATTTTGGTTCTTAGTCGCGTGCTGTCATCATCGAATGTATAATGTCAAGTTTTGTTCCATATCAGCACATCACTTAGGTGGAACACGCTTTCAGTATGTTCCGGCGTGTTGAGTTAACTCGGGAGGTTCCCGCTCTCGAATCTCTCGGTCCACTGGAATGACTCGACGGCCGAACCCGGAGCCTATTACCACATCGGCACGGAACATCGATATATGGGAAGAAATGCTGTTCATCGTGCCTGACTCCATCCGTTTTGCAAGGATAGAAAGCCGATCGGATAACCAGGGCTGGTCCGTGTTACCGTATTCGAGGGGTGGTTGCACCTCAGTAACAGTTATTAAGGGCCTCTAATAACCGTTAAACTCAATTAGGCGGTGCTTTATGCACGGCATCTGTAGCGTGTATTGAATTTATTTGCGCTCTGCTGTCCCATCTTCGGCTTGTGGCGATGGTGTGGGCAGCTTGACGATATCAAGGATGGAGTTGTGATGGCGGGGGCCGTCCTTGGATGATGACTCGCACATGCTTTTGCCAAGAGTCGATGTCAATTTCCTCATTTCGCTTGGTCAAGGCGGATTTGGACAGACAGCATCTGTCCGGAGAACGGAGTCCACGCTGGCCAATTAGTGTGATACCTCAGTTCTAATCATAGTAATTGGCTGGTTCCTGGATAACAGCTTGGGTGCAAGGTACGTGCTCGACATCCTCCTCCGTTCAACTCCTGCCCTAATCCCTGCGTTGGTACAGAATCGACCTCCCAAGTCAATTCAACTTGACAAGCCTCTCCAGCAACTCCTTCCGGCTTCCTTCTGCGGCTTAACCCGCATCCGCATCGTGATAATTAGGGCATTGCAATGGCTGAGGCCCCAGCTGTGCCCATGGGCGGTGCGGGTCTCCGTGAGAGGAAAATACAAGCTTCCCGGACCCAGGAACCTTCACCACCCGCGGACTCTTTGATGAGCAAAATGCGGACAGACGAGTCAAGTAAGATAGAATCGGAAAAGAAAACATTCGGTAGGACGCCGGATGGCACTGGTAAGTCTTCTGCTCTCCCTGTGAGCCGACGGGCCGCCAGAACAGCGCCAGCGTATTCAGCCGTATCATTTGCAGGTCTTTGGGTTCAGTAGACCAAGGCTGGACTAGTCCTCCAGTATTTTGATGAGGCAACGTTTAGAACCACAGAACTAATATCATGCTGGTAGTATTTACGGTACCTCATACTCGTGATATGGTCTCTCAATTGCTCTCCCCGTCAGAACCGAAGAATCTATCCGATATTCTTGTCCTCACAATATTGGCTCTTCATATCTTATTGCTTCGGTCCCTACCAGCGTCAATTCGCATACCCGTTTTTGCAGTTATCTTCCTATCCTGGAGAGCGGCCTATAATATCGGAATAGGGTGGCTATTACATATGCAATCGAATCACCGGACCCTCGTACTTTGGGCACGGAAACTACGATTGTTCGTTGATCCAGCAACTGGACAAAACCCACACCCCTTTCTATATCGCTTTATCAAACGAGAGCTTGAAACTAAAATCCCCGAGGACTACACCTTTGAAAGTGCTCCCATTGAATATAATACGTGGTTGGTTTTTAGGCGGGTGGTAGATTTGATCCTGATGTGCGACTTCACTTCCTACTGCCTGTTTGCCGTTGCTTGCGGAAGTCGTCCGATTGGAGAAGGCCTGTTTGTTATGATGCTCCGGTGGCTTGCGGGGACGAGTCTGGTCTTGTTCAATCTTTGGGTTAAGCTAGACGCGCATCGCGTGGTCAAAGACTTCGCTTGGTACTGGGGCGACTTTTTCTATCTTATCGATCAGGACTTGACCTTTGATGGCGTTTTCGAGATGGCACCACACCCGATGTATTCGGTCGGGTACGCTGGATACTACGGAATTTCGTTGATGGCCGCGAGCTATAAGGTCCTCTTTATTTCGATTCTCGCGCATGCCGCCCAATTTGCTTTTCTCGTGCTTGTTGAAAACCCGCATATCGAAAAGACATATAATGCACCTCCTCCAAGAAAGCGAGTGGTTGATCATGACACAGCTCTACATGAAGACGTCGGTTCTCGTTCCAACTCTTTTAACAGCGACACCACTCCTCCACTTCCCGTCCCGTCCACCACTCAGCCTCGATCAACCCATGCCCTTGTTGGCAGCATGGACGTCCACCGGGTTACAGATGTATCCGTACTTTTGATTCACCTGCTCTTCTTCGCCCTGACAATCATCACACCCTCAACTCCAGCATACCAGTTTTTTTTTGTTTTGAACGCAGCCGTCTGGAGGATATGGTACTCCGCTGGAATTGGGTACATATTGGATCGTCAATCGACACGGAAATCTTGGACACGTCACTTTGTCAAATTTGGAGAAGGCCAGGATGAGGCATGGAGACAATGGAAAGGCATCTATCATCTAAGCATGACGACTTGCTACGCCAGTTTTATTGCCGCAGCGTGGAAGATGTATACGTTACCACAGGACTGGGGTTATGGATTGGCGATCTTGAGACACGTCCTCGGCGCTAGCTTGATTGCCTTGCAGATATGGACGTCCATGAGCATATACGAGTCTCTGGGAGAGTTTGGCTGGTTTTTTGGGGACTTTTTCTATGATGAATCCCCTAAATTGACTTACAGCGGCATTTACCGATTCTTAAATAACCCCGAACGTGTTCTCGGTCTGGCGGGTGTGTGGGGCGCCGTTTTGATAACAAATAGTAGGGCAATGATTTTCCTTGCACTCCTGAGCCATACGCTAAGCATCGCATTCATTCAATTGGTCGAACGTCCGCATATGCAAAAACTCTATGGACGAAGTTTGCGACGTGATGCTGGGTTGGTCAAGAGTATCAAACGGTCTTTACCGAATTCTCTGAAGCAATTTCAGGGTAGCGTTGACAAGATTCTCGACGAATCCATCGAGTTCGTTGAAGAGGTCATTGACACCGCTCGACCCAAACTTGCTGCTGGTGTGAACACCTTTGTGAAGGATACCACGGCACTTCTCCACAAATACCCAGCTCGGATTACGATTACACGTCTGGAACCAGATCTTGCTGGCTATGAGATGAAGGACTACTCTCTGACTGTTGAGGGCACACAGCTGGCTCAGTTTGATAAGTCAACCGATGCAACAAACAACAAATCTCGGAATTCTAGACGCAGTGAGGACCTAGTTCTTGAATATGGTGCGCCGATCAAAGTGAAGTGGACTGCTCCTTTGAACCATAGCAAAAAGGACTGGATCGGGTTGTATATGGTTACCCATAACTCCTCTCGCGAGATTACAAAGGTCTCATCCCAGGGTCGGTGGATCGCTACTAACGAAGGCGCTTTCGATTCCTTAACCAGTGAAGTTGGGCTCAAAAGCAGCGACGTCATTATCAAATATGCGGGAAATGACAATGATAAAACTCGAGAGGTTGCCTCAGGAGAAATTATTTTCTCTGGGGAGAAGCTATGGTGGAACCAGGGAGTGTTTGAATTCAGATATCATCACAACGGAAAGCACAATGTCATGGCGATATCCCGACCATTCGAAATCCGCATCGCAAAATTCGATGAAAATGAGATTCCACTGGACAATTATGCCGTTGTAAGGCCAGCAATTGAAGGGGCACTACTACCAATCATCCAGAATTGTTTGGATCGGGACCCAGACATAGCGCCGCAGAATGCTGAGGAAGCTTTTGGGTCTCAAGTCGATCGGGATAGCAAATACACAAAGAGGGTGGTTTTTGCTGTCCAGCACATGTCAGTTACCATACTTGTCCCACCCTTTGAAGCAACGTCAGACACTGCTGGGCTTAACTGACATCCGTAACTCATAGGTTTGGTATCGAGTTTGCGCCTGAGGTTGTGAGCGCGGATGGTAATGTTCGGAATTTGGCCTGGAGAATATGCAATGCGAAAAAGGTTCTTGTAAGTATTCTCCTCACTTGTGACAAGCTTGATATGACCTTCTCTTTGCGCTTTCTTCTAACACATTGTTTAGGCACCGTATAGCATGTCCTGCGCAAGCGGCGCGACCACTCCAGTCCAGGAGGACTAGCTAACCTTGCCATTCGTGTATATTTCCTCATACGCTTTCATCCGACGGTCCGAACCCTCGAGGTGCTCGCCCCAAAGCAGTCATTACCGTCTACTATACCTCTGCCCATGGAATCCTTTGCTAAAAATCTAACATTTGGTGACCACCTCCTTTAGAGAAATGGTTTGAAAATATTCAATCCTTAATAATGTTTTATGTTGCATTCGCTTCTGGGTGAATTTACGACATTATGGAACAAAAACTAAAATTATTTGCAGGGCTTGTTCTCCCACATTGTTTTGGATTACTAGTTTATAGGCATACAGGAGTGGAATGTGTTGAGTTCGTATGATTAACGGGATGTGGGGATGTCTGTCTCATGGTTAGAGGAAAAGAGACTCATGCAAGTCGATTCTTATTTGAATTGGCTATTTACACTTGATATTCTGTATAAATTTTACATGGATATGATTAGGGTAAATAATATAATAGTTGAATGAACTACCAAATTGCCTTAGAAACAAGTAGAAATGTGAATTGCTCATGCTCTTGATAAGTTCGAACGTAAGTAGATTAATTATCTTGTAGCAAAACGCTGATATATTTAGATAACATATTTCTGCATCCATTACAGCCCTCAGGTTGTTGTGCAGGGTGAATGTGGCTGACTACCCGGTACCTACTTGAAGTTCTTCAAGTTAGCTCACGGATCCAAGGTGATACTCTTCGAAAAAAAAAAAAAAAACACAAGTCCACAACGAAGTCAAGTGCTATGCATATCAGGATCGTTACTTTGGTATTTTGTTTTCTTCAATGATGTTGCAGAAGCAGAACTGAAAAAAATAGATTCTCATCATGAAAATAGCACTTGAAAGGTGGAAACGCAAGCAGAAATATATACCTGGAAAAGCTACTTTGCCAACAGTCGGTGTTGGCAGCTCAAAGATAGGGATATTACAAGCCTATTAACTCTTGAGTTAGCTTCAACTCCGACGGCTCAAAGCGTAAAACAGAGGGTGAATGGATACACAAGTCAGATGGTAGTGCATGTTCTGTTGGATCATGGTGTATCTCCAAAAAAGAACTTTTGGTTAAATTTCCTCATGACAAGATGGAAATGAAAGGAGCAGACAGCAGCCATACATACCTGATACTATATGCTTTGCCATGGAATTTTTATCTCATCTCAAAACTGAATATCGAACCTTTTTTCTTTTTGTGTGAAAATGGGAAAGACGAAGTTCAAACCTTCAAATTTTAACTGCTAACGGAAAAATGATATTCCATCCAAGGAAAGCGCAGCAGCTGACAAACAGTGCAAACATGGAGCTTATCGTCAACCGCTAATAGCGCAATTTGCAGTTCGCAACATCAAACAGCGCTGGAGGCAGCTCAATTCTATGCAGCAAGCGCTTACACAATGACAGATAAGAGAAGAATAAATGGACCTCCTGGAGGTACTCAGCCTCCCGTTTTTTTGTCCCCATTATCAGCTGAGAATCAAAAATCAATAGCTGAGAGGCCCATCCGCTCACGGAAGGCTGCTGAGCTCAGAAAAATATGTAAGTTTCAAGCGGATGGATAAGTTTTATGTTTATTGCGCTGATGCATTTGGTTGGAAGTTCTGAAAAGTGGTGTTATCCCTTCGGCGTCAGGATCCGCATATCTGGAGCTGCAGCCCTCCAATGATCCCGCATACAAGTCCAGAACCCTCATCCCACCCTCTTCGTCTCTGAAGCTCGTATGTACGGTCCACGGCCCTAGGCCTCTTCCACGTTCTGCACCATTCTCTCCCAACCTTCTTTTGTCAACCCACGTTAAATTTGCACCGTTCGCTGGTAGAAGACGGAGGGGTTATATACGCGACATGTATGAGAGAGATTTAGCGGTCCACCTTGAAACCGCCCTTGGGGGAATGATTATTGGAGATCGATGGCCCAAGAGCGGTCTGGATGTGACCGTAAACATTTTGGAGGGAGAAGATGATCGATGGTGGGGCGATTCACTCTCCTCTGGGCCACTGGGTGGAGTTGACGGTTGGGGATCAATGAACGTTCTTGCAAGCTGTATAACAGTTGCTTCAGCGGCAATCGTCGATGCTAGGATTGATTGCTTGGATTTGCTCGCCGGAGGTGTGGCTGCTATTGTGGAAGAGAAAGATCGCATGAGCCAGGATACCAACTCGAAGGAACAAGGGAGATATTTGGTGCTGGACCCCGACCCGTCTGAACATAGGGACATTGCATCCCTTTGCATAGTCGGATACATGCCATCTCGGGACGAAATAACTGAGGTTTGGCTTAAAGGAGACGTGTCTGGTGTTGGTTACGACTCCCTTATGGATGGTGCTGTCGAAGCTGCTCGAGCTGCGCAGGCTATTGTTTTAGAAGCAGCAAAAGAGTCAGCACAACGATTTGCTAATTTACCAACGAAAAACCTTTTGGATGATAATGAGGATCAAAATATGCAGTTATGAAATGAATGCACACCACCTTCGCAGGCCCGAATCGTTCACAACCTTGATAATACTATTACAGCATGTCTCTGCTATCTTCTTAGTACAGCAACATGTTGGCCCTTTCTGTTGTTTTCTACATTCTTACTTGGCTTATTTTGGTATTAAGTAGTCCTCAGTTGTTAGGTTCTGCTCTTCGCCAATCTGCAGCCGTGAGTGAGACATACCAATGTAATGCTGATATTGCACACAAGTACAATGTCAGTTTCTCCGCTTGTCATCTGATTTCCTTTTGAACCCATTGGCTTCTTTGACATAGGTATTGTTATCTCAACCGCCACCCTCTTACCTTTGTACCATGATGGGTTCAAACCTTTTTTTTTCTTTTTTTTTTTTTTCAATTCAACCAACTTCCTCTATGTAAAGACCTTATTTCTACCATTTATATCCTTGGAAAGTTGGTCTGATCATAATTGGAATTTTGTTCAAGCATTGCATCAAGAAGTGAGAAACACAGCTTGAGGTATGCCTTCAAAACTACAGCTTGATGTGAACCTATGGTTCCTGTACATCTGTCTACAAAAGTCCGATTACAAGACTGTGAGTCTGCTCCACCCCCATAGCAGTATCTCCAGTAATGGATATGAATGTAAACGCCGTCAAAGTTGATATACCAATTGTCCATATGAGGCTTGATTGGACAACTGGGGACTAACACAGTCAATTTTTAGATCGACTTCAGTGCCGTCGGCCAAGCAGCAAATATAAACCCGCCTGCGGCGCGAATGCGATTCACCCGCTTGAAAAAAGCAATAGAAAGCGGCGCGTTAAACAGTTCCACAGGAACATCCCTCGTGGTGGAAGGTGCCGGCAGCATGCCACTGTCTATCGGCAATAGGAAAGGGAAAGCCCAACCAAATGCAGCCAAACGCGCCAAGGCTACTACGAAATCGAAAGCAGACAGTAAGGCAAAGAGTGATGCTCCCAAGCCCGGAGCAGGATCCTCGCGTCCTGGAGCCATGGACCCGGTGGTTAAGATGGAGACTGACGATGTCAGAGATTACGGTATAAGGGATAAAAACAGCGTGAACATTGCCTCGAATGAGGACGACGATGAAGATGATATCCCCCTTGCAGTAAAGCGAAGGGCGGAATTAGCTAGGAAGCGATATGGGGCTGTAGATGGCGCGGCTCACGAGAAGAAACGCAGAAAGATCGACTTCGAAAACCAGAACTTAGTTTCAACCGTCCCCATTGGATTTCCCTCATCCGAAGGGCGGACTTGTTTAAACAGCATGACTGGTGGCGAGCTGGGATCCTCGGGGATTGCGCAAGCAAGTTGCTTCACTGGGGCCGATTGGGTTGGCTATATCCCCCAACTGCAGGAAGGAGTACAGCAATCGAGCTTTGCAAATATGCAGCCCCGATTGACGACAAGCTCGCCGCTACGGGCATGGAGAGAAGGCGTTCGGTTGTCAAATCCATACCAACAATACCCGGCTAGCCCTGAAGGAAACGGCAGCCCGACCCAGCTTCTTCCAAACATGGACTCTTTTGAAGTGGCTGCATCCTCACAAATTACTTGCCCAAGCACCAGTACTATGTCCCAGGCCAGGGACTCCCACATCGACACAATCTCGCTCTCGTCAACATCATCCTTAACATCGCCTGTGATAGAACCAGCCGCCTCTCAGGTTGCATCGTTGCAACAAATGGATACCCTCTGTAACCGATACCCAGGATTCCAAGAAACCACGGACAAGAAATGGAGCTGGAGACAATATCGACTCCCACATATAGTTGTCACTGATATGGACCCTCACTCACCTCGCAATTGGCTAAACCCCGGCAGCCTCGTGGCGATCGGAAAGGCAGAAAAGGCAGTGAACAATGCATTGTTTGGGCCGGGCTCTCCTGCATTTGGACGAAAGCTCCCTTTATCCCGCATGCAGGAAGCAGAAGCTGAGGGGAAGGGGAAAGATCCCAAGCAATAATTGGAAGTTCCCTGGGTCCCATTGGCGGAGAACCCACGAGAGTAGAGCAAGGCATGGCTTGCTCTTGATTTTGGGCTACGTTCAGAATTCGGCTCTTCCGGATTGCTGACTCGCCACATATGCTGTTAGTATTGGAGCGAAAGTGCGATTGCTATGCATGAAGTATAATCGGCCTGCCGCTGTTGCATATCACCGTGGCGCATGCTATTGGGTATACTGTTGGACGAGAACCAAAGTCACTGCAAGTTTGTATGTATGGAAGGACTATTGCACGAGGCCGCACATCTTCCTCTGTAGAGCATTAGTCAATGATAAAAAGTCCCTTTCACCGTGAGGAATTCCTCCTGATCAGCCGCCATCCACGGTCTGCTTCTGATACTTTACAATTGTACAAGTGCCAACTTGGGGTTAATATTGCCCGAAGCGGGAAGTCAGGTGAGTCGAGGGAGACCTTCAACCTCATCTTCTGCGTTGGGTTTCTTCAGACTCGTGTGGCCCGCCCGTGCGGCCAATCGCGGCTGAAATTGACCGTCTATCAGCAAACGCAGAGTCGGGACACACTTGCTCTTCCGTTTTACATCCCTTCGACGCCTGACTTGACGAGTGATGAATGACCGCGCGGAGTGGAGGAGCAGTGGTAAGTGAGTTTGGCATTTCCATGGATCGATCTTAGGCTAAAATATTCCGTTTGATGAAAAGACTTTCCTCTGTACGAACCCCGAGTTCTAGATCGAAATGTCGTGGCGTTGAAGAGATGTGAGCACAGAGGCCATTGCGTCCTTCGAGGGCGTAGTTCATGGGACAAAGCGGGAAGCCACCGCAGAAAGGATTCCCTTGGCTTTGAGCAAATCACATGTCGAGTTGAGACGAAAAACGTGTTTCCTTCAGCCCGAAGCGATGGGTTTGTTCATGGCCCTAAAACAAGACGCGAACGCCTTGGGTCGGGGCCCAGCGGCCGCATACGATCCAATCAGATCCCCGGCAGGGAAACCCCTGTTCAAAACGAGGATGGATTTAGCAGTCCTAACACGGAAGTGTTCTAGCGGGTCTCCACAGCAAGGAGTGCGCGGGCAGCTTTGAGCTCGAGACCAGCAGGAAAGTTCGAATAAGCCGTTGGAAAAATGCCCCAGCCTGCAGCTCAAATTCCCGGTGGGTCGATTGGGGTCAAGGACACCCATGCCAGCAAGCTGGCTCCTTGCAAACCATGCCCTGCCCAAAGCTCCCCTGGCTGTCGACCAGCGCGAGGGCATTTGAGGTTACCACTTGAAATCATCCAATTGAAAGACCAAGTTGATGAATAGCCAGTTTGGCATTTTCAGGCGGCGATTTTCCCCCCTTCTTCTTGCAGATTGAGAAAAGGGTAACTGAGGAATACGGACAGTGGATCCTGCTGTCCTGCACTATCACCAAGTCGTCAACTAGCTTGACTGGCTCTCGGGGCACAGGGCGACGGGCCCTCTTTCTTTTAATTACTTCAAAGCCTCCACTCACGGCCTTCGAAAATATCGATGACAGTCTCTCCATCCTCCTTGCATGCATTGCCCCCAGGATACTTCTTACAGGTCAACTTTTTTTTGGTCATCCTTGCAGTGATCGCCAAACTCTCTTGGTCGATATTCCTTCTCGCTTTGCGTTTTTCGCAAAAGACGGACGGAGTTTGGGGGACCTTGCCTCTCCTCCCCTCCGATTGTGAGTACTCCGTACTCCGTACTCCAGATTCTTTCTCGTTGCATTGCCACTCGAGTGTCTATGTGCATAGCTTTGCACTTCCCTTTCGATAAATTTCTAAAGTTTTGGACTTCTTTTAATAACAAGAAACGATGGTAGGATTAAAGAAGTTTCTGAGTACGGAGAAGTCGCGGGATCGACTGTGCAGCGCCAATTCGGCGGAGCTTGGTTGCTGCGCATCATCTAGGGGTGAAGCCTCCCCTAAGCTTTTTTTCGGAAGTCAGCATAAAGCATGCCCTCCGCCGCTCAATATGGATAATCAATCGTTCTTGGCAATCGAGAGACAGTTTGAAGAACTGCACGATCATTTTCGTTCCAGGGCAGAAAAGCGATACCAATATATTGATCCTAAGCCGTGTCCTCTTCGAACGAAACGCCATGTCGATGTTATAGAAGCTATCTTCTCATCGCAGCGCTACCATTTATCGGCTCCGGTGTCGCCTTTGACCCTTTACAATGAGGATATTGCTGAGCGGAACCTTCATACCCCACCGACCCGTGCGCAGGATCCGTATGCTCGAGTCATATCAGCAATATACCAAGAGGACGTTGCAGACCGAAATATTTTACAAAATGGAGGCGGAGTCCGATGCCATCCCCCGCAGTATAGCCGACGGGTTCGGAAATCAAGGTCGCAATTCTATGATGGCAAAGAAGATCGTACCAAGCCACGTTCACAGTCTCCTTCAGTGAGCCGCCGACCCTTCTATGAAAGGGAGAAAGGGGGCTTGAGGACTAGTATGTCAGAACATGATCTACGAAACCATTCTTCTACAACCACTGAAAAGAGAATAAAAAGCGAGGAGGGGTTGTATGAATCAAACGGTGCCGACTTAGCAATGCCATCCGTTCCTGATGTTAGAAGCACATTTAATAACCCCGCAAGCGTCGATACTAAGCCTGCGAAAATCGCTTCCAATTTCTTGGGCGATTTGCAGAAGATGAAGGCAAATAACCAGCCGAACCAACTGGTCACTTCTTGCCAGCTGAAATCCGAGGCAAAAACACCGAGCAACAAAGATCACCGTCCACGAAATCTAATTTTCCCCAAACCATGCACCTTTTCGTCCAGGAAAAATGTCCGAGATTTGTCTATAAATATGGAATTGGCGGCTCCCCGCAAGATGTTCGTTAAAGTGGGTACTCGTCCTGTTGAGAGCTCTTCTCCAAGAAGCCAACGAAATCCTAGTATCGACGAGATTGTGAATAGTCCTATCTCAGTGACTAGTTCAAAAGCCCCGATGTTACCAAAAACTGCAAGCCGAAAGGTGGAGGAGATAATGAATATGTTCAGACAAGCATATAGTTCGTCGCAAAAGACACACTGCCATCCCACATCTGAGACCTTGGAAGACACCATTATTCGCGAAATCAATTGTCATGATGCCTTTCGCCGAATTCATTCAGACAACTCGTCTGGTATGTCAACTGAGCTATCGCCGGTTTTAATTATAGAGCATCTACACGAATCAAACAACACTGAGAATAGCCTAGGGAGGCACCAAACCAAAAATTTCTCGAGGAGAGGGCAATATCTGATGAGCTCTCGTCGCAAAGAATCATCTAAAGCTGCTGACGGCTCGGATGCTCCACGACGGGAGTTGTCGATTCCCGCCTTGAAAGAAGTTGAGTCAGATACTTCATACAACTGTGAGCTCAGAACACGTCAACGAAGACATACGTATGCCCAACCTCCTTCGAGGGTGATCCGTAACCGTGGAGTCAAAGCCGGTTTTCAGGGAACTTCCGCATCTCCCTCCCCACAACCATGCCGTTCAGGCTACTCGAATTGTAAGTCGCCAATCGAAAATCGCCCACATAGTTCCCATAGCCGGCTTTCACGCGCCGCATCAGCCGTCTCGGACGGCTCCGATACATCGAAATGGAGTATTTTTCCACAATCGCAGAATCCAAAGCCTGGAGTGATGGACAAGAGCCTTAAAATTCACGGCAACGATCCTATCATAGTTTCAGAAATCCAATTGGGCCGCACTGAGCCAAACAGGCGCTATTCGGCCCTTTCTGACGGATCTGCTTTATCCGCAGGCTCTTCGAAGTCGAAAGGCTCCTCTCACTCATCGTCGAGTTGGGTGGAGAGCGCGCCGAGCAAGATCGCCTTTCCTGTGGTATCGGGACGAGACGTTGATACTATCTCACCTGAGTAGCCTTCCGGAAGGTTCTACCTAATTCCAAGCGGTCCATTTAGCTTTCTGATCTTTGAAACCTTATACCCAAAATTCTCTTCAATTCTGCCCATTCTATAATATCCATTGATCCGCTAAGGGGCTAAATATATATATATCTCTACTTCTTTTACAGCATGCTTTAACTTGAAGATATCCATCTTTGTATATTTACTCTTGCTACAAACGCGAAGTGAAACACTTTCACCTTTTTAACCCTTTTACAAGCCTCCCGTTGTAATGCTGAGGACCTGGGTTATCATCTGTAAGTGACTCAAATGACATGCCAGAGACTTCCTGAAATACATGGCTATTTCGAAACCGGTGCGACAATTGAGAACTTCAGACCTGCCATTCGGTCCGTAATTGCTGGTGACAGTTGGAATTGATATAAAAGTAATCGAAGAGTAAAGAAGGCTCTGCATCAGAAACTTTACAGATCTCCATAACAGGGTTGCATTGCGTCCTCAAGCCTAGCTTGACTACTCTAATATAGGCGTAGGCTCCTTGTATAAACAGTTCAGGTAGGTTATATAGACATTGGAAGGACCGAGCAAGATAGCAGGCTCATACACACTAACTGCAGGTGTCCTTGATCTATTCGGTAAACGAGGGCTAACCTAGGACTGTAACGCTTCTTATCCAAAAATATGGGAAGCCGCATGGTATGACAGAACGAGAAGTCTATGAGTGATATTATCGCAATCCAGCAATTGGGGGCTTTCGCCCTTATTCTGCTAACTTACTTTGGAGGTATTTTGAATTTGAGATGTAAATTGGCCATCGATATGCTTAATATGAACCTGGAAAGGGAAAGCAGGGTCAGCGTCTTAGACTCGAATGAAGATTACTCGTGCAAGGAAATAACCGTAGTGAGAGAACTTACGTCCAAACAGACACCATTGCTCTGCTAATCGCGTGCACCTCGGGTTTGTACACTTTGTGACTCCCTTCTTGATACCAGCTGGCTGCTCAAACGGAATACACAAGCTCTTTGCACCCATACTTGGCAGTTTCGCGTCGACGGCTTCGCCCGTTTCTTCTTCAGCCTTGCGAGCACTCATTTCTTTAATTTCATCTTCGCATTGCTCTGTCAAGCAATGCGGAATCATGCAAAGATTTTTATCATTGAGGGCAGGGCAGAAGTCCTCCCAGTTGGTAATATGCTTAACATGTGAGCGGAATTCGGCGTCAGCACGGGCATAGAGGTCTGCCTGAATGGTTTCAAGGAGGGCCGGTACCGCCGTAGCTAACTCAGCGATTGGAATGGTAGATTTTCCTTCTTTTCCAGGAATGTCACGACGAGAGGTGGTTACGAAACCGCCCGAAGATTCCCCAGGACCGAATTCAAGGCGGAGAGGGATACCTTTAAGTTCCCAGTCATTGAACTTCCAGCCTGGAGAGTAGCCTTCACGCTTGTCAATTTCCACGCGAATGCCGGCTGCTTCAAGAACAGAGGCCAAGTGATCAATTTCAGCGTTGATCGACGCGCGTACGTCGTCAGGGGTTTTTGCGGTCAGCCCGACAGGAACAATGACGGTCTGGACATCTGCCACTCGCGGAGGAAGGACTAATCCGCGGTTATCACTGTGAACCATAACCATGACACCGATGGTACGGGTGGAGAGGCCCCAAGAGTTCTGCCAGACATGAAGCGGTGGCTTCTTTTCATCCGGTTTCGAGGTGGGGTCCTCGACAGTTATGCCAAACATTTTGCTAAAATTCTGTCCCAAACCGTGCGAGGTACCGCCTTGAATGCCTCGACCTGTAGCGGGGATATAACCCTCAACAGTCGTAGTGTAAAGACCGCCGGCGAACTTCTCTTTATCGGTCTTTTGACCTCGGATGACTGGAATGGCCAGGAGTTGTTCATAGACATGAGCGTAGTGCTGGAGAATCTGTAGAACCTCCTCACGGGCAGCTGCTTCGGTCAAATGCGCAGTATGGCCTTCCTGCCACAAGAATTCACGCGTGCGTAAGAAAGGCTGAGGGTTCTTAAACTCCCATCTTACAACTGAGTTCCATTGGTTTAGTTTAAGCGGCAGATCGCGATGACTTCGAATCCATTTGGCGTAGTATGGGTACATAACTGTTTCTGAAGTCGGACGAATGGCAATCTTTTTCTCTAATTCGCTACTTCCACTGCGTAGGGTTAGTATCGAATGCATGATAGATCACTTCGACCAAAGATCGGGGGAACATACGCGTGTGTAACCCAGGCTACCTCGGCTGCAAATCCTTCTATATGGTCCTTCTCCTTCTTCAAAACATCTTCGGATACGAACAACGGAAACGAGCAGTTTTTGACGCCCATCTTCTTAATCTTATCATTGAACCAGCTCTGTATCTCTTCCCAAATAAAGAATGAATGGGGCTACGTTGGCGCAAACCTGATTAGTCGTTTTTCTTAGGATTATACGCAATTGAGGGAGCGTATTTACCTTTAATACAAAACAGCCAGATACATCATAGTAGTCTAACATATCTCCTTTCAATAGTACTTGCTGGTACCATGCTGCAAAATCATCCTCCTTCGCAACATCTATTCCAATGAGAGCAGCGCCGTCGATCTTTTTCTTGGGATGCTTGGGGTTCGAGGACTTGGATTCGGACTTGCCAATCCCTTTATTAGCAGCCTTTTCCGCCTTGTCGGCAGCTTGTTTCTTCTGTTTCGCAGCCTTTTTCGCAGCATTTTTGGAGAGCTCCCCGGCTGCAGGGGCCGCGCCTCCCTGAGTAGTGGGGTCCATGGTGCAAATCGGAAGAGAGGTAGATGTCGGAGAAGCGTCAACGCCGTCTTGAGACTGCTGACTTGACATGGCAAACGGGACTAATAGCACAGATCGAAGATATCGAGCGACAGAACGTGCGGAAAGTCGAAGGAAATGAAGGGAGGGGGGAGTCATTTCGAGGGGTTCCAGAAAGCCCTTCACCGCCGGCCACGGCAGAAATTGCTTGGCACAACTGACCACCCAAAAAAGTCCCAGAAGCTCCCAGCCCAATGGAGTTTATGCAGGTACTCCACCATCAGTCAACAAGAGGGAGCTTTCATCGTTGACAGCAACCGCTTCCTTCTTCCAATTCGAACAACATGGCGGCCATCTTTGAGCAGTCTCGGAATTCCGGCACCCTCTGTACGTATTGCTTAAGCTCACAGCTACTCTTGCGTGGGGTGCCGCTAACTTGGGTGCAGTTCTTGGAGGCCAGAAACTCAGTGGACAAGATATCCGTGACCAGAATGGTTGGTAACCATGCCACCTGTATGGATGGGTGCTCTACTGACTTTGGATTATTTAGTTCTTGCAACCCAGGCTATTGCCAATGTCGTGAAGAGCTCCTTCGGCCCCTCCGGCCTCGATAAGATGTTGGTGGACGATATAGGTGTACGCTCTCCCTCCCCTCGCTTGAGTGTACAATGCTTATGAGACTAGGATGTTACTGTGACAAACGATGGAGCGACAATTCTAAGTCTGCTGGACGTGGAACACCCAGCTGGAAAGATCTTGGTGGACCTCGCTCAACAACAGGATAAGGAGGTATGTTGATCGTTTCAACATTCGACAGGAGTCCTCTGACAATAATAGGTTGGTGATGGGACGACGTCTGTCGTTCTCATTGCTGCAGAGCTCCTTCGCCGGGCAAATGAATTGATGAAAAACCGGATACACCCAACAACAATTATTACTGGATACAGGCTAGCGCTACGCGAGGCAGTGAAATATATGAACGAGAATATTAGTACAAAGGTTGATAATCTTGGCAGAGACAGCTTGATAAACATCGCGAAAACATCCATGTCAAGCAAGATCATTGGCTCTGACGCTGATTTCTTTGCCAATATGGTCGTCGATGCCATGTTATCCGTCAAGACAACAACGCCGACGAACGAAGTGAAGTACCCTGTCAAAGCTGTGAACCTGCTCAAGGCACATGGAAAGAGCGCGACAGAATCCATTCTAGTCAACGGCTATGCATTAAATTGCACCATCGCTTCCCAGGCCATGCCTACTCGCATTACTGATGCGAAAATCGCTTGTCTTGATATGAACTTGCAAAAGGAGAGAATGAAGCTTGGCGTCCACATCACTGTGGATGACCCTACGCAACTGGAGAAGATTCGCGAACGGGAATCTGGCATCGTCCTTGAGCGTGTGGAAATGATTCTAAAAGCCGGTGCTAATGTAATCCTAACGACGAAGGGTATCGACGATCTATGCCTTAAGATGTTTGTCGAGAAAGGTGCGATGGCAGTGAGAAGATGTAAAAAGGAGGATTTGCGGCGTATCGCGAAAGCCACAGGTGCCACCCTACTTAGCACTCTGTCGGATCTCAATGGTGACGAAAAGTTTGAGCCATCAAGTTTAGGACGTGCCGATGAGGTCGTCCAGGAGAGGATTTCCGACGATGAGTGCATCCTAATCAAAGGCACAAAGGCACACACTTCGGCGTCAATTATCCTTCGTGGATCAAACGATTTCCAGCTCGACGAAATGGAAAGATCGGTCCATGACTCACTTTGCGCTGTCAAGAGAACTCTTGAAAGTGGAAGTATTGTCCCTGGAGGTGGTGCTGTAGAGACGGCACTTCACATTTATCTTGAGTATTTCGCGCTCACAGTGGTATGTATCGAGTCATCGATTCTCTTGTCGATCTACTAACAATCTTCGCAGAATTCGCGAGAGCAACAGGCCATCGGCGAATTCGCCCAATCTCTACTTATCATCCCCAAAACCCTCTGTGTCAACGCGGCCAAGGATGCCATCGAACTAATTTCTCAACTTCGCCGCCGGCACGCCATCTCCCAGTCTCGTGATGAGGACAAAGCTACCGAAGAAGAAAAGGCCCTTGCGAAACGCAAGGCCTATCAGAATTATGGCCTTGATTTAATGAAGGGCAAGGTTGCCGATTCCCTTAAAGCCGGTGTCTTGGAGCCGAGCATGAGCAAGATTAAGCAATTAAAGAGTGCGGTGGAGGCATGCATTGCCATTATGAGGATTGATACCTTGATCAAGTTGGATCCCGAGCAAAAGGCTGAGGATGATGGACATGGCCATTAAAAATCTTGTTATGGTCTCTCTTTAGAAAATTATATGGGAATTATGTGGGAATCCACTGAAATGGAAAAATTACCTTGTGCCTGTCCGATTTCATCTGATCGCCTGTCCTAAAGATAGTTCTATATGTAAGGTTCATGCGTGAAAAATTAGAGACTAAATTTAATGAACGTCAGTTCTCTGTACAGAGTACTCCCTAGCCACATAGTTACAGCTTCAATTCGTAAAAATGCTTCTCACATTCGACGAAAGCATCATGATAATACATACGCTCTTATACTCCATACATGCCTAACACGCCAAAACACCATGCCTTTTTGCCTTTCTAGATTGCTGAAGCTCCTAAGTAACCCAATGCTACACCTTAGAAAAGTTCCCAAAAAAAAAAAAAAAAAAGAAAGAAAAAAAGGGTGCGTAATGGGTCAGCACTCTTCCTCATCATACTCTGGATCATTCACTTCAGCCCATCCGCAGTTCCATCGCCTCCCTCCTGCCTCGCCTCCAAGTCTCAGATCCCTTGCATCAGGGCCTTCACGCCAGCATCTGGCGTGTAAATCGTCACTTACGGTCACCAATTCGCCGTTATTTGTCCAAGAGACAGCAGAAACCTCCTTTTGGTGTCCCTCAACCAGAGGTGAGCCGTGTTGATATATGGGGATATCATGTTCCAATCGTGCGGATAGGCTGGTCCCGGAGTTTGTTCTCTGCAGGCCAATGCGTCGACCGCCGAACCCCTTTGAACCAGGCGTGGAATTTGTTGGGAGCGAGATCTCTGGGGTCGGCAAAGACTTTTTGAAATAGCGCTCGTTTGTAGGGAAGACAATGGCGCAATTATCACTGCTGCCGACAGCAAGGAGCTCCGTGTTATCGTTTTGCGCTTGGCGGAGCGCAATCTTCACAAAGAATGTAGCAACCAAAAGACGGGGATGGCGGAAACCGTAAAGTGGACCAAGCCCAGCTTTGGCCTCTTCTCCTGGGAACCGGCGGAGTGGTGGATTTGATAGGGATAGTTCGTTGGAGTTTCCGAGAATTAAATGGGGAGTTGAATAGGCATAAACAGTCCCATCTCGGCATAACGTATACAGGCGATTTCCATCACCGTTGAACACCAGAGAAGTCAAGCCGAATTGTCGGTATCGTGAATGGCTCTCTGGTTGTCTCGTAATGGCTACAGGCGTCGACATTTTTCGACGGAGGGAATAGCTAGTGCGCATATCCCAGAGTCGGACGCAGGCATTTGACTCGCAGCTCGTCACGAATAAATGTTCTCGGCCAGGATGAAGAAAAGAGATAGAGGTGACTGAGATATCTTCCCGATGGGATTGGGATTCAGACTGTCCCTTAGAACGCGGTCGCTCGGAGTGAGCCCCTCGGATATTATTAGACACTTGAGGATACTTCATTTTCGCGGTTGATATCCGCGTTGTATCATCGCCATCAGATGCAAGCGAGCAATGCAATTGCAGTGATGGTTTATCAAATGCCTTATATCGAAGGTCCCAGATGTTAATGCTTCCATCTCGACTGCAAGTAGCAACCACGTTTCCGTTAGACCCAGGCTGGAATTGCACGCGTTTGACGGACGAAGAATGTTTTGACAAGCAATAAACAGCGGTTTGGGTAGGCATGTCAATGATGTGGGAACTTTGGTCGCCCGAAGCTGTTGCTAAGAGCTTATCGTCGGACGAAAATTCTAAGTCCATGATCGAGTTCATATGTGGTTGGAAAGTTAAGAATGATTGTGAGAATCCAGCCTTATCGCCTTTGGCTGTATCTAAAATTCGGATACCCCCTTCTTCATCTCCTACAGCGACTAAAGAATTCGCTGTACGACGGTTAGCAAAACAGCAGCACTGAGGAGGGTAATGAGGAATTCGTACTGTGACAAGCTGCCGTGCAAAATGGCAATGTAGGGTGATCATCCTGCCAACATCTGTGAAGACCCTCCGGACGGCTATAGAAATTGGCTGTTTCATCCTGCCAGACTGTGGGAGAGAGAGTTAGTTGATTTCAAGGACATTGACACATCGACTCCCACAACAAACCTGTACCATAGGAAGGCGACCTGAGAGTTACCCGTGATGACCTGCTAATGGCTAGGTTGCGTAGGAGGGCTGGACTGGCAGCCTGAATGGCCTGCGATCGATGCAAAGGTATAGGCTCAGGAATTTTTTCTTCATTTGGTTCTTCTATAATGGTATTGAATGTGGATGTGGCCTCCTCTATATCCTCCTTCCTATCAATTGGATCGGTATAAATTGCTGGAACAGTTCGGACTCGTCTCAAAGGTGACGATTGCAAAGGTGGGCTTGAAGTACAGAAGGAAAGCTTTCTTTTCCTGCTTGGAGTGGATGGTTGATCTGGCAACTGCCTGGATATGGATTTGCTGTCATTTTGGAGGTTGAGAAACGCTGGCCCGTTGCGATTTAATGAGGAAGGCGGAGTTAATATATCTTTCAGGTTATTGCGGGCTGCTCTTACGCCAGACCGCGTACTGGAGCCGTGAAGGGATGATCTGGGAGTGAAGAACCTCTTGAAAGACCTTGGAGTTACTGGGGGCCGCTTTTTCGGTTTCAGGGATGGAGGGGACGCAGGGAGGGTATCTAGAGATGCATTCAAAGTAGGGGGTGAGGAGGGTATGGTATCCAGACACTCGTTCAGCTTGCTGGGCTGCTTGTCACGGAGAGCATTAGACATGTCCATTTCCACAGGTATAAAAATGTATTCCAATTATAATTTAGTTAGTAGCATTGGGAGAAGCAAGCCAGTAATGCTATAGCCTAAAGAAACAGAAACAGAAACAGAAGCAAAATGCAACGCGGAGGAGGAATTGGGTTGCGTTGGATTCATGGTTCACGTCGCGACCGAGCGAGATGCGTCTCGTACCTGAGGAGCCAACCTTTTCAATTAAGCAGAGCGTGTCGCTCGTGTGGCTTGTGGCGACGTGACGCGATTGGTGGCTCATGCACGGGGCCGCGGCTAGTCCGATTTTGGCCTTAGCGGTTTCGTGACTAAGATCTTATGTCAGCAGAAGGTTTCTGGAACGCAACGGGCGGTAAAGAGCAGCAGAAATTCTCTTTTTCTACACACGGCAGCAGGCTGGCCGAAAAGCGGGAATCTTTTGAGAGTCGGTTTCCGCCGATACACCGATAAGCCCGTTGGAAGGGAGCTATGGTGGGATAAGCAATTGTCGAAGATGAGCTCCGTTAAACGAAAGGGAAACGCGCCGGAGGACTCAAACTCTCGTCACTTAAAAAAGCGAGTCAAGGTCTCCGGCCAGGACCGCGAAAAGGATGCGAAGCGTGTGACGAAAGACTCAAGGGCCAATGGACCGACGGGCAAGAATCGCACCGATACATTGAAGGGTCAATCGGAGTCCTCCTCGAGGCCCTCCACTGTTTCCGTACTGCGCGACGAAGCTCCGGCCTTTCCTCGAGGTGGTAACAATGCTCTGACTCCGTTAGAGCGAAAGCAAATTCAGATTCAGGCCACTCGGGATGTGCTCTTTGAGCAAAAAGGTACACCGGGCGGGGAGATATTAAATGATGATTCCGAGATTGAAAAGGACGAAGATACGGCGAGAGAAGATGCTAAAGCTTCAAAGAAGAAGCAGAAGGCCAAAAAGCACAAAAAGTCAGCTGAAGCGTTAGCGAAGCCTCAGGGGCCAAAGATCGAAAGTTTAAGCTTCAAGGTATAGGCCGGAAACAAAATATAAAGCTGAGGAGAATATAACTGACCTTTTGCTTAGCGAATTGTGCCCGGTTCCAAAATTCTTGGCCAAGTCTCGAGTATCGGTACTCACAACATCTCCCTGGCACTTCCGAATAATTTAACCGGATACGTACCATGGACTGCTGTTTCAAAGATATTAAAGGGCAAGATTGAGAAACTTCTAAAGAATGGCGAAGACGACGAGAACGATGAAGATACTGACGATGACGATTTCGACCTCAAATCATATGTCCGACTCGGCCAATACCTCCGTGCGTCCGTTTCGTCAACCACTGATAACGGACATGGACTTGGCAAAGGCAAGAAGCGTATCGAGCTTTCCGTCGACCCCCAAGAGGCAAATGCTGGTCTGTCAAAATCAGACATGATTGTTGACTCCACAGTGCAAGCCTCCGTGCTAAGTGTTGAAGACTACGGCCTTATAATGGACCTAGGTTTAGAGGATGGCGAAACTAGAGGCTTCATGTCCTCTAAAGAGCTGCCTCCGAGCGTGGATCTGTCCCAAGTCAAAGAAGGAGCTGTATTCCTTTGTGTTGTTACTGGCCATAATGCTGCTGGCAATGTAATCAAACTCTCCGCTGACCTACAAAAAGCTGCATCTGCGAAGAAATCACACTACCTCAGCTCCGCCCCAACGATAAATACTTTCCTCCCCGGAACCGCCGCCGAAATTCTTTTGACGGAAGTTACTCCGAACGGTATGACTGGAAAGATCATGGGAATGCTAGATGTGGTTGTCGATGCAGTGCATTCCGGCTCAACTGATGAGACAAAGGACTTGACAAAGAAGTATCGCCCGGCCACGAAAGCGAAAGGTCGACTTATTTGCACGTATCCATCTGATGAAAACCCAAAGCTGGGTTTCTCAATTCTTGACCATGTTCTCAAATTCTCACCAACATCTGTGGCTGATCCGCAAGATAGAGATGATAAACCCGCTATTTCGGCGATAATACCGGAGGTTAAGGTGATCAAGATTGATCCCACCCTGGGTTTGTACGTGCAGCTGGGGAACACCAAACATTACGGTTTTGTCCATATATCAAGAGTGAAGGATGGGAAGGTTTCCTCATTATCGTCAGCGGAAGGACCTTTTAAAGTTGGATCGCATCATGAAGGTCGCATAATCGGGTTCAATGCTCTAGATAATCTCTTCTTATTATCCCTGGAAAAGAAAGTTATTGACCAACCATTTCTCCGCCTGGAAGACGTTACAGTTGGTGCAGTGGTAAAAGGGAAAATTGAGAAGCTTCTCATGGGGCCTGATGGCATCAATGGCCTTCTCGTTTCCCTTGCCGATGGTATAAGTGGCCTTGTTCCTGGAATGCACATGGCCGATACCAAGCTACAGCACCCGGAGAAGAAGTTCCGCGAAGGATTACAGGTAACCGCTAGAATATTGTCCGTGAATCTCGAGAAGCGACAATTGCGGTTGACGCTAAAGAAATCATTATTACATAGCGAGTCTGCAATCTGGAAGGATTATCGGGACATAGCGCCAGGAAACCAATCCCCAGGAACTTTTGTGAGTATACAAGAAAACGGCGCCGTCATTCAATTTTATGGGGCTGTTCGCGGGTTTCTTCCGGTCTCCGAGATGAGTGAAGCTTACATCAAGGATCCCTCTCAACACTTCAGCATCGGACAAGTGGTGAATGTCAATGCGTTGAGTGTTGATGCGGAGCAAGGAAGATTGGTCGTTTCTTGCAAAGATCCTTCGATAGTTACGGATGCATATAAGAGTGCATTTGAGAATGTACACCCAGGACTACTTGTTTCCGGAACTGTCTTTGAGAAGTCCAGCGATGATTTACTTCTCAAGCTTGAGGATGGTGGACTAATTGCACGCCTCAGTGCGGAACAACTCTCGGATGCGGCGCCATCCAAATCTGCTGCTAACCTTGCGCGACTCAGGGTTGGCCAGAAGCTCCACGACCTTTTGATCCTTAGCATACGCAAAACCCACCGGCTCATCCAGGTCAGCAATAAGCCAAGCTTGAAGGCTGCGCTTGAAAAAGGAACGCTGCCAGCCAAATTCGAAGACCTTAAATTAAATTCAAGCGTAACGGGTCTTGTTAGGAATATTACGGATGACGGCATATTTGTCGAGTTCTTGGGCGGGCTTACAGGCTTCCTTCCCAAGCGTCTGGTGGATGATGAACATTTAACCAAGGCGGACTTTGGATTTATGCGTACCCAGTCTATTTCTTGCTCGGTCTCTTCCATTGACCAGGATGCCCAAAGGTTTATTTTGACCATGAATCCCGTGGAAAAGGAAGAGGAGAAGCATGAACGCCGATACAAGACAAAAAATACGAATGAGTTGTCAGTTAGCAATCCCGTGGATCAAGATATCAAATCTCTCGACGATTTTAAAACCGGGAAGGTCACGAAGGCGAGGATCACCTCAGTCAAGGATACCCAGCTCAATGTGTTGTTGGCAGACAATGTCCAGGGCCGTATAGACGTATCTGAAGTGTTCGATAACTGGGAAGACATCAAGGATCGAAAACAGCCACTGAGGCTCTACAAACCCAAGCAAGTCGTTCCGGTTAAAATTCTAGGCGTTCACGATGCGCGAACCCATAAATTCTTACCAATCAGTCATCGCACAGGCAAGGTCCCTGTTTTTGAGCTCTCAGCGAAGCCAAGTTCATTAAAATCTCCGGATCTCGGCCCCATAAGTTTGGAAAAAGTTAAGGTTGGAAATTCATTCCTAGGATTTGTCAATAACATGGGCGATGATTGTCTGTGGCTCAACATCTCGCCAAGCGTGCGAGGAAAGCTTCCAATTATGGACATTTCGGACGACCTGGCTCTTGCTGGCGATATTAAAAGGACCTTTCCTATTGGATCCGCCCTCAAGGTCACGGTAGCCGCGGTAGATGTTGATAAGAATCGTCTTGACTTGACCGCTAAACATGGAGCCTCTTCGAAGAAACTTACGATATCCGACCTTTCCAAAGGCATGATTCTCCTTGGTAAAGTCACTAAAGTGACCGAGCGTCAGGTTCTCGTGCAGCTTAATGAGTCGCTTGTTGGAGCCATCGGACTACTTGACATGGCTGATGACTATTCGAAAATTAATCCCGCGAACTTTCACAAAAACGCTGTCCTTCGTGTTTGCGTTGTGGATGTCGATGTGCCAAACAAAAGGGTAGCTCTATCTGTCCGCCCATCGAAAGTGCTTAGTGCATCCCTTCCCGTTGAAGACCCTGAGATCGCGTCTATCGACCGGCTTAAAGTCAATGATATCGTCCGGGGATTCGTTCGAAGAGTTGCCGATATCGGACTATTCGTGACCCTCGGTCACAACGTGACTGCATATGTTCGTGTTTCGGACCTATCGGATTCTTATCTCAAAGAATGGCAAGACGAATTCCAAATCGATCAGATCGTGCGAGGGCGAATTACTCTGGTGGACACCGAAGCGAAGAAAGTCCAGATGACCTTGAAACAATCGGCACTAGACCCGGACTACAAGCCTCCGCTCAAGTTGAAGGACCTGAAACCAGGCCAAATAGTCACGGGGAAAGTACGAAAGGTCGAAGAGTTCGGCGCATTCGTTTCAATTGATGGAACTGCCAATCTTAGTGGCCTTTGCCATCGGAGTGAAATGGCGGAGCGAAAGGTTACGGATGCGCGGAAACTTTACGAACAAGGAGATATTGTGAAGGCCAAGATTCTCAAAATAGATTTGAAAAAGGATCAAATATCGTTGGGATTAAAGGCATCATACTTCAATAATGATAGCGACGAGGCGGATTCGGATATGAGCGAGGGCGCAAGCGAGGAAGAGAGCGGTGATGATGAGTTAGGCGGGGTAGCCCTCGAGCCAGGCATTGACGACGAAGACCTCTCTGACGAAGGAGAGGATATTATAATGGGCGGTGTGGACCTTTCCAACAGCCTCGTGCAGTCAGCAGACTCTGATAATGTCGATGTGTTGATGGCTGATGCCGATGGCGATCAAGAAGGCGCTTTGGTCACTTCTGGTTTTGACTGGACAGGCGATTCATACGAAATTCAAAAAGGTTTGAATGGCGCTGCATTTGATTCGGACGATGAAAATATGTCAAAGAAAAAGAAGCGCCGGAAGGCTGAAATTCAAGTCGACAGAACCGGTGATCTCGATGCGAACGGACCCCAGACCGTGGATGATTATGAACGACTCCTTCTCGGGGAGCCTAATTCTAGTTTGCTGTGGCTGAAGTACATGGCATTCCACCTTGAATTAGGGGAAGTTGATAAGGCGCGCGAGATTGCTGAGCGCGCCCTTCGGTCCATCAGCCTTGGCCAGGATACGGAAAAATTCAATGTCTGGGTTGCGATGCTTAACTTGGAAAATACATTTGGCACCGATGACAGCCTTGAAGAAGTATTCAAGCGTGCTTGTCAGTATAACGATGCGCAGGAAATCCACGAAAAAATGGCAAGCATTTTTATCCAGTCTGACAAGCCAGAGGTAAGTAATACTTAGTTTGCCTTTATTGATCGCCCCACAATACTAACATATGGTTAGAAAGCGGATGAGATTTTCCAATCTGCGCTGAAAAAGAAATTCACCCAGTCTCCGAACCTATTCTTGAATTATGCCAACTTCCTCTTTGACACTATGGCTGCGCCAGATCGAGGACGTGCTCTGTTGCCTCGCGCCATGCAGTCTCTACCTCCTCACACCCACGTCGAACTCACATCCAAGTTCGGACAGTTAGAATTCCGCTCACCGCACGGAGATGTTGAGCGTGGTAGAACCGTGTTCGAAGGACTCCTTTCGTCTTTCCCTAAACGTGTTGATTTGTGGAATATCCTGCTAGATCTTGAGATCAAAGTTGGTGATGTGGACCAGGTCAGGCGGCTATTTGAGCGAGTCCTCGGCATTGGCCGTGGAGTCGGTGCCGACGGCAGCAAGGCTGGGATGAAGAAGCTAAAGGATAAGCAGGCCAAATTCTTCTTCAAGAAGTGGCTTACGTTTGAAGAGAAGATCTCTAATGGCGATGATAAGATGGTTGATGAGGTTAAGGCTCGAGCTGCGGAGTACGTGAAGTCGTTGAAGGAAGACCCCTAAACGGATGAAACTTCTTCATGACTTGAGGGCTTTAGTCTACATTTTCTTCCCATGTCTCCGAGTAAAGAGGTAACATTACCGGGCGTCTAGCTTTTCTCATATTTGTATAGCGTTTGTGGGGATATCCTATTATTAGATCTACACCAATTTAAAAAGTTATTGACCTCTTTTCTCTGCCATGATTCTCCTGTACTCCTCCACAATGCTCTGTCTGTGGCTCGCTAATTCCTCTCTCCGTCTCAAACTACCAGCAGCGGCTGGAACGTTAGCCACATCCACCTTTGCACCGTTGATCCCGTGGACTTTGAATATCTCTTTAACTTTTGCCAAATTCTCCGGGGGCGCCTGCACGACGTCAAATGGATTAAGTGGCTGAGCAGCACATTTCTTTTTATTCAGCTTTGCCCATGGATCATCGTCATCAGAGTCGTCAGAGTAATCAGGACCATCCGCGGCCGCAGCGCCGTTCTTTTTCTTCTTTTTACCTCCTTTCTTCTTCTTCTTCTTCTTCTTTCCGTGACCCGCCTCAGCCTCCCATTGCTTCCACGTGTCATTCACCTCTTCATCTTCTGCTTCTCTCTCCTCCCTTTCTGCCTCTTCCTTCTCTCGTATCTTGGCCTCCTCTTCGCGCCATCCTTTTTGCAGTCGCAAGAGCCGCTTTTCATGTTTGGTTTGACGGTGTTCGCGCAGGTTACGGATATCAGCATCCATTTTACTTGCACCAGTATTTCCCGCCTTGCGCGCCACGCCGGAGAGGGGTAGAGCCTGATCCACGCGAGCAGCGTAATCGGAGAGTTTTTCTCCGGGAAGAATCTTGGGAACACTGGTCGACTCTGCTGATTTAACAGCAGCGTCGGCCTTCTGGACCTTAGGCTTATTATTCTGTCCTGAAGCCTCTGTAGGAATATCCCCCCCTCTTTTCCGTTTCCTCGTGTTTTTCTCGTTGCCAGCAGCAGTATCGGAATTCATCTTGTTTCCATCCTTTCCGCCCGGCATGGACTGTTGGAATCTGCGCATCATCCGCGCAAATTGTCGAGGCGTATCATCACCGAAATCATCGGTATGCGCTGGCTTTTTTCTCTGCTTCGCATTCTTTGTCTGTCCGGCGTCCTTGGTGCCGTTATCAAGCCTCGCCGGAAGTGGTTTTGCAATCTTGTTTGGCGGCAGATCGTAATGATCGCTGAACCACAAACGTCAGCTTCATCTTTTTTAACCCGGTACCAATTCCATTCGGACAGGAAGCTTACTCATTCTCCTTCCGCCGTCTTTTGTGTTTGTGGGGCATTTTGAGAGGGTCGAGATGCGCGATCCGCTCAGATGACTATCGGAGAACGGAGCGTGTTTCTATGTTCGCAGCGCAAACCGACTTGGAAAGCCACCACTTCTGAGATTTCCGCACGCGCAAGCCACATCATATCCCCTATTAAGCTTTAGTGCATAATTAGTTAGCCTACATATGAAGCTCGCGCCACACAAGTGGCTTGCAGAAAGTCTAATAGTCATGCAGCCTCCTTTGGTCACAGGTCAAATCCACAAGTGCTCTCTGGGGACGATCCTTCAACAGCAGGGTCACGTCCATGAAACTCTAGCTTACCTTGAAGAGATATCAAAGGGATCACCCTTGAACGCCTATTGCATAAACCCAAACTGGAAGGTTGCTCTACTCCGTGGCCTTACCGGTCTGTGTTGTGGGACGGACAAACTAGACGAGGCAGAAGTGGTGCTTGAAAAAGAATTGAAAAGAATACCAGTGGCTTTGAGAACAGTAGCTCGCGGAAATGATTGCAGCTTGCGCTTATGGAAAGTTTCATCAGACACAGAATTATTGAAAAGGCTAGGGAATGCTTATCAAGCCTTATTTTTACTTTGGCAGACAAACAATTCCAACGCTGCCCAAAGTACCAATTACTTCCGTGTATGGGCTGGGTTAGCAATGATACTTCATCTCCAAGGCCATTGGGATAGGTCCTCAAGCCATCGAACCACACTTTGGAAATTGTGGAGAGTTTTTCCTAGTTCGAGCTAGCATCTGAGCAATGGAGCACAGGATAACTTCAAGACTGCATGTCGTGGCCCACCCAAGCCAACAACAGCACAGCTACACTTGAGAAAGCACAGAAGAGTCTAGCTACTGAGCAAAGGAAACATTGGATTGTGGGCTTGGAATTTTGTGGTGTGATTATATGGTTACAGCCCTCTAGAAGGCTGGTCCAAACCCAGTTAATCAAGGAGCATCGGGGTACAGCTTCCAAGCGCTGCAAGCGCTGTCGTTCTCAAGGGCTTGTACCGGAAGCCGCCCCTTCTGACTGGAGACCCCGGTATAGATCCAGGGCCGCCGTCAAGTCCGTACAAATCACTTCACGGTCATTTACCAAAAGTATAACTACGCGCCTAAGACATCTGAGATATTCCACGTATCGGAAAAGGCCACATATGAAATCTGCAGGATATATGTTCTAGCTAGGGCGGCGATAATTGTCGTTGCACCATCTATCCTATTTCGCTAGTCAATCGTATTGTGTTCCTCCATGCGTATAAATTTGTGTCTTCGTTTCAATCTATTTCTAAGCCTTGTTCCTCTTCCTCAAACCCCCGTCCCTTGCCCTTCATCAAGTTCTTTTGACTCCCGATCCACGATTAGCAGCGACATACGGGCCTCAAATCCAACGGCGAAAAGTTGTCCTCCCGTGTGTATCGTGCCTCCTGGACGTCTTCTCAAACAAGCCCCAGCACGTATGTATCCGCAGCTTGGGTACTTGCAACCACTGCGTATGGAGTCGTCCATGCAAAGATGTCAGGATACTCTTTAATCTCAAGCTTTTCTGACGTGGGGACAGCCGCCTCGACACCTCATCCCGCTGGCTGAATCATTGGTTGACCTCTGCGAAAGCCGGCAAGTGCTTCGTGAAATGGTCGATTCACGTATAGCCCAGACAGCGAAAGAGTTTCGGAAGGTATGCAAAACAATGCGAGCTGGAGAAGCAGACAGCCTGGGAGGTCTCAGATCATACCGAGTCCAATCCATATAACCGCTTCAACGAGATTTGTCTTCGTGGGTGGCCAGACGCGACTGGGTTCTTTTGGTGGATGATGAATGTTCCCATTGGGGCTTTCTCCGCTCCAGCGGTAGGCATGAAAGCCGCGGAGCCGAAACCTGATAAGGCAAGTCTGACGGGGTTTCTATTCAGTGCGCGAAGTGCTGTGCACACAGCTGGCTAATTCGATGCTAGCCTTTCTTTATTGGCGAAATCAGAAATCTCGACCCATTTGATCTGGACACAGAAAGAGAGCCAAATGCTAACATTTTCGATCTATTAGGTGGATTCAACGGCGCTGAGTCGGTGCATCTCCACTGGAGTGCCTCCTACACATATGTAGTCGAAGCCTGCTGGGTTTCTTTGTAATGTCTCGTTGTACGTATTTCTGAGCTGCCGGGGTTCTCGATGCACGAAATCAACCTCAACAACTTAGCCCAAAGTTGCGCCCTATATACAAACTGTACAAAAGCAATGATTGGTGAAAGTTTCCCGAAGGTCGAGCCTTTGATGGTCTTTGGGATCACAGCTTTTGAAGGTGATGTTTTAGTAGATAGAGTATGCTCTGGTCACTGTTTTCATGAAGGTTACTGACATAGCAAACACATCGGAAATTAGGGCACTCACCGGACATATCGTTTCGACAGGTACGGAGTACAGCGTGAGGCCTTATTCTATTGGCTAGTCAGCAATGTTATGTTGACATATATCCGTCACCTCTCCAACCGACTCATACCACCTTGTTCCTATATCCCCATCTTCCTTTTGTTTCATTGAATGATATCCTTTCCCACGGGCGCATGATTAGAAAGTAAATGCTCAACCAAAGATGAATATCCCATGTGTATTGTGCACTATGCACACCTTTCCCAGAAACCTTGACCATGTGTGTTTCCGTCAATGGGGAGGTTGCAACCACTGCAACGCAAAAAAGAAGCCATGTGAACCCGTATGGATGAACTCCTCCTATATCAATTTTTATCTGACACCGGAGAGTAGGTTCCCGAAGCCTTTGTTCCTAGGGTCAAAGAACTGCTCGACCTCTCCGCAGAAAGGGAAAAGAATGGACAAGGCATGCTTCGACGCATTATCGACGCCGAAATCCAGAGAAAGGCAAAAGAGTTTCAAAACAAGTACGGGGCGTATGTCAAGGACTTGAAGAAGAAAAACGCAGAGGAAAAGGATAAATGCAATCCATATAATACTCGTTCCAAGGCGGCCGCTGGGCCTGCCGTCGAAGGTGTGAAGACTGGGCCATCTTCCAACATCGCGAACGATGCCCTGATGGAGCGCTTCTGCACTGCGCTGGAGGACACACGGAGAACACTGGAAGGTATCGAAAAAGGGTTAAATAAGGTATATCTCATGGGCTTTTAAGCCAGGACCTCATGCTGACGTGACACTAGATTGTTTCTATACTCGAAAAGGCGAAGGTTGACGTTTCGATTGTCCATGACAGAAAACGAGAACGATCTCCGAGTAAGCAACCCGAAGTGCCCGCAACGAGAGAGATGAAAGGATCGATTCTGGGAAAACGTCCCTACTGGGACACTCTGTGAAAAGAGGAAAGAATAAAAAAAAAAAAAAAAAAAAAAAAGAAGGCAGCCGGGATTATGTCCAGCTTCTTTCTTCCAAGTCTCACTGTAGTTTTAAGGTGCTCGAGCGGTTCTCTACTCCAGTGAACTAGTTAACTATGTAGTTCGCACTCCTTCAGGAACTGAAAAGCCTCCACCACGGTGTGTACAAGATAGTCCTGCGTGAGCTGGTTCTCGAAGAGTAGGGCGCGACGCCCATCCCCTGGTCTCAGCCTTCAGAATTCGGGTCTCAATGCAACTTTAAAAGCAGAAACTTCCGGCTGGTGTGGTCGAGCCAATAATCGAAGTGCCATCAGGAACAATGACGGCAGGATTCGTAAGTGTTCCAGGCTCCCAGGGGAAGTTGGGACGGCCCCAACGGTACTCTCGAATTCACACACGGAAAATCCCCGTCATTATGACAAGCAAAACGGTAAGACGTAGTTCTCTTAAATAGGTGATAGTAAGCTGCCATATGGCCGGAATTTTCAAGGGAAACAAGCTCCGGTCGTCTCTCCATGAAGCCAGCACCCTGGGCTTTTCAAGCTGCCTCTCAAACTGCTTACTCGCCCCGCCGCCTCTACAAAGCCCCAGAGTGACAGCCGAACGGATACTCGCTGTTGAGATCAGCCGAGTTAAGAGCGTTTAAAAAGCGTTTAAAGATAACAAACCGGGCCCTCCCGCTTGAGAATTAATTGAACCCTGAGAACACAGCGATGCTGCTCGCCCTGTTGGGCTGGTAGTTAGTTGGCTGAAGAGTTTCAGAAAGGCGAGTTTGTCATCAGGCACCTGGTGGGCCGTTCCCGAGATGCCACCGTCCGCGGGCTCCACCGCCTCTCTCGACGACGCGTCGGTCCCGTCAGAACCGCTCCTGGACGACGGGCTTTCGACTGAGACACCATGGTGGTATGAAAGAGGGATTCAGAGTCCTTTGTGTTATTTGAGATGGATACCGTTACGCCGCCGGTTCGCTCAGCTTGCGCTTTGGCTTCGAAGTGGAGACGAAAAGGGAGACCTTGAGCAGAGCGGATTTAACGACCGTCGTCGCTTGACTTTGAGTACGACGCTTTGTTTCTGTCGAAGATCGAGAAGAGTGCGTTTGCTACTCTTCATTATCTTGGGTGGTCTGACCATGCTGTTCGTAACTCTGCATCCACCCGCACTTAACATACCTCTCTGGCTATTCAACTTTTGTCACTGGGCTAACACCGTTAACGTTCGCAGGGGCCTTGTCCAGCTGATTTCACTTCTTTCTGGAGTTTTTGTATCATTCTTCCCGAGCTACATAGATAGGAATGTTGACCTTTGGGGAAAAACTGGCGACCCGAGCGAGTACCTTGCACACTGGCCGACAGATCAGACTGCCGATATTAGACCTGTGGCTTGTCATTCCCATAATGATTACTGGCGACAAGTGCCCCTCTACTCTGCCATTAAAGCTGGCTGCATTAGTGTAGAGGCAGATGTATGGCTGTTCGATAACGACCTTTATGTCGGGCATACGAAGTCTTCGCTCGCCATTAATCGGACGTTGACGAGTCTCTACCTTGACCCGCTTCTTACTTTGCTTGCAAAGCAGAATCCTGTCACTCGATTTCAACCTGGCTATGATGGACCTCCACATGGAATATTTAACACCAAGCCGTTCCAAACACTTGTCCTTCTGGTAGATTTCAAGACCAATGGGCACGACATTTGGCCATATCTAACTTCTCAGCTATCTCTTTTTCGAGAAAAGGGGTATCTTACTTACTTTAACGGGACAACTGTTATCGAAAGGCCGATAACCGTCGTTGCAACCGGTAATGCACCCTTTGACCTCGTTGTGGCCAATTCGACACACCGAGATATCTTCTTCGATGCGCCCTTGGCAGAGCTAGCAGCTTCTGATTCAAGCGTCACTCATGCATCAATTCCTTACGACTTCAGAAATAGCTATTATGCTTCAGTCTCCTTTCACAAGTCTATTGGCTTCCCTTGGAGATTCCAATTATCCGAAAAGCAACTATATCTTTTGAGAGCCCAAGTCAAAGGTGCGCATGATAGAGGACTCAAAGTACGATATTGGGACAGCCCTGCCTGGCCCCATAGCTTGCGAAACCAGATTTGGACGGAACTGGTTCGTGAAGGTGTAGATATCTTGAACGTTGACGATTTAAAGAGCGCAACCGCGAAAGACTGGAATAGGATTTGAAAATAGACCACATGATGCTCGGGGTTTTTTGGCTTTTTGGCGGTTCTGGGGCACTGTTAATGGCGTTATTCATGGATGGCGGTTGGGCTTTAGATGGCCGGTGTGTATTTTGCTGCATTTAATTGGCAACGTATTTGATGAACGGATTGGCTATTAGGCGAGAATAGTAAACTTATGATTTGTCTATACTTTCTGGGGTACTTGGTTATAGAGCCAATGGATTATCAGTATTACAATCTGATAAAGGCCTCCCCTATCTGGCGAGTTCGCCCCTTGATAGTAGTGGCCTACTCGTCTTAGAGATATGACAGTGCCTCGTCGCCAAACTCCTTCTCAACGCTACCTTCTTCGCGGAATATACTGCCTAGCCAGCGTTTGGCTGATTCGAAATCAGGTGCACCAAATTTGACTATCACGAAGCCTGAGCGGACTCGCGCTGCAGTCCATGTAAGATCACTGTCTTTGGACTTTGATTTGGCCTCTGAGTCGGGAGACGAAGAGAAACGAGTACCAATTCGGGGCAGCGAAGAAAACTTTTCCATGAAAAACGTGGAAAGAGATTCGAATACGGGTCCGTATAGAATTAAGGTGCCGAGGACGCCGTGAGAAGCGGTCCGGGATGCTATCGAGAGAGGAGCCGTCGAAAGATACGCTTGTCGCCTGCGAAGATTATCATCTCTCCTTGGCGTGCCATTCTCGTCTGGGATAGTACTACCCTCGTTGCATAATGTTACCGTGTCGCGGACAAGAAGCCTGCTCTTGCTCGTCCTGCAGTCCCGAGCCCATACCTCATTACGGCCCTCCCAGAAGTCAAATGACCATTTCTCACCCCTTGCACTACGGCCTTCTGTTACCCAGTCGAGCAGACAGAGACTGGCTTGATGAGCTCTCTTAGCTTCTATGTCGTCCGTTACTGGCTGAGGCGAACGTTCCCCCTGAAGAAGTGTAAAACGCTGAATCTGCTCATATTTACTCCTTTCAAATGGTACAGAAGGATCAGGCAAGTAAAGTATAGCGGATTCAGTAGATAATTCGACATTTATTATCTGCTGGCTTCTATCCAGTTTGGAGACATTGGTACCCCGCCGAGCAACGTCGCCTCTTTTCGCCTGGGATTCAGTCTTGTATATCTTCGTGCTACCTTGGGGAGTAGTAACTATAAGCCGGCTGCGCGGCCGTAACTTTATCGTGACATCGATATGGTCCCCTGGTAAGAGACCGCCACCATAGGAAAGGAGATATAAATGCACTGGTGTAGTCGCAGAGGCGGGGAATTTAGAATCAAGCTCGCAGCCGGGTATACGCGAGAGCAGCTTCAAAGGGTATCTGTAAGAAAGGGTGCTAAGGGAAGGGATCCCGGGAGGAAGAATTGAGAGTACGACTTCACCGCGTCCAGGTGCAATTGAGGTCGAGAACGGCGAGTTTACGATGTTGTTGGAGGGCATGTTGGGTGGAGGCGGCGTCGGTCAAGGGGAAAGGGCCGAGCCATGGGTATGCGGGAATAACGGGGTCAATTTGTGTTATGCCCATTCAACAAAAGCAACATCCTCAGGCCTCTTTGGATGATATGATTTTGAGTTCTCTCCGATGGCGAGGATCTTCAGATTGGATGCCGTTCCATCGTCGAGCGTGCTCACGTCTGGACGGTAATGGTGGTGTATGTTATGGTAACAGAAAATACACGTTTTACCCCAGCTTTCCCGCTTATTGTTGCTTTTCAATGTTGGTATGTGTCTGTATTGTGCGGTTTTGATACGGGCTAGGCCCTCGCTGCGTGACACAATTTAGGGCGACCAGCGAGCGGAAGGGCTGCTGATACATCCAATTCTCCTCAACAACCGCAAGGCCTCACCCGCCAGCCTGTCGCCGTCGTCCAACAGCGTCTTGTCCAGTGAACTGCTGACCGACTTGACAAATTGCCGCCCCGTCAAGTTTAGCATTTTTTGTTTTGAATAGATTTATCTACTGCTCGAAGCCCCATCCTTCAAGGAAACGCGTCCGCCCACGCCCGGTCTCGTCGCGTCCGGGTTTGCCGATCTATCCAAACAAGCCGTCCGTGCCTTGATCTACGAGAGAATTTCGGTTCAGACGGTTGAATTTTGTTCATTGCGTACCGTATCCAAGTCACGTAAGGCTTATTCTCAATGGAGGACCCCGCGCACTCCAACGAACGCGACTCCAGTGCGCTGTCTGAACCTACCGGTGCCTCTCTTGCCGAAGAGACCGACAGACGCCAGTCAGGGCGCGTGCGGCGGAAACCTGAACTATTCTCCTCGCAAACATTCACTCCCGGTTCGACGAAGCGGAAACGTGCGAATTCGCCCCGCGAGGATGATGAGAATGACGCGTCGGACGAGGGTGATGCTGAAGAAGATCCTCATGAAGAAGTCGAGGATGAGGAGGTAGATGATGAAAGTGAAGGTGAGCCCGATGAGGAAGAACTTCGGGAGAGGCGAAGAGCGGCAAAGAAGGCTACGAAGAAGAGAGCGAAGGAGGGAAATAAAAAAACCAAACGAGCGGCCAAAAAGCCCAAAATCGGCAATGGTGTCGAGACGGAACTTGCGCTGCGACCATTTATAAATGGAGAAGCAAAGAAACCAAAGAAGCCGAAGAAGCAGCATCTGCGACCAAGCGGATTTGTCGGTGAGGAAGGCTTATATGGTAGGTTACTAGTGATTCTTCGGGGGTGGACCACAATACTGATCGTCCGTGGCAGCCGAGGTTTTTGCTCGAGGCCATACTACGGATGCCGTCGCAGCTGAATGGCTTACAAGATACGAGGAACATAATATCAATGCGATGTGCGACCTCGTAAATTTTATTCTGAGATGCACGGGCGCCGACTCAAAGGTCGATGTACATGATATTGAAGACGTAGACAACGTCGCAAACCGCCTAAACGATCTACAGGAGGAATACCAATCACAAAACATTACGGAATACCCTCTCATATCAAAATCCAAGAAATTCAGAGGCTTTCAGTCCGTATTGACCGGATATTTCGAGTCACTAATCAGAACCATCCACAGCGCCTCGATACTGTATAATGACGCCGCGTTGCTAGAGAATATTCAAGCTTGGATAACCTCAATGTCTTCTGCACCCATTCGACCGTTTAGACATACCGCCACTATAATTTCCTTGACGATTGTTACGACTCTGTGCCATCTCGCGAAGGAGGTTTCCACAACATTGTCGAATACGAGGAAGCAACTTGAAACTGAAAAAAAGAAGAAGACGGTTAACAAGGGTAGAGTGGGTGCGCTCCAATCGAAGGTTCAAGAGAATGAGCAGAAACTTGAGACTATAGACGGGATTATTCATGACTCTTTCGACACCGTTTTCGTACATCGATATAGAGACGTTGATCCCAAAATTCGGGCGGAGTGTATGACCGCACTTGGTGTATGGATAATAACGTACAGACAAGTTTTTTTCGAGGGTCAATATCTTCGATACTTGGGCTGGGTTCTTTCAGATACTTTTGCTCATACGCGATCGGTTGTCGTTCACCAACTCCGTCGCCTATTTCAGAACAAGGATAATATACCCGGACTCCGGGCTTTCACGGAACGCTTTCGCCCAAGAGTTGTGGAAATGGCCGTACGGGATGCGGAAAGCAGCGTTAGAGCTGCGGCGGTGGATCTATCGGATCTAATCCGTGATGCCGGTCTTTTGGAGCCAGATGACATCGACAGTATCGGACGACTTGTCTTGGATACCGAGGCGAAAGTACGCAAAGCAGCTGGCAAATTTTTCGTGGCCAATATTCAAGACGTTTACGATTCACAGGTAGAAGGCTTGGAAGAAGAGCTCAACGAGTCATTTGGAGATGATGATGAAGATGATGATTTCAAGATTCCTAAGCGCTCTTGGATCAAATACAAATGCTTGGTTGATATGCTCCAAGCGTACGATATGCAGCAATCTGAACTCACCGAGGAACAGGAAGCATCGAGTAAAACGAATTTGTTTGCCAACCAGGTTGAATCCAGATTTGCACTTGCAACGGACAGCATCTACCCTCATCTCCAGGAACTGAGCCAATGGGAATCTTTAGCTGGATATCTTCTATACGACCATTCTCAAATTCCGGAGTCGGCGGCCGATGATACTTCCGGAAATACTATCAAACAGCTGTATAGACTCGACGATGGCCAGGAAGCTATCTTACTTGAGGTATTGGGTGCTGCAGTCAAGCTTTATACCCAGGAGGTTTCGAAGTCTGACACAGATAAGAAAGGTAGAAGCACAAAGCAATTAGTGGAAATGATGGAGGCCAAGCAAGAAGCTATTGCCCATAGCCTTTCGCAGATCATTCCCCAGCTCCTCAACAAATTCGGCGCTGTTCCAGAAGCTGCGTCAGCAGTTCTAAGGCTAGAACACCTCGTCAATCTTGACCTCATTCAGGATCTCCAGAAGGATGCTGCGGCGTACGCAGAAATTCTAAACAATATTAATAAGCAGTTTTTGATCCATTCTGACCAAAATGTGCTGGCCGAGGCGACCGTTGCATTCCTTCATGCCCGAACGTCTGAAGAACTTAGGGAAGCGATGGAAAATAAAGTCCAAGAACTATGGGATGATACACTAGACGCATTGTGCACAGTTGTGGCAAACAAGCACGTTCAGAGCAATGACACACTCTCCTTGAGTATACTAGGCTCCTTGAAAGACACTATTGTTCGAATCTCAAATCTCGCCAGTATATTTGACTGCACATCAGTCCTCGAAACGTCTCCTCAAGGATCTAACAAGCGAAAGTCCAGAGCAGAGCCCCCCGTGGATATATTATTAACTATTGCTAAACGAGGACTTCGTCTTCCAGATTCCGACGAAGAGGTTGATTTGATTGAGGAAGAACTGATTTTCAGTACTTTTAAGACACTGCTTGTCTATTTCATGTGGAAAATCCAATCGTTAAAATCTGGCATTTCGAATGGGAAAGCATCTTTCAATGGACAATTCTTTGAGAGACTATCGAATCGTCAAGAAGCATGCATCGCTATCCTTACGGCTATCATGGACACGCGGAAGGGAGTGGATCGCACGAGGATTGCAGCCGCAACGACTCTTCTCGATTTACAGACCGCATTTGGTACACTTCGGCATATATCCACTAGAGACCGTGAAGGTGATGATGAAACAATGTCACAAATCGAAGACCTAGTGCGAGATATTTCTCCAGCAGCGTCTGCATCTATTTCGCGTATCCATGATGCAGTGCTTAAAGCATATGCTAAGAAAACGCATCACGCGATTGATCTCCCAGCGGATGAGGAGCCACTCTCGCAAGAGGATCTCGAAGATAGTTCGGACGAGGAAGATGAGGACATGGATGATGACGTGGACGACGTACAGTCAAGTGCGCGACGCATGCGCGCTCAGCTCCTAGCTGAACAAAAGCTCTGCGAATTTACCGGGAAAATCGTCCTAGCGATTATCGGCCATGTATTGGATTCTTCGGGCTCACAAGCCGGTAAATTAAAGACGAAATTGCTCCGCAACAGAACGCGACTAGGCCATAATTACAAGGCTGTTGTGGCATACTTAGAGGACGACAAAGCGCCGGCTCGGCGAACTTCCAAGCCTAACCCTAGAAACCAGCAAATTAATGGGGCCACCGGAAATTTGAGCAATGGCAAGGTCAAATCTGCTGAAAGAGTGGTTGATGACGAAGAAGATGATGAAGGAGAGGGTGTTCAACATGTAGAGGAAGATGAGGAGGACGATTTACGTGCTAGGGGACTTGTTGGGGATGAAAATAACCCGGTGACGGACTATGGCGAGGGTGAAGACGCAGAGTCACCGCTTACGCCTGCTGAAGATGATATAATGGGTGATTGAATGGTCGCCATCGCGGGAGCAGCCTGGCCTAAATAGAAGGCGATTTCAAATACTTTCTGCTTCGCTTCGTTCGTTGCTGTATAACTGGTACTTGTTTCTTTCACCTTTTTCCTTTCTTTACCACATACAGGTTCCCCTTTTATGCGAATCTATGTCGCTGTCTTTGGCTGATATCTTCTAATGTGATGATAATCCATGTACTTCTGTAGGTAGGAGGGACTTTGAGATGCACGGGGCTTTCAAACTTTCTTCAGATGCAGGTTCGTCGCAAGTCTAGATTCATCTAAAATAAAATGATGGATTACTTGAAGCGTCCGAGTGTCAAATTTAGGATTAATGGAATGACCGCTTGTATTCGTGGGAATGATTGTCTCCTCACCTTTCACCCATGGGGGGCAGCGTAGCATGTACGGCTATCATTCCATGTTCCAGCTCAAAGGGCTATTTTCCTCCGAATCGAGGCCCGAGCACTGAGAAACATGACGGCATCATTTGACTTCCAAGTCGGCCGGCGAGGCGTCCAAGATGGCCAGTTATCGCTGTCCGTTTGCCCTTTGTCAGCCAAAGTTAGATTTCGACCCGCGGAGCCGGGAACGTTTCTCTCGCAACTTTTCGACTTTTTTTTCTCCTTTCGCAAGAATGAAAGAGACAAAGAGATTGCAGAGGCGACGTGCGCGGGGAGCTAAACACCGTGGGATTTCAGGAAGTGCTGGCGTTACGGGTGGCTATCCTGTATAGATCGCCCCAGGAGGCCGTCTTGATTCCTGCTGCTTCTGTTTGTTGATCTATCATATTTCGCTCCTGGTTTCGCCTCAAAGCTTTTGGCTATGTCCCCTGCCCCTTATGGATGACGAAGACGCTGCTGTTCTTCCAGTGCCGGAGGACCATGAAGGCCATGTCAGTTCTGGAGTAATGGCCTAACTATTTTACAGTGCTGACGTGACTTTCTTCAGTTCGTAGATGAGACTTTCTCGGACGCGACGTACAATTGTCTTCAGAGCTCTTTTCATTGCAAACAGGTAATAACACAAGCCTCGGAATGCAGGTCTGCGTACTCGGCTTCTTTGACGCCAAGTATCACGAATTACCCCGAAGAGCACGGAAGGCGGTACCATGCGTTTCGACGAGGACGTAAGTCGTGTTTACGGCCGCATGGCGACACTGCGATCGAAACTAACCCGAGCTTCAAGGATATCTCCTCCCAAACGATGACAAGGAGATGCAGCGCCTAGATTTGGTCGATGAAATGATAAAGTTGACCTTGGGAGGATTGCACCTGGCCCCGATAGGGCCCAATCCTCAGAGAGTGTTGGATATCGGAACGGGTTCTGGTGCTGTATGTTGGAACTTCTCTCGATTCTGGCTGCGGTGAATAGGCTAACCATAACGGTGAATAGTGGGCTATCAGGTTTGGTTAGGCTCCGCCCGCGTTTTTATACCTGGATGAACTCCATTGCTGATAGAGATGCTTGGTATTAGCCGACGAGTATCCTTCTGCAGAGGTATTGAACCGTGTTGAAAGAGAATACAGAGGGAAAAGTTGCTAAAACAGGCACAGGTAATTGGAAATGACCTGAGTCCCACGCAACCCGCAGAGTGAGCATTCATCCATTTGAGCCTGTCCAGTCCATTTACTTAAGCAAATTCAAGCATCCCTCCAAATGTCAAGTTCCTTGTCGACGATGTCGAGGAGGAGTGGGAATACGGAAGCCGCCCGTTCGATTTCATCCATTCTCGCTATATGGTATTCGCCATCAGAGATATGAAGCATCTTATCCAGCAGGCTTTTAAGTACTACCCCCTCCCCCGCCAGGGAAAAACAAAAAAGAAAAAAGCAAAAGTGTCCTTATATTCCGTATCGTGGGCTATACTCACATTTTGTTATCATAGTGCCTTGAGACCAGGGGGTTGGCTGGAAGTCCAGGATTTCGACTCGAGGATAAACTCACCAGACAATACCATCAGAGGCACATGCCTTGAATATTGGAACAAATCTACCGTTGATGCATTCGAAAGTATGGGTTTTTGGACACGGATTGGGCCTGAATATTCAGATTTGCTAAATGACGCTGGCTTCGTCAATATCCAAATGAAAAAATTCCCCATACCTCTCGGGAAATGGGCCAAAGACGAAAATTACGTATGTTTCTTCACTTGGCACCTTGACGAAGATATCGCAGCTAATGATCCCCATTCCATCGAAACAGAAAAAGCTCGGGGAACTTAATGTTAAACAGCTAACGGAAGTTTTGGAGGCAGCTTCGATGGCTGTTTTGACGCGGAGCGGATGGGCCGAGCAAGAGATATATGCGATGTGCGCAGGCGCACGGAATGATGCGAGAAATCGCAGAATCCACGCAAAGTTGGATTTGTACGTTCTCTCTCTCTATCTCTCGGGTGATGGAGGCGAAGAGCAATGGTTAATTTGCGCCCTATAGTTATGTCTTTACGGCTCAGAGACCGCCGCCATCGGGCGCAACGGAGAACACCTAATTCTAGCGCATTTTAATTCAACTTTCTATAGTACCGCGTTACTGGCGTTTATTTTGAGGGTTCTCATGCACAATTGGAGGCGTTTTAACCTACGACAATTAGGGAATCTTGTTGCAAATAGTGCGAACAACTTACGACATCACTGAGAACAGGATCGATCAATTGTATGGGAATAAAAGGCGTTCCTATCACGATATATTCCTTCATCCGCAATGAGAACCTAGCGATGATCCTCATTTCAGCGACTGGCATTTCGTTTCGAGTGCTGCATAATTTCCTCCGCAACATCAATTGTCAATTATTGCCTTTACGTCGGGTGCTGGCTTCATCCGCTGTTTGACTCATTTCAGGACAACGGACAACAGACCAATGTTTTCGCTTCAACAGATTTGCGATATCACGCTGTATGTGTTCTCCGCTCTCGTTAACTGAGGATTGACAGACATGTGTGTGTATATATATATATATATATATATATATATCTACACACAGGATCAGCTAGGTAATTCGAGCTAGATTGGCAGTCCTATATACGTTTTACCCATACATGTACAGTACATATGTCACTCTCTCGTAAGATAGATGAACGAAAATATAGAAAAATTCAAATTAGTAAATTCCCCAAATTTTCAAACCATACCATACCGTGACCTACAAAGTGAATCCCCGGTGTCGATACATATACCACATTCTCAACGTCGTCCATTAATATGCATGGGATCAGGCTGGTGTGAGCGCAACCTTGGCCCCGTGTTCGCTCGAGAGTGTAAGAGTCGTGTGCTCGACAAAAGGCAGTACAGGATCTCGGTTCTCAATATCCTTGAAAACTTGGAGAAGCCTGGTAATCACATATGAGGCTTCAACTAAGGCGTATTGCTCTGTTGTTACCGCATTAGCAAAATGTATTTTTCCGCACGAAAAGACGGCTGAACTATTCCAAGGATAATACTTACGGCCCAAGCATATTCTAGGCCCACCGTTGAATGGGATATAATTCCACCCTGGCCGTATCGTTTCCCATCGGCTCGGCCTAAACTCGTTCGTATCTTCGCCGTAGAATTTACTGCGATGGAGGCCCCAGGTTGAGTAGAGGACGAAGGTACCCTTCTTTACTAGAATTTTGTTTTTTCCATCCGGGCCACCACCGCGGGGCAGGGTTGTTGTTACAACGGCTTGACGCCCATTCCATGGGACGACTGGGAATAAACGGAGTGCTAGCAAAACATCAGAACACCACTATTCTTCTTCGTTCTAGCGCTGGAAAAGATGGAAGACTTACTTTCATTAAGCACGTATCGCAGATACCTCAAAGACTTGATATCCTCATAGGTAGGCAACCTGTCGCCGACATTGTCCATAATCTCTTTTCTCAGTTCATCCCAGACATCCTTATGCCGTGCAAGCTGGTGAAAGCAAGCGGAGAGAAGACTCGCCGTGGTGTCTCTTCCAGCAAGGAGAATGTTGAGCAGTTCTGATCGCAGCCGGACTGGGTCTCTGATGCTCTTGGAAATTTCCTCAAGGAAGACATATTTGCCATTTGAATCATATGACGTAGGCTTTCCAGCAGCGTGGAGCTCCAAGGCTTTGTGTGTAAATCTGTCGATATACTCCTGAACAAAAGCAGAAACTCGCTTGAATTCGCTGCTGTCTTTCTGAAGGAAATACAGATCTCCCAGCAGCGTGCGCAACATGCAGATTTCTTTTTAAGTGTTGTCAGTAATCATCGATACTGTCGAGATACGCGGAGTCATACCTGTACCCCGAGTAAAATCATGGTAAAATTGCGTCTCCTTTGGAGGACTATCAGGAAGGAGACTATTCACACTCTCGCCGAACAGGAAATCAGTTGCTAAAGTAGATTAGCACGGATTTCAAGGGAGGCAGATTGCAGGAACGCTTGCCGGTATCCAGAGTAAGTCGGAAGAAAAGCTCTTGGAGATCGCACGTTTCGTTTCTGGGTATTCTACTGATAAGATTCTGAACGAACTCCTCTAGCTTTGCAAGATCCTGTATTTGGTGTCTCGCAAATTGGGGTCGAAGCACCGCACGCGAATGTCTCCATGGCTCCCCCTTGGGACCACCGCCGTATACATGTGTGAATATTCCTTCTCCCAGCATGGGGTAGAAAGCGTCAAGTCTGGAATCTCCAAGAGAAAACTGTTCAAACTGCGTAGACAAGATGGCCTTGATATTCTCAGGGTCACGGGTGTCGATGTATGTGCGGCCGAACATGTCAGACGTGTAGGTGTCACCGAGTTCATCGTAGCGTTCGAGGTTTTTCTGAAGAAATACGTGCTCCTCTTTGTGCCTTGCCATGTCTCGGTAGACATTGATGCCAAAGATACCCTGATTCGGAGCCTTTGGCGGATCCTCAGTGTTTTCGAGCTTGCGGACGCGCTCCGCTTCCAGGTAGGATTGCAGGTACCGGTACCCAACATGAAGGGCACCCGCCGCAGGCGGAATGAGCAGTACATTCGTGAGGTTCAACATGATTAGAATTGATGACAGTTTACTTTGTGGATTTGATCGCCACTAATTGGCGATGAAGCGATGTTAAATAGTTTGAGAACCTGGCTTGCTGAACTAGCCAGCCCCTCTTCGGATGCTGGGTCCGAGCAAGGATCCCTAAACCAAGACGGCCGCAGGACAGGCGATGACCTGCAGTTCGACATAATTCATCCAGGCTCGGATTCACTTGTTCGACATGCCAAGCAAGATGGCGAACAGGTTACTCTATCGGGCGTAGGATACGGACGAATACTTAAGTTTCTTGGGCAGACCAGTTCACCAAAAGCCTCAGAAGCTCGGGGTAACTTTCAACCGCACAACTAGGATCCCGAGGGTGCCGAGGCCCCCGACAAGTACGGGACGGGTTCATCCCTAGTTGGCGATGTTCTTAAATACTTCTGCCTTGGATAGTGAGTTACTTCGTAGTCTCGTGGAATTGCATGTGCTCCGTCCACCTGAGACGCGGGTTATAGGGATCTCGTGCAGCAGGGATGAGTTTGACGTGTGAGACCACTAGCGGTCTATACGATTGGCTAGCAGGTATAACTATAGTGTACATAACATCAGAGTATGTGAAACACAGGCAGGGTATTATTCTATCTTTCGAAAATAACAACAATGAATGATCAAGCGTCTATCCGTATTCTGCAACGTCATCTATTCCCACTGCCTGGAGATAGTCGCCATGCTCTCAAAGGCAGCTTCTGCAACTTGAGCACCGCAGCCTTAATATATGTCCAGAAGGTGACCACTCCGATGATAACGCAAAGGATATTAGTGATATAGAAACCGTCACGTTCGATATGACATGTACCGCCCCCTGCGATGCAGCGATGCTTATCCGCCTCGAGAGCGCACGAGAAGGGCGACGTGACAGGTGACTTTATATTTGAAGGGTGGTTGGAAGGCGGGGTGCAGATGGCTTTGGCGAAGAAATCAACAAATTTGAGAACGAAGAACTTTGGAAACGTTCCCCCAAGGTTCGATACGCTATAAGACGTGGTTAGTTCTTCTTTTTCTGCAATTGCAAAGAAATTCAAATGGGGAACGCACGTTGCGAGGAGCGTCATGTAAGTGCCACCGATCGTTGGATCGGAGATTCGAGCATGGAAAGCGGAAACAGCTACGAACATGATTGTACTCATGGATGTTGAGAAGACATGCTCCAAGATGACAACAAATATATACCATCCAGGAACCGGGGTTTTGGGGAAGATCATCACAACGATTTGCGCCAGGACCGCAGCAACAAGTCTTCCAACAAACGACCAGCACCACAGCCTCATTGGCGTGTACTCGGTCGACCATTTGCCGGCAAAGTAACCCAGGCCAATTTCAAATGGGAAATCAATAAGGACAACCAGAGCCATATTATCTTGACCAAAGCCCTTATCAATTAGCTTAAGGTTAGTTACAGCCTCATTTGCCTGGAAGCCGATTTTGGCGATAAGATGGATTATGATGATGGTCTGAATATTCTTCAGCTTCAGTACACCCCACATCGACTTGTAAACATCCGTGATGCTATCTCGCTCCTTTGTCCTATCCTCTTTCTTGAATACTGCCAAACCCAGGGTAATGGCCAAGTACGCCCAGCCCCAAAATGTGAGGTAACCTCCCAGAGTAATAAGCCCATCATCCGTTGGAGTTGTTCGGAACCACCTATTCGCGAAATCGGGAGAATTGAACGCCAAGAAGACCGTGTATGAAAGAAAGTTCCCAGCGGTGAGGCCAACGGTCTGTGCGGTGGATGCGTACGCAATGTTCTGTGGAGACAAAAGCGAAATAGCCCAACCGTCAACGGCAATGTCCTGAGTTGCGCAGAGGAAGACGAGGAGGAACCACCAGCCGGTAAAGTTCCAGACACCGTCCGTGCCTTGCGCTTCGGTTGCAGCCATCATGCTCTCGACTCTGCTGCCCAGATACACCATGGCGAGGCCAGAAACGGTCTGAATCGGTGTTATCCAACTCTTTCTCCTTCCAAATCTGGGGCTCCAAACCGCGTCCACTATAGGACTCCATAGTAGCTTTAGGGAATATGGGTAGGACGCGAGTGAGAAGATGCCGATTTGGGTGTAGGAGAGGAATGGCTTGAGAAGGAACGGTACGGAACCCATCGCGAGGCCCATAGGAACTCCCTGTAAAAAGTAAAGCAGAACTAGCAAAAGAAAGTTTCTCTGGTCGTACGCAGGCAAGTCTGCAAAGCTCGTGCTTGAGAGCCCCGGTGTCTGCGGAGTAGGCGGCGGCTCATCGTCCAGGGAGAAGTCTGATCTGTTCATAACCCGTGAGGCAAGCGATGTCGTGGAGTCTAGGGAGACATCCTTTCTTCGCAGCCCAACGCCGGAATCCATGCCGCCGTTCGCGTGGCCGTTCTCGCCAAACGCGAGCTTAAGGCTAGGTCTGGATGAACGGCGCTTGAGTGAATTGTGCTTTCGAGTCATTGGTCGCCGACCCCTCGAATCCTCGCTGGATACCAAACTGCTGTTCAAGCCCTCTTCCAAAAGTTCGAATTCTGAGGAGCAGGAAAATTCGTCGTCGCTCCCTGCCGCGCTGATATCGTCAGTATGGCGAGGGTTTTGGTTATGATCAGAGTACCGTTGCGCAGACGTCAGAGAGCGGAGTTCCACGTCGCTACGCTGGCTATCGGTATGCGGTGCATATGAGGTAGCATGGGAGCACTGGGGCCCCTGGGAAGAATCTTCGGCGGAGTGGCGCGGAGAGTGCATCCAAAACGCGCGGGCCCTAAAGGAAAGCTGGCCTCACGAGAACGCTCGTTTTTCACGCTTGTGGGGTCGGCGGGCTGACTAAGGGTGCTGGGAAGCTTGGAAGCGCCAAATGTCGTCCCCCGATTGCCCGGTTGCGCGGAATTTCGTTTGCCTCGACCGGGTTTACTTCCTGACAGATTGCAGGCCAGCGTAATCGTTTTTTTTCAACGGCCGTTGAGCTGTCACGGCTCGGCCCAAAATCCGGGTCAGGTGATGTTGCCCCTGATTGACACTCGTGCAGCGACGATCAGACTCTCGTGAGCGACCGGAGAACGCGTGCAAAGGTCCCGCTGAAACCATACGTGATACCTCCTCCCGCCCAAAGCAAGATGGAACAAACTACTCCACCAGAACCCAATCCGTCGCTTGTTCTCGATGAAGAGATATCGAAAATCCGCTCTGAAAGTATGTACTCGCGACGCGTCTCCGCTTGCTGTACGAAATCCTAACTAACTAGAGCTTCAGTTCAAAATCTGACAAAGCGCCGACGGGTTTTATCAGCCAGTCTGCTCTCCACCAATGCAGTTCAGAGTGCTCTAGGACGACAAAATGCGTCCGATTCAAACCCAAGCCTCGTCCCCGTTGTCTTGGACAGCCAGAACCACGCGCTTTCCAACCACCATCGAGCTGTGTTTTCCACCACATCGTTCCCTTTCAAGGACCCTTCCCCGCACTCCCGGTCGCAGAATCTCTTGGGAATACGTATTGACATCTGTACCCGAGGCGGCAGATACTCTAAACCGTATTATCTCCTACTCGAACGTGCACACAGCGACCAAACATTGCTGCGAGTTCACAGACATACCATACCCACGTTCATTCCGTTAAATCAGCTAGAAAGAAAGTATCTCGCCGTGCCAGATGTGGACTCCGAACTTCAGCAAGCCTTAAAGGCAAAACCCGGAAAACAAGACCTCAAGAGGTTTGTTCGCCAGCTCAGACGAGAACTCGTTGCATGGCACTTGCGGAGAGACGCTATCGCGTGGCTTCGAGAGGAGCTGGGTATTGACAAAGTCGAGTGTGTTGGGGATTCTCAAGGGTCAGATTCACTTGCCGTAAAGCTTGGAATATCGTCTATAACACCAGCCTCACTTGAGGCACGTTACCTCCGTTTTGAATGGCGCGATGGGCGTGTGGGTCAGATTCAATTGTCTAGTCAAGGGCTCGTCGAGCGCGCAGTGGTCGTGAGCAGCGAAGGCCGTGATATGACAACGGAAAATCTGTTTTTGAGAGGCGATCGTAGGATTGAGACCGCGGTTCAAAGGCTACTCGATGCAAACATGACTGGCTAAAAGGGGGGGCTGTGTAAAGGAGAATCTCAAGCACTGTTTTTGAGTGGATGAATGGTGCCAGGCCACAACAAACTCATGCACATCACAAAGTTCGTGTGTTTTGTTTATTTCAACTTATGACACTTTTCTCTAAGAATAAAAATCGGCAAATAACCCTCCCTTATGCGGCCCAAATATACTGGCTACACAGGGTACGACACACTGCTTTTGGCCTTTGTCAGAGCCCAGTAGAGCAGCTGATTTAAGACACTTATCCTTCCCATCTTTCAAGCCCTCACACTTCGAAACCCTCTCGCGGTGGATCTCCCGGCACTTTTTCTCACAAGTTTTCTTAATTTCATTATCACGTTTGTTCTTCGGTATGGCGCCAGCGGCGACATATACTGCACTGAGGAGGAAACACAGGTACACGGAAAGTTTCATTCTAAAATTCTGCTTTGTTCAGATTAGCTGTTGGTGCTGGATCAGGACTGAAAGGCACCATACAGAGTACACAGCACACTATGAGTTTAATGCTTTTCGATCACAATCTAGGGCCTGATCATGTGTTAGTTGATTTGTAAAGTTGGTGAGCCCTGCTTGTCAAATTCAGTGGCTTACCTTCGTTGTCAGGAGGCTTGTCTGTCTTAGCAGAAGCGGTTTTTGTTGAAGTTGTGGAAGGGGATATGGCGATATTTATCATTATCGAGAAGATACGGAGCTCACACTCATCGGAGCGGATCCCGCCCTTGAGTGACCGTCACAGCCAGCCTAAAACCAAGGCACAGGAAGCTTGCATACAATTCCTATTCCCAACTGGGGTAAATCCCCGTCACTTGGCTGGCAAACGACCTGGTTGTCAACACCGACAAGTTGCCCGAAGTGTTGGTTCCTGAAGTCAAGCCCGGAAACTCTAGACTCTTATTACCTTCCTGTAAGGGATTGCAATCCTTTCGTTCTCATAAAACTGAGAAATCGTTTCCTATCCGCCATGACGTGAAGCCCATTCGTTCGGGTTTCCGGCCAAAAAGATGATTCTTTGGGCTTGGGCTCGAAGGAATCGATTCTGTCTTCTATTGGACGGTGCGCTGTATGCAGTATGGAATATCGCTCAACGCTTTATTCCTTCAAGTTGGATTTCGAACCAGTCTTTCGACGCAACCTCTACAGCGATTTTTGCGTGATGTGGTAGACCGGTAACCTATAGCTCTTTTGCACAAGGTATCTCGGACTGGACCACGTTCCTTGCGGTGCCTGTGCAGCGGGAATGTTTCCAATTTCGCCATGGATAATGCGAAGCTGCCGGACTCGCGCTTGGGGAAGTTATCCCAGGCTATGTAGTCTACCGGTACTATTTCCAGTTTTGACAATTGGTTTGCGTGAAGAAGGCTTTTAAGGGGTCGTTTCACCGGTGTTTAACATACAGAGTAGATTCAAAGGTTTGTTTGTCATGATATTAAGATATTATTTCCTAGCAAAAACCTATGTGATTAGTTTTTGCATTATGATGATATGCCATGGGGCATATCTATAGACATTATACTCAGCACCCGGATAGGACGCCTGGGAGCCGTTATTTGCAAAATTAGCTCTCCTAGGAGTAGAAGTATATCCATAACATTAGCAAATAACAGAGAGTTGCTCTGAAGTGGGTATCATCATGAGCAAAGTATGTGCAAGCGAAAGAAAAAATAAAAACAAAAACTTCCCATAAATGCAATGGATATGTGGGGCATATGAGTTGTGAATGAGGATATCAAGGTAACAAAGATGTCCGAGAATACGCAGTAAAACAACGATAGTAGTGAAATAGGTCTTTCCGGAGAGATATGGAGTATATGGGAGCGGAGAACTAGTTAGGTTTGATGTGATGGGAGAGATGTCACGAATGTCGTTTTTCAGGGGTTTCGCATGCTATCCGCCCAACGGTCTGTTGATCATTGCTAGGGCGCGCTCTATCAATAGAGGTATCATCTCCGATATCCCCAAAGGATAACTTCGGAAGAGGGCTGTAATATTCTTGGGTATCGATTTCGAGCTTCTTTCGAAGAATACTTTCTTCAAGCACCCATCTTGCCTGTAGACGAGCTCGTTTGGCTTCGAGCCAGCCAAGAGCGACATCTTTTTCTTCGCGACAACGATTTTCTAGATCACGAAGGTCGCGCTCATTAGCTTCTTCAAGAAGACGAACGGCCTGTTCCCATTTCTTCAGAGCATTTTCGTAATGCTTCGCCTGCGTATCTCGAAGAACCTTGATCTTTGATTCGTGTAGAGAGTCTATTGTGGCAAGTTCGTGCTGCTTTTGCCGGAGGAGGTCTCTATACTCCTTGCTGTATCTCCGCTGCGGTAATCGGGACTCTGCGCTGTTGTCTCCAAGTTGCGCTTCTGGCGGTGGGGTTATGAAATAAGCTTCCATATAACGTATGCGGCTCTGCAAGGCCTGCTTTTCACGCTTGAAGTCTTCAGTCAAAGAAAGCTCCGCCATCAGGTCCCGCTCTTCTCGACGAACAGCCTTCTGGGAATTCTATACAAGAATTAGACGTCAAGAATTTCCGGTTTATATAGGAGCTATCATTACCTGCGCGACCAAATCCTCCACGGCCTTAATATGCCGGCTCTTAGTCTCCTCGAGAGTGCGACGATGACCACGCAAAATGGGTACCAACATCTTCCTCCGAAATATCAAATATCTCTGCATCTGACCTTCATGAGCGGCACGCATGGCTTTTAATTCCGGAGTGACTAAACTCCGCCGCAGACACCCTTCGTCAATTGGTGCAAGAGTGTCCCTACTGGCTAAAGACTCGGTGGTGTTGATGTCTAGGCTTCTTCCTTGTCGTATGTCACGAAGACCATTGGATGGGCTCGAGCTGAGCTCTGATGGCGTGGTTGAAGGAAGAATCCCAAGTGCAGACCCTTTCCGTCTGCGAAGGTTTGGAATTCGGGAAATTGCATGCTTTAGGCCGAATTTAAATCCCCTATCGATGCCTTCGAGGTTGAGAGAGTGTCTTGTGGGACGGAAGTCAGCAATTGATTGCCTTGGCTCCGATTCGCTGATGCTGCAAGTCGTGGGGCATGTGGACAACGAGGCGATGGAGTGTCGACTGCTTGATATGCGTTCCTTTAGAGACCAAGGCGTAGAGAAGGAAGATAGCATTCGGGTCGGGGACGGGGTAACCGTGGATGGCAGCGCATATTGACTGGAAATTGAACTTTCATCATTCCCTTCTCTAGGATCCTCCGTGGAATAAGAGCCGGAGCCATCGTTACAGACGGTCAGGCCAAGCGCCCTTGCATCACCAAGAAGCCGGTTGTCAACATTATCTTCAGTTTGGCCTTCGGGTAAGAGCAGAACGGCTTCGCAGTAATTACTTTCGTCTGCGGAGGAAATCTGCAAAGAGCGAACATTGCCCTGAAGTTCGCAAGTTGATGGCCTTGTCAAATCCATCGGCAAGCTCAGGTATCAGCGGGGCGTACAAGAGCGGTTGGACTCGGAAACACGCGTCTGATGAGAGCTCGAAGAATATGTCGTCGGCAAGGTTGCAATGCCAATAGATGAGAGGAGACATGGGAAGTAGGGAACGGGCGTTAAAATGGAAGCTCAATTGGCCAGCAACCTAAACATGTATGAGGCGTTTATTGGAACTGGGCCTTCCGGGAAACTTGAACGTTAGCACACCTGGAGTTGGTTGGAGGTGGTGAAGGCGAAGGCATCATACATACAGGGCTACTGGCGCTATTCATAGTCGCGGTCATGATTAACTTAACCTCTTGCTTTACTCTAGACAAGATAGCTCGTAAACGTCCAACACCCGCAATCGGTATAGGATTCGAAGTGCAATAAGCAAGCGTAATTAGGCATTAATGCAAGACAATCGTGAACTGGGAAAGTGAAGGAGATGTCTCGGCTGGTTGTTGTGCGCATTGTGATCATCGCTGCCAATCATCTGAACTCCGCACCGTCAAGCCATCGCGGCCAAAAAAAGGAACACGCTAGCCCTGAGACAGGAGTCTTGGTCGCCGATCAACTGGGAGCCAGGCCAAACCAGGGTTCGCGGATCTCCAGCCGCTCCCCTGGCCGACGCTCACTACTGGCAACCCAGGGACGGCGCGCTTTTGCACAGGGTCCTGTTTGTCGGGCCCATCATCCATGGATCGGGTTGGCGCTCAAACACAACGCTCGAAAGGCTGTTTTCCCACGATCTCGTGTGCTGAGTCATCGGGCTGCAGCTTGGCCCCAGATGACCTTTCGTCGAGGGAGCTGCAGGGCCAGTGCGGAACTGAACGTTGCGATCGCGAGATACTACCCAACAGTTTCGCTTTTGCAGAGCAGAGAAGTTCACGATTGACTACACCCATCATGGACCCGCGGTTCACCGTGATCGTCCGGCTCCCTTTCCCCCGCGGCGATTTTGTTGATCCACCCCCGGTAGGCCGTCCGCAGAAAAACAACTGTCTTTCTCCGATGGATGCTAATGTTTTCCCCAGCCTGACTGGACCGCTGCGAAAGATCGAGTGCTATGGGAGGTGCTCCTGCAGCCATCAAAGCCGGTAGATTGTAAGATTGTGACAAGCTCAAGCAATCCTGGCAGAGTGAAACGAGGCTAACAGACACTTGCTTCTAGGGAATGCACTGTAATACCCCTTGTTTGTGTTTACGGACTGGCTTCATCTAACCTTGACGCAAGTGCTTCTCAACTGGACGTTACGCTCCCGTTTCTTCTTCAGCAAGCAGCATGGCTCTATGGCCATCGACTGGCACAAGTTCGAGCAGAAATACTAAGAGCTGGCCACCAGCAACCGGCTTCTCCTGCTCCAACGCCGGTAACCACTTCCGGAAGCCATGCTACTGGCGGCCATGCGCTGACTAGGGGTCGCAGCAGTGGTATGTTTCGTGGGATCTTGTACGAAGGACGTACGGTTGACGTGTCTTAGGATCTCCAGTCACTTCTAGGTTGTCGAGCCAGCAACGTGAAGGTCAAGGTACCCCACGGCCAGATACAAGTACTCCGCCGACGTCAGCCAAACCCCAAGGTTCGTAGGGTTCACGAGGCGACGAATATGGCTTTAGAAACTGACGAGAATTAGTGTCTCACTCCCGTGCGCCTTCATCAACTGTCCCTCCCGGTCAGATTGCGGCTGTGCGCGCTCTCTCCTCCAAGCCAGCGATATCCCATACTCCTCAAGGAAGAGAACCAAATGACAAGACACCAATGGACGTGAAATACGATCTTCACACACAGGGCTCAGCGATAGAGCCTCCTGCAGGCGAGGAGAGTCCTGAGCCGATGTCATCGTCTGAATCGGACTCTGACAGTTCAGCCGGACCCGGTATCCCTTTCAAACGGTTCGGCAAATTCTCTTTGCATAGACCCCGAAATACCGAAATGGATGAAGACGAGGATGATGAAGAGTCGCCGGCGTTTCTACCCTTTGAAAATGTGTGCCAGCGGCCCGCTCCCACAGCGGAAAATGACCCAGGGGCCACCCTTCGCCAGGAGCCCGACAAGAGCCACAGGACGCGAGAGTCGCTGCACAGGGAGATTACGGCAACAGCGTCTACCAGTACTACCAGTTCAGGAATAGGATCTACCTCGTCCGGCTACGATGTGCAGCGGAGGCATCCCCGGCTTGGAGCGCTAAGTCCGCGACGGACCGCCGAACTGGCACGTCTGAGCCCACGTCATCAGGGCAAACGCAGCGACGGCACACCCAGCATGGGCAGTAGCTTCAGCGACCTGGATGGTACGTAGAGACCATACTACATATAGAGAGGACTAGATGTGTGCTTCGATTTGGAGTACATGCTGACATTCTGTGACATGTAGATGCCAGCGTGACTCAATCGGCCTTGGAAGAGGCGTTGCTTAGCCATATGCAGAATGGAGGAGTCGCTAGTAGGATGAGCACATTCAGCCAAGCATTACGGAGTAGGTATCTATGATCTGTTAAGCTATGCCACTCTTCACTCCAGGCTTCTCCATCGAAATCCCAGCTGGAGGTCGCAGTTCGCAACGCAGTTCGGCAGAAGATTTGCATCAGGTGCCCGGCTTGGTTCACGGATCTTCCTTTCTCCGGACTCCGAGATGACGTAACCCCGCAGCCGGAATTCCGAGGCTAAAATCGAGCAACTTCAAACAACCCGCCGGAGCAGCCAGAAAACAGCCCGGGAGAAGAAGGACGCCCGCTCATCGTCTGTGCTATCTCCTGGTGGTTGGTGTTCCCTGTCTGTTAGCGGTGTTTCTGCTCTCTTCCTGCTCGCTCTCTCCCTCCCCCCTCTAGCGTTGCTTCGCGAGACCGACTTCGGCGATCTAAGATTTTGCGTGCCCCGCCAATGATAGAATATACAAAGTAGTATCTGGTCCTGACAGCCCTCAGCCTCACGCTCGAGCAGCTCGCCAATTCACGTCCATCCCGGGACGACGTTGCAGTGAGAGCGAATTCCTAGTCGAATATCCTCAGACTTGCCGTTCAATCCTTCATCGCTCGTCCAACCTGAACGTTTGGCATAATCTTTGCCCCCCGACTTCGATTGGCAGATTTGATTTCAATACACTCGTTCCGGAGCTTTAGCCCGATAACAATCTGCCAATGGCCGCCAAAACCGTTCCTATGGACTCCTTGAGCCCCGATGAGATGGAATCTCACTATTTCAAGACGAATCCCCCGCCCATCCACCTCCAGACCCATATTACAATCGCGCGAGCGTTCATAAATAGGCATGTGGAGGCCGGTCGGCGAGTGGTGCTGGTGACATCTGGCGGCACCACGGTGCCTCTTGAGGCACAGACGGTCAGGTTCATCGACAATTTCTCTGCCGGAACTCGTGGCGCTACATCGGCCGAATACTTCTTGCAGGAGGGCTACGCTGTGATCTTCTTACATCGACAGTTCAGTCTGCTTCCTTATTCGCGCCATTACAGTCACTCAACCAACTGCTTTCTTGATTTCATGGACGAAGCCCCCTCGCAGTCGGCATCCTCGTCGCTCTCTTCAACAATTGGCGAAAAGAACACCGAACATGGACCTATCGTGGTGCGGACTGAGTATCAGGATGATATGCGTAAGGTCCTGCGACAGTATCGATACGCCAAAGAAAACAATCTTCTTCTCTTATTGCCATTCACAACCGTAACCGAATACCTCTACGAGCTCCGCGCCCTAGCAACCCTCATGCAACCCCTCGGTGTCAACGCGCTCTTCTACCTCGCGGCCGCCGTATCCGATTTCTTCATTCCCCGCGACCGAATGGCCGAACACAAAATCCAATCTTCCAACGAAGTCCCCATTCCCGGCCAGGCACCAACCAAACCCGACACAGCCGCCCACACCGTCCCCGAAAGCACCTCCGCCATCCTCCCAGATCACATCTACACCGGCTTCAACGACCCCAACGGACCCCCAAAACATCAGAAGAAACTCGTCGTTGACCTTGACCCCGTACCCAAGTTCCTCCACCGCCTCGTGAACGGCTGGGCCCCGGCCGGCTCCATGATCGTCAGCTTCAAGCTCGAGACCGACCCGGCCCTTCTCGTTCTGAAATCAGAACAGGCACTCCAGCGCTACTCACACCACCTCGTCATCGGCAACCTCCTCTCCAATCGGAAATGGGAAGTCGTCTTCGTGAGCAGGAAGCCCGACGGCGCCATTCAGGAGCGCTGGATCCGGATCCCTAGGCCGAGAAGAAGTGTGAGTGGTGCGTTGCCGGGAATGAGCGCTGGACTTCAGGCTGGTTTGTCACCTGCTGCCGCGGCAGCGGCCGCGGCCGCCGCGCACGAGCACGCTCAGAAGGAGGTTGAGATCGAGAGCGTAATCATCCCGGAGTTAAAGAAGATGCATACAGTTATGATCGAAAGAGCAAAAACCAAGGAGACGAAATGATGTCACGATGCATAGAAAAAGACCTAACAGAAAGAAAACACTTTCCACCTAGGTGTGGGCCTCCGGCACCCTTGAAAGCACCTCTTTGAAAGTAGATTTATTATGACTTTTGGTGGGCGCGCTTCCTTTTGGATATATTGTACCGTGCAATTGTTCTTTCTTTTCCTAGCTTTGCAATTGTTCCTAGATTTTCCAACCTACATACATACTACAAAGTGGATTGGTTGTCTAATGGACCGCTACGCGGTTCCATTTTCGCATACTTTGTTACTTTATACACGTTTGATTCTCGAACTCTAGAGGACTACGTGGGATCCTCGGTTCCATTTTTGCCATGACTCAATTTATTACGACCTACGGGCGTGCTCGAGTAAAATAATACATGAATCGCCCCGCTGCCCAGCTGAAACATGGACTGGTCAACCATACTACAGATCAATCATTCATGAGCTGTCCTTCAACGGAGGAGCATCCGGGTCCTCCATGCATTGATCTACCCTCATGATCTGCTTGCCACTTGCCTTGACAAGCTGAAAGACGTCTTTGAAATAATCAACCGTGGAGCGATGCAAGAAATGCATGACAGCGAGATCACCACCCTTTTCGAGATCCCGTTTGAAAGCTTCATACTGCTTCTCGGGAGTTGGTGAGTGCGCCCAAAGCCAGTCTTCAATATCGACACTCCAAGTGATGATGTACGGATTTTCAATATGTTCGGCGAGTCGCTGCCTAGTCCTTGCACCAACGACACCGAACGGAGGTCGGAAATATCGGCCTGGTGAAATTTGGTGAGGATAGGTAAGCAGGAAGTGTGTTGGTCGGGGGAAACTTACTCTCAATTCCCAACTGCTCTTTCATGACCTTGATGTTTTCGGTTATTTCTGAATCAATCTCTTCAAGCGAGGAAAGTCCTTCCACCCTATTCCAGCCGTTAGGATAAACAGTGCTACGGAGTCGACGAAAGCACTCACGCAGGGTGAGAGAATGTGTGCAAAGCGACCTGATGACCACGGGACAACATGTCACGGTATGTTTCCGTGAAATTTGACGTCTGATCTAGCAGCCCATTTCCGACTGTGAAGAAGGTAACTTTGATATGCTCTTCCTCTAATATCTGGATCACTTCTTGTGCAAACTCTGGACGACCATCATCGATCCCAAAGGCAAAGGAATTGGGTCGCTTGCATTTGACAGCCAATGTGCCACTAGGAAGCTTGACTGGAACCTCAAAATCCTCAGGCACATCAGACGTGATCTCAACCTTATACAGTATCGCCGGCTCCCTGGTATAGAAACCGTTGAAGGCGACAGAGTTAACCCGGGAGAAATCGATGTTGAAGTGGTGAAGCGGCATGTAAATGTGCCCACCGGCAGAGTAACGCGCTGCTTCGAGAGAGTCCCACGTTTCGGGATAAGGGGCTCTGGTTTGATCACACCATTCGTTGTTCTGCGTAAGAGAAACTGTGAACTTATCGGTGCCGGAGAAAGAGATGTGGAGATACATGTTCATGTACTCCGACATATCCAAGCAGTAAGGGCCGAGTCTGGTGTGGAAGTTCATATCTGGATCTGATGGAGTAAGATGCAAGTATCCAGGACCGTATTCGGCCGGCATTCCTTCATCTGGCCCGGCCCATCCTCCGAGGTTGTTGGATCCGGGTACGTCAAAGGTATCAATAACCAGAGGTTCTACGAACGGCCGCATTGGAGCTGCAAAGATGGAAATATTCAAAAGCGCCAAGCAGAGGGTCACAGCCCGGTAAACAGCCACCAGGCATTCGGGGGCCATCTTGAAATAAAGAACTATTGATAATCCGGCTATTCTGCTTGATAGAGATACAATCAGAAAATCCTAGCGGGAAAACACAGGCGTCCAAGTATTCGTCCTCTGCTATACCGAAAAATGGAGAGGTCAAGCGGGAAGAGGCAGAGGAAAAGGGATAACAAGCGATGCAAAATCAAATTATCCTGTGGCCATTTCTCCGGTAACCGCAGGCGAGAGAAAGTCCATCCCGAAGAATGGAAACAAGGCCGCAATTGCTAGCCCGCAACCTCTAGTGCGTTGTTTCCCCCCAGAATGCGAGGAGCAGAACCCGGTTCCAAAGCTGATTAAACTCCCTGTCCGAAGTGGCATCGGCTCGAGTATTCTACGCTTTATCAGAGAAGCGCACCCAAAACAGATCTGGTGATAGACGTTTCAAAGGCGAACCTGGGAGAGCCTATAGACGCCCTCTACAGGAGTAAAAGGGGCTGGAGTTCGTGGCTGCTGATCAAGTAGTTACTGGTTACTTATGTGTGGCTCAGCAACTGTGGCTTGATAGTGTCGAAAAGCCCCATGCCATGCGGAGGAACTTCAGCGGACGTCGCGGGATGCGTTGAGCCTGTTCATGCGATGTCTACGGGCCGTTCTACAGGTACGCTACATCAGTTCTAAGTGGCTAAAACCGAGACTCTGTGAAGCTACTCTCTGATTAAGGTATGTATATTCATGAGATTCCATCGCTAATAAGATCTCGAAAATATGGACAAGAATTAGTTCAGTCGTAACTTAGATTTGGGCAGACAGGTGAAAACGCTAGAAAACACCGAAAGTACTCCTCTTTTCGTTGAGGATCAAAGCCATGGACACATTAAAGCAGCCAAAGCCAGCATTAGACGTTTTCATTTTTAACAAGGAAATGTGCAAGGGCATCAAACAATCGTCGTATGCTTCTCATTCGGTTGCATATCAGGAGAGACAGTCTCTGGCGTCTCCTCTCCACCTTTTACCTGCTGCCCTTCTCTTCTTGCATGACCAGCCGTTACTGGGTCATAGTTTGGCGTCTCCGGAACTTCACCCGCCAGCTCCTCCAAGGTCTTCCTCTTGGTTTCAGGAATGAGGAAGGAGGTAATCAGTCCACACAGCATGAACAAAGCAAATATTTGCATGACGTGCTTGAGCCAAGGCTTCTCGGATGACCCTGGCTTTGCTCCCCGAGAGACTAGAGGGCCAAACACACACTGCGCAATGATGGCACCCACCTTCCCTGAAGCAGCACTGAGGCCATGAGACGTGGATCTATATCTGGTCGGGAAACATTCGCCAGGAACGATGAAAGTGGTGGAGTTGGGCCCGAAGTTGAAGAAGAACTGGGCGATAACATAGAGGGCCAAGAGTCCGTTGTTCGAGTGGAGGAGTTTGTCGTAGGCGAAGCCGATGACAATGAAGAGCACCGTGAGCATTGTAAAGCCCATGATCTGAATCGGTTTACGCCCAAGAGTGTCGACGGTAGCGACGGTGACCCAGTATCCGGGAATGGCGCCGGCGCAAATCAGGATCAAATTTCCCACTGCGGTATTGTACATAATTTCGTACATGTCCTTACCGCCAGTGTAGCCGATTGCAGAAAGGATGATCGAGTTATTTAAGCCGAGTCCATAGAAGGCTAGATGTTGGCTACGTTAGCTGCAGGCCGCGTTGTTTCCAGGTGAAATTTGTTGGCGTTATACATACCAACATCAAGGAAGAACCAAGAGCCCGCAGTTCCCAAGAGAACCTTTCCATGTTTCCACTGTTTATAGTGCGTCCAGAAGTCTGACCAGCTCGCCTTTGGCACTTGAAGTTGGCTTTGGCTTTGCTCCAATGTGGCAATGCGCTGGAGTTCGTCCGGGCTTCCCTCAGGTTTACCCAGCATATATGCTTTGGTATCTTCAGCGCCCTTGACGACATCTCGCTGGACATCAAAGGTGTATCGTGGTGTTTCGGGGATTGTTAAGCGATAATAGAGAGCAATGCAGCCTGGAACAGCGCCGAAACCGATGACCACACGCCACATTTTATCCACAGCGACTTGACAAACACCAGAACACTGGCTTTCGCTTTCCGCTGTTTTCAGGGACTCTTTGAAGCCAGCTGCGACGATCAAGGCGACCAAAGCTGCAGCAAACTGTCCAATTCCCTGCATGGCGAAGACTGCACCCATCATGGCACCTCGCCATTTGGTAGTTGCGAATCTGAAGGATGCAACGGTCAGCAGATGGTCCAGAGAACCTGCTATGCAGACCAATTGAGATATCGTGAAGCTTACTCTGATGTGATAATGGACGAAAGAGGATAATCACCACCAATTCCAATCCCCATGATTACACGCCAGAAGATTAAGAGACCAACAATTGAAACACCAGGAGAATCGGACGACAACGCTTGGGCGAGAGTCGCGAAGATGATGACCATCAGCTCAAGACCATACATCTTCTTTCTACCGACGACATCGGCAAGCCATCCAAACCCAACCTGGCCAATGACCGTCCCCCCAGACGTAGCGACCTTGATCGCGGTGTCAGCACTAGAAGGGATCTTCCCTGGTTTATCTTTGGCATCGAGCCAGAAGACGACACCTAACATGGCACTGGCCAAGTTGATGGCGAAGATGTCGTAGGCATCAGTGAAGAAGCCGATTCCGGCAACGACGATAGCGCGAATGTGATACCAGCCAAAGGGTGCCTTGTCGATTTCTGCAAGAGCTAGGCGTCTGCGTTCATTTGGATCCTGGATATGGGCGAACTGGTTGTGGAAATTTTTGAAGGCGGAGTTACCGCCAGCAGTGAGTGTCGCCATGTATGGCCTGTGCGAGCCCTCAGTTGAGGTTATGACCTGAAAGGTGGCCTCAGAAAGAACGGCGCAAATTTGGAGATGCAGAGTGGTAGGGAGCTGCTTTGGAATGGAAAAAGGTCGACGAAGAGCATGGAGGCTGCGAGAAGTAGGATTTTATATGAAAAGAGGGCCCTCGGGTGGTGAAGGTCCACCCTCTGATAGCCGAAGCCCGTCGTCTACACGTGGTGAGCAGATGGGCGAGGGATTTTTCCCACCCACACAGGGTCGCAAGGCAGTCAAGGCGGCTTTTCCTTTCGGCGTTGGCTTAGCCGGCGCGGCATTTTTGCAACTGGCGGGGACGTGCATATTATGCACGGCTCACCCGCGCTAAGCATGCTCCCGGCGTCTTGCCCGTCTTGGGAACGTGCTTGTCGAGAAGCTTGACCCGCGCACTCCGTTGATTGATGCCAAGACCCACCTCCCTTTCCACAGAGCGGGCGTCGCCAGCGCACGTGGGCTCCGACGCTTGCTGGGCGGGCTCTCGGCGCCAAGAAATGCCGTCCTTGGCAAGGCTTAACCGTCAATCTCTGCATCCCGAAGCGGCAAGTGAGCACGTTGGCAACTCGTGCTGCGGTTTTCCGCCGGCGTTCGCGCGGTGGGAGGGACGTGTATTCATGGATAACGGCGGTGTACTTTGTAATCCCGCATTTAATAAACGAAGCGTCTTCTCTGCAGGGAGACAGCTTACTGCAGCTGCTTCTTGAGAATACCTGCCTCTAGCCCAAGGAAAACAAAAAGATATTCTTGTTCGGCAAAAATGTCCGAATCCACACCTCACTTTGATACCCTTGAGCATCTTCCCCAGCTCGTCACATATCCCGCCATCTCAGAGGATGACAAGATCTCTGCCCTTCGTCTCATCGCCGATAGTGTGGCCCAGCAACGCCAAATTGCTGCAAAATCCCTGATATCACATCCACTCTGCATCACTGCACTAGTCCTTCTTATATCCCTGGCCGGAAAATATCAGTCCCATGGAAAATCACTGGGCGACCTGGCGTTTGTAGGCACTACCGGCGCAGGATGCATAATGATCTTGCTCGTGCTTGTGCAATGGGTGACCAGCGCGTACCTCGAAGAGGCGTCACGCGTTGGAACCTGGAAATGGCTGAAAAGCGAGGCCAAGGACCCTTCTACCCCAGTCAGCCCACTCACAGATGATGTCTTCCTCGTTACTAAATACGGCGATGAAATTATTGGCACGATTCTTCTACGAATACCATCCTCGCCGAAGTCGAAGGCAGAGACGCAGGGAGAGCAGCCAGTATTGGTGCGCGCATGGACCGTAGGACGCCGCTATCGCCAGAAGGGCATTGGAACCGGGCTGTTGGAGGAGGCGTTTTCCTACCTACAAGCCAGAAGCCTACATGATCTAGATGTCAGATTCGATAGATCCCACGCAAATTCGTTCCGAGTACTACCAGGAATGTTTAATCGACCCTTCAACATGAGAGAAAATTGGGCAAGACGGAAGTTGGAGGGTGTCAGAAAAATACAAAACGTCATGGTGAAGAAGTAAATGAAACAGAAAGTTCCATGGAAATAGATCGTATAGAAACCCCTAATATTTTTTTTTTCTATTTTTCGAATGAACTATTTGGATTATCAAGGCCCATTGCATCAGATTCAACTTATTCTCGCTTTCGGATTCCCAAGTGCAACTGGAGCCTCTGTAAGTCTTTTTGAAAATATTTCCGAAACAAAATCAATCTTTATGCCGTCAAGACCTTCAAAAAAGAAAAAAATGGGGACAAGGAATAGAGAAAACCCAAGAGAATTCATCCACCCGCCAAGTTGTCCATATTGTGTGAGTGATGTTTCCTTGATAGGACAAGTTATTAGATTCTTGAGCGGCCATTTATTCCTGTTCCCATACTATTCGAAAAGCAAGCCGAGGGCGGTGAAGGAGAAAAGAAAAAAAAGAAAGTGTATCCCAGAGAGCTTTGAGTAGGCCGGAAGGATGCATCACTTTTACCAAGCGGCGCCAGTGTTGCCTGCGTTCCAATCGTCGGTTTTCGAGACAGGAGCCGGCGCAGCAGGTGCATCCCAACCGTCGTTCTCCCCGCCCCAAGCTGCATCGGTGGCTGCAACGTCCAAGTCATCGTCTTCACCATCTGTGTCGTCGTTCCACTCAACTTCGCCGTTTTCTGGGACATATGTTTCGAGGAAGTCCGGAATTTGCTGCTTGCATTCGAGAAGAACCTTGACCAAGTCCGTTGCGATGGCGGAGTCGCGACCGTCGTTGTAGAAAGAGGTGGCGAGTCCTTCGTTTCCAATTCTTGCAGTGCGCCCTGGCATAGTTATTAGGAACTAGGAATGGTAACTTCAATAAATGTCGAGTATCTTACCGATGCGGTGGATATACTCGTCAATACCACCATGTTCGACGCTTGGCAAGTCAAAGTTGATAACATGCATAACATGACGGATATCCAGGCCACGAGCAGAAATGCCGGTAGCAACCATGATGGGGCAAACACCAGTTCGGAATGCACGGCTGTCATTTTCTCGTCAGAATGATCATGTCTTTAAAAGAATCAAGAGGAGCATACATAGCATCTTCACGCTCACGCTGAGTGCGATCAGAGTGGATAGAAGTACTTGGAAGACCATTGTTAAATAAAAAATCATCCAGCAAATCTGCCTGCTGCTTGTTGTTGACAAAGACTAAGGTACGAGACGGCGGGATAGACAGGATCAAGTCGTAGAGAGCCTTCTTCTTCTTATCATCTTCGGTGTAGATGACCTTACAGGTGTCAACAGGTGTCAGATAATCCATATAGTGTGGTGTGGAAAGGAATATATAACATACTTGCTGGGTGACATTCAGGTGAGAACTTCCAGCACGACCAATGCGGATACGGACATGGTCAATGGAAAGGAAACGACGAGCGACTTGGCGACATTCTTTGTTGAACGTAGCAGAAAACATCATGTAGCAATGGTCTGCATCCTCGTTGACATCTAAAATCAGTGTTAGAATTTTCCTTTGGCTTTTCCCACAAAGATTACATTGAGACACCTACCTCCACCAGACATGATCTGAGTGAATTCACGCTCCCAGTTAGAGTGCAACATTTCGTCTGCTTCATCGATGATAGTATACTTGACGCGATGGAGGGACAGCAGGCTGTTCCTGCCCATAAAATCCAAGATTCTTCCTGGAGTTCCAATAAGAATATCACATCCCTTGTGCAAATCGATGCGCTGCTCACGAGCAGGAGCACCGCCATAAATGACGCAGGGACGAAGCATGGAGCGATAGCAAAGGCGACGAGCTTCATCGAAAATTTGAGTTGCCAACTCGCGTGTCGGCGCAACAATTAGGACGAGCGGTTCTGCACGAACGGAGTCGACACTTTCATTGAAACCATTGGTAAGGTCTGGACGTGCGGCCGCAAGTTTTTTCGCCTTTCCCATCAGCTTGGAGAGAACCGGAATCAAAAAAGCAGCAGTTTTGCCGGAGCCTAGAAACGATTATAATGAGCAAGCTAAACGTTTTCAAACGAGAGGAATTATCAATAGCACCCGTACCGGTTTGAGCCACAGCGATCAAATCATAGCCGTTCATGACAGCTGGAATAGAGTAGGCCTGAACCGGAGTAGGGACCTCATAGCCACAAAGTTTCACGTTTTCAAGCAAGACTGGGTGAAGTCCGGCATCGTCGAACTGGGCCTATGTCAGTTTTGCCATGCAGGAAAATGGACACGATCACTTTGAAAACCTACACTCTTGATGGGGTTAGGCTGATGAGTAGTCTCAGCGGTAACCTTGATCTCACGCAAACTAAGGGTTTCAGTTTGAGCCAAGGGCATTTCCTTTGAAAAGACTCAAAGTGACTTACTTCTCGAAAAGATTGCCAGCGCGGTTGGTATACTCATCACGGAAGAGCATCTGTTCAAGTTCTTCGTTTCGCGGGCCCACATCGCCATATTCGTCTTTCCATTCGTACTTGGCGGCAGTCGAAGCCCAAGTAGGTGCCTCATATTCTCCGCTTGTCGCACCGCCAGTGAGCGGACTAGCATTGTAAGTCGCGTAATTATAATGCTGAGGTTCGGCCCAGCCCTTTTCGCGAGCCAAAGCGGCCGCCTCGGAATTCATGTTTCCGTTGAACTTTGGAGCGTCGGGCATTCCCTTGGCCTCCATGCGAGGAGAGCCGGATTCAGTAGCTGCCATCTCGCTAAAGACTTCAAGTCAGCGCCCAAAAGGTCGAATAGCAGTGTCAAGGTAGGCGATGAGGTTAGAAAGAGAGAGTCTAAGGAGCAGGATATATTAAAGCCTCAAAAAGCTGGAAGGGTTGTCTAAGGGATGAGGGCTATAAAAACCAAAAGATGGAGGGGAAAAAAAGAAAGAGAGAGTAGATGCTTTTAAGAAGAGAGGAGATGAAGAGGAAAGATTCACTTTAAATAGAGACGAAACTCACTTGAAGAGAACGGACGAGATTCGCTCTAAAGCTGCGACGAAAGTCACTTGAGAAGAACTGACAATATTCACTGTTAAAGTTACGACGAAAAGTCACTTGAAGGAAACAGACAAGATTCACTCTAAAGCTGCGACGAAAAGTCACTTGAAGGAAACAGACAAGATTCACTCAAAAGCTGCGACGAAAGTCAATTGAGTAGAATTGACAACATTCACTTCAAATGTAGAGGCATGACTCAAAGAGTAGAGACAAAATTCACTTGAAAAGCAAAGACAGGATTCACTCCAAAAGTCAAGACGAAACTCACCTTGAAAATATAGACAAGTGAAGCCCCTGTGCAGACAAGAAGCAGTGTTGTGTTGGACCTGCCAGAGAAAAATAAAGTGAAACAGTCAGAGATAGGGTTAGAAAGTTGAAAAGTGAGTTAATGAAAAAGAGCTCCTGGTGAAGAAGCTCAGCAGCAAAACTCACTCAGCCCAAGTATGGGCAGTGAATGTTGAGACGATAGCACACACCGTGTGAGAGGTGTCTATCTAAGGACTGCTGATGGTGAGAAGTTCAAAGACTAACCTAAAGTGATCACAGCAAAAGCCTGACTCTTTTGCAAGCTAAAAAAAGGTTTCAAGATACAAAGAAAAGAGAGGAAGGACAAGATCCAGTGTCCAGGTTTTGACCTTAGTATTGGTCTGGGTCTTGTTGTGGGTTCTCCGTAGACACGTTGTTCATGGGAAACCGGGGCGACAGGAACACAACAGGAGCATGTGACATAAACAGGCAGAGTAGAGGGTGTTTTAACAAAGAGAAACAAGAAATGAACGGTGCATATCTTTCACGACTGCTGGGTGACTTTCGGTTGGTTCACTCCAATATCCTAATGTCAGCAGCCGACTGGCATGAAGGAGGATACCAGTAAACTCCCCAGAAACAACACAGAGTGAACTGGATGGAGAGAAGAGGAATAATATAAAGAAGAAGCCCAGAGATTCATACAAAGAAGAGGAAGAAGCATATCAGGATATCAGTCTCGTGGAGCGTGAGGGGCGGGGCATTCCCATTTGGGTAATACAGTCCGCCGTGAGGTGGACGACGAGATAGTAGTACACTGTGGGAGAGCTCCATTCACCACAACTCGAAAAGGCGGCCGACAGCCGGCCATCTGCAGCATCCATACACTCCATGGAATGGAGGAAATAGCCAGCATGCATACCAGCCTTGTGGGGTAACGACCTGCCAAATCTCTAGTACACAAAGCAGTCTGGGCTACTCGGCTGAGCGTGAAAGACATTTAGGTTTCTATTTGGCTATACCGGCAGTATGACGCTGAGCCCGATGAAGGACAGAGAGCAGGCTCAAGGGTATCGAACCGGCCTGGCACAATACCACCGAAGAGGAGATTCGGACCGATAAAAAGCACGGATATATTGCCGGTATCCCATCGAAAGACCTGGTGCAGCACTCAACCTGAAGACATTAGGTTGGGCAGCGGCCTTTCATATGTCATATGTCCCGGGAGAGAGGAACGGTATATAACTCCCAGGGCTTGAAGATCAAATCCCAGGCAGATTGGTGACATGATTTGTTGTTTAGTCGTGCCCAGACATCTTCATGCTTCCTTGTCTGGCAATTATATCTGAATATATGTATAAACTTGGCTGTTGACGACGCCTGCAGAGCTCCCTGAGAAGCCCCCGAGAGGAAATCGCGCATTTTTAGGTTGGATGCTCGTAGCCTACCCTGGGGTTGGCACAAAATTGGCGGGACTTGGCAGCGGTTGGGTCTCGCAAACCACCGAAAACCGGACGAGAGATGATCGTTCGAAGACGTGAACAAACTGGTTGCTGTTATTCGTAGACGCCCTAAGGGCTTGCCAATCTAAGATGTAATTACAAATTTATCCCAAATCGGGTTTATCCTACAACAGCTTTTTTGATTGTCGACCCCATTCTACTTCGTATGGTAGTTCAAAACACCCTCATGATCTTGGGTCAAGTGCAGTTCCGCTTGATGGCTGAAGTCCCCATCGGAGTAATTCTCGTGGTTCAATTCATGCCACCATCACAAACTGCCCTTCACCCGGTATGCCATCGACGAGTACGTAAATCACATAAGGACCCGGAGGGACAACACTAGAAGTTGGTGGCATCTTAACTGATACCTTTTGCTTCTTCCTCCAGGATTTCCATCCTTGATGATCTAAGTAGAGCATTCGATGCCCCATATGAACACTATGCGTGACGAATCCCCCGTGGTAAAGCACAATTGACAGCTTTCGCGCTGGCCGTCGGTTATGGAAAGTGATATCAAAATTGCCATCCGGCTCAAGATATCTGCTCGAAATTACAATTTTGCGTGGTCTCCGGTCAGCTTTCCCGTCCATAAAGTAATGAGGCGTGTAGATTTCAACGCGGAACTCAGTGGGAAAGGCAAGCATTGGATCGTTGGGGTTTGTAACCAGAAGAGGTTGCTCGACGGGATTGGAACCTGCGACAAGGACGGTCCCATCAAGCAATAGGAGGGCCACAGAGTGATACATCCGCGGCACTTCACTTGTCCCTCCGATAGCCCATCGCTTCTTTGGAGGCGCTTGCGGACGGTAAATCCAAGGATTGTAGATAGGGTTCTCCGCTATGCCATACCCCTGAGCACCATTTCTGCAGCCATTGATCCAGATGACAGTCCCATCAGGTAGTAAAATCCCTTCACCCATGATTCTTCCGCCTGGCATGGCTTCTAATTCCCATCTAGGCTCTTCTGATAAAGGTCGGATACGTCCGCACGTTGGATCGCTAGGACTGTCGATATCTTGGAAAGCGCCGCCACCACAAATAATGATTTCCGGCTCCCATCCGTTCGCACTCCGAAGGGGCAAAAGTACGCTTCCTCCTGTGTTTGGATATGTTCGATAATCTCCGGGTAGGTCTGGAAGAGTCTTAACGGTAACTCCAGCGTCCACGTCGAAAACCTCTGCTGACCTGGAAACGAAAATAAACACGGTGCCATCATTTAAGAGGTGGAGAAACGGATACATATAGTATGGTTGATTTTCATCAAGAATTGATAGTTCGACACTGTTCCCAGATGGGAATCCATTTTTGTCAAGAAGTTCATATGTTGGGTTGTTGTTCCGCATGACACTTGGATCATCGCCATTTAAACTACCGGAGACCACGAACACCCGGCCATCAGAAAGGGTCTGTACGGTTGGATACCATCTACCTGTCGACAATTGATGCCCAGGTTCTTCCCAGGGTGTTCCATCGAAATTGTCGTCATCAAACCGCCGTTCTAGGTATCGAATCCCTCTGAAGCCGTCATCAACGGTCGGATCCATCCATTTCAATGGACCGTTCCCTCCAACGGATAGCACCCGTCCATCTGCTAGGAAAGTTCCACCACTGCAGAATACATTTGTCTAGAAAGCGAATGTCAGCCGGCTTAACTTGGAGTCTCGGTATAGAATTCCAAACCTTGTAACTTAGAGGAGCCAACGAACTCGTTATCGGGTCAAACTCCGTAGAATAGGCGTATCTCCCGTTCTCTAATACCACTTCGGTATAGTTTTCAACTTTATCGGCAAAGGCAACTCGTCCATTCTGTAGAAGAACGGCAATCATTGGAGGTACACCAGATCGACCTATGATGTGAAATTGCCCGGGTAGGCGGCTAGGTCGAAAGCGTATAAGAGCAGGAGGTTTGAGGGCGTCTTCACTAAGACACGCGCCTGATTGACAACCGTAGCCGCAGTGTGAAGTTGTATTTCCACATATCTAAGATAAGATTAGCTCATAACTGGAGTATAACAGGGTGTCAACTCACGCCAAACGGGGAGCAGCAGCTGCCTTTTGGCCAATCCCCACAGACCATATTTTTATGCGCAGATCCGCAATGACCATTATTGGTCACCAGAGTACTACCATCACTGTCACCTGCCGGAGTTTTCGGAGGAGCGGGACGCAGCAATGGCTCGTCCACAGGCTGCTCATTACTTGGGAACATATCTTCGAATATGGGGTCCGTAGAGTTGATTAGCTCCATACATATCTCATGGGGCGAAGCGAGACCCTGTTGTATTTTCTCCCTGAAACCAGCAAACATTATCAGTGGCCTTTTCCTTATCACGTAAACGCTTCCAGTCTAAGAAACACTTCGAAGTAACGGTTAGGCGCGCTGATCCTCCTGTGGGAGTCCGTACCCCATAGTTTGGGGAAGTAACAAGAAACTGGCAAAAGCATGACTTACCAGTAGGATCGACTTATTTCGAACCTATTTCCATATTTTCGGTCCGAACCAGTCCGGACTCTTCCAGGAATATAATCAATGAGAAGCTGCCTTGGAGATATTTTGCGTTTTGAATATGACACTAGGCACTCGGGGAGAGAAATAGTATCGAGTTTTACCGACACTGGGCGCCTTTTGGCACCATGGGCTGCCCTGCTGGGTTCACAGCTATATATCCTTGGGCGTCAAAAACGTAGTTTGTTAGGCATGAAATGGCAGACTCACGTGCCGTATGGGGAACAGATCTGGCCCCGCATACATCTTGTAGCAGTTGCAAGCGTGGGGTCGCATGACAATCCAGCATGGCTGAAGACTATATTCGCGTTGACTTCACAGGCTAAAAGGAAAAGCAGGGTCAGGCTCATTGCGACCCGTCAGGCAATGTGCACAGTCCGAAGAGCCTCAGTAACACACGGAATCAGAAGACGGACCGCCCAATCGCAGTTATATCAAAAATGTAAGTAAAAGTACAAGTTGACTTGGAGGAAAATGTCCATCGATCTATCAGTGCCACAGGCATGGATGAGGAGCGTGTACGGGTGAATAATATCAGAAGATGTTCCAACTAGCACAGATACGGCGTCCATCGGAAACAAGAAGAAAAAGAAGAAGAAGAAGACAAACAGTGGCCACCGACTGATGGCGCCGGGCTGACGTTGATGTGAAGATTTCAAGGCAGGGCCGCTGCATGTCGCCTTCGTAGGAGGGCAGCCGCAACGGAGAGAACCCACGGGTGTGTCTCTGGGAAAGAAACCTCGACCAAGCTCGCATGCAGGCAGAAAGAAGGCTTCACATCAGGTCACGATATGGCCGATTGAAGGTGTCGACGAAGCACGAGGCATTCTCTGTGCAGTCAACCGCTCTCCCCATTGCGATGGGGTACTCCGTACTCCGTAGAGTCGGCAGAAATACCACTGGCTGGTCAGACGGCTAGGATGAGAAAACACTCTATCATATGATATATCTCAACAGTAATGAGATCCGTAGTGTAGCTATCCCTCAAGGGGATGATAGGCTTTGGTGCGGCATCTTCCCGGGAGTGGATGGTGATCTATGGCGAACGACGTGCGGAACCGGAAGCGGAGCACGCGACAAGAGCCCGTCCCCCAACAAGAAACGAGGGTCAGATAAACCCCAAGATCGATCGGTGTGCGAAAGACCCGGCAGTGCAGCGATGCGATGGCTATGCTGTGCCTGGCGAGATGACTCCTTGGTTGCCATTTGCCGGCGCGAGACGAAGACTGGCGGGCGAAACCATGGATCCCTCGGCCAGAAGTCCGCCGTCCACCATCCGCCGCCGTGCGTTTCCTCGGTCAAGTCGCGCATCATCCAGCGGTTTAGCTCCCTGCCCGGCCAGAAGGAGATATACGCCGTAAGCGTGGGCACGGCGAAACCCCCATCGCAATTCAGCTCAACCAAAAAACAAAAAAGCGCGCAACGCCCCCAAAGCAAAACGACCCTTCAAATAGCCCGCTCACAGCAGCTTTCCCCTTCCCCCAGTGCAAATGAAGCATCAGTCATGTCGTCGTCGCAGAGATCAGCAGCGGACCTGGATACCTCCCGAACAAAGCCCCACCGGCCGTTCCAGGAGGATCATGCTGCTGTCCAGCGACTCGAAGAGGCCATCTCGCATCCGGGATCCGTGAAGATTAACGTGAAGGGCGCCTTCATCGTCGACGAACAGCCAACGGAGCAGAGCCGTGTTGTTTTCGACTGCCGGGACGGAATTCACTACGAGCACAAGGATATCCGGCTACCCCATCACACCGATGTCGTCAGTCACGTTGCCGTCGATGTAAGCTCCCTTTCCTCTTGTCCCACTCTGCTCTCTGAACCCATCCAAACCCCTTCCAGAACTGCGGCTCCATGCAGCTTTTACCCGTGACCGCGTGTTTGGTTAAAAATAGCTTACCTCTTCGCCACCCTAGATCGGAGGGTCGCTAGCGAAACTCGTCTACTTCTCCCCGGAGCTTGGCTCTTCGGCCGACGGCGGCAGGCTGAACTTCCTGAACTTCGAGACCGAGCGCATCGATCTGTGTATCGATTTCTTAAAACAATTAAAAGAGAACCACAGGAAGCTCAATGGCTCGGCTCCCGGTCCCCTCTGCATCATGGCCACCGGAGGAGGTGCGTACAAATACTACGATCGGCTAAAGGAGGAACTAGGAGTGGACATTATCAGAGAAGATGAGATGGAATGTTTAATAATTGGTACAGTATCCGTCTGATGAGTGGATGAATCGCTTGAAACTCATAGGTCTTGTATAGGGCTGGATTTTTTTATCACAGAAATTCCGAACGAAGTCTTCACCTACAGCGAGACATCACCCATGGAGTTCGCTGAGGCACGACCGGACGTCTATCCTTACCTCTTGGTGAATATTGGATCCGGAGTATCGATGGTCAAAGTCTCCGCTCCCAGAAGGTTTGAACGTGTCGGGGGCACATCGCTCGGTGGGGGCACTTTCTGGGGGCTGATGTCCCTACTGACTGGTGCCCGAACATTCGACGAAATGTTGGCAATGGCAGAACTGGGAGATAATAGCGGAGTCGACATGCTGGTTGGCGACATCTACGGGACCGACTATACAAAGATTGGGCTCAAGTCGTCAACCATCGCCAGCACCTTTGGCAAGGTTTTTAAGATGCAGCGCCTTGCAGAACGCAGTGCCCAGGGTAGCGAATGCCTTTGCGAAAGTGATTCGGAGTCCGAACGGGATGTCTCGCAATTCCGCCGTGAGGATATTAGCCGAAGTTTGCTTTTTGCTATCAGGTACGTCCCCGTGACCCCAGCACACTACCTTTTCATAGTCTAGCCTTTGAAAGCTGACAGTCTCTAGTAATAACATTGGCCAAATTGCCTACTTACAATCAGAAAAACATCAGATCAAACACATCTACTTTGGTGGCTCCTTCATACGGGGTCACCGCCAGACCATGAACACCCTATCATATGCTATCCGATTCTGGTCCAAGGGAGAAAAACAAGCTTATTTCCTTCGCCACGAAGGCTATCTTGGTGCTGTTGGAGCATTCTTGAAGCGGCAACCCCAAGATTGGGGTCGCCGTCGGAGTATTGAAAACACGGCGGCCACCCGATTCGCCGCCTATCGGGAGGAATTGCGAAGTGCCACAAAGAACGGGACAGAGCTGCCACCCACGTAATTAATTGGATCTCAAGCCCTTCCCCTTCATTCAGCTAACTCTTTTTTGGCGCCGTCTTTGTGCCTTTTTATTTGGCATGCATGCGTGTGAAACGATATACTGGATTGTTGGATTTCCGAAAGATTCCCCTAGATCTTTGCTTTATTATTTTCATGTGTCAATTTTTTTTTTTCTACTTAAATAGGTTGCATGCTAGAGGTGCCAAACCAGTGGCTGAATGTTGACATGTTTCTTCATCCATTTGCTGAACATTGATTCTTGTTGGGATTCCCCGGTTTCGAGTAAATGTTGCTTGGGTCAGGGGCAACTAACTAATCTCCGTGTCATGACTTTGTGTATCATGGCTCTTGGCTACTTTTACATACATCATACTCCCGTACTCCGTACTATGATTCACTTTCCAAATTCAAGAAGGGATCGAGTATTTTTAGATCTTATCGCGATTGTGATACTTTCGGGACCATGATCCAGATTCCAGCCGTCATTAGCTGCCAGTAAATGACCCCATTCAAGTCACATGTCATTCATACCTGCTTGTAGGGTTTGCAATTTGAAATCCAGGCGGAGAAATGTCACAATGTGGCATTCATCCAAACCCGTGTTTAAAACCCTCTCCCTGGTTTTTTTTATTCTTCATCCTACCTTACTCTTGAGCAGGCTTCCCTTGTCTCAGGATGCTCGACGACACCTAGCCAAGCCTTCCAGCGACAATTCGAGCAAATAGGCTCCCACCAGGTTCTTACGGGACTGGAAGTTCGAGAGGATTAGCGGTGAAGCTGCTCTTGGGTCGAACCCTATTGCAGATAGGAATGAAGTTCACGGTTTTAACTGCAGAATGATATACATCTCCGGTAAATCCAAAAAGAAGTAAGGATTAGGAGAGAGACAGTGAACTTGGATGGCAGAAAATGAGAGAAATGCGCAGCTGAACTGCTAAATTCGCCTGAATTATCCATTGCAGGATAACCATATCCTTGTTTTCGGGAATATGGGGTATCCAAAAGTTTGGAAAGATCTTGCAAACATGGTCCAGGTCAGTTGCTAACATTGCACAGATTCTCATCAGACTGCCCTAGTATAGGATAAGTGGATTCCCAACAAGACATTCAACAGACTTTACAGGCACGAAACCCCAGAATGGGGAAGTGGCTACAAAAGTGGCTACCGATACGGAGCCGACTCACATCGAATTGAGGTGCCTATGCAAATGTGAGACATCAAAGCGAATCGAAACATCATTCCACACATCCCTAGACGGTAAACTTGCAGTTTACTGTCACTCGATATATTTCCACTATCTCATTAGAGAAATTGAACCTGGTAAAATAGACAAATGTCGGTCAGCTAACCGCCTATCCACCCAATGTGATATGAACGTAGTCTGGTTCTGATCGGGTTGCATTGTTGGCTTCAAAATATGCAGCAATGTCAGCTTCTAGGGCGTCCCGTGTGATTCCAAGAACGATTGCAACCCGTATCCTCTTTTACCTCCGGAGGTTGTATCTTTAAAGGCCCCGGGGAATTTTTGTCGTCTGATACTTTGAACCAGGCTGCCAAATCTCGCTTAACTGGCCTTCCTGGGGCCTATTGCATCAAGTGGCCCTATGAGTATCCAATTACCAGCTGGGATGGCACGGATACTATGTTTTAGCAGTAGAATATTTCCTCTAGGAACCCTGTCGATGCTCACCTGTCGCGCTTTTAGAGTAGTCCACGCAGATGCTGGAACCAAGGATGATAGATCGGGTGGAATGGTAGAAATGACAGAGGCTGTCACGTTGTGAACATGCTGTGTGTTCGAGTTCCGAGGTCGTCCGCCGTATTTTCCTTGGCCCATCGCTTTTAAAGAGGTATTAAGGGTGCCATCAAAGAAAGGTTTCCAGGAAATCCAGGCGCATACGATGTGACTTGGTTGTATATTACTGGCTTGACTAGTCCTACCCGCGCATCCCAAGGCTTTCGTTGCCTGTCAGTGCATATCTGCAGACTGCGATTGGCCATGAGGTGTTGTGACGGATTTCCTTGTAATCGATTGAGTGTCCCTTTAGGGTCGTTGTGAAAGCGACTATGCATAGGTCCGCCGGGATCATGACTCCATTCGGGGCATCGCCGCTCCACCTCGCTTATTAGAATTCATGGCACACAAGCGAAGACGGAATGTGATTCGAGTATTTGAGGTCGTCGTGCAATATCGTGTTGGCATGGGATACATCGGGACCTTCGTGGATGTAATTGCCAGTACGTAACTCAAGCTGTGATGTTTATGGCGGCCATAATGGTTCCCTGAAGAGACTCACCAAGCCCGAGGCTCTCGAATGCCTGTGCATGCCAAGGAATAGGCATGGGAAAAATACCATAATACTCAATAGCTTGAAAAGGAAAGCAGAAAGCAAAGTTAGTTAACGGTTAGGGTTCCCGGTATCCAGATCCTTGGCCCAGAGCAAATACAACATATCGCCCAGAGCCAATGTCATTCAACAGACCAAGGCTAGACCCATCGAGCCATTCAAGTATCGCCTGCCCAGATATTTTGGCCGTGGGTACTGGGGCTTTCCGGGATGTATGAGGGAATCTGACGCGCAGTGGGATGCACGGATTATGTATTCTGTATGATTTCTAGAGGAGGCTGGACACATGAGAGTTTAAATGTTTACCAAAAGCGCCTTACCGTAACAAAATTGCAGACTGTAGTCCTAATAGAGTGGTGCTAAAATGAAGGGTTGTCCATGGTTTGGTTGACGGATAGGTGGTAAAGCATTGAAATCCCTGTACGGGCCAATACAAGCATTCTGCAAGGGAGATCAGGGAACTTCCTTGGTATCCACTAGCTCGGTTGCAAAAAGTAGGTATAGACGAGTCTTCGGTTGGGGGTGGCCTGTGAAACTTTTGTGTGCCTCCGCATATGCAGTAAAGTGCCTCAATCATGCCTGCCACGGTGGCCCCGGGAATGGACTGGCCGAAACAATCTGATCACTGCTCAATGCCGGCACAGTTCTTGATTCATCTTAGGAGTCGAGCTCTGGGCTTGCCAATTAGGCTCATGACTTCGTATTGGTGTTACATCCGGCCAGGTTTAAGCTAAGAAGATGGCCGAACGAGTCGATTTCCCACAAAGAGGTATCGATGATGGCTTTACGCAGAACGAACTGCAGACACGACCGCTCCTCGTTCTAGGCCGGGGGAAAAAGTATTAAAGGGCCGTCATCTCCCACACAGGATTTCAGAGATCATGGTCTTTTTTTCTTCGATTTCCACAAGGTAAGGATTCAAACAAGTTTTTATAGTGCCACCAGCTCAGGATATCTAACTGGAGCTTGTGCATTAGAGTTAAGAAGAAAAGCTTAAACGTTCAATCATGCGCGTTGCCGCAACAACACCGCAGGCTCTCGAGCTTCTGCACAGTATCGCTGCTACAGCAATATCTTGGTCATCCGGTCGACTTGACGTGTTTGGCCTGGGGACCAACAATGCCCTATACCACAAATGGTATCAAAGACAATGGGGTCCTTCCCAGAACGACTGGGAGTACCTTGGAGGTACCTTCAGCAGCCAGCCAACCGCAGTCTCCTGGGGAGACGACAGAATCGACATTTTTGGCCTAGGCACCAATAACCAAATGTACCATAAGTATTGGGACGGATCTGCTTGGGGTCCTTCCACTACCGGGTACGAAAACTTGGGAGGCGTTTTCAGTTCCCGCCCATCAGCTGTCTCATGGGCCGAAAATCGACTCGACATCTTCGGGCTTGGAACAAACAACCAAATGTACCACAAATGGTGGAACGGCGCTCGATGGGGACCATCACAGACGGATTGGGAGAATCTTGGAGGCGTGTTCAGCAGCCCTCCAAGCGCGGTCTCCTGGGGCCCAAATCGAATTGATATCTTCGGCTTAGGTACCGATAACCGGATGTACCACAAATGGTGGGATGGCTCTCGCTGGGGGCCATCGCAGACTGGTTGGGAAAATCTCGGTGGAGTCTTCAACAGCCAGCCGGTCGCCGTGGCCTGGAGTGCCAATCGACTCGATATTTTCGGAGTCGGTACGGACAATGCCTTGTATCACAAATGGTGGGATGGATCTCGATGGGGTCCGTCGACGACTGGGTGGGAAAACCTCGGGGGCGTTTTGACTAGCCCTCCAGCAGTTGTCTCGTGGGAAGCCAACCGGCTTGATATTTTCGGAATTGGGACCGACAACCAAATGTATCACAAATGGTGGGATGGCTCGAGATGGAATGATTGGGAGGCTCTCGGTGGCGTCTTCAACAGCGCACCAGCAGCTGTCTCTTGGGGCCCGAGACGACTCGATATATTTGGTCTAGGAACAAATAACGCCATGTTCCACAAGTGGTTCGATGGAAGATGGGGCCCATCGACAACTGGATGGGAATCACTTGGCGGTACATTCACCTCGTCCTAAATATCAGGGAAGCACTCCACACTCCATAGCCCTGCACTCGGCTTTCAAAGCAGATTCCTGCTCATAGTTTTTCGCTTGGTTCTTAATGCTGAAGCACAATTATCCTGGTTCACGGGTAGCGCCAGTGGCAGATTTGAGTGTTTATTGGTTAGCTACTCCGTAGAACGTTTAACAATGATATACGGAGTACTCTCTTTGAAATCGCAGAAATATAGGTCGTATAAATGGGTGATCCCAGCATAAAGTAGCAACCATCGAGCGCGCAGTCTTGTTTAACGACCATGTTCCTCGAGGAGATGTAAATGTCGACAACGAAGGTTCATGTGGAGACACCTTTCAAGAACTATTCCCCTGGAATAACCTCATCCGTCCGGCTAGGCCATTGTCGGCATCGCTGGTCCTCTTCAACTGTAAATCCCTATTTGCTGGGTGGAAGAGGTCGTCGGTGAAGGCGGTTGGCGCCCGACTGAGGTTTCTCACGTGATACAAGTATTTCCGCATTCACGTGATCCTTGCCCTGACGGCCTCCTGAGGTCATCTTGAAAGCTTCCCGTTAACTATTTCGTGTCTGGCAACAAAAAAAAAAAAAAAAAAAGAAAAGAGGACAAGCCTCCGTTCAGCGCCTTCATAGAGTCTTACTCGCTCCCAATATTTTACGAATCCCTTGAAAATGCCCAGGTAGTTGCAGATTTCTAGCCTCCGATGGCTAGTTCCCCTCCTCCACCAAACACCACCTCCCGCCCTCAATCCTTGGGCACTCCCGCGGCGCCAGTTCCTCCCCCCGTACCCGTTGAGACCCATCCGAATCGAGCAGGATTAAAGCCTCGCCCCCCTTTACGCCCTCCGCCGGATCCGAGCCGACTCGCACCGGAAGATGCTTACTTTGCTCACTCGCCCCCGCGATTGCGGCCGCTTAACCTCCCGAACAACCATGCGGCAAGCAACCCTGACCTGCTTAACCGGGTTGTTGCAACACCTGCGGCGGTAGCTGCGTTGAGACCGCCGCCAGCTGTACCCGGCACGAAACCAAAAGCTACGGGGGAGGCGCGGCGAGACCGCGGGCGCAGTCGGAGGAGAAAGCGGCAGTGGAAGAAGTTGTTATGGGTGAAGCAGTCCTGTAAGTCTCATGTTGATTTTCATTCAGAACCCCAAATCCGGCCCATGGCACAGGATATGCTGCTAGAACTTGATCTGCGTGCTATTTCCTATCTCTAACCGGCTATACAACATTTAGACCCAGATAATTACACAGACACTGAGACGTTCCTCGACCATCTGCAACGAAATCCCAGATTACGACCCTACGACTTCTGGCCACTAGTGGCCGATTTTACCGTTATTGTGCAACATGTTTGCTCTGTTATAATATTTGTCTGCTGCTTTTCTGCCATTTTTCAAGAGCGTGTTAGTCCAGTGTCGGTGGTCAGCTGGGCGACCCTATGTACGATATTCTGCTGGTGTCTTTGGGATTACTGGGAGGGAAAGGTTCAGATGGAATCCGCGCAATTTCAGCATGGTACGGTCGGCGATCCAGCAGACGACGGCTCAAGCTCCGGCTCTTTGTCCGGTTCCACAGGAGACGACCGAAAAAGAAAGTCTACGGACAATGGGCTTGGGCTATCTCTAGATTTATCCAGTATAGGAAGCCCACCAAGCCGACAGAGTACTATGACCAGCTCGTATTCTGACGATACATCTGCGACTTCTCTACACTCGACGCGATCTTCGGTTTCCCCCCCGCCTCTCATGTCGAACAGCCCTAGCTGCTACCCTAGTCCTTCCAACATTATCCCCAAATCTCCCGGAGCAATAGCCATAAACTCTTTTCATGTACCCTATCTTCCCTCTCGCGCTACTCAACGTTTGATAACAGCAAAATCTGCGCTCCTCATCTTTTGTGCGCTCCAAGGCCTTTCTCCCATCCTCAAATCCCTCACGAAATCTACAACGAGCGACTCTATCTGGGCCATGTCCTGCTGGCTCATGATAATCAACGTTTTCTTCTTCGACTATGGGAGCGGGACCAAAGAAAACCAAAATCTTAGCAACAACACTGGCGCAGGGGCTGTGGCTGCTAAGTTCCCCGCGTCCCTATCCACGAATGCGGCGTTAATGGCCTCCACAGTCCTCGCCTCCAGACTCAAATCGACCACGCACGTGTTCAGCCTAACGCTGTTCTCCATTGAGGTCTTCGGGCTATTTCCCGTATTCCGACGCCACCTTCGCGCAATTTCCTGGCGCGGCCATGTCCTACTTACCGTATCTCTCGTTATCGCAGCTGGAGCGGCAGTGGGAGTCACCCTGAAGGGAGGCTACAAAGGAATGATATTGGGAATATTGATTGGTGCCCCATCCACTGCGTTAGCCATGGGAGGGTGTAGCTGGTGGTTGATTCGGTTGCAGAAGTATAAGAATGTTGTTGCAGGCCCGTGGGATCAAGCCAAGCCTATTCTGAGAAGGCATTGGGACTGACGCTGTTTGGGCTAATTAATTATAGACGAATGATAATTCATGCAAACCTTGATGTGCCATATCCTTGTCTTTTGCTTCTAGCTTTACCAGCGCACCCTGCGGCCTTTCCCCGCAGTCTGAGGATGAAGAGCATCCTTTCCAATGGGCTGGACTAGAGGAAAATCGCAGAACCTGCCATAGGTCCCGGAGATTTATTGAGCGGGTGCATTCACCACTTGACAAGCGCAGATCGGTAACTAGCCGATAGGGATGAGCTCGTCCTTCATGTGGATAAAAGTGTTCTTCGTTAAGGCTGTCTTCCCGGACCTGGGCAGTCAGCGACCAACACCAGCATACTTCAATACTTTTCTGCGAATAGCCTAGGAACGCGTCCAAGTAGCGATCAAGCCGCGTATGTACTCCGTCAAATGTGGAGAATTTTCCCCGTTTGGCATCTGTCGCGACTTTCAACGGTTTCAAGTGGGTACTAACTGGCGCTTGAGCTCCGGTTTTGTTAAACTCAGGCGCAGATCAGCTGTTCCCCGCAATGGAACGATGCAAAGCTCTTCCCATGGGACGTGCTGGCATTTATGCGCATATGGTTTTCCTGTGGTATTGTGGATGCGACTCGTAAACGGCTGAGCAGCCAGATCCTTCCCGTAGGTATCTCGCCCGCCCTCCCATATTCGTGTCGGCGAGCAGTGGCGGCAAAGACGCCAATGTTGAGAACTGATCCAATAGAGAAGGCCATGGAGCTCGATGGATTGAAGTTCAACGGGCCCGATGACGACCACTTGCATTCATGGTTTAAGAGACCACACATGATAGACTTTGACGTGTCGATATTCGTTCTGGGCGCATGAGGAGAACTGGAGCAGGCAGGCCTTATTATTGGACGACCAATCTGCGAACTGATGGGCTTGCTGTTTCGAAACCTACCCGCCTCGTCTCACCATCGCGAACATGCGGTGGGCAGGGCGGCTGCGAGCGGTTTTCTGGTGTGGGCCGCCAAACTCGCCAAAAGGAATAGCCCAGCAGCAACCTTCTTCCAACCTCCTCGCGGCGCCGGATGCTCCAGGATGGATGGAAGTACCTACATACATATGTCTGTCCATCCATCTCCTGTGCGGTCCAACTGAGTGCTTCAGGGGCGATGTTGATCCTGTTACATCACTGTCCCGTCTTTCCCATCCATTGGAAGCAGCATCGGCTTGGTATTCTACCTCCAAATTTCAAAATTTCGAATCCAAATGTTCAACCGGGTGTGCCAGCCTAAGGATATACAGAAGTGTCGTCAGCTGGTGTCCGGGGTGGAGCCTACTCAAAGTTAGCTCTTGTTGCAGTTGGACCTCCCTCGTTTCATCCCAGGCCATGCCGGTCTGGCAGTGCTGCATCTCTGACCTCGTCAGCCGATGGATCGTCTCACATATTGGGAGAGAGACAAAAGCATACACGTCATGTAGGTGGAAAGAATCTTCACCAATCCACTTACTGTTTGGTCCCGACGACCTTCCTGGCCGGTCTATGAAAAGGGCGTCCTGACATTTTCTTAGATTCAGGGACCGTTGTGCAATCATTGGCCCACTACTCCGTAATGATCGCCAGATCCTATCCAGGGCTCAATATTTGGGCTTACGTGACACTTCTTTAGAGCCAAAGAAAACCTCTCAACCATACACTAAAGGTCAACTTTATATATCATGGTAAATCCTGGGGAGAACCCTCCTCCAGGCCAAGTACCTTTCTTTTACGGACAACCCACCTCTGAACGACTCTTCTTCATCAGGTTATTGGAGGATACCACACGAAGGTTCTGCCCTCCAGTCCTTCTACCTTTCTTACCACTCTCAACATACTCTTTTTATAATACCCAAAATGAGAATCTCTGTCTTCGTTGCGGCTGGCTTCGCCGTTGCGACCGCGGCTCGACCTCTGGGTGATGCTATTACCTCCATCATAACCTTATCTGGACTCCCTGGAACGGGTCAAATCGAAGCTCCTTCCCAGCCAGGTGAACCCGCCATACAGCATGGAAAGTCTGAACCTGAAGCTATCGGTAACCCAGGTCAGCAAGAAGCACCACCACCACCGCTGGTCGAGCTATCTCCAGACCAGCCCGTTCTTCCAACAGGCGCCCTTGGTCCACAACAAACAGGCGCCATTGCTACAGGAATCATTCCTATGGGAACTGCCGCCATCGCACCCAGCGCCACAGTTACCGGCCAGGCCGCCTCGGGGGACCCCTTGACATTCCACTTTCCCGCTCTAAAGGCCGCCCACTAACCGGGGCCTCTGTTATTCTATCGGCCTGGTTGCAGAACTCGTTGATGATACTGAGCTCGATAAATCAGCTATCCAATAGACCTCAGCGACAAGGGACAGCACCGTTCGCCCCATAGCCTTGGTCGTCGCAAATTCTCTTTAGCTGGTCCACCTTTGATTCTACTACCTGTTATTATTGAAATTATTTTGGCTCGAATGATATAGACCGTGCTGCCACACTTACTTATTGGCTCTTTTTTATTATATGATTGGATATAACATATGGATACAATTATACAAATGTTTATAAATATACCAGGTGGATTGCGAGTTGTCGAATTTCTCCAAGGAGTTGACATGTATAACCCAGTCAATGCCACTCGTTTTCAGTTGTCATATTTTCTTTGCGGCTGGTGTCCTTTTTCTTTGGTTTTCTTTTCTTTTTCTTTTTGGTTTTCCTTTCTTTGTACAGGGCAAAACGGTAATTCTACGAATGACCTTTGTAACTGAGACGAGAGGGACGTAGCAGGGTGATATCGGGTTCTCAGGGTTGGCCGTTGAAGAATTCAATTAGTACGCATTGGTAGGACCTGATATTCTCAGGAATCGGTGCATCCCACATACAGCTATCGTTATAAAATGACCCATCAAAGTTAGAGACAATACACCAGTAAGAGATTATCTTGAGGGATATGAAGTATATATATACTGTATATGTAGGTAAGTGTCAAGTATGTACAAGTACAGCACCCGTGACATTATGTACACACCCCTCCGAAGAAAATGTGTATATATCGCCTCAGCAAATTAACAGATTATAACCCCAAGAACAATCCCAACACAGCCGCTCCAGCGGTAATCAGGGCTTTCGCGACCACATCCATACTTCTCACAGTCATCGCACCGCCTTCAAACTCGACGGGGGAACTACCACCCGTGGGTTGGACATTCACATCGGAATCCACCGGGTTGTTGTATTCCAACGTCTTTGTAACCGTTGCCGGTGCCACTGTAGTAACAGTCACAAAATCTCCGGACTCACTAGGCTTCACGTTCTTAATTGGATTCTCCGGCACTGGGACCACAGTCACAACAGGGCGAGTCTCCGTGGGTGCGGGAAGGAAGGCAGATCTTGTGGGGACCGTGAGTGTGACGGTAGTTGGCGTTGGCGCGCACTGTGGGCACACGGTCACAATTGTTGTCCAGCCATCCGGTGGAGGGGCTGGAGCTCCCGGAATAGGGGCCTGAGTTGGCGTGAGCGAAGCGGTCTCCGGGCAGTAGGTGGTGGTGTATGTTATTGTGACAGTGGTAAAGCCAGTGGGACAGACAGTGACGTAGGATGTGGTGATTATAGTAGTGATTGTGGTGCGGTCTTCTGTTGTGGAGGAAGATGGGGCGAGCGTCAGGGTAGGATTGGGAGGAACCGTGGTGGTCGGGGCTGATACAGGATCAGAAGCTGTTCCCGGTATAATCGTTGTTGATCCAGATGGGATAGTAGGTGAAGATGACACCGGCGTAGAGTCAGTAGTGGAATGCGTTTGAGAAGGCAATTCAGTTGAGATGGTATCTACTGGAACAGACTTGGTTGAAAATGTCTCTGATGGCGAACCTTGACTTCTTGTTGTGATACTTTCGGTGGAAGGCGATCTTGTAGAGACTGTCATTGATTGAGAATCTGAATTCTGACTTCTCGTTATTACAGTCTCGGTGGAAGCCGATCTCGTAGAGACAGGCATTGACGTTGAATGTTCACTTGTCGTACCAGTCTCAGTTGGTGCAGACTTCGTTGAAATCGTTGTAGACGATGAATGCTGACTTCTTGTTGATACAGTCTCAGCGGAGGAAGACCTTGTAGAGAGAGTAATTGACGGTGAATCCTGACTTTTTGTTGTTACAGTCTCAGTTTCAGTCTCAGGAGATCTCGTAGAGATGGTCGTTGAGGGTAAATCCTGACTCCTAGTTGTGACAGTGCCAGTGGGCGCAGACTTCGTCGAAATTGTCGTGGATGGTGAATCCTGGCTGCTTGTACTAGTTTCAGTGGAGGCCGACCTTGTGGAGATTGTGCTTGATGGTGGCTCTTGACTTCTTGTCGTCACAGTCTCAGTGGAGGCCGACCTTGTGGAGATTGTGCTTGATGGTGGCTCTTGACTTCTTGTCGTCACAGTCTCAGTGGAAGCTGGCCTTGTGGAGATTGTGGTTGATGGTGGCTCTTGACTTCTCGTTGTCACAGTCTCAGTGGAAGCTGACCTTGTGGAGATTGTTGTTGACGATGTAACCTGGCTACTTGTTGTGCCTGTTCCTGTGGAAGTTGAACCAGTAGAGGTTGTCTGCATTGTTGAACTTGGCGACACAGTACTCGGACTGCTCGGGGTCGTAGAAGCCGACAAAGTCTTGGTTTCCATAGTAGTGCTTTGAGATGAAGTCTGGGTTGAAGTCGAGGCAGATATGGTACTTGTAACAGTACTGGTAGGGGGATCCGGATCGCATCGCAACAGCACTTCCTTCATTATATCGGCGTATGGAAGTCCGCCAAGCTTATTGTTCTCCGATGCAGTTGCTTCCCACACCATCATACCACCAAAAGTACTTGGATACTTCGCCATGTACGTGCTGACGATTTTGGTGGCTTCACCAGGAGTAAGATAGTCTTCTTTCGCAGCAGCAGACTTGGATGCGGGAAGGCCAATGAAAAGTTTCGCTAATGGGTTTCCGCTTTTGCGGATGTATTTGACCCAATCGTCCACGGTGTACGTCACGGACTTGGGGTTAGTCACCCACCGTTTGGCAGAGCACGAAGGATTGTTGTAGAACTGGATGAAGATGAAGTCGAACGCCGAATTAGATATCGCATGTGAGAGATACTTATCTGGCATTATGCACTGGGGGGCTGCAGAGATATAGTATCTGTTGAGCGGGTCCTGGAGGAAAAGTTCTCGCAAACGTCGGACCATAATTGAATAGCCTACTTTCGTCAGTCAGGGACTCGAATCACCTAGAAGGGAGAACGCGATACATACCAAAGTTACTACCCTTTTCGATATCGAAGTCAAATCCATCGACTGAGGCCTCTCCGAATGGACGAGGTCCAGTCCAGTCTGGTGTCAATGGGCCGAATGCGCCCCAAAGGAAATCCGCAAAATTAAGAGCGGACTCTTCGCTCTTGACCTCGTAGAAATCGTGCACGGCTCCTCCGCCTAGGGAGAGCAGAATCGTCTTCCCCAGCGCCTTGCACTTGGGAAGATCTTCCTTAATCTGATAACAGCCATCCAAAAGCTTGGTCTTCGTCCCATTTTTCGTATAGTAATACGAATCGGCGCATTGGTTTCCAAAATTGCTGCCCGGCCATCCGGCGGGGCCTTGGTCGGGGAACACATTGATGAAACCCACAACAATGATATCAAAGCTGGTCTTTTCGCAGAAGTAGCTGAGCCGGTTCTGCCCAGCTCCTTGCCCCTAATCAACCAGAAAGGTGAGCATCAAGACAACCAAGGGCGCTCAAGTAATTGGCTCATACCCAGTAGACTGCCAAATTACTTTTGGCGTAGGGATTGAGAGCGAGTGACTGGATAAAAAGAGAGGACACAGCGATAAACGCTGCAAGAATATTAGTTAGTCCCATGATTAAAAGGATGGTAGATGGGCCAAAGTAATCTCCAGGCAAACGAGGGTAAGCAAGCCAGCCCAACAGTACGTGAGGCCGGTAGTGCACTCAAGGAAAGGACGCAAACCAGAGGTTTGCAGTGTATGGCTGCTGCAATGCAGATGGACAAGGAGAGGAAATGGCGATATCACTCCATAAAAAGATTTAAGGAGGGAGAGCAAGACCAACAGATTATGAGGCTCAAGCCAGAGAGACCCATACTAAACAAGGGCTATCAGACTCCGTCGACGGACAATTTTCCAGGGGAGCGCCGACGGAGGGGTCCTGGTCCCGTAGGCTAATGCCATTGCAGAAATGAGAATAGTTTCATATCCCCGTTTTTAAGTTGTTGCCACAGCCGCTACTGGTACCCTCTTGATATCCATAGCGGCGAGCAGATGACGGAGAAGAGGGTGTTTTCGGAGCTCGAATGGATATCAAATGGAGAGAACTGGTCTGGATATCTCAGAGTATTGAACCAGATGGCTATCGTTAAGATGGCCATAAGTAAAAGCATCATGTTTCTTCAACCTGAAGCCACCAAGTGCTGGCATTTGGAAGCGAAATGCAACGCCAGATATGCAGGGTATATCGGGTGGATGTCGAGTAATTTCGGTTCCAGAGATACTTGAGCACAACCAGTGAGCATTGGTTTAAACCTGTTGGTTGTGGAGAGTGAGTTAGGCAACCCTTGAATGTGATAAGACCACCACCCTCTACGAGGCCGGATATCGTCTCCGCATTGGCCAATTCTCTCTGAGGCTCAACAAGCCTGGGACCTATGTAACAATAGACTCGTACCTGACATGCGCATGCACGCCCAGAACCGTTTCTTCCAGTCATAATCAACTCTAGCAAATGACACCAGAGCGGAGAAATTAATCAGGTGTGGTCCAGACTGGAAGAGGTCGGGCGAGGATAGTGCAAGCGAGGAGGAGAAGTCGATTATAACGAAGACAGAGTTCGCACCAAGTCCGGAGCCGAGCCGGGCTAAAGTCGAGTTCTGGATTCCATTGGCCCAAATGCGTGGTCTCATTCCGGATTCGAGCGAGTTAGTTCGGCGCGCTCGCTTTTCGATCACCTAACTTCAACCACATGTTTGGGATGCAACCCTCGCCTAATCTCTCTGGCTCCCCGGTCCCTGTTAGCTAGGTGATGGCGACTGCACTGCAAGCATAATTTGATTCAATGGCATCGATAAAAGAGTCTATATTGAAACGTATGGAGCAGGCGGTATCGAGCTGGGAGCGGCATATATCCACCCTTGAGACGGGCTGATAATCAGTACTCTGGTCGGAGTTCGCCAGGCATTTAACTCGTTAACTTTAGTTAATCGTTTGCTTTTCAGGCGCGAAGCTTGGCGTTCGGATTGCTCCGTACTCCGTACTCGGTACCTTTCACGAGTCCCCGTCTCCACAGCAGGTTCTGTCTGTGGAGCGGTTTGAGGGCTTTTTCTTTCGGCTCGTTGTCCGTGCTCGGTCAGGATAAGCTTGAGATCAGCATGCCTCAACCGTGAAAGTGAGTGCTTCGGATGCAGCTCATTTCCGTTTTCCATAGGGCTGCTGGCATGATGCACGATTCGACATCTTTCGAGGTCAATGATCAGCATCACTTCCCTGCACCCTCGTCATAGATCAGCGTTTCTCTCTGGCCAAAGGACGTGAGCGGGTTGGCATATCGATTGAAGTCCCAGGCCCGCAATGAAGTATTTATTTATGCCAGAGGTGCCCAAGGTCCGCAAGGAACGCGCACCAGTATCCCACAGGGCATATTTCGAATGCATAGATGATTACAAAATTTGACTGTCGACCGGTTCAACAAATATACCTTCCTTTTTTTTTTTTTTTTTTTTTTTTTTGCGGAGGGCTCAACGGCCTGTTGGCCTCGATCAAACCTGAGCATGGCCTGGCCGGTTGATGAGTAGTTAACCGCTGGCTGGCGACCCTGAAATTCTGAGGCACGCATTTCGAGTCTCGACCATCTCCGGATGACCATTGATTCTTATTGAACTTACTTTAGGGATTCTTATCATCGAAAGCTGCTCCTCCTTGCCTCATCCAAGGCCACCGCCATTCCAAGCCCGTCTGATCTCTTCCCGGAGCTCCTCGTCCTTCTGCCCAATCGCCGAATTTGTCGACGATGGGACCCTGTGCACTTCCATTCGTTGCACAGAGGGCCTAACGTTCCCTTTAATTCGTCCCCAGATGGTTTACGAATGCAGCTTGCCCGTTGTCTGCCTAGCGATAATATTTCAATGTTGCCCTCGTTTCACTTCGACCTTGATTGGTCCTACATAGGTGAAGTATTTTTGTCGATGACTGTTTGAGTAATGCTGGATTACTCCGTACTCCTTAAGAATATTCGCAGACAAAAATAAAGCCACACAGTACGGAGTACACCGGTAGCGATATATTACTGCAGGAAGTGGAAATGTTAACCTTGTCAACATCTTTCTCTGCAGAGGCGCCGACGCAAAGGAACCAAATATCGATGGCCTCAACCCTTTTTTGTGCTGCCGTGATGGAATCGAACGATGAGCTTTCATATAGACTGCTCGTTGCTGGTCTGGATTACCCTATCTAGGCTTTTGGGATCAGGTACGGAGTACACCGTGCCAGGTCTTGCCTCAAGCAAGCGTTCGGAAGAGTTGGTCCGGGCTTCTGATCAATGCTATGCTAGGGAGGGCGTGGATTCCGAGGTCGTTAAACCAGCGGGAGACGGCTTCGGTGGTGGAAAAATGGCGGCAGCGTGGCGCCATGCGCTGAAAATGCGTTTGGCGTTGCCGTCCGTTGGGAAAAAAATTTGCCGCTTTAAAGCTGTTCCTTGACGTTTGTGTCGGTTTCAAAGCGGTTCATCGTAGGTCCTTGGAGCGGAATGTCGTCACCTTTTAAATGATTCACTTGTACATCGCATGCTCGAAGTTCGGCTACAGCTATTGACGTCGCCTTCGCGGCAAGGGAAGTTTATTCTTGGTGATACTCTCGAGGAATATACGGAGCAAAGGAGACACATAGTTATGCTACTAGATCTACTCCGTAGGGGGAGACAGGAAAGCCATCCACGGATATATCTCAATAGAGCAGGGCTGTAGCCTACTCATGAGACCTGGTGTAGATGCCCGGAGGGGAGAACGATGGAGACACACCCAATTCACCTTGCAGTCCCCAAAGGAAATCTCCTGGATCGCAGTTCTCGATGGCCATCGACCTTCAGTTACCCCTGCTGCCGGCCAGCGAATTCCCCCCCTTTTCGATTTTATCATCGCAGATCGCGATCGCCAGAACCTTAACCTTGCTATAGCCAATCACGGTCGCGGACTTGTCACGTTCTCGCGAACTCGCCAGATCCAGCGTGCCGATTGTCGACGGACGAGACTCGAGAGGGAGCCAACCCTGGCCGGCCTGCGTGTCCGGCTGCGACGACGACACGGCCGCTCCACTGACGGGCTGCGGTTGGCGCACATGGCGACTCTCTGCCCCGGCAGGTGAGCCGACGCATCGCAACCGGCACCCACAGCATAATTCCAGCTCCGCAGCAGCTCCCGATCAGAGCAGAATCTCACAAAGCGCGCCCAGCGATCGTGCGATTCGCGCTGCGCTTCAGCCATAAATACAGATAAGTGAAGTTACATATGTGCGCGGAGTCTTCCTCTCAGCCGGAGCTCTGAGTTGGCTCGTCCGTTCATCTTCTTCATTCTCTCCATCCCCTGCCATTCCATGCCGCTTCGACGCTGTCATCATGGATAGGTCTTCTACTCTTTGCGTTAGTTTATGAGATAAAGCACCTTTCCTTTACGAACCTATCACCTCCTTTTCTACAGACATCGTTTCTCTTGGAGCGCGTTACGTACGTCGGTGTCCCGTAATCCCCTTCGACTCGCTAGAAGTGCAGAGTGAAACCAAGAAGGATCCAACAACCCTTTTCTAAAGCCCAAAATACCCATATCCCTTTCTAAGACAACAACACAATGTGGCTTGTGCGATTATACTGCTCCTTATTTCTTCTACTCCCGGTCGTCCTCGCTGCGCCATTGTCCCAGTGGCTTCTCTCAGCGGTTACTACCCGTTGGAGCCAGCACGGAAGCGGTGCTTCTGCACGCGTTACTTGGCGGCAATCGATGCTCCTCGAGGGCAAGCATCGTTATACCGGAGATGGCAGTGAGGTTGCCCCAACTCTCGAGGTATTGACTCGCGCAGAGAAGTCGAGACCTGGCGATAGGTGGCCGTATGAATTTTCGTCCTTGACTCCGGAAATGGTCAGCGGGTTGGATTCGTCAGAGGATAACAAGGACGTTGTGTTCAGGTCGTCTGAACCGCAGCTGGGCTTAGATTCACCGTCATCAGACCTAGGTCGTGTGGAAGAACATTCAGCACCCAGTGTTTCCGCTTTCACCAGCGAACATGCATTGGAAGAGAACAAAATCCAGGAAACCTCAATGAGAGTCGTCAAATTTCGTTACGTAACTCTATTCTCTAGGGAAAAGGAACAATCAGCTCTTGCAAGTCCATTCCCAGAGTTAGAGGATCTATTTTCCTTCTCTGAGAGTGTCGATTTGAATGGATGCAAAGGCCTTTCCTCCATTATAGTGTGGATATCTGCGCGTCCCCTCCGTGCCTGGACCGCTGTGTTTGTGCTCATGTTTGTTCTCTTCATCCTCTCAGTTATAATCGTGGAGACCACGACGGCGTTGGCAAACCTTGTGATCTCGACATGGAAAACCCGGAACTCGAAAGGAATCCGGCTTGACGGTGCCGAGCAGAAACTTAGCGCTGTGTAAGAAAGGTCGCGGAGCTAAGAGAACATCAACGACTACAGAAGATGAGAGATACGAAGTCGGATGCCATGATACCTCCCTTGTCACTCTGCAAATCGATTCGTCTATTCAGGACCCCCTCATTTTGCATCACGATCAAATCTTCTCCCCCGCATTTACCGTCCCGCATTATGTTCGATTGCAGATCAAGCTTCTCCTCATTATTTTTCTCTCCCCGCACGAGCTTCGATCACCATGTCTTTGGTCCTGCTCAAACACATCGAACAGTCTCCGATTGTCCATGCCCATAAAGCCTTGCAAGGCGGAGGAAACCGGGCTATGGAGTGATCTTCCCGGCTACATTTCGCCCAGCTGGAACGGCACAGCTGTTTATGATTATTTGAATTTGATACCCTTCAAGTTTACAACTGCACCTCACCGCGAGTGCCCCAAGTCTTTGTTTTTCTGATTACCTGTCCTCATTTTTATCGCAAGAGCTATAATTATTTAAGAACGGCTAGAGGGCAGTCATGCCCTATTCGCTGCGGAGCACACTGCTTCCCTGACACGAGTTTCGTTTTATGTTGGGAGTGACATTCATATATAGATATATTGGTGGATTCCATTTTCAAGCTGAACATGGGTTCAATGGGGAAACAAAAAAATCTAATTGGCAAGCATCGCATGCACAAAGCCAAAACAGGAAAAAGAAAAAAGGAAAATATCATTAAATATGATCCATCCTCCGTAAATTAATTCATCATCAAAGCATTGAAGTCGAGCCTGAGATGCGTGGCTCTCGGAGAGAATAGGGATCGCGCGTGCGTTAAATTCCGTCGGATGCCGGTGGACCCTTGTAGGCTGTTGGAGAGAACACACAAAAGTTAGCTTGTCGAGACGCGAATTCAAAGGGGAAAAACGAAAAAGCAAAAAGGATAATAATATAATCCAGACAAGGAGCACATAAGTGAGCCATTGAACCTACATTTCCTCGCATACACAACATACCACACCGCCGATAACACCAGGAAGCCCGCGAACACCACACTCGCATACGACATCGATGTCGCCGTCACCGGCAACGCAGTCGGCATGCTGAACAGTACCAGCTCAAACGCAATCCACACCAGCGCAATCGAATTGACAACCGGCCCGATGACGCGACCAAGATTCCACTGCGCCTGCAGCACCTCGCGCCGGCCGTACCATACGCTGATGCCGATGGGCATCGCGTAGCTGACCGCCAGCGCGATCACGCCCACGGACACGAACGCGGTGAAGGCGCTCGAGCTACCGATGTTGATGATGCCCAGGAGCATCTCGACGAGGGTCACGAGGGCCAGAGCGTACACGGGCACGCCGAGTTTCTTGTTCACCCGCGCCCAGACACTGGCGAGCGGGATGGCGTCGTCGCGCGCGAAGGCCCAGGTTGTGCGGGACGCGGCTGTGGTGATGCTGATGGAGCAAAAGAGCGTGACGATGAGGACGAGGGTCATGAGGCCTAGGGCGCCGCCGGGGGAGTCCATGACCACGCTGAAGATGTAGGGGAGAGCTTGCCCGCCTGGTGCCTGTTCGATTATATCCAGGAGTGGTGGGAGGGTGACGCAGATCGGGATGATGAAGAAGAGGCCTGCGATACCTCCGACGGGCACGCACAAGCTGATTGCGCGGGGCACTATGACGGCTGGATTGGCGACTTCTTCGGCCATGGAGGAGATCATGCCAATGGCGGAGAAGCAGTATGCCACTGGAAGAAGGCCAATGAAGAAAGTGAATTCACCCCAGCCGGCTAAGGAGGTGTCATAATGCGTGAGGGCGTATGAAATACTGTGTCTACCGGCTCCCGCTTTGACTGAAAGGGCGATCATGATGATTATGATGGTGAGTGCTGTCCAGCCGGCGCAGACGATGTCTATCTGTGGGAGAAAGCGATTGCCAAAAGCAACAATCACAAAGGCCAGGAGGCAGACGGCGTAAAAGATGAGGACCAGTTGCCAATCTGTTGCAACCCATGTTGGATGGAAGAGTGATACCGTTGCTGCTATTAAAGAGGCGAATCCGAAGTTGACGGAGAGGGTGATCGTCCAGTTCCCGATGAGCCATACCCATCCCGTCACGAACGACAGAATCACTTTGTGCTTTTGGGCAATCTGGAATGACCAGTAGTATGGCCCTGCTGACGTTGGATATCGTGATGCAAGCTCGCTGAGCGAAAGGGCAATGCATTCGTCTAGGACAAGGACGGCTAGCCATCCTATGAATATGGAACGTTGTCCGCCTCCGTATATGGAGCTAAGCAGAGGCCCTCCCTCCCCATACGGAATAGCAGCGATCGCGAGCGATTGAAAGAGGAGTGTGATCAAAGAACGATTGCGTTTTAGTTCAGGGACATATCCCAGTACTTCGAGGGTGTGGTCGGTGTCTCGAATATCGCCACCTAGCTCGCTGCTCTCATTTGTATCGGAACCAGCGATGTCCTTCGGCTTGTCTTCGAAAATCGACATGATGTTGCGTGTCTCGGTGGGTGCCCTTGGTCTCTAGGTCTCGGGTCCTCTCTAAGGGCAGGCCTTCAGGTCGAAACGTCGACCATATAGAATGGATGAGCCCTTCAATGCTCAATCAAGCAATGGAAAAGGAAAAATAAAAATGAAAATGGGATAGCCGACCATCTAGGTCTGCTAAAGCAAAAACAGAAGAAGCCGAATGGGTATACCTTATCCCTCTTATTTTGAACTTAACCGACTGTGCAACTAGTATGCTGAACACATCTCACTGGATGATACATCCCAAGGTGACATGTTTGCATACATATATATATATATATATATAACGGCTATGTCGTGGTCTCCCCCTCCCTTGTCGGTATATGGATGTATATACCCCGGGATATCCATTGCATTTGCCTACAGGAACAGTGACAACTTGATCTGGTCGGTTACTTGGTGCTAGTGTAACTGTTGGTCGTGTTATCATGAACCAAACATGATAAAACGATGCGAATTGCACTAGCTAGCATAAAGCATATCTTATCCACCAACAATCTCAGACAAACAAGCTTGGAACCGCTGCATCATGCGGCAAGTTAGGTTAAATAGCTCCATCCAATGATTAGCACGCAGAGCAGACCCAATTCCATAGGAAGTTTTGGAAACTTCTACGTCGGTCGGATCTTTAAAACTCCCGCAATGCTGGCCCAGTTATAAGATAAATCCAGCCCATTGACTGAGATAACGAGTTGAAAATACATATGAGGTTACTACGTCAAAGTTCGAATATGCCTCTTTTCTAGACAGAGACGCAGTTATTTGCAGTTCAAGAATGCGCAGGTCTCCATGGCGAGAAGCAGTGTAGCCTTGACAACAACGACTACGTCAATCCCAACTTAGTCGTTTACCTCCTGGCCACGAGAGACGAGCTAGTCAGGATTTACGGGGAAACTTTACTGGAATCGGCATGACCACCATGTGTCCGGTCCTCGGGACATGGACCTTTGCTGGTGGCGTTCAGCTCTACGTTTTTGTACTGTGTACATCCCAGCTACATCATCTGCTTTGGTTTGAATAGCATTTGCATTGGTCGATATGTCTGCTTCAACGAAAGTGATAACACTTGATTGGCAGATTCCTGGCTCCCAGCGGTCGTGTCCTACTGTGGATGCGTACGGAGTATGCCGGCGAGCCATCATTCCAGCGACTTCCAAGGGTTGCTGGCCTCCTTTTCGAGCGGAATGTAAACAAATTTCCTATCAATCATCGGGTTCCCAGCTGTTACTTTTTCTATCAGCCACGTCAATTTTGTCAATGCAGGAGATTCGAATAGATAAAAGAGCATTCATTCATGATACGGTGTTGACCGAGATAACCATTATTTATCAAGAGCACAGCAAACCCCGTTGATGTTCATGTCAGTGGGTAGACGATAAGTACCCAGTACTTCTTTACCCAGTGCCGTCCCACGACATCCTCGTACTTATATGCCCGCTGGCCACCGATCCTCTGCTTAGCCCTGACTCAGAAGACTTGACGGCCTGCTGAACTCCGCATCTTGATCTTGTTCCCTTCCCCACAGCCTCACATCCAGCCAGTTCTGACTCCGCAGACTCCGCATCTCCAAATCTCGCTTGCTTGTCTCCTCGTCAACCTGCGGCTTGGTTAGAGTTCGTTTTACCCCGGATTTTTCAGGAATGGGTTTTGTAAACTTCTTCCCCGCAACCGCGAAACAATCAGCCAAAAGCGATCGGCTTTGTGGATGAGTATACCCTCGTGCGGAGACGGCAATCCAAGAGAGATTTGAGCTGAATGCAGTGTGCTGACGAAGGACTTGCGTTGCATGGCTTTGGCTCATAACTAAAGAGTTCTTCTCCTCACCAGATTGACAGACCCTGATTTTAGGATTTCAAATTACTGTCTTCAAATTGCTTTTTGCGCGGATCACTTCGTCGCCTTTGCTGCAATAGGTAGCTGAGCGCTTGGTTCTACAGGGTGTTATTCCGGCCCTGGTCGTTGTATTCCAGCAGCTAGTATCCAAAGCTGTGGTTGTTTTGTGAGTATCTACAGGAGTAGCGGGCTCAAGCTCGTCAGATTGCTGTCCTTAAAAAGAAAGAGAGAAAGAAAAAAGAACAAAGAAAGGAAGAAAGCAAAGTACTTTGAGATTTACGCGTTTGTCAAAATCTTTTTCCATTTCCCGTCCAGTCGAAACCCTCAAAACCTTGCCGGCTGGCTTTCGTGGGCAGCTCGTACCCAAAACCCTGGATATCTTGCCCGAAAAAGGTGAAATCGGGGCTAGTCGATGGATGACGACCCTGAAATTCAGTCTAAAGAGAATCTGGAACGCACTCTAAAATCCCAGCGAACGGGGCCTCAAGAGGCCATGGAGAGGCGTGAGTGGTTGGTTCTACGGAGAAGTGCGATTAGGGGTGGGGAACGGCATTAGGGCTTAACTTCGCTGGTTGGGTGAAGCTGCACCAACTTTCTGGGGACGGCTGGGATCGCAATACCCATTTTGGCGATGGGTTTTCGAAGAGGATGGCTGAGGTTTGATTTGAGCAAGCAGCAAGTCCAAAGACCAGCAGGAATGAGGCCAGCTTTTCAGGGATATCTTCGGCCCAGTAGTGATGATTTTCTCCCAAACCAAGATTCTGAACAGATCACTGTGAGGTGCTTGAGTGGCCTGAACAATTATCTCCATGCGGAATCTCCTCTGGGAGTGGCATTCGTGCGGGGGATCTGGCAGGAATGCGTGTACTCTCCACTCGCACGAAGCGGGGTTCGTTTGGCACTGATATTTAACTCACCTTTTGTTCTCCTCGCAAGAGAATCCCGTTTCTGAGGCGTCTTGCCCTGCCGAAGCTCCCGATTTCGTTTCATACTAAGTCGCAAATCGATGTGACGGCTGCCCCAGGATCGTAAACTGCGATACACCGAGCATTGGATTCGCTGGGCGGAGGCTTCGCACCATTCTATGAATATGGTCTGCAGACACCATCGGTTTACTAGCAAAGGCTCGCAAGAAGACAAATACTCCCGAATTTTTTCGCCTATGCCGCTGAAGGACAGGTGTATCGCGGCCACTGACGCTTGTACAGTGTGTGCATACTTGAGATGCACCACAAATGATTTTCGGGGGGCTTCGGAGCATTCAAGATCGAGGGATCTTGTTGCTCTAAATCGCGTCCTTGAACGATTGTCCCCGTTCAGTCGTATTTTGAGATACTCTGTTTTCGTTGCAATAACCCCGGATATAAAAGATTCATCTGCGTGGGCCCTACTTCTATTTTCTCTTCATACTATATTTTGCTACTCTCGAAAGTGCTGCTCTTCGGGAGCCACAAAGGGCGTGACAAAGTTGCAGGTGCCATAGTATGTACATACATACAGCGATTGTCTCTTGAAATATCTCGCGACCTCGCAATATTATCTCATGAAGCCATGCCAGTTCCGAAAACCCATTTAACGCGAAAATCGCCTTGGAAGCCAGATTGCGAGCCATCGGCTCTGTTGCAGAGCGATAAGTTCATTTCTCGGCTCTAAGAGGCCAATTAGAATTCCCATCTGCGCTACGGTGATTCCGTGGCACGTTAAAGAATGCCACGGAGAGCGCTGGGCTGGGTCGGGTTGCTAAGAAACCATGGAAATGCGGTCCAGGGTGATGGAGCTCCGGAGCCAACAGATCCATAATGTGGAGAATGCTTGCGGTATCAAGCGAAAGCAGCGAATGGAAGACAAGCAGAAATCAGTGAAAATCCATGATGTTCCTGTGATGCATTCGTCACAGCCGACAAGGCCGCCCGATCTCGGCTTCATGCTCTCCACGCCCCGCCGCAGAACTATAACTACTACCTTGTCATCTTGCGGGGTAGCTCACCTCCATCGACAGTTTTTCAATCCTCCTCCATCTACATTTACGAATACAATTTAAAAAAAATATCTCTGGGAGAACCGATATTTTGAGGAGGATCATTGTTGAAAGATCAATTGCCTTGACACCATCGAGATGGCGAAACAGTATGAGCTCCCGTTCCAGGTACGTCCAGCGCCACCGCCGCTCTCAGATCCACAGGCCCTGCATTTAGCTACCTCTCGTATCCCTGCAGTCTTTAAGCCACCTCTTCCTGCTGCCCTTCGTCGCCTGTCGAACACCTGCAAAGGTAAATCCAAGGCTAATCACTGGGCAATTTGCAGCTCGATGACCCTAGTCTCCTCCACTTCGATTCATTCGTAAATAATGAATGGGTCACCGCTGCAGACGGAAACCGATTTGAGGTCGTAGGTACGTGATACCCTCTTGAAAGTGACTCGCACCATTCATCCTAACGTCGAATCCCGTGTTGTTAGATCCCGGAACGGGTAAACCATGGGCTACCTGTCCCACGAGCACCGCGAAAGATGTTCCCAGCACAGTTGAAGCGGCCCACGCTGCATTCGAGGAATACAAGAAGATGAACCCGCGCCAGAAAGCGATGCTATTAATGAAATGGGATGAACTTATTCGTGAAGCTCGTTCAGATCTGGCAAAGATCCTTACACATGAGACTGGCAAACCAATTCCAGAGGCATTAGCAGAAATCGACTATGCATTGGGATTCACTTGGTGGTTTGCCGGTGAAGCAGAGAGGATTCATGGTTCAATCTCTACTCCTGCAGCTCCGAACCGTCGCGTTTTCACAATCAAGCAACCAATCGGCGTCGCTGCCGCTCTGGTACCCTGGAACTTCCCAATCGCCATGGTCTTGCGCAAAGCCAGCGCTGCATTCGCTGCCGGCTGCACGATGATCGTTAAACCTAGCCCCGAAACCCCGATCAGTACACTCGTCCTTGGACACCTTGCCAAAAAGGCCGGCTATCCTCCAGGCGTCTTCAATGTTCTCACAACTGACTTAGACAGCACCCCATCCCTCAGTGAAGCTCTCTGCAAACATCCTCTGGTCAAAAAGGTGACCTTCACCGGGTCCACACGCATAGGCAAACTTATTGCCTCCCACTGTGCCCACGGCCTGAAGAAACTCACCCTCGAACTCGGTGGAAACTGCCCCTTTATCGTTTTCGACGATGCCAATTTGGACCAGGCCATCTCCCAACTCATGACTCTGAAATGGCGACACGCTGGCCAGGCCTGCATCACCGCGAACAGAATCTACGTCCAGTCTGGTATCTACGACAAATTTGTCCAGCTATTCAAAGAACGCACCGCTGCTCTCGTAGTAGGCCACGGAGCGAAAGAGAGCACCACCATGGGACCCGTCACCACACCTCGCACTCTCGAGAAAGCCGCAAACCAAGTTGAAGATGCACGCAAATTGGGTGGGAAGGTTATTCTCGGCGGAAAGCCCAAGACCGATTGTGGAGGTGGATATTTCTTTGAGCCAACTATCATCACAGATATGACCCAGGAGATGTTAATATCGCGAGAGGAGACTTTTGCACCCATCGCCGCCGTGTATAAATTCGATACAGAAGAAGAGGCGGTCAAATGGGCTAATGACACGAGTATGGGATTGGCGAGTTATGCGTTTACCAAGAATGTTGATCGAATGTGGAGGATGTTGGAGAACCTGGAGGCGGGTATGATTGGAATGAACACAGGTATTGTCCATTTCCCTAATCTCTCGCCTTTTTTTTCCCTTCTGTCTGAGAGGTTATTTGCTGATTCATCTTTTAGGCAATTCGTCTGCTGCTGAGTCACCATTCGGCGGTATTAAGGAGTCAGGCTACGGCAAGGAGAGTGGCAAGGATGTCGCTGTTAATGAATACTTGATAACCAAGACCGGAACATTTACGCTGGAAGGACAATATTAAAAACATTTCATATTTTACAGTACTTATGAGCCCATGATAGCGAGGTTTTTTGGGGCCCGAAAGTCCCGGCTAAGTTGAGCATGCTATGTGTTAATCACACACCTCGGGCCGTTTCAAATGCATGAGAAAGCTGAATTCCATCTACTTACTTCACCTATATATTTATCGAGAAGACTAGAAATGAGTTAACATTATACATTATTTACCGTGATATACACCGACCGAAACATCAGAACCCCATACATTTCAAATCCCGACTGCGCTGCACATTGACCTCCCTATGCAAAATGTCTTCGCTTATTTTTCCATAATGCAACATTGAACTTCTTAAGACGTGGCAGGCCTTACACGACACGCTTTTTTGGCATGAAACGCCACTTCCACGGCATAAAGACGCGGAATACTATAAGAGGATCCTTGAGGAGTGGCGCATCATCTCCGCCAAGCTTGGGCATCTTCTTCAACAACCCAGCTTTACACATCTCCTCCACCGAATTATGGATCTCTGCATCCTGCGGGATATCTCTTTCGGCTCCAAAGTTCGGCGGCCAGTAGCGGGGATTCCACTCATCATGTTCAAGTTCGAGACGTGTGAAGAACGGTAGGATTTCTATATGAGTGTTAGAAAATGTGTTGTTATCGGAGTGGGCGATTTAGAGCCTACCTATGATCCACCACAAGAATGTTTTACCCCAGGATGCTCCACGGTTTATTGAGAGAAAATCGTGATGATTTGGTATGTTGATGAGAGGTGCGTCTAACGGCGGCTTCGAAAATGAAGACAGGTCTTCACCCATTTCGCGACCAGTTTTCACGTGCTTGAGGTTTTCGATGGTGGACTTTTGAAAAGCGAGCTTGCCGGCTGGTGTATCTTCTAGGGCAAAAACCTCTTCAACCATCCAGGCTAGCGGGATGTCGGATAGCAGGCATTTTAAGCCGCCCTCGTATCGGAATCCGCCACCGACATCACAATGGTTTCCTGCGAACCAGACTTCTTTGATGTCAGCCTTCTTTGACTGCTCTTCAAATACAAAAAGAGCAGGTTTGAACTTGAGACGGCGCTCATGGATGGAGACAGCATGCCGGATGTGTCTTGCAGGAGCCTGTACTCTTCCTTAGCCTTTGATCAATATCTACTGCCGCTACTCCTCCGTGTACTAACCTTTGCTATATATCGGTAAGAGTGCCTTCTGAATGGTATTTCAAACTGAGCAACGCTATTCACACAATCGAACAGACCAAGAAAATGAACTCGGACATCAGGACGACAGAATGTTCGCTTGAATTTCTGCAAGTATTCATCGTGCTCCAGCTCCTTTCTTGTCTTTATTCTCTTTCCTCTTGTCTGCTGCACTTCGCTGAAGGAAGCAAAGATAAACCGCACCATTTCCTCATTGCCTTGAGAAAGCAGGCCAACCATCTCGATCATTTCTGCTAAGAATCTGGCGGTATATGCACCGCGAGAGAAACCGAAGATGTAGATATCGTCCCCGGGTTCATAATATTTCATCAAGAACTTATATCCGCAGCTCACATGGTATTCGAAGGTTCTACCTACGGCTTGGTCAAACAACTGGCTCATGCTAGCCCTCATGCGACCAAACCATGTTAAACCTGAGCCGCTGGACCCAGTGCTAAATGTTCCAATGCCGGCTAAGAAAGCAAGGTCAGCAATCAACCCAAAATAAAAAAAAGCATGTTCCCTAGAATGCTCACGTTGATAGTAGTGATATTGTTTCTTATTATGCCTATCCAGCATCTCATATATTTTGACGACATTAGTATCGGATTCATTTCCTTTGTATCTATTCCCGGTGCCGTCGAAACAAAGGACAAGGCGACGGCCTTCACCAGCCTCAGTTCCCATGGTGGTTTTACACCCCAGTCAGAGATAGTTGAACGAACTATAGATATTCAGTAGTTGAAATGCTGTTGAAAAGCGTTCTGGAGGATTCGACCTGGGGAATAGAATTTGGAGAGCAATCGGCTGTTTATATACACACCTACTACGCTATCAACGCACCATAGTGGGGTAGAATCTTCGTGATGAGCCTCGCGGCTCAAGCTTAAACAGGCCATAGAGCCGGTAGTATGGAGATATGACTGAATACCGCATGCATAACGAGCGGGTGAATATTCGAAAAGAACTTTGATCAGGACCAACATTTCTCAATGGCTCCCAATCATCTTCCGACATCGAGGGTAGTGATTCCCGCAGTGGCCTTGATCTGCACTATTGCCGTCGAATAAAGAGCCGGCAAAAGAACCCCCGGAGTGTTTGTCCGAAAATCAAAATTGAGCAGTTAAAGTTGCGATGTTACCGCCGTTCTGGGCTGAGAACTGTGCTCTAAATAAAGCAACAGGATATTAATCATTTTGAGGGCTGAAGGCTGAGCTCCGTTCAGCCTTATGTCGGATGTATGACAGGATCCTTAACGTGGAAGCCAAGAGTCCCTGGTCTCCAGTGTTCCTCGCTCGTCAAGCCAGCAAAAGTGGTTGGCGGTCTGGCATCGTGATGAGGCTGTGGTTGGTCTGCCCCCACCAACAGTCGCGTAGTGGAGAGGATGTACGGAGTACGGAGTAACTGCAAGCTTCTACTTTTGAAGTGAGAATCCTCGTACGGAGAACTCCGGACAATCAACTCATTGCTAAACCATGGGGGGGTGGTCCTCCGCTGCGAGGGGTGGCCGGATCGGTGACTCGTCCCTCCCTATTCCTTGTTGGTGCTGGGTATGTGAAGATTTGCACTCATGACCAGCATTGGTTAAGCCGAGAGTTTGTCAGCTGGCTGGCGAACTCACCCGCAACTTAGTCGACGTTAATAGTCACCGCTCCATGCGCGGGAAGCGTGTCACAGTGTCTTGCTGCTCGGCTGGTTCAGCCCTGCTAGAAGCGTGGTTGGCGCCAAGAACGCCCGCCGACGTGGAACGGCCTGCTTTAACTAACCTTGGTGGCATCCGTGTCGAAGCAGGACGAGGTGGGCGTGCACAACTGCTAATGATAAACCTACCAGCACATTGAGGAGAGGGTTTTATTCCAATTTGTCGGCAAGAATATTGTCAAGCCACTCGTGCCGTCCTGAACCAAAGACTCTTCCTTCTCTTCGCCTGGAGAGTCTCTCGTCCGCCTGCAGCGCTCAAGGCGCCGGGGAAATGCATGAGTTGAGAACCCCAGCGTTTATCGTAGACGCTCAAATTCGCGATGTGCGTTTCCCCAGTACGAGCCCGCTGCGCAGCAGCTATCCAACGAGCAAGCAAGCCGAGAAGGACGGCGGAATGGAGCGACCTCGGCGCAGAGATCGTGAGTTTAGATAAGCGCCAAGGTGAGGGGTGCATGTTACATAGCCCGTTGCTGGTGATGCGGTAACTCTTCAGCCCGGAATCAAATGAAGAAGTGCAAGGGACAGCTTTTCTTGGATAGATTTAAGTTATTCGAATCAGTTCTCACCCAGACGATATCGCTTCTGCAGTCAAAACTCCGAAGATGGGCGAGGATGACGCGAAGTTACAGGGAGCAGTCCTCGAACCCTCTGGTGGTCTTGCTCTAAAGACAACAGGGCAACTTGCTGGGAATCCAAGCGGCCCTGAAAGCACGGCAATGCACGATGACATTGCAACATTGCCGGATGCCACATCACCAGACCTCCATCTCAGCCATCCAACGGACCAAGAGAATAGCTTCATTTGGAGACTCCAGTCAGTTGCTTGGAAAGACGCCCTGACTGTACCCCAATTTATAGAAGGATGCGCATATGTCACGACCCTCCCACTCGCGAAGAACAAGGGAATGACACAGTGGATTTTGGTGGATAAAACGCTCCCTCCTGGTCGCCGGCAGATATTGGCTTCGTGTGAATCAGTTCGCAAGCGTTCATTGACCAGCGATGCCAACGGAAATGTCACCGAGACAATCACGCATGGCGTTGCCAGCGTCTACTGCAATCCACGGTATCGACGTCGAGGATACGCTTCACGGATGTTGACCGAGTTGGGTAAAGTCCTGGCGACTTGGCAGGTGGAGGGAGTCAGCAAAGTCGCTGCAAGCGTGCTTTTTTCGGATATTGGGAGCAAGTTCTATGCCGCTGTGGGATGGCAACCGTTCTCGAGCTACCACATTGAATTCAGTCCCGCCCCACTTGAGAGCCGCAGTGCTACTTGTGTTCTAGCTGAAGAGGTAGGTCAGCTCTGTGCAGATGACGAATCAATAATCCGCCAGGCTATGGCCCGTCCATATAAGGACGGAAGAGCTAGACACATGATTCTTCCTGATCATGATCATATGCTCTGGCATCACCACAAAGAAGAGTTTGACTGCGAGAAACTGCTGGAAAAAAAGCCGCATATTAAAGGGGCCATTGCAGGAGAACCGGGCAATCGAGTATGGGCTATCTGGATCCATCGGTTTTATAAATCTCCAGACGGGTGTTCGGGCAACGTGCTATACATCTTACGACTAGTCATTGAGAATACCTTACTTCTGGACGATTCCTCCGATGATAACAAACGGCCCGATTTACCGGTGAAAGAGCTTAGAGCAGTCCTGCAAGCGGCGCAGGCTGAGGCAGCGAACTGGAGATTACAACATGTGAAATTGTGGGATCCTTCGCCCCTGGCCGAAGAATTAATCAAACGCACAGGGATAGACCATCGTAGAGTGGTGCGAGAGAATGATGGGATCTGTTGTTTGAGATGGTACGGGGACGGGGACGAGCAGGAAAAGTCGCTGAGTTGGATTGGAAAGCAGAAGTACTGCTGGTGCTAATGCATATCTCTATTCGTGATATGAGGCGATGTCTCCCACCACTTTGACCCTAACCTGCGGTAGCGAATCGTACCGTACGCGGAACTCAGCTTACGAAATCCGGCCAGAAGACAAAGCAGGTTTCCTCATAAAGTACGGATGCGCCATCCTGGCCTACATCATCTAATTGCATGGAGATCCGTCCTTCTGCCTTGAAACCGAGCTTTTCGTAGAAAATTGTTCCCTCGGGTGTGCTCTCAAGGGCAACGGGAATATTCTCTTCCTTGCTGCGACGTATACCCCATCCTACCAGCAAAGAAGCCACTCCCTGGCGTTGATAGCGAGGATCCGTAGCACAGAAGCTTAAACCTGCAAAATACCACATGAAGAAATAAGAAGGTGAGGCGCATTAAAAAGGCAAGCAACTTGGGTATTGAACATAACTTCAAGCTGGTATAAATGGACGTTTGGGATCACTCACGGTAGCAGGGCGTGTTGTGGAGGATCTTTGCGTTTGCAGCTTCGACCTTCGCCGTCCACTCATTTAAGGCGGCCATATTTGTTCCTTCTGGCCATTGCCAGGGCGGTTTCTCGTAGTTCTCGGATTTCAGGATGGGGCGACACCACTTCGCAAAGCCGATGACTTGATCCTCCTCGTTGCGAACAACTAGGACCACCCACTTTGGATCGCGTATTTCGCTAATTGCCTTGTCCCTTAGTGATGTCCATAAACCCTTGCGGACAGGAGGGGTTGGGAATTGCGCGATGAACTGCAAGTTTGCCTCGAATGCGGCGATGTGGATGTCGGCGATGCAGGCCGCGTCCGACTCTTTCGCCTCGCCCAGAGTCTTCATCTGTGTTTTCAGTGGCATCGCTTTTCTTGTTCTGTTCTGACCAGCAGTGAGCGAGATTGATGCTCTTGCTCTTGCTAAGGTTTATACGTATTTTTCAGTCTTCCACGAAGGGCGCTTCACTCGCCGAGCGGCGCATTCTTCGGAGATGTTTATCCAACAATACTCCGTGCTTGTGTCTCCTTTAGCTGCAAGTAGCCGGCCCCACGGTACACGGAGCTTCGGAAGAAGCGTAAGTGCCCTTAACTAGGAAATGGAGGGGTACTCGTTGTTCTGTAGACTGTGGTGTGTGTCTCTGGACGGATGCTCTCTGTTCTTTGCCCACATACGGAGTACTCCGTGTTCAAAGGAGATCTCATGCCAGTCATGTAGTGGGAAGCTGGGAATAGTAGCTCAGGGAATTTTGGGCTTAGATTCGGGCAACAGGAATCGTGTGAAGTGTGTGGGGTTTGGCGGGCTAGTCAGGTTTGTTGAAATAACTTGTCAGCTCAGGGGCATCCGTCAAAGTTTTTTGCCTCTTCGAGAGAGCCTTTTAGATGAGAGCTCCATACTCGGATAGCTAACCAAAACAAGCGAATGTTAGCAGTCTTCGCACCCGTTCCGTGCATTTTGTTGTCCTGGACTTTGTTTCTGGCCCAACTACCTCAAGTGATGGCTGGTTACAGCAAGACTGCAGGCTGCTGGTGGCATGTCATGCTGTGTCACTCTAGCAGGGGAGGGGGAGGCTGATTTCGCAACATGGGAACTTCACATCCATGGTGAATGTGGATATCCCGCTGCAGAGTTTCCGGTGAGCTTCCCTCATTCACACACCATTTAGCTGATTAAATGTATCCTAAGCTTTCGTTGTAGGTAGTTCACCCAGTAACTAGTGATTGTCCACCAAAGAAGCACGATCGAGGTCGAACGCCCTGCGGCCTGGCGACCGGAAGATGGCTGACCTTCAAGACCTGCGATACCTTATCTACAGCCATCCTATCATTGATAACCATGCCCACAATATCCTCAGAAAAGATACTGCAACCGATTACGCCCGGTATCCGCTAGAGGCAGTGACTTCTGAAGCCCAGGGGGAGGCATTGATCGATCACGCCACCAAAACCCTCGCCCACCATAGAGCTGTCAATCAGCTTGCCGGGTTGTATGGCTGCGAGCCGGAGTGGGAGTCTATAAAGGCTGCGAGGCAAAAAATAGTTGAAAACGAGTATAATGGGCTGGTGAAACGGTGCTTGGAAGGGACGCATACACTGCTAATCGACGACGGGCTGACCGACGGTCGGGAGGTGGAGGTCTTTTCATGGCACGACGCTTTCACAAGTAGCCCGACTAAGACCCTAGTCCGAATCGAAGCTGTTGCGGCAAAACAAATGGAAAAGCACGTTCAAGACCTGCGAAACCGGGTTCCTCCAATAACTATTCAAACAGTGCAGATAGACCACTTCTTCTCTTATCCTGACTTTCGAGAAGGATTTGTGAAGGCCATACAAGATTCGCTAGATGATCCTAATGTGGCCGGATTTAAATCGGTTATCTGCTATCGAACTGGACTAAAAGATATCAAATGGCCCTCTCAGGGCGAATTACAGACGTCATTTTTCCGCATCCTCTCTGCTACCCTCGAGAATGGAGAGAGCCGTATTTGTGACAAACCTTTAAATGACTGGATTCTCCGGATGACCCTTCGTTGCATTCAACGAAAATGGGCTGGAACCGGTTCAAAGAAACCTATCCAGTTCCATACAGGGCTTGGTGACACTGACATTGATTTGAGCCTGTCCAATCCAGCGCATCTCCAATCTCTTATTGAGGAATTCCGCGACGTTGATTTTGTGTTACTGCATTCATCGTACCCATATACTCGGGAAGCCGGGTATCTGGCATCTATGTACAGCAATGCCTATCTAGATATTGGAGAAGTATTCCCGATGATCAGTAGAGATGGTCAGCTATCAATTCTACGCCAGTCTTTGGAATTGGTCCCTACATGCAAGATTCTCTGGAGCACCGACGGGCATTTTCATCCGGAGACATACTTGTTGGCGAATAAGCAATTCAGAGAGATAATGGATACGGTGGGTGATACATCCCGTTATCATAAACTAATGCTAATTCGCTTCAATAGGTTCTCGTCGAATGTGTCGAGAAGCAAGATTTTACTTTCTCCCAAGCAATGGATGCCGCCAAGGATATTATGTTTAACAATTCCAATCTACTTTACAAGCTTAATCAGACACCTAAATTCTCTCTCTCGGATACTGCTCAATGCAATTCCGGATCCCTGGTGACGTCCAAAAAGGCATCTTCGATTTTGGACACGTTTTTGAGGAGCAATCCACACGTAGAGTTTATATGGGCTATATTCATTGATTACACAGCTACTATCCGTGTTCGCATGTTTTCGATTCGAGAGTTTATGAAATTGGCTGGGGGAAAACGCAGGGCTGGAATTACTTTGGCGGTATTCAATATTCTCCAGACCGACGCAATAGTCCCTCCGCATCCACTTATTGCTGGTCAGTTTTATCTAAAGCCCGATCTAGACACTCTGAGTGTCAACATTGGCCTCTCATCAAACAGCGCCACCGTCATGACCTTCTGGGAGACCGAAGATGGCGGACCGCAGGATGGTTGTCCGAGGTTAACCCTCGAGAATATAGTTAACAGGTGTGAAACGCAATTCAACCTCAAACTTTTATGTGGTTTTGAAGTTGAAGTGGTCTTTATGGAGAAATCCACTTCCGATGAAGGTTTAACTGTTTACAAACCTTGGCTCATGAATCATTCATGGTCGAACATGACATCCGACACCCGCCGTGCTTTACCCCTTATTGAAGAAATTGTCCGCGAGCTGGCGCAAATAGACATCCACGTTGAGCAATTTCATGCTGAATCCAGCCCTGGCCAATTTGAGTTCATTCTCCCTCCCGATTCGCCGCTGGCCGCGGTAGACACACTCCTCAAAGCCCGGCAGACAATTGTCCACTTAGCTGAACGCCATGGCCTCCGAGCAACTCTATACCCACGCCCATACTCTTCTGCAGCCGGAACAGCCGCACATGTTCATATCTCGATCAATCCACCCACGAAACAAGCTTCTTTCCTTGCTGGATTGTTGAACCATTTACCTGCCATCCTACCATTCACATTCCCACAGGATGCCAGCTACGAGCGTGTGAAGGAAGGGATCTGGGCGGGAGGTGTTTGGGTTGCATGGGGACGGCAAAATCGAGAGACACCGGTGAGAGCCATACGCGGTGGCCATTGGGAGATCAAGTCCATGGATGGATTGGCGAATCCATACTTGGGCGTTGCGGCAATAATTGCAGGTGGTTATTTGGGGATGCGATCCGAGCTGGAGTTAAAAATGGAAGACTGCAGTGGTTCGTAGCCTGTCCATTTTTCGTAATCTTCACATTCTCCCCACTTGATTCTAAGTGTGGGTCATGGCGTGATTAACACGTTTCTCTTCATAGTTGATACAGCTTCCCTCTCTCTCGCCCAGAGAGAAGCGCTAGGCATTCAAGCCCGCATGCCAACTTCGTTGGACCAGGCACTCGCTGCGCTAGAAGCCGATACGGATCTTCAAAGCATCCTGGGTAAATGGGTTGAAAAGTATATCGGCGTTCGAAGAGGCGAGCACAATATGTTGAGCAAGATGGGCAAGAAAGAGAGGAAGACTTGGTTGATTGAACGTTACTGAGGTATAAGTAGGGATTGGGTTTTGTTTTGGGGGGAATTGTTGTTTAACTATTGAGATTGTCGTCAGGTATGACTTCCATTTTACAAATCAGGGATTTTGACATTCCTTTAAAATATCGGGCTATCATAGCCACTGATAGTGTAGCTAAGAGCAGTGGAGGAATCAAGGACCGTGTTAATATCAACCACTTCTAATGCGTGTGTATATGATGCCAGATATCTTCAGTAAAATCATACCACCTCACAACCACTCGGCCGTCTAGTACAGAGTGAAATACAACAGGCTAAGGAGTCATACGCAATCATAAGCTCATCACACATAGGAACAGATGTGAGTGCAGAAAGGAGATAACACCAAACAGAATGATACCTCGCAGAATTCTTTTGAAAAGAAACACCGAGCAGAGAAGTAAAACAAATCAGTCATCCCAGAATAACACGCAAATAAGGGAGTCTTCATCATGATCATCATCACTCATCGAGAAATCCACCAACATGCAAGACTTAACAGGAGAGAGAGAGAGCAAGGAAAAAAAAAAAAAAAAAAAAATACACCATAAACGTATACATCTCGAGCGGCCCCTTTTTTTTTTTCAAAACTTCTCCATCAACCTCTTTCTAACCGTCCACATGCGGGCCCTCTTCCCGTATATATACATCGGGATCGAAAACAACATACAAGCCAAATGAATGCCACCCAGGGCTACAAACACCGTCTTTGCGCCGTCCGAATGCAACCAGTCTACAAAGAATAGAGAGAAGACGAAGCCGTGAAGTACGTCTGGACAAGAATCTAGTTAGTACAAGGACATTTTCATCTCTTCTAGGGTAAAAGAGGGTTAAGGAACGTACTTTTGCTGAAGTTCAAGGTGACCAGCGCTTCGCCGGCGTACTGTCGGTAGCTATCTACGCAGAACGTGATGCTGGTCGTACTTCCAAGCGTGCAGCCAAACGATAGGATGCCGAAGAACACAGTGGGAACAATCCATTTTTCTTTCTCCTGGGCGCTCCACCCGAAGCCCATGAGTCCCATCGCCGTACATATCGCGATGGGAGCGGACATCACGAGACGGAATTCCGGCTCGTATATTCCGCCGTTACGACGGGCCATCCAGCGGACGATAATGTCCGAAACTTTGCCCGCAACAACAGTCCCGAGGATTCCGCCGACAAATGGAGAGATGTATACCAGACCGGTGGCGAGGGCTGAGAAATTGTATGATTCTTTGTTGCGATAGATTTCTGCTACGGCCTCGGAGAGGACGATCAGCCAGCCTACAGAAAGAGCGTAGACCATTGACGACCATAAGACGGCGGGGTATGCGAAGAGGATAAACGGACGGGTCATGACGCGGAACCAATTGTCGCGGGCGATACGGCCATTCCAGGGTTTCAGTGACTGAGAGAAACTGACAGGTGGTTTGGAACGAAGGTTACTAGTATAGATCTGCTGCAGGGATGCATGAAGCGGATCCGCGCTAGCATCGACGGAGATATCTCGAGAAACAGGCTGTGAACGGGCTGACTCGAGGTCCAAGACGTCCTTCCGCGTTGTCGAATCTTCTTCGGTGCTAGGTGGAGTTAGAGCTGACGCTGGTGGAACGGAGAAATACCCTTCAGCAACCGTATCGCCCGCTGGTTCACCCTCAACATGTTTCTCATCCAACACTTGATTGTCAGAATCCCGCGGATGCTCGCCGCTTCGTCTCATGTCCGACTTGACATCATCAGCAAAATCGACACGGAGGTCTTTCTGTTTCTTCTGCGTAGATGCATCTCTTGCTTTTTGCCGGATTTCAGTAGGGGTGACCGGTTCCGGTGATCGACCCCGGAACGAGTGAGCCACGATATCAGATACGCTTCTGCGTGCCTTTGGACGCTTGGTCCGCGGCCGAGGAGTCCTGTCCCAGAATGTTTCTGGCACGAAAAAGAATACTAATACAAGGCCAAATGCAATAGTAATCGCAACGACCCTGAACTGTCATCAGCCCTCTTGACCCCAAGAATTAGAAAATCGAGCTGATGATACTTACCAGAATATCCAACGCCATCCTAGCCCTTCTGTGATCGCCGCACTGACAAGTGGAATCAAATTCTTACCTCCTAACAACAAAAGAGTATAGATGCCGACCCGATACGCCCGCTCATGCAGGAAGAAAATTTCCGCGATAGTAGCAGAAGGCAGACACTCCACAGGGCTCACAGCGATGCCCTGGAAGATTCTAGCAATAACCAAGCTTACGTAGGTTGGAGAAAGAGCACACCACACGGCAGAAATGATGAACATCGTAGCTCCGGCGATGTACACCGGCCGTTTGCCAAAAAGAATAGCTGTGGGCGACATCACCACCGAGCCGATGCCCAGCCCAAGCATGTAGAGCCCGGTGGTCAGTGCGACCTTTTGGAACGAAACATTATACTCTTCCGAAACGTCGTTGAACGCAGCGGCCAGGATGGGCGTCATTCCACCCCCTATCATGCAGTAGAAACCAAGAGAGAGCAGAGCGAGGTCTCGACGCCACTGTGGCCAGTTCAGAGGGTCGTTTAACGACTCCTCCGGTTGGGGATCCAGCACAATCTTGCCGTCCGGAGTGCGTTTCTGCTGGGGGGCCGGATTTCGAGAAGAAGATCGAGAAGGGGGATAAGGCGAGGGGAGGGACGAGGCAGACACTCTGGCAGGCTGTTGTCTGAGGCCGAGCGGTTCGTTCCGACTGGATGTAAGCAAGAGAATGGTTCCTAGGATAACAATATAAGTCAGAAGCTTGCGGGGACCAGAGGTGTGATCTGAAGTGACCTACCGGGAACTTCTTCCGTCTGCTTGTCGCTAAGGATCCCCATAGTCCACCTATCCCGGGGTCCATAGTTGTTGTCGTCGTCTAGAACGGCCTCCAAATCAGGGCCGTCCTTTTCAACTCCTAAGAATTTTTTCCACGTAACCTTTCGGGGAGCAGAGCTCTCCCTGTGCTCAGAGGTTTCGCCATCGTTGCTGGCCGTGTTTTCGTTGCTTCTAGAGTGCGAGATCTCGATGGTATCTGAAGGGATGTCTTGGGCCATTTGTGGAGCCTGGGAGGGTGTGATTCGCCCTTGGACTGGGTACACAGCTGGCCAAAGAGATTTTTCTTTCGCGAAATAGCTTTTTTACCTGTCTAGTTGGCGGAGCTTGACGCCGTTGGAGGGTGGCGAGCAGGGCGAGGAGTGAAAGCACCGTATTTAAGCGGTACACTCCAGGGACAGGGCGGGAAGACACTGGCTAGAAGGATCATCAGGAAAGGATTGGCATTTGGAGCGGAGAAGTGTTTTTCTTTTTGAGACAAAGCGGCATGCTCGATAAGCTCGGGGGGTCTGTGGTTTTGACTCACCTTCCAAAGGTTCGAGGTGCCTTGGGGGGGTGTCGGGCGGAGAGGTGCGAAATCTAGCTCACGGTCGGGCGTGCTCGAGGGCGGATCTGGGACCTCAATATATATAACCACGGAACAGACATCTCCCAAGCCTGCCTCCAGGACCAACGATGCAGCACTCGAGCTGCGCGTGGTCATCCTCTTTTCTTATCTTTGTTTCTTAGCACCCGGCGAGTTGTCCAACTGCCCCAGGCCGGCGGTGGAGCGCATGTGACAAGGGGGCGTCTCTAGCGGCGTTGCTCTCCAGCTCCACGACGGCTCTCGCGTAGGCAAAACGTCGGAGGAAACAAAAAAAGCCAAAAAAAAAAAAAAAAAAAAAAAAAAAAAAAAGGGAACGAAGCACACACGTTGCGTAGGTTTTGCCTTGGTCGGGAGAATGCGAAGATGCAATTGGAAGAAACAGTCACTGATCAACGTCGCGGTTCTCTGTGATCGGGATGCGCAGCTCGCAAAATCCCTCCGGGCGCATCGGCTGCAGCTGGAGGTGGCGTGCTGCACTCCACAACGCCAATGCTCGGCGGGTTGGCCACGAGCTGGCGGCCTGCACGCTCCAAGGTGCTTCCTCGCCCAGCACCCGTTGGCTGGGCTCCTCCCAGACGGTTTACAACTTGGTTTCGGTTGGATCTACGGCTATGAGTCTATGACAGCATCCAATGCAGATGTTGACTCTCTTCAGACGGCCCGCTCACGGTGCGCGCAGAAAGGCCCGCCAACGTCCAAAGCTTTCATCGTTCTTTTGCATCTCGGGAGGATTTCGGCCGCAGTTCCCCATGTCCGCCGCGTGATCAGACATGTCCACTCCTCTCCGCGTGGGTGGCAGATGAGCAGTGTCGTCATAGCTCCGCGCATCTTTCTTTGAGGTCTGTGGGCGGTTGTTTCATCGCTCCACCCAGCAGAGAGCTTTGCCCGGGCGTTGGTCCGCACACGGCAAAACACGCCGTCAATCCGCGGAGACTTGGCTGGTCGCCGCTCGCCAATCACCACCCCGAACATGGAGCTGCGAACATTCCACTGCCAACCACGAGCCGGCGTCAGATCATCTCCTCTCGCAAGGTGGCTTGTCCTGTGAAGCCCAGAGGAGCGAAGTTAAAACTCTGCTCCGTATAAGATAACTTCCCGACTCTCTCGAACCTTCGACCTCCCCCAACCTCCAATTATCCACGATCGAGTTCTATCTTGCTCAGATGCTTGCCCCCAAGTTCCCTTCTTCACTCTCGTCGCATCGTGCATCGCTGGCTGACTCGCTCTGCAGGAATGCCCCTCCGCACTTCTCCACATCCACCACCACAGGAATATCGCTTGGGGTTCTTGGCTGCCAACAGCCCACATATGGATTCCCATTCATAGAACAATATTTCCAACAGTGACTGGAGCCTCCTGTATCCACTGCAGCACAGTGCATCTCACTGAAAAGGTCACTGGTCAATTTTTCACTTTTCGTCTTAGAATGAATTTTCTATCTGAATGACCTCATCAGTCACTTTGTCGAAAACCATGGCCCTCTTCACCAAGGGAAAGTGTCTATTCACTGATCTCTGTCACTACCAGTGCCATGCTTTTTTGACTTCCCTCCAGCAGCCTGATATTCTCCTTCACTTTCGTCCCAGGAAAACAACAGTTTTCTTCACTTTCGTCGAATCCTTTACCCTTCTCATGAAGATAAACATAAAGAAGTTCACTGTTGTCTTCCATAGTCAGTGACTTGCAAGATGCTTTGCTATCCAATCTTCCATTCACTTTTACTCCTCAGGAAATACTACTCTCCTTCACTTTCGTCGAAACTCTTATCCTCCTCACAAAGACAGGCATATAAATTATTAAATTCACTGCTATGCCTCACAGTCAGTGACATGTCAGCTGCTTGTCTTAACTGAGTCAAAACAATTTCCATTCACTTTCGTCTCACTTCAGGTTTCCCGTCTGAGGAAAGATACGGCATCATTCACTTTCGTCGAATCTTCTAAACTCCTTCATACCAAGGATCTGTTATCCATTCACTGCTCCTTGGGCCCTGCCAATATCGCCTTATTACACTAGCTAATAAATTAATAATCGCCATTCACTTTCGTCGCAATTTGTCATGCTTCTATCTCCTAGCCCAAGGGCTATATAAACCCCTTCCTCCCTTCCTTCTTGACCTCTGTTCCATCTACCAACAGCCCAGCTATACTATGGCTAAGCAATATGAACTTACCAATTTTCAATTAATAGGAGAATCCTGGAAGTGGGCTCTCTACTCTGATTATTTCCAGCAAATATTTCCGAGACCATCAGCTCGACAAGATATACTTTACACCTCCTCTCGAGCCATATGCATCACCCTTATATAACGGCCTCGCCATACAATAATAATATAATATGGAACCCATCTGGCTTGTGGGCCCCGTCCCTAGATATATTGAAATCCATACTAAACACACCTCGGATACCAACAACTTCCGATCGGCTTTCAGATACCCATATATGGACCTTCCATGCTTTTACCAATTAATCTCTATTTACACATATATCCCTATACTAAAAATTGCCAGTAAGCTGGCAGCAATGTCTACCAAAGTCTTACCAGATGCTTCTTTTTAAAATCCCTGTCGTCAAAATGAATGCCCCTGAAACGATGGTCAATATCAAGGCTTCCCTGAACAAATATATTTGACGGAGTCCAATGCTTTTTACAAAATAAATAATCAATCGAGGGACTACCCGACCCGAGACTTAATCCCTGGGGAAATTTGCGTGCTGGAATATCACAGAGGCATGCTGGGAGTCTATGTTAAATGGAAGTCAACGATTTGCTTCCGATTACTTGGGGGAACAGGTCTCAATGACACAACAATATGTAGAGAGAGAGTCTCTATCTTTCTACTAGCTCCGTGTCACCATCAGGTGATAGGAGCTAGCTTAATAGAAAGCTTTCTCTCACTTTCTCTTTCTCTTTCTCTTCTTCTCTTCTCTAGCCTATATCATCTTTACCAAAGGTAAGTGAACCCTCTAAGCACTGCTTCGCGTGGGAGGCAGGTTCATGGGAGGTCTCTGATGATTGGAAGAATCAATATAGCTACTCCCTGCCGTTCTGCTCGCTTGGCCGCAAGGCCACAGGCTGGTAGGTCTACCCTTGTCCTTGTGCTTTTGCCTCGCGTGTGTGTGAGGTCTTGTCTCCGCGTGGAGTTTGGTTCGCGGATGAGACTGATGCTTGCTAGTAGTTCGTGCCGGTTCGCGATTCCCCTCCCCCTCCTCTCGCGACTCGTCCCCTCTTTGCTCCCTTGGAGAAACGCCCGCAACACCCCGCCCTGCAGTTGTGGTGCTGCCGGCTTCGGCTGGCAATGTGAGTATGCACTATCACATTCCATGCTCGCGTCTCGCCTTTCTAGGTCTTGGTTGTTGTTCCTACTGCTCCGGCAGGTCAGCAAGGTGCCGTGGTCCCGCGGGGTCATTCTTCGGTCTATCATTATAAAAACTTACCGAGAGAAGCTGTGACTTGAGGTTTTCAAGAAGCGTGAAGCCATCAAGAAAGCCCGCTACTTTCGACGTATAACTGCCGGAAAATGGCGGTTAAAGACAGGAATAAATTTCTCCACGCCATACGGGACTATCTGAAATTACCAAATTCTTATTCAAAGAAAGAAGATAACATACCAAGACGAATCTCTATATTTGCCCCATCCAAGGTATGATTATGAAGGTTATTTATAAAAAGGCCGCGCCAAGTCAAGTTTACTGTAAAAATATAAGAAATACTATTACCGAAATGGCCCCTGGATATCTTATCAAATTATCGAGTTACCTATTACCAATCTCCTATCAAGGTCGTGGTAAGTTGAACCGTGCTCGGATCCGTCCGAGAAATCTTATCGTACAAAAACGAACGACTATATCTCATCGATCAACGCATATTTTCGTTCCATGGGAATAATCTCGTTGACGGCTATGCCTGAAAAACGCAAAGGCTAAGCCGCTAACCAAGGCTCCGCATGCCCGTACTAGCTATTCAAAATCGGCTTCGCTGAATCCAGGCGCATAACTTATGAGCCCTAGGCCGTTTGCTTGTCCTCAATTGTGGTGATACGTTCGAGGGCGAATACGCTCCCGCCACGTTCGACGACGAGGAAGAAGGTGAGGGGGGGAGGGTGCCGAGCGGACTTGTAAAACAGGGAGAGCAGATACCGGGACAAGCATCAATATTAGAAATTATTTTCGATTAGCTCACAATACCAGGCCTTCCCACGAATATCAGGATACCAATTTTTATCGACGATCTAGAAAATCGCGGTCCGCTCCGGAAATAAGGGAGGATCCGACAAGTACACAAAGTCGTCATTACTAGTATCGAATATCCAGAGAGGCACGTGGAATTTTGTGTAACGGAATAAAAATGGGAATAGTAAAACGACTAAGACAAGAGAACCAGCGTGAGTTTCCTAAAGCCATGCAACAATTCGAAGTGACATGCTGATGTTGAACAGATTGTGGCTGGGGAGTCGTATCACGACAAAGAGACAATATGTACGGAGTACGGCGTACCGTCCTCGAAACTTCGAGGTATAACTACGGGGAGTTCTTACACAATGTAACTAGCAGGCATATAGAAGAATGCTATGGGTCTGTGTGGATTCCCATTCGCAAATCACCTAGGCACTGATATTTAATGTAAGTAACAATTGTTGATATACCAGCTGTGAGGACTACACAATGCTGACAATGACTCTCAAAGAAACAAATCCAGTGAATAAAGGAATGAAATATTGTTCTACAACAGCAGTTAACAGTGATTCGGTGGCCACCGAGCAAACATGGAGCTCCCATCGAACAGAAAACTGGGTATATTTGACCCGTTGCAGTTCTCTCTACGGTTTATCAAGCAACATTTTCCCAATCTACAACCATGGCGCAAAAATTTATGTTGCACCTCCTTCTCTACTCCGGCGATCGTGACCTTAATCGATCACCATCCCCGCCAAGATACCAACCCTTTTTATATTCGTTCTTTGGCACGTATCCCTCTAGAGATCGGAGTCCTCCACCGAAAAAGGTGGCGTTCAAGCGCCTCACTAAAATCCTGGGTCAAAAGACACGCTCAGCTAAAGAATCACTTGACAATATATCAAGAAGTCCCCGCAAGTTATGGAGCAGGGCACGTCAGCGACTTTTCCCACGCGCCACCCTTCAAAAACAGTTTTATATTCAACAAGCTCGACTATCAGCCTCTTCGGTGGACCATGTCGATGATTCGATGGTCAGTGCCGCAAGCCTAGCAGCAACTGATAGGGCCACAATAGCAAGCGTGTCGTCGGCTGATGGTGCAGACCCTCCGCTTGAGAAGAAAGTGCATCCTGCAAAGATGATTCATACCAACTCTCCTATACTTCCCCGAAAGCCAGGAAAGTCGATTCTCAAACCTCTACGAGACAACGTCTTTATGCAGAGTGAGCTGTGCACAGGTCAAAAGCACACGGCCGCCAACACCTCCCTAAACTTACTCATGTCATTCAAGGATACCACACTGAAATCCAGGGCCTCGACGGGATCGCTCTACTCAAGGCTAAGACGCAGCGCCATGTCCAAAGATCCGTTGTCGCCAGCCCGAGTACAGAGAACTGCCGCTGGGATTCTAGCTGTGGAAAGGAATGATTATAGGCCGTCTAATCCTGGATGCCACTGCCTGAGGGGCTGTATCTGTCGAGTTTTGGAAAGATATTTCCAGAATATCATTGATGAGAACACAGCAACGATAGCACCAGAAGACATGATCAAGTCACAGGCGACAAAGATTAATGTAGTGCGGTTCGATCATGCAGACGTATATCCCATTGAAGCCATCGAAGAGAGCGATGACGAATCCTCGTTGTTTGCTGATTTCCAATGGATTGACGAGTTAGACGTGTTTGATAATTACAGACATGATATCCTGAACCTTATGGGAACGCGTGGTGATCCTGAGGATTCTGATGAATCGCTATTGGCTAGTTAATCATGGCCTACGGAATATGGCTATGCACAACCCTTCTAAGCCTGTGTTTTCCAAGACACAGAGTACTTGTTCCCCTTTGTTTTACTGACTACCTTTCAAGTTGACCAAAGTATGATGATTTTGTGCTCTTAGGATTATTATTTATCATTTATAGTGAGCACTAGAAACGAGGCTCTACAAGGACAGGAAACTCCCACTTCAAAGCTAGCATCCATTTGCATTTTTCATTCACTAGTAGCGTACATTATTGATCCTTGAATGCCCTTAGACAAAGACCTCTGGTCTACCTCAAATTTAGGTCTCTAGCTCCACAGCTTTCATAAGGAAGTCGTCCCCATATCGTCCCTTTACGAATTCTCCAACTTCCGCCCTCAAATCAAACAGATACGGGGAAAGAAGGGGCTCTAAAACCTCCTCTTCATATCGGCCCGCCTCGAAGATCGGCAGCGTCTCTTCATCAACCTCGTCTTCGTCATCTGTATTGACCTCTTCCTCATGGTCGGTATAAACAGCTTCACTTGGTGCTAGCTCATATGGAAGTTGGAGCGGATTGATCGCGTAGGTAAAGATTAAATCCTCCTCGAGGAGGTCGGCGCGCGACTTTCTCTTCCGGGACTCCTTTTCAATCCTTTCCTTGTTCTCGCGAGACTTTTGGAGGTGAGCATTGTAATCGCTCTCGACTCTCAAACGCAAACGCTCCAAAGCACACGTAGTCTCTTTTGCCGCCTTGGTTTCGATCTTGGGGTCACTCATGACTCCCAAGCCGATCTTCTGGACGACCATCTTGGGAAGCTTGCCGGCATTGTTCACGGTATAAATGGCGGATAAGTTGGCGTCGAAGAATAACTCCGGCCAAGCGAGTTTAAAAGCGGTTGTCCCTCCAGGGATGCCCACGAGTTGGTTGTCCAGAAATCGTTTTGCGGCAATGCGGGCGGCTTCCTCGCATACAACGTTGTCGCGACGACAGATCGGAACTACGAAGAGATTGGCATGCCAGGTGCCGTCTGATCCCAGAACTGCCTCTGTTTCCGGTGCAGTCCATCGACACCCATCGCCAACAAGCTGCACCAGCTTAAGGATGAGTTTCCGTGTTTCTTGTGCCCCGACACCAGCCGTGTTATCCCGCCGAAACGAGATAGGGCGATGGACTAGGGTTGTCGCCAGCTTGCGATCTGGACAGATACAGCAGCGGAACTCTGCTGCACCCAGGATCCGGGTTTCGAGGAACGCTCCGAGGCTGTTGTAGAACTGGCTGCCATCATCATGATTTTTAGACATTTTTCTTGAAACTGTGGCAAGCTCATTGACATCCCAGCGCAACGTGAAGGCCATAATGCTGAGCAAGTTACGGCTTGTAGTCGCCTTGGTGTCGATGATCGGTTTACCACAGAAGACGACGACTCGCAACGGCACGCGATTCAAGGAATTGACCGGCTGCGAGCTCGCCACGTCCATCTTTGAAATCGGTAGGATACCTTCAGGTTCGAAATTTGAGGTGGTGTCGAGATCCTCCCATTTGTCAACCATGACTGATTCCCTCTTGCTCATCCGTTTCGAGTCTCTTGCTTTGGAAGGAGGCGCCTCTCCTTCATCTACATCTCCAATATCACCGGGATTCTTTGCGAACTGAGCGAGCTGAGCCAGCTCTTGTCCTGCTTTTAGTCGGCATCCGGGAGTTATCGTACACACCGGCGCAGATAGGAAATGCACATGGGGGTTCGTGGTCGTAGATGTGTTTCCAACTGCATTCTGGATCTTTCCTTCGGTATCCAGCTCTTTCACCAGCTTAGCAATGTAGGCCATCATTCCATGCATCTCGCGACCGTCCGCAAGGCTGGAATATCCATCGAAGGTAAAACAAAGGGGATGATGGACTGCAGCTAAAGCAACAGCTTGATCACAAATGACACATTCGCCGGCCCACGAGCTGAGAATATCATCATTGCAACTGCCGGCGAGACTAACGAGCTCCTTGAGCTGGGAGAGGCTATCCTCACGCTGATCCTGGTCCTGGTTATCACTTTGAATAGGCTTTTCACGTATGAACGTATTCTTTTCGAAGAGATCCTTATCAGCTTTGGAGTCATATTTGACGTGTTCGAGTTGAGGAGCATTGAGGCAAGGTTTGCCGTAAAAGAAGCTCAGCGACACGGAAATCTCGTTCCTTAGAATACGTTTATAGTCGATGTTTTCTTCTTCGCTAGAGCCGCCGCGACGGCGGCGTCTGAAGGCAGACATATCTAGAGATATCTCGACAGGGATATGTGGCTCTCCTCCTTCAGCACGAACGAGTCTCTGACCCTGATGGCTTTCGTGTTCAAGGGCTTTGGGACGTGAAGGAATAGGAGCGGAGGGCGATGTTGAAGGAGGCTGAGGCTGATGTTGATTTGTTGACATCCTGATCGCTCCTATGATTCCCAATCAGGCAATGTAGCTTTTTGTGATTAAGAGTGAAAGTGGTTTAGCGTATGGAGAACTCCTTTGTGTGGCAACATTAAGGAGAATTTCACGAGCAGGTATAACTCAACAAGAGGCAAGTTATCAACATACATATTAATCAAGAAAGATAGATAGACGAGACAAGCAACGCAGTTCGCAAATTTTATGAGCACACAACTAGACCCGTGTAATGCTCAGTCAGCGAAGGAGCCTGCTCTTAGAATTATCAGAAAGAAAAGTAGTGGTAAATTAATAGGGGCGTCAAGTTCCATGCCTCTATGACACTCATCTACAATGACCTTACAGTCAAAGAGAAACATCGAAACAATAGGCTGGGAATCATCAATTAGCATGCACAAATGTGAAAATTTAAGGGATCGCCCCTCCCTAAGAAACAAAAGTCTAGAACATTGCAAAATTCACAGATTACAGCGGGTGATAAACAGCAAAGGTGTCAGGTATGTAATAATGATCTAGGAGCGTTGAAAAGGAAGAACAAAAATCAACTGCCAATGATCGTTATCAGTTTTCCAGTCTAGAATCCCCAATATATACGGCATGCATGGGGGAAAAAAAAAGGTCAGAGAACAAAATAGTAGACATCAGAGAAGCATGAGATGAAAGATAATAAAACAGAGGGGGTGTTTTATGGAAATCTGATATCGGGAGAAAGCAGTAGTTAACGGAAGAAGGGAAGCCGTGTACCGGTACGCCTTGGCTATTAAACGTCGGAGCCGCTTCGACGTCCAAGGCGAGCGGAGAGGAATAAACAAGACTCGTGGTAAATATATTCGCTGCACTAGTAATTCATGATTGAGAAGGTAACACTCGCGGCGGTATTCGTTGTGTTCATTAAAGAAGGATGTTCAGTATATGACTTCAAGGACGTAGAGGAACCCAAATACTAAGAAAGCAATTGCTCCACCAAAGGTGACTTATTCAAATCCAGTCAGCACATACGGTCACATTGGGAAGATGGATAGCAACAGCTTGGAACGCGGGGATTGAGACTTACCGGTACGAATGCTGACCTTCCCAGCGACGGCTCTTCCACCAATTACTGCCCCTGCCGTGCAAACTCCATGACCGATGATAGCGCCCCAGGTGATCCACCAGTAGTCTTGACCGGCAGCCATGGCAATAGTAGCGATCTGGCTTCTATCGCCCCACTCACCCAAGAATGTCATGACAAATGTTTGGACCCAGGCAGGGCTAAGCAAAAGCGAGAACAAATTATTCAAGCCAGAAAGCGTATTGACAATGGCTGAGCCTCGCGATGGCGAGTTACCGCGCGATGATGCTGGAGAAAGGCTTTCGGGCGTCGGAAGGCGATGATTCGAAGAACGACTTTTGTGAGGCACACCTGCACGGCCGGCTTCTAGAGCGTAAGGGCTGACGGCGGACTCACGGCCGCCCATGCGTCGCTGTTGATGCTCTTTCTCTTCCAATTCCATTTCAACTTCTTTCATCTCACCGCTTACGTTCTCATCAGCACGCATGTTTTTCGCTTCAAGAAGCATTTTCACACCAAAAATGATAAACAAGACGGCAGCTATAACATTGGTGTAGGATTTCGGAAGTATCGTAGGAACAGCGTGGCCTAGGATTGCAGACAAGACCGTCATTGTAATGAGCGCCGCGAAGGCAGCCGTGAAAACGACCATTCGCGGATGTCGCATTGCCATTAGAGCCGCAACTAAGAATGTCTTGTCGCCAATCTCAGAGAACAGGATCATCGTAAAGGAAAGGACAAATGAGTGTAGAGGTTGTATGATCTCGTTAACATGATCGTCGCCGCTGCCTTTACTCATTTTGCCGTCAGGTCGAGATTTCATCGGATCTTCAACGATCAAATCGTCGTCCTTCGGGCTTCCGCGTGGCGCCGGAGGAGGAATGGAATGAGGCGAATCGGGAAGGTGTTCTGGTTTCTATATCGTTCATTAGCATATGGTGGCTTGTGGTCAATCCATTCATTGCAAACATACCTCCAGCATTTTATCCTTTTGCTCTATTTCTTCTTTCTTTTTCTGGTCTCCTTGAGGAGGGATCTTCTGCTGCTCGCTATGAGGCAAAGGCGGTACCTCCTTTGGTGGATCGGGCTTCTTTCCAAGGCCCGGTTGATTTCCTTTGCTCTTCGCGGAGACACCTCCTTCGGTTCCTCGGGTGCCTTCCTTTGGGCCGGGCCTGTTCTTATCATTCATGACTCCATCGTTGGAGTGTGGGATCCTTTTCCCGTCCGGGCCAACATGTTCTGACGGAGGGTCTCTTAGATCCTCGCTTAGCAATCTATCCTTATCTGCCAAAGCCTTGTCCTTCTTCCGTTGACGCTCCGCATTTGTCTCAACAAATGGACCGGCGTGAGGTTTGCCGTCTTTCCCATCGATGGGTGCATCGTCGACCCGTCTCACTTGGATAGGGATGGGGTTTGTCGAAGAAGTTTCAGGAACGGCGATGGCCACGGCCTCCTCGGGAGAAGTAATCGCGCTAGATCCGGGAACATCGCTCGGATCGGCGAGGGTAAGGGAGAGTGAGGAGCAGAGGAGGAGGAGAAAAGGAGTAGGAATTCGTCGGAGCCTCATGCTTGCGGTCCGGTAAATTATATATTAAAGAAGACAATGCCTTCACGGCTGCTCAATGAAATCAATACTAGTAAGAAGAAATCGAATGCTGTCAGAATTTTCTCAAACAGGCCAGGGTGGGATTTGCTGGCATGTCGTGAAGCCGAAATATTTCTGCCGACGGAAAGCCCGGCGCCTTTTTTTTGTCAGCAAAATCGTTTTTTAAGGCAATTCCTCAAGACAGCTTGCGAGGGCGGACGATTCATTAATGAGCAGTTACTCTGTACATTCGACCCTCGCGGACAAACACGAACAAAGAGGCATGGGCAGTGCAGTTGGATTATCTTGCCAGGTGTCGTCGTGCTGCAGAGTAAGTCAGGGGTGTGGCTTGACTTGGACGCAACATCCACTCGTCGAGTAAATACTAGACTCTGGTTGGACTAGTTTGGGTGTTGTGCCACACCTTCGGCGTTCTAGACCGCACCCGCTAGTAACGGCGCTTCGCAGGCCAGTCCCGCCAGCGCCAGCAGGCATTGGAGCTGCGGTAAATTGAGGGTTATTTGATACCTCCATTTGTCGTAGGAACGTCATCATGAAGATGCTTATTCTATAAATAATGGGTGTTTCTCCCATGCAGTTGAACCCGAATAAAAACCTTAAAACCTTTAATATTATATTATGCTATGCTGGTGCTCCTTTTATCACCGACGACAAGATCGAGGGTTAGGGTTAGGGTTAGGGTTAGTTCGTCCAGTCAATCTATTATGTAATATTTTAGTCATGAATGTCCCAATTTGGAACCCCCGACCACGGTGCCATAACAAACAATCAAATGGCGAGCGTCACACCCCGTCTCGTCTTGAAGCCGCATTTTGATACCCCGTGTCTCTGCATGGAGCCCTACAACATCTAATTATTTTTATTTTATCAAGCTGTTGTAATTTGCCCCCCATGCCAGTCGCAACACGCAGCTCATCCCGGCCTTTGGCAAGCTCCATTATTCCTAACTCCCCTGCCAAGCGATGGCGGGCGGAGCCCCATTTGCCATCCGAGCACCCTAGGGGACCAGCAGAGGAAGATCTAGATGATATTGATGGAACAACGCTGCATCAGCCACCTCCAGAGAGTTCAATATCAAGTGGTAGCGATTCGGATCCTGATTCCGATTCTGATAATCCTATCAGTTCCGTTACCCCCATTAATAAACAGAGTGCCGGGTTTTCAAGGACAAAGAACCCCCATTCCAGTAGGTGGTATTCATTGACATCTTACACAAGAGAAGGGATAGTGATATACAATAGAGGAGCTGTGCCAGCTACAGCTACTTTCTTAAACCTGATTTGAACATGGATCTGCGACTTCTGGCTATGCGATTATTCTCTGCTAACCTCATGTTTAGATCCTTCGCCAACTGTACGCAAAGGCCCTTTGAGCTTGCCGGTCAAAAGCCCTAGAGGCAAGGGTGTGAAAATCAGCCATGTGGAGGTGCCTGCGTCTCCACTGGACAATCCGGACATCCGTTTGTCCCCTCCCCAGAGGGCTCAAAGGACGCCCTATCAGCTGAACCCTCGTCTAATGCTAAATGCCTTACCTAAATTGGAGAGGTGGTCAGACAAGATATTGCTTCTCTGGAGCCAATACGGCTCTTCATATTCCCGGCTTAAGAGACACATCACCAATTCTACTGTCAAAATCAAAATCGAAGAAAGCTGGGGAGATAGCTACCTGGGCTATAAAAGGCATTTTGGGGATAGACATTTTATCAATGTCGCCAGAGCTTTAGACGCGTTTCCTTCCATCGAAGACCTAAACTGGAGCCCCACCGGAATATATCAGAAAGCGAACCTCGCACAATTAACGTTGGATATTATATATTTCTGCAATGGGACGCGGTCTGATTCGCCTCTAGACATAATCGACAGTTTATTCCCCTCTCCTTTCATCCCGGGAGAGGATGAACCACTCAGTGAAGATACCACACGGCGCATTTTTGAGATTGGCCTGGAAATTCGGACACAGCGGTGCATATTGGAAATGATCGAGTCCGGGAAGGAAAAGAAACCCGAAAGTATTCTGAAAGATATCTTCTATGGAGATATCTTCGAGGATAGCCCATTGCGCGGGTGGGAAGTTGACGGCCTTGATGAAACCGACCTACCCGAGGAATTTCGCGATCGAATCGAAGAGAGGATCGGAAATATACGAGAAACATTCCGGGAGGATGACACAGCGGTGGAAATCTCTCGCTTGAAAACTGCATTCCCATGGTCAGAATTTGTGGTCCGAGTTGCGTCATGGGTACGAGAGACAACCGATCAGATAAATGACCAATTGAAAGCCCAAGACGACTGCAATACTGCCATCGCCAAACTTCGGTCAGAATTCGAGCCTAGGGCCATTCTGGACCGGCAGAAAACTGACGAAATTTCCCAACGGACACCACCTTTGGAAAGTTCACCTAAATGGAGCCGGGGCCTTCACAGGGGCGAGAGGATATTTCGGCCACCACGAGGCCGGGAGGGGTCCCCAGAGCTAGGCTCCCGGCCGTCAGAAGATGCTGCAGTGACAATCGAACATGAACAAATCCCTGAACAAGTGCAGACAGCCTCCCTTCCCGAAACTGCTGCACCCCAGAAGTAAGATCATACCTTAAACTTTCTCTTATACCCTGTATTATTTAATTCTAATGTGCACTATCGGAATTATTAGGAACTTCGTATCCCGCGCCCTACTCCGACATTTTAGGCAGTTTATGGATCGCACGCATACAACCGCTTCTACCACACATCAACAAGTCGGAGAGGCGAGTAGACACACCGCTCCACCACCGGCAACATTTCTTGACCGACAAAAGAATGCCGAAAGAATATCTCCTATCCAGTCAAGCCCTCTAGGGGACAGAGGCCCCAGAAGAAAAACAAAACGGGCCCGCTCGGAGGAGAATGAAGATGAAGAAAGTGCATTTGAGACGACCTCTCGGCCTTCAAAGAGGCCACGGGTCGTCACTGAAATCCGACGCCGATCCCCATCAAGAACGGCGGCAGATCGGCCTCAGAGAGCAGTGTCGGTGGCCAGCTCAAGTGGCAGACGCCTGCCCGAGTCGTTGCAGAGCAGAGAAAGCACACCCACCCTGGAAGACAGGCCAACGGGAGGAATTGTGCAACGCGTCCGGTGGACAATCGAGGAAGATCGGCAGTTGATCCGCTTAGTTGGAAAATACGGCTCATCTTGGTCGCGGATAAAAGCGGCCGACAGCAATGAAGAGAATCCAAAGCTAGAAAATAGGAATCAGGTCCAGCTCAAGGATAGGGGTCGGCAGATCACCTTTGATTATTTACGGTTCGTCCTTATCTCCCTACACCCGTCGCCTATGGACAACCTTTTGTTTTTTTGTTTTTTTTTGGAAAATAAAGGGGGGAGGGAAAAAAGAAAAACTAACGAGAGCTTTTGCTTATACATAGAACCCGACAGAAGCTGCCAAAGAATTTTAAAAGGATTAACATTACCAAGCCGCAACGTAAAAGGCTAGAAGAGATAGGAGTAGACCCCGATAAGCGAGAGGAATAGCGCGAGAAAGGTGGAAAAAGGGAAAAATGAATCAGACATGCCGGGGCGAACGGCAGAGGTTAAAATCTTCTCATCCACACAAGGCCTAGGATTCAAAAATTTACGCTTTCATATCCCCTACCAAATCGGCATCTATATATGTACATATTGTTGACGCCAGCGTCGATTGAGATACCCAATTTTTAGTGTTGATATTGTTATTGCTTGCATAAAATTTCCATGGCTTCCCATCCATTTAAATTTTTATGAATATTTCCAATAACCATCTGCCGACAAACTGCGCATCTCTTGTTTGTTTTGATCGTTTGCAATGAGGTCGCGAGCGTTGAGAAATCTCGTTGTTTTGCCGCGTTTGCAGTATTTGTCACGTGATATACAACGGTTCAAGGCGGTCTGTGGCTAGTGACTTGTGGCTTCTCCAGTTAAGGCTGGAGCACACGAGGCTGAGGCTGAGGCTGAGGCTGCGCAGCTCCCCCGGTCCCTGTGGCTGGTCTGGGGTTCTGCCGCGTGGGGGCCAAGCCTGCTGCAGTTCTGCGCTCTCTGGACTGTGACTCGCCTCTGCCATCCGCGCACATCGTCCTTCAAATACCCAGTCCCACCGTCTTCCTGGACGCAAGCTGTCCAGCATTCTGCCTCCTGGCGCCAGTGCCTGCCTTGCCAAGTACACACTGTCCAGCGTCTTTTGCTCACGGCGCATCCTCGAACGATGCTTCGAGTCCCTGGCTCCTATTCTCGCGGTCGGTCGCCCTCCCCTAGTGGGAGGCACCGACACCGTTCGCAAAGCCGCAGGTATTCTCCATCGAGGGAACGGAGCAAGTCCAGGACCAAAAAGTCCAGCTCCAAGAAGTACTATGATTCCGACTCAATGGACGAGCAACCACGGGTATCTAGTACGTTGCGAAGCAGCAGCACCAAGAAGCGGTATGACTACGACCTCTCCGACGACGACAGGTATAAAAGTGACTATAAAAGCGATTATAAGAGCGACAGAGGGCGACGGACGCCCCGCGATCGCTACTACCTTTCCGACGAAGAATCGATAGCGCCGAGGCAGAGCAACACCTCCCTTGGGAGCAAGCGAGCCGATCTGTACTTGAATGACTCGGAATCAGAGCGCGCCCGACGAAGTGCAAGCCGAGCGCTTCGTTCGCTGGCTTCATCTCGATTCCATCAGTATTCGGATGCGTACACAGACTCAGACGATGAGGGATTAGCTTATGGAGACCTATATTATGACTATCCTGTTTCTGGCAGCGAGCGTCGATCCCGGTCTCGAGAGAGACTTCGCAAAGCTGTAAAAAAGTACTACAATTCCGATTCAAGCGACGGGTACACCAGCCACCGTGCGCGGGAATCCACAGCTCGTACCAAGGATCCAGTTGCGAGCTACCAAACTTATGACGACCCTGAACCGAAGCTCCAACGCACCCACTCACGGCGCGATAAAAAACGGTCTTCAACTGCAAGCGGGCTTGCAGCGAAGCTTCAGGCGGCAAAGTCATATTTCACGAGCGGGATAGACGAGGACGAATGGCCAGAAATTCCAGAATGCGAACGCCCGGATTTCGTCCCGCACACCGAACAGAATCCGTACCATGCGACACTTAACAAGCCATCGTCAGCGCCTCCTCCACCGGCCCCGCCTCCGCCGGCTCCAGTTCCACCCTCCGTCCCGGAGGCGCCAACTTCTCAGTCTCTCAAACAGACGAAAGATGAGGAGCCCGCCGTTCGCGTCCCCCAGTATCCTACGATCCCACGTCCCCAATATGTTCCGCCAGAGCATTATTTGAAGATGAATAAGACAACGGAGCCTTCACAAACCTTTGCCACCCCTCCTACTCAGACTGTTCCGCCAGAGCATTATTTGAATATGAGCAAGTCCAAACAGCCCTCGCATCATTTGGCAACCCCATCTTCTCAACGTTTGGCTGGTCATAACCGTGCCCACTCCACGGGCAACATACCCGCTACTCCTCAGCAGTATGCCGCCCCGGCACAGTTTCAATATGCGCAACCGGATCCGAACTTTAAATACATTTTAAAATCCGAAAAGGCTGCCACACCTTCTACCTCTTCCATGGCTGTCGAAATGAGCCAATCAGGAAAGTCTTCTAATGGACCAGGCCATCTTCAGTACGTAGAGATCAAGCCCGGAGCAGGGAGGACCCCTAGCACACGTCCGCATAGCCTCTCTATCTCTACGGATAATGAACACCTAAAAATGCCGGGTGGATTTCCCGATGGTAATCGGCCACCAGCCAGCCCATTGTTGGAGCCCTACCACGGTACTTACCAAAGCATGTCACCTATGCCCTGGCCAACGGCCTACTCAGACATGGAGGGCGATGTGTCGGAGCTTGAACTTGATGACGGCGCGATATCTAGTTCCGAGAGAGCTAAAGGGAAGATGCTAAAGATCAGGAAGACGAAAAGCAAGGACGCTTTCCACAAAATGGACCACTTGGAACGACAGAGGATGGCTATAGAATCAATGATGCCTACAAACCATGTGCCGGTATATGATCCGAGAATCGACGCGAAAGCTTTAAAGTCGGCTATTTCACATCACAAGATTGATCCAAAACCGTTGCTGGAGATTCTTCCCAACCTTACGGCCGAGGAAGTGCTTGTACTCCGGGCAGAATACAAGAATATTGTCAAGATGACAGGCCATGGTGTCAATATCGCAAAACACATCGCCCTTCGTGTGCCCGGTAATTTTGGCAAGGCTTGCCATGCCACTGCTCTTGGGCAGTGGGAATCAGAAGCATACTGGGCCAATTTCTGGTATCGATCCAACTCTTCACGGAGAGAATTGCTTATCGAGGCTCTCATGGGCAGGCCGAATGCAGAGATTCGCCGGATAAAGAACTGTTTCAAGGACAAGAGATACAGTGACAGTTTGGAGAAATGCATGAAAGCGGAGCTAAAGCCGGATAAATTCCGCGCCGCCATTTTACTGGCCTTGGAAGAGAAACGACAGGCAGATATGGCCCCGATAAGTCTTGACCTAGTGCGTCGTGATGTTCAAGACTTGCACCGCGCATTGATATCACGCGAAGGCGGGGAGTCGGCGATGATTCAGATCATCGTAGTAAGAGGAAACGGGCATCTCTGTGAAGTTATGCGAATGTATGAGAGCATGTATAATCAGCACTTCGCCAGAGCGATGATTGCCAAATCGCAAAATCTAGTTGTAAGCGGCCCTTTCTCTTTTACTCAATTAATTTTTTTTTTTTTTTTTTTTTTTTTTTTTTGAATATTTCGCTAACTCACTTGACTGTGCAATGCAGGGCGAATCCCTTATCCATATTCTGAACGGCGCTCTCAACCGTCCGATGCGTGACGCATTACTCCTTCATCATGCCATAGCCGAGGTAGGGACCGGTCGGGACCGTGCCGAGCTTCTCATCTCACGGCTAGTTCGCATGCATTGGGAGCCGCATCACCTCGAACGGGCCAAGGCAGAGTACAAGAGGCGATATGGGAAGTATGTCGAAGATCATATCGTTCGGGAAATCATCAACAAGAACGGGAATGGGAAGTGTGATTGGGCTGAGTTCTGCATCGAGTTGGTTAAAAGTTCGACTCAACATGTTATGGATGATGAGTGAGTCATGCATGATGTTTTGCCTGCTATTGGGTCCTCGGTCGAGCTGTGGTACCATTTTGTTGCTGTTTTTTGCTCACCCCAATCTAGCCTAACTAATGTCCTGTTTTTTTTACGGTACTTGACGTGGGTTTGTCGACGATGCATGATATAACCGAGTTTTTCAGGTCTTACCCTCAAAATATTGTTTGAAAATATGTTTTAGATGCTAGCTATACCCTGTAAACCATGTCAAATAAAATAAAATTTTTGATGTTTTGTGCAACAATAGCGGAGGTGGTTGTTGAACAACAATCTGTAAGCATCCAGCCAATTACATAAATTCTGGACTCATTTCCTGTGTCTCTGGTGGGCGGAGCGGAGTGGGATTCCGCTTCCGCTGCCAGAAGGCTCCGATCCCCATTTATCAGATCTATACAGAAAGATCGCATGCCAGCATGTGGAAAGGCAAAGCTTTAGCCACGTAGATTAAAATCTCTAGCATAGCTGACAATCAGCGTCCTGATGGCCGAATGAACAGCATCTAGTGGTCCAAAAAAAAAAAGCTTCAATGACAATATTTACGTGGGACATTCGTCGGCGGGTCGGCCCGCAGCGTTGTACCACCAAAAATGACCGTAGCTTATTCAATGTTTATTCGAATGACAAGTTTAGCCCATCGGACATTCATTCATCCAAGAATTGAAATGAAAATGGATTGAGTTTAGCTACTGACATAAAAAATAACAATGATAATAATCATCCAGCAGCAGTATCTTGTTTAATACTCTACACAAAAAAAATCATCCCGAGTAGAATGTGTGTATCAAAGGAGGCATTGAACATAAAGCTTTGAAAAAAAAGGGGGTATGAGAAGAGAAAAAAACAAAAGAAAAGAAAAGAAAAGAAAAAAAAAGATACTCAGAAAAGAACAAGTCACAAATGGGATGTATGAAAAAAAAAGTCGTGAAGACAGACAGGGAGGTTTGATCGAGCCAGGCATTTTCATAGCCGACAAAGTGTGAGAGGAAAATAGTGGAGGATAGAAAAGAAAAGGTTCTTGAACTGAACAATTTTTGCCACATCAGCATTCACACCAAAAAAAAAAAAGCCAGGCACACAGAGGGTATCCTCCACACCAGCAGAAAAGCACAAGGAAAAGGTTTTGAATATAAGACATCGGAAGAAGAGAAAGCAGAAACATGCAAAGTAGCAAAATGCACATTGCCTCACATCTCCATAACAAATGGAACCAAATGCCCATTCCTGGACAATAGGATCTGAAGACAAGAAGATGGCAGGACAGTATCAGCTCATGAGCTAGGTTAATATTGGACATCATCAAACTGTCAAGCCTGACCGTTCCCATAACTACCATTTCGCTTCAGGCGGATAGTTCTCCATCTCTCATACCAAACCTCACGGCTGGCTTCACGGAGTTCACCACGCCACTCTCCAAAGACTGTATCCTTTAGCTTTAGAAAATCACAGTGCTCTGGGTCATATGGATCAGCGAATCCCCAAGGAAACTTGCGTCCGATCGGTCCGTCTTTAGACTCTAAACTGTGCGGGTCAGGGGAGAGAATCGAAAGTGGAATAAAAGGCTCGGCGTTCGAGCCTCCACTTAACATGCTCGAGGATGAGCTGCGCTTCCGCTGCTTCTCCAAAGACCTTTCTGCCGCGGATGGTGCGGCGGGTGGTGGGACTGGATTGTTAGGATCATCCGGGACGGTTTCTGAATCGGGTGTGCGGCGGTTCGCATCATCTTTTGCCTCGCGCAATTCATCTTCCTCCTTTTCATCGAAGTGATCGAGGGAGCTGGAGTAGTCGTCGTCGTGTTCTTCGAGAGTGAGTACTTCCAACGGGTCGATGTTGGCCTTCTTCAAGCTATCCCACACAGTCTTCTTCAAGAATGCCATGTGGGCAGTTGTAACAGTATCGGCCTTGCTGATGACAGGTACCACGGTGGTTTTGCCTTGCATGGTACGAAGAACCTGCAGGTCAAGGTCTTCATCCAGACCACCAACCACCCGAATTGCAGACCCACTAGAATCTCCTCCGGCAGCTTTTTGGGCAGCAGCAATGTTTTCATCAAGCCGTGCTGGGTCCAGGATGAGGAAGGCACAGTGAATATGCGTATCACGGACTCCTGGTGATCGTATGACTTTCATCTCTTCGGTAAAACTGTCCTCAAACTTGCTCTCCAAGAAACCAGTGATTTCTCTTAACTGAAGGTCCACAATGCTTCTTTCGAGACCCTGAGAGTCCCACAATGTCAGGCCGACCCGTTCACTATCGATTTCTGTTTCAAGATAATGGCAAGTGAAATAACCGTTTGGTGGTGCCTGGGGTAGGTCATCCATCTCTTCAGGGTTGCGGGTTGGGCGTTTATTCGGTGGTAGAGCTAGAGCTTTTCTTAAAAAGTTGACGAAAGATGTCTTGCCTGAGTTTCTAGTCCCGATCACGAGGATGCTGATAAGGGAAATCCATCAGTTTTCCGAAAAGAGACGGCACCAAAAAAAAAAAAAAAAAAAAAAAAAAAAAAAAGAAGGCTACAAGGGATGTTCTCACTTGTATGGTGTCGGATCCTTTCGTCTCCTTACTCTTCTCGGGCTATTAATGGTGCTAACGGCACTGCTGGCATAGCTATAACGACCACGGTGCGCCATACTTTCGGCTTTTCCGTATACGTCGACGAATGGAATCGGTGGGACAGGCGGGTGGCTCTGGGCCGAGAGAGGCTCATATGACCCTGCGCGACCTGACAAGTTGGAGCGAACGTTCTCACCACCAAATGTGTTGAGCTGGGGAGGAGGTGCGATATCCGGCAATTGGGGTGCAAATTTCGATATGGCGGCCTCGCGTTGGCGACGCAGCTGCTCCTCCTTGGCCTGTTCCTTCAATACCTTCTTACTCATCTTTCCGGATGGCTTTCGATCACCCACCTTCTCCGAAGACTTTGCACGACGCAGAAATCCCAGCGAAGTACGGCGGGTTGCATTTGCTTGAGCATTGTTCGAGTTTCCATTTTCGCCGGCAGCTGGGAGGGTGTCAGGGGGCGGAGACCGACCAGGGGTGCGGGGTGCAGCAGGGGTTGGCGCCATGTTCTAATCAAAGGTTCACGCGAAGTGGCCTGATATTAATCTGTAAAGTAATATGCTGAATTAGAAAAATGAGCGGATTGATGAATTTAGCCACGCGTTGATGTTGATGTTTCACTTCATGAAGAGATGAGGTCTCTAGAGGACATCATATGCAAATAGGGGATAGATTAGCATCAACACAAACAAGAGTGAACACTTCATGTCAACTATTCAACCAAAAAAAAAAAAAAAAAGAAAAGAAAAAAGGTCGAGCTTACATGAACAGAATGGCTGGATTGGATCTCAGATAAGCGTAAAGTAGGAAAGCTTTGCTTTGGGTTGATCGGTGTTCGCAAGAATCTTCGATCGAGTTGTAGTATCAGGGCAAGTCTCCTTTCCCCCACTATCTTCCTCTTGGCGTTTGAGCTTCGAGATAGGTCAATCCGGCAGTTGGGTAAACGTGGCGGGAGGCAAAGTTGCGAAATACGTATGCGATCTTCAAGGCGAAATCTTGTCGCTACGCGGTCGGATACGAGAATGTGCGAAGTTGTCAGATGAAAGCCGTTGAGCTAGCGTCCTTCTGCCGAACTCACGATTCGATGACTGGAGCCTGGGATCAAAGGCAGAAAAAAAGGATGGACGATAAAGGAGTGTGTACCAGAATCGAAACTGCTATCGCGTCGAGGGACGGTGGCGAGGGACAACAGTCAAGTAGACACCCCACGAGCTCCGCAAGCCGTCTTGCCAGGATCTCAAGTATTAGCCTCGTAATGGGGCTGCTTCCTGACTGCGAATCAACCTGCAGAATGCCACTCTCGACGGACGGGAGGAATCGAGTACCCTGCCCGGCAGTATAAGAGAGAAAGTATGTGATGAGAAGAAATGAAAAGGACGAGAGAAATGAGCGTGTTATATGGAAGCAAATTAAGTTCAAAACAAAAAGAGAGGAATCAAAAAAAAAGAGAGGGAGAGAAAGGAAACGAAACCGAAGTATCAGGGGAGCAGCAGCGAGGAGCCGAGATGTCCAAGGGAGGCGGAGACCCGTTTAGCTGGCTCACTTGAGGGAAAGTTACTTCAAGCGCGTCAGCTCTCCAAGCCTCGCGACTGCATGCGGCTTCTTATTGAAGATCCTCAGATGCTGAGGCCAGCAGACTTTGATTTTTCGCAGAATTGAAGACTTCAGTTCTCCCTGAGAAACGAAACGAAGTTGAATGGAGGGAGGAGGATAATGGTAGCTGGAAGGAAAAAAAGGGTCATCGCTGCTCCATACAGGCTCCATACGCTGTAACTTTAAATTTCCTGGTACGGAGTATTAATCTGAGAGAGCTCTCAATTACAAGCGGCGCTCGAGAGTCCCTAAGAGATGATGCCGCGGAGGGTGTGGAGGTCTGCCCAGCGGCCAAATAACGGCAGAGATATAAGCAGATATGTACTATGCATCTTTGCAAGCTGCGCATCATCCTGCTCTGCGCTGCTCAAGGGCACCGTCGAACTGTGCCATTCTGCTGGACAACGGGCTGCCCTTCATCGTTAATTCCAAGAGAGAGACTCTCGACTGCCCCCTGTCAAAACTCAGGGGCCCGCCCAGCCAAAAAGACGTAGTGACCATGGTTTCGTTTCAGCGCCGACCTCTGGGGCCGAACCAGCGCGCGATACGGAGTACCGGTACCGAAAACCAGGAGATTACGGAGTACCAACCGATCTGGAGCTTTTCGTCGCCGCTACAGAGTCCCATGGTGGCTTGGCGCCAAAGATCGCGGTCGTATGAAGGCTGTAATTGGTGGACCTTCAACAGAGTCTATTTGGCCCTGGTACGGGGCTAGCCGTATTGCTGCCAAGTGCCCCGTGACATTACAGTAATATATTTATACTTTCATCCACCGCATTACGGAGTATATCGGGAGTACATTGCTCAGTTACCGTTTTATGAAAGGGTTTCTGTTTGAGACGATCTGGTAATATCATTTCAGGATTATCTTCCCAGCCGACGCGAAGTTGCCAAAATTGCAATTGCCAGGCCGCACAGAGCTGCTGTTGGCTCTCAATTATCTGCCAGAGATCGACCTTGGACAGAGTACGGGAGTACACTGTGGCTAGGGCCATCCGTGCGTTCGCTGGAGCCCAGTTCATGCACGCCGCATGAAGGACATGGACCCTTGTCCTACGACACGACAACTCATGCCAGAGAGTCAAGCGTCGGATATGTTATGGAATCCCAAGATGCAACTTTGGGAGAAGTTACAAAGAGCCTGTGTTCATTGACTCAGGCAAGATCCATGGCATTCATCTATCCGGAAATATTACATACATTCACTTCAGTCATTAGGGCAAAGAGTGCCCTCCACAACGGCCATGGTACGATAAGGAAAATCCAATTCGAACTACGGTGCCTCCGACTCGTCGCGCACGCGTTTTAATTCACGCTCCTCCTCTTCTTTCAAATTCAGGCTCTTTCGAATAAAGCACGACCCGACCTTGGACGGGCAAATATTTTTGCGATCGAGCTCCTTGAACTTGGGTCCGTTGGGCCCAGACGAGTATTTTCGCTGCCCAAATAGTGTCTTCTGTCCCTCTGCGTCGTCAGGCAGCTGCTCATCGCCCCATTGTCCGTCGAAGTTGAGCCAGTTTACCGGGGTATGCCCGTCGTATGTGCTGAATTGCTTCGCGGTTCGGTCATACTTGAATATATATGTGCTCAATGTCGGGTCCCAAAGAAAACCTTCGTCGCACTTGTCGACCAGAAGCCCAATCGGGAGCTCCACTCCTGGGATGGTGTGATCGTGGTCTCTGCAGAAGCGCATCAAGGTCAGCCTCATGGATGCTCAGACGAGTGGCGACGCCATATCGACGAAATGTCACACTTACCCCCCCGTTGCGTAGACGGCGTGGCTGCCGTTGGAGCTAAAGACAATGGGTCGATTTCCCCTTTTGTCAACAGCATTCCATTCAAAAGCATGCCCACTAGCATGCTGGCTGTACCATATTGCTTGCGGTTGGCCGTTCTCGAAACGGATCATATTATGCTCCCTGCAACGTTTCTCAGGCGCCAATGCATCCACCAGTGGAGATGGCTAGACCTACCAGTCGCCAACATGATTCCCAAACTGAGTACCAAAGACAGTATTGCCTTCATTGTACCTGTTGTCTTCTTAGCGAAAGATGGTCCGAGGTTCTTTGGTATACTGACGCGTTGAAATAGAAGTAAAACGTATCGACGACTCCATCTCCACGTTCCGTGACAATAATCGCAGAACTTACAGCTCCTTCGGTTTTGCCGTTCTTATTGGGCCGCACGCCTTGGAGCCAGGGCGGGAGCGCACGGATACCCTCTTTTGACGTTAAGAAAATATCCGTACCCCCAAGTGCATTCAACTCATCCAAATTGTCGAGTGTCAACGGTGAAGGTACCCCCTGGACAGGTTCATACTTGATTTGCGGTATTGTATTTTCGACGTGCGTGGCGATGTCTGACGGCTGGTAAGGATCTTCGCTGTGTGTCCAAACCAAAGGCGCTAGACGATCGAAACCGTTATTAGTGATATGATGGAACGTTCCTCTGAACCCCTCAAACCGATTGCCTTGGTATGGAGCGGAAATATGAACGTGGAGGTCTTCCTTCCATACCATATTTCAACACATAGTCGGGCACCTTGACAGCGGTGGCAGCGCACTCTGCACCATGTGCTTCTTGTATCAGGCTAGAACCAAGCATGGAGACGAAGGCCAGCCGAGTCAGCCTTCGGTGCCACCGCCTCTTCCACCACATATTTCTTTTCTCGGAAACCGGGAATCCTGCGTAAGATCACGCCGACATATGGCTCCTCTCTCTTACTGGATTTCGAGTTCGTGATCTGTTCTCAGTCCTCCAGCGCGGAGAAAAACAGACATCTGCCCATTTTTCGGCCGCGTTTAAAATGGCGGGCTATCTCTATTTATGTCCCATGAGGATTTAAATGGATGGTATCACAAGCGATACCTCCGGGCACTGAGATCAATGTCTTTTTGGGTCCAAGTCTATAGGCACAACTTGGCGCGTAGCCAATAATAATGAGCTCTCAGCCCACTCGATGAAAGCTTGACCTGCCAAACGCAGGCCCTAAGGAGAGCTTTGGTGGTATTATCCAATGAATACGCATTATATAGGAAACGGTATATTGGCACGGTCCTGCAGTTCACAAGCTCTTTGGTCGAGGAAGAGGAGATCAACGGACACATCCGGGGGTGGCGGCCGACGTATCCATCAGGAGACCAACTCAATCGGATATGATGATCGACATAACCCTTCGCCTGTCGGCGGCGAGACCGAACAAACTCGGCCTTTTGCCCCTGGCACTTTTAAGGCTTTTGACGACTCACAGTTCCGCTAAAATGTCAGGCGTCCCATGTATGTTGATTGAATGGATTGACAACTTGACAGCGGACTGTTGATGAGTTCGTCATGAGTTCAATCTTCTTCCTAGTCCGTGCCTGGGATCACATGCCAAATCGACCATCGTGTCATCCAGCAATGCCACGGTACCACACGCCAAACGACCCCAGCCAAAATTCAGAGAACCCCTGCATATTTATTTATTTGAGCAGATCATTAACTCGTGGACAAACAGATAGTTAATGACTGTCTGATCTTGGATGAAAAGAAAGGTGTCTAGATGGCACCACGCTCAGTCCGCGACGGAAAGCTTGGCGATTGCTATCTCAAAATCAGCCCTCTAAGCTGCTCAGTTGCGGCGTAGCCGTCAATCTGATGAGCCTGGTTCGTTGGACTGCTCGAGAAACGGTGACAATATATCAAAAAAAAAAAAAAAAAGAAAAAGCCCAACTTAAGCCAAACTCGTCCCGCTTCAGTTTTATACCCTTACTCTGGAAGCTGCTCCGTCGCCTTTTAATGATGTGCAGATCGGGTAACCATGGATCGGACCGACGACAAGCATCATAGCAGATTGGGCTCTCATCTTTCATATCCTGCCTCCATCCCACGGCTGATGCTACCTTCGCAACAGAATCAAGCATATGCCCTAGTCCGGCCATGGAGCTGCTCGTGCAAATTGAATTTAGTCTTATTCGAGCTCTGTGGCCGGTTGATGTTGCGTCCATCGCGCACAAGACGCCTCCTCGAAAGCAAGGCACATTCCCACAAAGCCTCAATGCTAGGAGCAAAGAGCTTGATATCAAGCCGACCAAGGGATATGTGTACCCCCGGTCTTTGCAGAAGAAGATGTTTATTGTTTTGCATACACCAGGTCTACCGTGGATCCTGGATATAACTATGCAGCTCTGTAGCTGCACCCAATTTAAATGCAATGTTCCAGTTGTCTTTCAGGATAGCAGCCAGAGTAGATTATTTAACGTGTCTGTGACATTGAGGAAATGGAGTTTGCGAGGTCGGGCGCAAGCTGCTTAGAGGGACCTTGAACAAAATCCAGGCCGGTTGTGGGTTTATTGTTGTTGAGAAAGAGCTAGGGTGATGATATCTGTCAAGTCCCCCCCCCCCAAAAAAAAAAAAAAAAAAGAAAAGAAAAGGGGGGAGACAAAAAGGAAAACCGCACATGTGCTACTCTTCACAAAGATTAGCACTTATGTATGTGGTGGACTAGCACCCCAACATCGGTCTGGACAGCTATTCATGAATATGGAGAAACTTCATGCTTTCATTTTTGTGATGGAGCTAAATGTAATGGCCAGAAATGTGGCTGCAGAACTCCATTAACTTCAGCAGAGCGCCCTAAGAACTGCTCAACCCACAGATGCCTGAAGACTAATCAGCCCATGATTGGAAAGGGTATATAGTGCAGCCACCGGATAAGGGACAAAGGATATATTGAGCCTCTCAGAGGTGTGCAGCACGTCGTCAAATGTGATGGATCAAGTCGAATCTCTGGGCAGGATATGCTTCTAGTGTCGAATTTACTCTTCTCCTCGGAAAACTGAAAAGACAAAGATCAATTTGATTTGGGGTAATTTTGTCCCAATGTTTAAACAAAACTATCTCCTCGGATCTCAACGAGATATGGAGGAATATATCCCGAGAAGACACCCGTTGTAAGGAATGAAGCCAAGCTAGGGGGCGGGCTCCAACGGAACACACCGGGTCACGGAAGAACATGCTCATCTACAAACACAACCCCCCCCCCTCCTTCTCTGAAGCTGAGACGCATCTGTGAACCAGATCTGAGGAGCGGAGATGCAAACAGAGTGTCTTCCACGAATCCAGGGGTTCAGAGTAACTACAAACGGGTGTTAACGAACACCGACTGAATATGTGATGATTCCAGGTGCACCACCGTTTGTCTCTCAGCTACAACAAACACCATCCACGACAAACTAGGGACAACGCCAGCATCAATACTCATGCTTGATCGGAAATTGTTAGCACGGAAGAATCCATGAAAATGCAACCCAAATATAATAATCCAGTGCTGATAGGGTTTCGGCCTTCTCGGAGTGGGTGCAGGAATGGATAGTAATAGCTGCGGAAACTGACTTAGTCCGGCCAGAACAAAACAATATTCACCAAGAGATCGAGATGATGACCAGGGTAAGGAAATTTGGGGGGCGGATACTAGGTACCCAGTTAACTTTGGCCGAGCTCATTCTCGAAGGCGAAACGCAAGGAGAGCTGAGAGGCCTCCTGGATGGACTAGGCGGGCGATACGCATGGTGCTGATAGAAGCAATCGGGCTGATGCACGCCGACTTTGATAGTTAGTTCCAGACGCGTGAGACTGTTTGACAGGCTCACACCACGGAAGTAGACAACCTTGACATCCCACTTTCTCGGAAACTTGCACGTGTGTGTACTCCTAACTTCGTCTTTCTTGCATACACATCGTACGCATGTAAGTATCCACACCTCCGTGGTGATAAGGCAAAGACCAGCTCCCCAAGTCCGGGAACAATTTCTTGTCCAATCATAGCCCCAGTCGAAGCTGGTCCAAAATCAAAGGAGGTCGAGTGATGTGTCACAAGTTTGTTGGGGCCGGCCATGGCGGACAGGATGAACCCCTCCTCCCCCACGTTAGCCATCTTTGTGTTGCCCAAAGATTGTAGACCGGCAAGAGACGATAGGAGCTGAGAGTTTGCTCTTGGGCCTGACAATTGTCGAGGCACGTATCTGGCAGATCCTTCGTTCCTTGGTAGAAATCCAAGTTTCGAGCCGAGTTTCTTTTCTCAAAACAAAAACATTCCCCCTCGTCCTGCATCAGGCCTCTTACAGTCACAGAGGATGTGCAGGCCCGGATATATTCGTGACATGCTCGGATCTGCCGGCGGGTCAGCCCATTCACGGATCTCACAGCCGCAGCGCCTCATATCAAGGGTCCGGATCGAGATGTCAAACGGAAATGCAGGAAATATTGCTCATGCCGGATAAAAAGGTAAGATGGTCGTCAACCCTTTCTGGAATCGCGCAGTCATGCGACAGGGAAAAAAAAGAGGGAATGGCTTGGCACCCATGAATGTCAAGCAAAAGGGGGAAATAAAAGAATTTTGAAGGTACGACATAGTTATATGCAGCACACCAAAAACAAACCGCAGCGCTGTTCCGAAGCACACCACAACATTGCTGGCTCTAAGTGGCGAAATGGGCTGCAGGATGATGCATGTGGGACATTTCATATATATTATGTATGTGATGGATGGTTGGCGTTGCACACGGCGATTGATGAACGGGATTCAGGATCCTCGTCGAATTTCTCTTGGATGGAGGCAGGAGGCTATCCGATCAGCAATCATTTGACGCCCAAAGGTGACCAGGCCAGCTGGCTGGTCAGCCAAGTCTAACTAACTAGTTACTCTGTACGGAGCATTGCAGCTGGATTGTCTTTGATATTGTTGAACAAGCAAGCAAACTGTTTTCTTGCAACAACCCGCCCCTCTCACAAGTTTTGCGGCAAAGACAAGAAGCGCCGGCCGAACCAGTCTTGGGGAAGATGGAGCTCCCGGTCGCCAGACGCAGAACTCTAACTGGAGCGCTTGAGGCGCTTTTTTCCAAAATTCCAAATCTGCAAACGAAGCAAACTGGCTTGCGTGGAGAGCTCCGGACCCCTGTTGGCGCGGGATCGGCAGGACAGGGTTCACGGGAATGGCTTCCCACCAAGGGGGGGCTTGGTGAACCCGGCGGACGGAAACTGGGATCGAAGTTGCTTCACGGACGAGATGAAGTACGGGGTATCCGGTAAGTTGGGAGGGTTTCAGGCGAGGATTGTCGAGTCACGGATGATTACAACCTCATACCGACTAATAGTTATTTTTGATTTTGCGTGCGGGAAAAAAAAAAAAAAAAAATTGACAGAGAATAACTTGTTAGTTGACAAGTTTTGTTGGTTGCCGATAAACTAACTAGCTCAACTGCGGCAGCTCATGCGCGATTTCCAACTGACACACGGACGAGGCCCGTGTCACGATATGATGGAGCATCCCCATCCGGCTAAAGAGGAGGGCCGGTTTCCACATGCGCGCCCCCGCAGCGTTTAATGATGGTAATTCTTCTCCAACTTTTGAATTTTCCCGCCTTCTTTTTTTTTTCTTTTCTTCTTCGGAATTTGTTTGCTTTTCTTTGTTTGCCATGTGGTGACATTAGGGACGATCGGGATGGCGCTGGGAGAAAAGCTTGAGTTCTGCCACCAGCCCAATTTTGGGGCTTTGAGGGGAGGGGGGAAAAATACGCGGGCTTAGCATGTCTTCCAATTTTAAAAGCAAACACCGCTGTTCGGTACGAGAAACAAGAAAAGTAGTGTACAAGGACCTCTCGTGATATAGATACTCATGAGTATGGAACAACCCCGTTCATCCAGCACAAATGCAAGGGAGATCGACGGCGATCAGGACCCATTAAGCGAGAGAAGCACAGAGTCGGCTGGGTGAAGAGAGAATATTAGTCCCTTTCGAGTTTCAGTCACTTGTTGTGTCTCATCAGCTTGAAGACTCGCAGATCGAGGGGAATTCTCTCGCCCATCCATGTCGCACGCTGCGTGTGGTTTCTCTCTTCTTCCTCGTCTGTGGTGTTTGGATGGATCAGGACGCTGAGCGGTCCACGGTTGATCACCAGCCAAGGAATGAACGCGCCAAATTGCTGAGGAGTGAAAAGGTTCACTTCAAACATCGCAATTGGATGCGGGCCAACTGGTCGGTCGAAGAACTCATAGATACGAAGCTCGGGAACTGGGATTGCATGAGTTAGTTAATTTGTTTGGCAGCCGGGACATGAATCGTAACGCAAAGTCCTCAAGCAATTGTTTTTTTTGCACAAAGCACAGAGTGCTCCGTAACTACGTTCCAAGAAATGTCCGGGTCTTTACATGCTCCGCAGAAATGAAACAAGAAGACACGTAGGAGAAGCATTACATTCGCGTCTGATACGCTCCCAGAGGGCTCGAGCAAATTCGGCTTGCTCGGGATTGTTCTGCATTCGTGTCAGCTCCCAGTTCCAGCTCGCTGCGCCGTAGTGTTACCAGGCAAGCCGCGGTTCAGGGAAGAGTAAGGGGGAAAAAAGAGAGAAAAAAAAAAAAAAAAAAAAAAAAAAAAAGAAGAAAAGAAAGGGACAATTCCTGGCGTCAAGTCGCTCACGAGTCATGACGGACCTGATAGTGGTATATGTGGACATCGAAGCCGCCCCGCCGGCCGTCGGTTAACGGATCTGGGAATCGATCGTAGGCGCCACTGAGAACACCGGTGGGAGGGTTTCTGAACGACTTTCCGTCCTCATTCCTGTCGCTGGAGCCGTGATAACTAGAATCAGCGAGCTGCGATGCGGCGCGCCGGCGTCTGGAGCATGGCGACTTACTTGGGCAGTGCAGGGAGCATGTCGCACCCCTCCAGTGGTGAGGGGTATTGGTACGAAAACTGGTCCGGCATTCCGACCTGGGGCTACTACGCGCAAACCCGGGCTGAGGAGGACGGCGAAGGTGGTACTGTTTGTGTGTTTGTGTGTTTGTCTGTTTGCCTGCCTGCCTGTCTGTCTGTCTGTCTGCATGTATGTATGTATGTTATGTACGTATGTGCATATGTTTTGCCGCGACGATATTCAGGCCCTGTCTGAAACTGCTGTAATTATTCAAGACCAACGGCGCAGCGAGATGTGCGTTTGAGTGCGTGCGGTTTAGACGGCCGGCGTCGTCGCCGTCTCTTGGCACGGCGCTGACAGTTGAAGTTTCAGTTTAGCGAGTTCCCGACAGAACCTTGACGACGACGACGACGACGAAAGAATGCTCCGCAGCCTGTCGTGAACCCAGAGAGATCCCGCCCGCCGTCAGTGTCGCACAGTCACTCAATAGTCTGCGTAGCAGTCAACTATGACGATGATGATGATGATGATGATGATGATGATGATGTAGTTACATGGCGGAATCCTTGCCACCGTCCAAGGGCAGCGAGCGGCATCGAAGAAGTGTTGCTCTGTCTGAACCCAAGCCCAGCTTCGGCCCGAACCCAATTTGGCAAATGCTCCGCTGGAAGTTCCATTGGAAATTCTCCCTCTCTCTCTCTCTCTCTCTCTGTGCTTCTGCAAGTCCAGCTCCGCCTCTGCCTCTGCTGTGCTCCGGATCGGTGGGCTCGTCTGTCAGGACGAACCGGGGCGGCGGAACCTGGCAGCAAACATCATCAGAGCCCATTAACCTCCAGCCACTCATCACGCCGTCTGCAGGACGCTGGTTCGAGAAGCAAGCAGCAAACGCGACTCCCGTCCGGCGTAAACTCCACGGACGTATTGCGGATGGGCCTCGCCTCTGCTTCCCTGCAAGGATCTGCTGCCAGCCAGCTAGCTTGGCGGACTCTGGCGCCAATTCATGCGATTGTCTTAGCGGGTGCGCGTTGACTGGGCCGTTTTCGCTCCCCAGCTGCACGACGCCCGAAGTGACAACGCTAACTGACTTGGCTTCATCTAAGAATAAAACTGAATCCATCGCAGCGCAATTCTAGACCGTCCTCCCCACCCCTCGCCCAGCGCGCAGCCCAACGCTTGGTTGTCGACCGGTTTGGCTCTTGTTCCCGAACTTGGCTCAGAACAAAGATGCGCATTTCCTCAAATTCCCGCTCCCAAAAACCTCTTTTGTGGGATTTTCCCTGAACGTCCGCAACGGCCACGGATACGAGTCCAAAAGCCGACGCTGCAATCTGACGAAATTTTTTTTTTTTCTTTTTTGGTTTTTCTTTTCCCCTTCGTGGATGCGTTGGGTGGCTTGATCTTGACTGTCGCCGCCCATCCCCCCTGCCCGACTACATTGCTCTGAATTTTTAGCGCCTGAGCAGTTGTGGTTTTTTAATTAATTCGATCAGTCATATCTGCGTCAAGCTCTCTTCCCACGCTGCCCCCGGAAAATAAAGTCTTTCTTCGCCCTGTGTCTTGCTGCCGTGGCAGCCATAGTTCACCCCCGTGCGACCGTCTCCGTCCCTCCCCCCCCTCACCATAAGTTTACTCTCGAGAGATAGTGTCGCGTCAGCATCAACATGCCTGTCGCTCTCTAAAACCAAGACGGCAAAGCTGCAATTTTCATTCCGCTCGCGCGTTTGTTTTCCCTTTCGCGGCTTCCGGCATCCTAGACTCTCGGCTACTGCTGTTGTGCTGCCGCCACCGCTTCACGGTACAGACTGATCTCCCTCCCGTTTGAACTGCAGCCCGACACAGACACGACATTGAATCGCGTTACGGATACCGATGGCAGGCGGTTGATTGTAGGCGGCTAGACCCTGCAAATTCCCGCATCGACCTGCAGGAAACTCATTCACGCCGCAGAAATTTTCGACAGCTGTTTTCTTTTCATTTCATTTCTTTCCTTTTTTTTTTTTTTTTTTACACTTTTTGGTCCCAACTGCCCGAAAGCGTTTGAATGGTCGGTATTGCAAGTTTCTGTTCTGTCTCCGTCCGTTTTTCTTATTCCGTCCTCCTGTCTTGTTCATACCGTCCGCCTTTCTGCCTAGCACTTTGGCGATTGCCTTATTCTTCCTAGTCTTGTTATGCGTGTCATCTTTTCCAGAGTGATATCCGTTCCGCTCGAGGGCGCAACTCTGTAGCTGCGGCAGCCGACAGTTTTTTTTTTTAGAAGAGGCCGGCCTGAAACAAGAAACGAAAACCTTGGTTCACTCGGTTTGGTTCTCCTTGCACAGCATCGTGGGTGCACAGCAAGCATCTCTAGATGTCTTTGTTGCCTCGCGATGCTTCCTCATGCCACCATTAGACGGTTCGCCGACATACTTGAATCAGCAACTCGCAAGCCCTCTCTTCGATCCTTCACATATAAATTTATATTCACCGACAAAGTATAGCAGCCACCTTCAAATTCAACGGGGCAAAGGCACGACTGACTTCTATTCTCCTCTTGGATGATGATTGTGGGCGCTGGTTGAGCTACTCTAATCTTTGTTGAGAATGATGCGAGGACCTGCTCAAAATGGCCTTGGTTCGACGCTTACGTTTGGCTTGGAGGTGGAGTTCTTCGCTGCAATGAAGGCAACGACCTTCAACCGTTTTCCAAATGCTACCATTGCAAGCCTCCTGGGGGACCGCCTTCGTCTCGTCCGCCTCCATGGGCCTGACGGTACCGGTGTTGGGATACGGGTGGAAGATGACGACGACGACGACTCATCCAACAGCGATGCTATCGATTACTCCTTTTGGAACTTGACCACGGACAAGACAGCTGCTCCGAATTATCCAGAGTGGTTCGAATGCTGTAAGAGCCCATGCTTGCTTACCATATCCTCGCGTCAGGACACATATGGACTGACAAAAAAGATAAAGACGAAACCCAGCCGATTGAGATCATATCACCTCCCTATCGAATATACTCGCCCCTGTGGGAACATGACATCCAGCGAATTTTCAATTCTCGATCTGGTCAATACAATCCAATCCCTTGGAGAGAGCTCCGCATGTACTTCGAGCAAAACAGCACCACCGGTCTTCATGTGCACATCGGCAACGGTACGGACCCGGATTCGGCTTTCTCCTTCCATACGGTTCGCAACCTCGCAATGATACTGCTCGTATATGAACCGGAACTAGACAAGTTGCTCGACACGTCGCCCTCGTGGAATCGAATGCTGAATGAGCCGGTATATGTCAGCTTGGCCCCCCACCTTATAGTACCCTAATCCATTATATTTATTTATTTGACTAACGATAATTTTTTTTTTGTCCATACCAGATGCAATGCATCACGTCAGTCAACAGCCCGCATTTTCAACCTCCAAACCTCCCGCCAAAGTCACCTAGGGCACTCATGGCTCTTCATCTTCTCAACACTTGCCCCGATATCAAATCGATCATTAACGTGATGAACCCTCGGCTTCCAGCTCCCTCCAATCCAAGAGATGCTCGTTATTACAAGTATAATTTTACTCCACTTCTGGATTCCCTGGATGCACCTGCTCGCAACATAATTAACCATGATGACAACAATAATGATAATATATTCCCTAAACGAAAACTTCCCACGATCGAATTCCGTCAGCAGCCAGGCACTCTAGACCCGGACACGATGGTTCACTGGATCAGATTCTTAGGAGCTATGGTTGATTTTTCGGGGAGGATAGGCATTCAGACTCTGATAGAGTTCTTAGGTCTTGAAGAATGGCGCTTGGACGGCGCCAATCCCGCCACGGCTGGATCTGACAGCGAAGATCCTCCCAGTCCCACTTATACACAACATGTACCGACGTATTCGACAGCTTCTCCGCCTTCTCTCTCCGCATTCTCCCTACTCTCCGGCTTGCAGCCCGTGGGGTCGCTCTCTCGGCTCTTAACTGCTATGGAAACGGCTCATATCCCTCTTGACCCTGACACGACGCGATTTTGGCGTCGAAAGGTAGCGGCTGACTCTCCGCATATACCGGCGTGACTAACATCGTCAAGTACGCACAAATACAGTCGTTGAATAAAAGTCCACCACAGAATACTAGACGAAACAATGCCCAGAGCTACAATCTGTAACGACATCGAAAACACCTACCTGGAACATGATCCTGTCGCTTATGGACCATGGAAAGGTGGTCTTATCCGCGCCGTCCCCCTTGCACCCAACGAATCAATATCTTATAACCCCGTACCTTAACGTCAAATTGGCACGAAACGAACGAGAGAAACGATGACAGCCGATGACTTCTTGAGCGCGAATAAAAGAACAACAAATAAAGGAAACAAAGGGAAAAAAAAAAAAAAAAAAAGACGGAGAGAGAAGGTTATCAGTAAGGGGATCGGAATTTCAGGTTTCTTTTCTTTTAGAATGATGGAACTTGGTTTAATTTGAAGTCGAGTGCATTGTAGTCGATCTCCCAATCCCGGGTTCACATTTTACACAGGAGAGAGCAAACGCGAAAAATAAAGACGCGATCGTCCCAAAATTCCCGCCGCGCGCTTTTTCTCTCAAGCAGCAGAACCAAAAAGATAGCGATACCCAGGGTTTCAGAATGCATGGCCCATATGGAGTACATGCTTCTGCTTTTCCTTGCATATGTCGGTTTTAATTTCATATCTCTTATGCCCCCCCGCCCCCCACCCAGAAGATTGTGTTGTCTTCCAATATTGTGTTAGAAAAAGGGTTTTGCTTTTCTTTTCAGACGGCCGGTCGATTAAGATAATTTGTGTCGTTTCATTTGCTTGGTATTCATGCTTGTCTTTGCTCCTTTGGTCATATGCATTAAATGAAAGTCCCCATCTTGAGGCTTCTTTATGCTTCATTGACGACCGTGAGTGTATTATCCACGCAAACACAGGAGCAATAAGAGCAAAAAAAATAATAATGCGGGTCTCGGGAGAGAAAGGAAAAAAAAGAATCTCAGGGAAGAATATGCAATAATATCGATTGCGTTTACCAAACTGGCTTGACATGAACATGCCCGCTTTCATCCACAACTTTCCCGCGGTCCCATTCCCGACTTTCGCCTTTCTTCGCCCATTTAACATCTAGCACGGAGCCATCGTCCAGACCGGCAAACGCCGTGTTATTTTCCCACTTCTCTACGATTGCATTTTCGAACCCTGCTTCGCGTAACCGTTTTGCACCATTACGCTTCCATGCTGTTCGGTCTCGGAGAGCCTCGAGCGCCATGTCCCAATCGTCGTCCTCCGTGGCCATGCCAGGGACTGGTCGACGGGTGCTTTTCTTTGTTGTCGACTCGTCATCGTCGTCCAAGTGGACGTCTAGGGCTGGATCGTATCCTTCGTTGAAGTGTGAGTCTATAGTGCTTGAGTTGACTCTGTAAGCTCCACGTCCACGCGGGAGAACTGGAGGAGTCCGAGCATCCGTCTCTGATGGAGGTAGGGGCCCGATTAGGTTGCTTAATGGGTCCGAGTCAGTGGATTGGGCGCTCCGGGTATCGTCTTGGTCCACATCATTATTAAGGCGGGAATCGGAGGATTTCGTGTAATTGCGTTGCTTTTTATGTGCCCCGCGAGTGTCTTCGACGCTGTGACGACGTTGGCGCTCGGAGGATCTCCTGCGTCGGTGTTCTTTGTCTCGAACTTTGTGCCTGTCTGGAGAGCGTTCATGTGATCTGCCGCGTTTGCGATGCTTGCTATGGCGTTCATATTTATCGTCTTCTCGGTGTTTTCGGTGTCCGTGGGAACGCTTTCGGTCTTCCGTGTCAGACCCCCCGTCATGATGCCTGCTCCTCCTTGACTTATCCTTCTCGGGTCTCGATGATCTCTCATCGGTTGCAGTTTTATAGTCCCTAGAGTGATGGGCGCGTCTTCTTTTTCGGTCCTCTTCCTTGTCTTGGGGTGACTCAACTCGCCGCCGTTTTGACTCCCTTCCGTGTTCACGATTATCTCTTCTAGATTCTTCTTTGGAGAGCACTTCCCGTCTCCGAAGCTGCCTAATTCTTTCTCTGGCTTCTTCCTCTTCCTTCCGCTTGAGATTGGCATTATGTGTATCAGTCTCGCGTAGAATATGTTTTAAGAAACGTGTGTTCGGTTTGGGGGCGCCGCTCGTAGGTCTATTCAAAGCATAACAAATTAATAGCGTGTTGACAGAACGAGGGGGGAAACTATTACCTCTTAGGAGCACTGCCGTAAACCCCGAGAGCAGAGTATCGTAGCGAACATTCCCGCGCATCTTTCGCTAGAAGTTCGGCGATGTACGCATCGTCGTTATGTAGGTGGGAGGTATCGGTGCCTTGGGCAGGCTTTGGCATCGTCTGGGTATCCAAACTGTAGTTCAAGTATATTCAAAGGACACGTTCTCGTATTCCGAAGAGGCGCCAGGTATCGAGAACTCGAGCCTGGATGCTTCAAGGCAGGCTCGCCGTTCCAAGCGCCTCGTGGACGTCGGCGGGCGGTGAATAGTCATCACGTGATGGCAACAGCGCAAACAATGCAAATTCCGTCATGTTTATCTCCCGTCGAGAGAAAAACGATAAAGATGTGGGACGCGACGAGGGCATTAGGAATGGAGAACGCACGGGTAAAATAGCATTTGCGGGAATCTGGCAAAGCATCCCAAGAACCAATACAGCTTATTCAATCCCAATTGAATAGAAGGCTATATATAACCCGCTTCGATTGCAATGGCCCCGCCCAAATCCCTCTCAGACATTCGCGCCGAACTCGAGGAGCTCGATGCCGCGTACCCAGAGCTCTCAATAATCAGAATCAGTCAGCCCGTCGCTTCAAATGCAGATGTCGTTGATGAGAATAAATTAAATCAATTATCTCCTTCAAAGCAGCGGATTTCAGATGTATCTACAAACGGATTCGAGAACCCGACGCCGACAGCCCTGGAGGCTGACTTGGCGCATTATAAGGTGAGTTCGGAGGGACCGCCAGCCAGTCCATAAAGGCAGCCCCCCCTCCAGATGGGTCTGATACATATTATGCGAAAATCCCTTAACTAACAGTGATACTGGGCAAATAGGAACTTTTCTCTAAACTGCGCTTCTCGTACCTCGAACAAGTTACAAAGGAAAAGTTCCTGCGAGCCATCGTGGGAGATCCACCCCTCGTCGTGGGACACAATGATAATGTGGAGCTAGAAGCCCAGCTGGCCCTGGTCAAAGCCGATTTGAAGGAGCGCAAAAAGGAAGTTGCAGATTTAATAGAACAGATGGAGAAATCGGGTAGAGATCTGGCGAGCCGATACAAAAAAGTCCAGCTCCAAACCACTCAGCTCGCTGAGCTACCTTCGTCAATCTCTGAGCTTGAGAATACCATAGCTGAGCTGCGTGCTTCATCGGCCAATGCCTCACAGTCGCCTGAATCTGGGGATGTCCCTGCGTCCCAAACTCTCTCGCTCCAGGATACAATTGCTCTCCTCGCGGAGCGTGAGGCTGAGCTTGCAAGCCTAAACCACCAGCTGAGCTCGGTAGGACCCGTCTTGCCTAGGAAAGCTAGGGAGGCTGAAGCGGCAGAACGAGAAATTTCTGGGTTGGAGAGAAGGCGGAACGAAGTTGTTGCTCAAGCGAGAGAAGCCCGCAGGAGGAAGAACGAAGGAGAAAGTGACGGGCTGGAAGAAATGGGAAGATGGTACAAAGGCGTAGAGCAAGGCCTTAAGAGCTTGGTAGGAACATAAATGAGAACTGCGCTGAAGTATATGTGAATGGGAGGAGATAATGGGCGTTTTGGCGTTACGGCAACGAGGACGGGTATCGTTTACGGGAGTATACTCTGTAGGCAAGCAATTACTTCGACAAGTGGATATAGGGGACACCGTAGAATAGGAATTAGTTCATGAACATATATCGTGATCGTACATGAAGCTAAGGTATCTCCTAAAGCTAAATTTTATTTTTTTTTTTTGGGTCATCTGGGGCGATGCATCTACTCTTCTTCCTCCTCGGCTTCCTCGTCACCCTTCTCGGCAGCCTTCATCTTCTTTCTTCGGACACGACCAGGACGACCACCACCAAGTGGGGAGGTAAGAGCAAAGTCAATGTGCTTCTGGGAATCGAGACGAACGATGAAGGAGGGAACATTGACAATTTGCTTTCCAACGCTATTGCATCGACAAATCAGTGACGTCGTCCATGGGAAAAGAGGATATTTGTGGCTCTTTATCTTACCGGATGTGTCTCTGTCTAATGAGCACACGAGCGTGGTGGATGGACTTAGCGAGACCAAGTCTGTAGACCTGAGTCTGGAGACGGCGTTCCAAGAAGTCCTCAACCTTGAGAGCCAAGACGTAATCGAGCTTCATGCGGGACTCGTCGAGCACACCGACACGAACAAGACGGCGAATCAAGGCGTTACCCTCAAAGAGACGCTTGGGATCCTTCTCCTCGAGAGTGAGAAGCTCACTGAAACACACAGACCAAGACGTTAGCTTCGTTCTCTTCGCACCCAAAACTTCAGCGTAATATACGATAGGCAAGGCTGAGGAATATGCATACCGAGCAGCACGACGAATCTTGGAAAGAGTGAGCTGGACACGCCACACCTCACGCTTGTTACGCAGGCCATATTCGCCGACCATCTTCAACTCGGAGTCACTATATAATTGAGGAACAACACGTTAGGAACATTTTCACACGACGTAAGCAGAGACAAGCTGCTGCTCAGTGGCCGAAGAATACTAACAGACGGGCCGACTCGTATGCTGTGATAGACCATGGTTAGCCATTTGTATGCTCGATCGAATGGTTCTTCAGGTTCCAAACTTACGTCGACGAGGGACCTTGTAGGTCTTGGAGTATGAACGCCTGGAGGACGAAAATTAGCATTTGCGACGCCCTTTACGATGGGAGAGTGTAGTGATAACATACGGAGCCATGTTGTTGGTTGTAAATTGGCTGCGCAATCAAGTCGTCGCGGCGTGAATTGTCGAACGATCGAACAGGAAGAGGATTCGAAATTGGTGAGGTGGAAAATGACAGCTTGTTCGCTTAGCGCGAATCGGGCCGTGCGGGCAGGCTCACCATACCGCTTCGGGTAACTTAGGGCTGAACCCGCACAACCCCAAGCCCAACTAAGCGAAAATCGAAAGTCATTCCAAGAACGAAGGCCAGAAGAACTCTGTCCGCGGTGCGCTCCCCTTTGAACGTCGACAACCACCGTCTTACTCCAGCAACACCGTAAAGATGGGTCACTCTCGCGGTCTGAGATCCGGCACTCGGGTATGCCAACAATTCGGCCCCTCCCCTTAGGAGATCACTCAAAGCGACATGCTAACAACGCGACCGACAGTATGCCTTCTCTCGGGACTTTAAGAAGCATGGCACTATTGCCATGTCGACATATCTGAAGACCTACCGGTATGATGAAACTGGCGCGAAAACGGATTATTGAGTGTTTTGTCGCAATTGGCTGATGGGGTTTTTAGGGTCGGTGATATTGTCGATATCAAGGTCAACGGTGCTGTTCAGAAGGGGTCAGTACAATCGAGCATTCCTCCCACGCAATCCCGCTCCATCGATCACAAATCCTTCTTGCTTTGCACCTACAAGAAAAGCGCATAAAACCGGGGAAACCGTATACTAAACAATTTGAACTTTCTATAGTATGCCTTTCAAGGTCTACCACGGCAAGACCGGAGTTGTTTACAACGTGACCAAATCCGCCGTCGGCGTCATCATCTACAAGCGTGTCGGCAACAGATACATGGAGAAGCGCGTCAACGTCCGCATCGAGCACGTCAACCACTCCCGATCCCGAGAGGAATTCTTGAACCGAGTGAAGGAGAACGCCATCAAGAAGCGAAAGGCCAAGGAGGAGGGTATCCATGTGCACTTGAAGAGACAACCCGTCGTTCCCCGGGATGCACGGACAGTCAGCACGGAGAACAACTTCCCTGAGACCATCATTCCTGTTCCATATGAAACGACTATCTAATGGAATGAAAAAATTTCAACGTTTTATGTGGCACTGGGCGTCTTTATTTGGAGAATCCTTCTTCATTTTTTTCTACTTCCTACTACCCTAGCCTTCCGTCGAGGGTAATGTTTGCATAACGTGGAGGAGGAACGCTCTGAAAGCATGGGATAGACGGGTCAAATAGGCCTCCGTTTTCGTGATACATAGGGTGCCTCGAGGCATTATTTACCTTGGAGGAGGGCTACTCTTGTTCATGTCATATGGCAGGTCTATGTTTTACATAATGAACAAAACCTTCGACGGTGCAATATACGAATTCCTCCTACCATTTTATCCCATCCTTTAGGCACTTTGACGCGGATGATATCCAAAACTATTAGTGAACAGATCCCCGAATCTTGAACCCACTCTGCAACGTAATAGTGCACAAATTTGCCTCGCCCATTGCTTATTGTAACTAAACAAAGTATATCCAACCGGACGGAACCGTAGAAGCTTATATTGGCATCCCGAATGCGAGGCCTTTCCAGCGAGGTCCCGTATGGTGGAATGTCATTATCGGGATTCGCCTACCAATGAAGACTCCATATATTATATTTGCCAACTTTTAGTTCACATCATTTGTGGTCATATAGCCGGGTATATATTTACATTTCAGATTTAGAATTCTCTGCCCGTTGTAGACGGATAATGCGATATTCATCAAAGTATACGGAGTATATGGTACATCTATACGCACCCCACTAAAACCACGCAAGATAGAAACCGGGCCTGAGAAACTAGTAGTAGATGGCCAAGCACACTTGTACAACCCAGACCTCAACAGGGAAATAACCAACATTAATATACAGTCAAGAGGAAATCAGCAGTTAAAACCAGCCCAGATAAAGCTGGTCAACTGGTGAACAGAAAAGGAAAGGCAATTACAAACCGCGCCATATTCGCTTTTTGGTCTAGCTCGAAGCAAACAGAAGCTGGGTTGTCACATCATCTATAACGCCTGAAAATGCAAAGAAGGCCGGAAGTGGAGATTGTCTCAGACCTTTGGTCTCCATCTTTAACGATAAAGGCGGCCTCTACGGGGAATATTAGGTGCTGAACATAGATATCGAGCATTCATAGGCTATATCGAAGTGCCGACAGCGGTGGAATCGGAGGTTAGGGAAGTAGGTAGGAAGGGCGGTCTTTATGAGGTCGTGCCACATAGCCGGAGAATCATTTCATACCTAAGGTAAGTTAGCCAAAGATCCATAGCTACGGTCTTGAGATCGAAGCATGAGTGGTAAAGCTTACATTCCAAACATGATTGCCGCACTGGGAACGACTCGCAGAAGATGTGGTGTTAAGCCACCGTATAACCCAGCCATCCCTTCTTCCTTCCAGATCACCCGGAAGCACTGCATTAATCCAGTGTATTTCATTTGGACCTTGCCTCCACCAGCCGGGATTGTGGGGGCTTGTCGTAGTCGAGTACGAACTACTTCGTGCGGATATGTAGCGGCTGCAGCAAGCAATTTGGCGGAACCAGCCGCTGTAATCGTGCCAACCCAATGTTCTGCGGTGTCCGTCCATCCGCGTACATGTGCCGGGTCAGCAGCTCGCCGAGCCGCACGCCGGGCTAGTATACGTTTCATCTCCTCGTACATGACCCATTGGAGTGAACTCTCCGTGACTCCCAAATACGACGCCGTTAAGCCCCGGTATAAACCCCGAATCCCTTCGTGACGGACTGTTTGTCGAATACAATCCAAACTATTCTTGTACTGTCTCCCACGGCCAGGTATATTCGAAGCATTCGACTTGTCGAGCTGCAGCCGAGTTTTCACAAGCCAAATCGGGTTGGTGGCAGTGCCAGTAGCAATACCAGCAACCGCAGCAGCAGCTAGATGAATGCTTGCCGGAGTTTCAGTTGGGATATAACCGAAATAATCATTCAATATCCTCTTTCCATTGCCGTATACATAGAAATTGATCGCCCGGGCGGGAACTACTCCGGTAAGATTGGGGCCCAGCCCTTTAAACAGCGCGCGCCATCCTTCATGTACGTGGATTGATCGGAGGATTTGAACGGTTTCGCTAAAGTGGACCATCGCGCTGCGCGATAAGGACAGTATGGAATGTGATTGCGGCAATGGATGAGCGGCACGGAGGGATCGAAGTTGGGCTTGATAAAAGTCTGACTGAAGACGCGTTTTTAATACGTCGAGAGGGGAAGTAAGGGTTGCAGCAGTCATCCCGCCGACGCTACAAGGAGCATGAAAAGGCTTCCGTCAGCATGTTTCCTTTGCGGCTCGGCGTTGGCTATGAAAATTCACCACTTACGCTCCTGCGAAGAAATGAGCCCATGGTTTCACAGCAGGCTTTGACTTGGTTTCCAGTGCTGGAGCCACTTCGACATCATCGGTTTCTCCGGACTGTATCATCACACTTTGGCGTGGCTCCGACCCATCTTTTAACCGCGACGCTCCTCGCGAGAGGTCAGGGGAGGGAGCTGGGAACGACATCGCAAGTTTAAGGTATGAGAAAGCGGCGATCCTCCAAGTGTCATAGAATCCGGTTTCCTATCATTGGACGTCTGATTTATCTTCCAAACGAGAAGATCTACCGAAAATAAAATTTTTATTTGTTGAAAGAAGAAAGGAAAAAAGACATAAACTAAAAAAATCCTGAGCGGAACTTGGTGGCAACGGAATTAGGTTGAGAAAGATTTAGCCTCCATTTTTGGAGATCTCCAGAAACTTTTTTTTTTTTCTCGCGACGCCAGTTTTCCAGTCCGCCCAAGTCCGACCGGTCGGCGCGCTGAGGCAAGCCACAAACAAAAGGCACCGCCAGAGCGCCCAGCCACAGTATCCTGCCTGAAATAGGTTAGCGCATTCCTACTCCGAGACCGCCACAGTAGCCTTGCTTACTCATTTTGTTGTGGCGCAGTCGGCCTGGCCGTCTCCTCGGTATCTCGCTGGTTCATTCGTCAATTGGCTTCATAAAAAGGGGAAGGGAGAAAAAAAAAAAAAAAAAAAAAAAGGAAAGAAAGCAACGTTATGTACTCCGTACTCCATACGGAGAAGTAATTTGCATGTCGCCCTACTGTCGATGAGGTGTGCTAGAGCAGCGCTCCATCCACAATTGCGGCTCTGCTCTCACGAAAACACCGAAACAGAAGACATCAAGAGCTGTGGACGTGCACAAAAAGTATTCGCAGAGGGAATCCCCTTCCCAAGTTTTAATGGTTCACCTGACTTTTTGAAGCACAAGGCTGCGAATTTAATCTTAATTTCCCCGCTGAGATCGCCTGGATTCCTGAATTTGCTGGAACATCCGACGACGATCTGGAGGAACCTGACGTTCCTCATGGGGGTCGGTCAGAAAGGCGGTATCGCATATTCGACATCTCTGCCCACATTGGGCCCGTTATTGGTGGAAAAGGGGCCTGCTTGTTTCAGGGCTTGATATCCAACTGTGGATCTGTGCTACAAGGAGCTGACGTCTGTCGGTATCTTCATGTGTGCCATGCTGGATTTGGCAGCCGCTGATTGTCTCGATTGGCTATCTCCTGCTCCGACTTTACGGTCCAAGCTGCAAGGACCGCGCCTAAGGTCCGGGCGAGATTCCTTTGAAAGACAGCCGGCTGCACATGAACAGAATCGGAAGTACTTCCACACTAATACTGACATCCAACCTTTTCAACAAAATTGTAGCTACTCCGTACAGCTGCGCATTAAATAATAGTTACCTACTTAGGTGACTAGAGCAGCAGTCAAGGAACGCTTTTATATATGACAGTGCTTGATCAATGGACTATCCATGTGTAAAGGATTTGCGAGTGGAATCCTCTCCGCCTTCTGTCCAGTGGGAACAGATTCCACAGCGTAGACTTACACTGCTGCAATCCATGAAATTCGGGCAGCCTTAACCTAAATGGTAGCGCATGCACGCCTGGAAGCTGGGGAAGAACATCCATACATACGCCTACGATCATTGGATGTACAATCCAATATAAAAGATTGAGATTTCCTGTGCTTGAATCAATGTCAATTTCCTCAAACCTCTTTCCTCTTCCTTCAAAACTATCCTTTCCAGCAATATACTATCTCTCCGTGTCCTGACACCTCATATCCTATCTGTAACCCAGCCCTTTCAGTCCTTGTGTTCCTCTTCTTCGGCGCCATGCCAAACAGGGTCCTCAAATCTCATCGTCGAAAGTCGGGTCAAGAAACTTTCAAAAGTGTTTATATCCCCAAGGACCATCATGATCCTTCAGGCCTAGGACCATTAGAGTACCATATCGCCGACATCGGATCTCAGTTTTCCTCCGTCGCGAACCCTGGGATCCAGGAACGGTCACAAGCAACCAAAACAGCCACTTTTCTTGATCCAACACTTCTTCAACACGACCATCAAAAGCCGTAGGTTTCAACTACCGTTCCTTACTGGTCTTGTGCTAACGAATAATTCGTATTCAGAAACGTTTCATCGCCCCAGGATAAGAACGCTACTGGTTACTCTAACCTTGCCTATGGTGAAGGCTTCCTCTCTTACGCCAAACAAGAGCAAAAGAGCGAGCCATGGTGTCACCTTTATGCCACAGATATCCCTGCCGATAAGAACAAGAAAATCAGCGAGAATTCGAAGCTGTAGCGTGGTGTGGTCGGTGGGACCTCACCAGGTACAGTGCCGAAGGTGGGGGGGGGGCCGGGTATAAGGTTGTCCCATCCGTGGCGCTGATCGGGGGATCAAACTAAACCTTCTGGGTGAATTAAGCTTCCTCGTGCACAGACCCTGCTGGCTGGCACTCGAATCAGCCACTGTCAATTTTCTGCAGCCGGGTGCATCATTCCAGAATATCTTCATTTTTTCCTTTTTCTTTTTTTTTCCCCCCTTTTCTTTCTTGTGGTGACAGAAACTGAGCAGACTCCTGGATGTTGAGATACAAGCCTGGGACCGCCCTGCACTGAATTGTGCATGCCTCTTTATACCTGTCTCCCATGAAGAGTTGGGCTTTGTTGTTCTTTGTGGTTGAATTGTTAACCAACTGCTTCATACAGAGGTTTTTGGACAACAGGGAAATACCTCTACATTTTTTGTCTACGTGCTTTGTTTGATGCCCAAGCACCACAACTTCTTGTTCGCTTCCCAACACTCACTGGCAAACATTCTTTCTGCATTTTTTTTTTTTTTTTTTCTTTCAAAGATTTGGTCAGATTAGGCCTAGGGCACAACAAATATTTATGAAAAAAATTCATGAACTTCAAGACATTGGGTTCACTACTCCATATCTTGACTTTATATATCTGTGAAACATTTTATTTACTATCTCAATACTAATTAACACTGTGATTCTTTTCACTTCTGATTATACACTTGATAATCAAACATAAACAAAGGGACCACATACAACGCTTCAATGCAGAACAGAAATAGCAGCTTAACAACAAACCCCTTCACACCATTCACCAAGCAAAGGTCAACAATCCAAGAATCTGCTTGTTTGAATCTCACAAACCTTGCAAACATATACACCAGAACTTCCTTATCAAACAGTGTATGTCACGACTGCACCTCACTCGCAATTGCTCTCTTCGCCCTCCAGGCCTGCTTCTCACTAACGTCATTCCCAGCCTTTAACTCCAACTCCCTCAATTCCGACACCAACATCCTCCCTCCCTTCTCTTTGAACGATTCCTTATGCTTCGCAACCAAATACCTTACCGACGACGCCCACCTCCACCCCTTATGCACTTCCGGCGGGCAATTATGCGGCCGTGACACCGTCACCACCGCCTGCTGGTCGTCTTTGTTTTTTTTCATCGTGATGCGTAGCCTGAACGGGCAGGTTGCACATCGACACTTGATAATATATCGTGTCGAGTCGGCGCGTGAGACAGTGTAGGAGAGATTCTGAGCGATGGTGTAGTGTAGGATGGCCTCGCGTGCTTCTTGCATAGTAGGGAAGGAGGTGCCAAGGGCGTATGGATTGCGTAGCGGAAGCGGATAGAGGTCTGGAGCGGCGGGAGGGATATGTCGTGGACGGAGGAGGTTGATGCGGCGGAGCTTGTCATGAAGGCGTTTGCCATGGAGGAGCTTCGCGCGTTGGTATTTGGAGCGGAAGAGTTTGGAGCGAAGAGGATTTGTTCTGAGGGCGGCATTTTGGAGGTAGGATGGCATTGTGGCCAGAGCCCCGTATGGGTCTGGAGCTGGGGAATTCTCCCTGCTTGAGTTTGATTCTCACGGATCCTTGACGCGTGGCATTAGATCGGATGGGAGAACGTCGCGGCGACGAGATGAAGATGGTGGTAGTCAAGGAAGATTCTGTGAGGTTCTCGTGCCTCGATTAGCCCCCTTAATTTCCAGTGCTCTCGTGCACGTGACTTCCATACCTTCCCCAGCTGACACCCCTTTGATTCTGCCCAGAATACCGTAATACCGCAATACGTGTAAACTCGCCAAGTCTGCAGGGTGTAAAGTAGTGTCTTGGCATTGCGCGGAGGAACTTGGTTCCGGGCTGCTGGCCACCACGTGGCAAACGGCCCCGCACCAGCCACATCGCGACGCCGTGTCCATCATTTTTGGAGTCGAAAGCAAAATAGCAGCGCCTTTACTCCGTACTGGGTACTCTATATTGTATGCACAGAAAAAGAAATTCTAGAGAAACTATCAGTCTCTTCACTTATACAAACATTCCTATCATAATAGTGTTTTGTGCTCCCTTGAGTTGTCGAAGAGAAGAAGGGAGAAGAATACCAAAACCATCAGCTCATCTAATTAGCTTCAGCACCCGCCAAAAATTCAGTTATTTCGCCCAGTGGGCGTGCCTTCATGTTTGGTCTTCCCGGAAGCTTTTCATAGACTGGCAAGGGAGTGCCATCAAGCGCAGCCCTAATTTGTAAACCCAAGAAACGAGAGAAGAACCTAGAATGACCGAGTGTGCCACCAGTGTACCACAATCCAGGATCTTAATGATATTATTAGCAAAATCAACTTTTATATGTACCATTGGTGGTCAATAGATACTCACGGCCAATAGGTTTATAAGCTCCACGAATCTCTCCTTCCGTGTCCAAGCCCCAGTATTCGTCCACCTGGTCCGCTATTTGCTGACCTAGATATTTTGCAATCTCATCACGAAGCGTTCCAACGAATCCGGTTGTGAACACAATCACATCGGCCTTGAGCTCGGAGCCATCCGAAAAAAGAAGCCCATTTTCGGTGTAAGCGGTGATAAGGGCATCCGACTTCATTTTAATCTGATATAACGTCGTGTTTAGCATTTGATATCAAAATCATCATCAAAAATAGTGCCTTCTTACCAGCCCCTTGGAGATTTTTCCTGATCCACCAACATCCATATAGTGACCACCACCACGCTCGCTGACATGGTATGTAATGTCACCAAATCTATCTAGCAGGAAACCTGCCCGCTCGAGAGAATCAAAACGTTCTGGGTCTGCACGAATCATTTTATGCAAATGGTATGCCACTATTTGTCGTCCGATAGCGATGGGGTTGCTGAACTGTATTCTATCGGCTATTTCTATTGGAATTTGGTCATTGAAGACGGCTAGTAGTATGTTAGAAACTAATATCACTTGGGTGAAAATTGTATCATTAATTGGTCCGTGGCATACCTCCAGTGACCTTCAAATAGTAGTCGGTGGGGACAACATCTAACCAATGGGTCAGAATGCACGAGACAAGTAGAAGAAAGGGCTGGAGATGATATCAGACATGTTGCTTGACGTTGAACCATTGTAGTATCCATGCCTGCAGCTTGCATGTCCTCCGCAACATCGTGTGCTAGTAAGCAACGTTAGGAGGGAACCTGAATGCCATGCAATGAATGAAAGGTTGTACCTGTATTTGCCGCACCGACGACGACACCTTTCTTTCCTCTCCATTCTTTCGCGTCCGTATAATCAACTGAATGGAGAACGACACCTTTGAATTTCTCCTATTTCCAGATATTAGGGTTTGACCCAAAAAAGGCTTCGTTTGGAGCTGGCATGAAGATGGACGCACTCGATCAGGGAACGTGGGCATTCGTGGAATCTGACCACCTCCGCCAACGGCAAGAACAAGGTGTTTAGTGGTGAGAATAACTTCTTTGCCTTCCCGGATAACACGGATAGCCCACTCCTTCTTGTCCTCGTCCCATTTTCCGGATTCAAGATTGGTAGAGAACCAAGCATTCTTCAACGGCGTCAGAACTAGGATTCGCACAAAACGCTAGGATCGACCCACGATTCCATATCTATTAAACCAAATTTCAAAGCCTTTGGCGACATCTCGTTTGGGCAGAAATTCTTTCCAATCCGGAGTGAATGTGCGCTCAAATGGTAGATGAGCTATATCGACCCACGTTAGCTATGTGTAGCATAATTGAATAGCGAACCCAAAAATCTTACCATAGTTTCTAACGGTATGTACTATAAGAGGACGTTAGAAAGATGTAATTGGGCCCAAATCAGCAAGTTAGAGAGACGAACATTTTGCAGACTCATATCTCAACAGCCAATTATCACCAATAGCAGCATTCTTGTCAATGAGAAGATATTGCACGCCTAGCGCCTTCAGACGACCTGCAGCTGCGAGACCTGCCTGCCCGGCCCCAACCACCACGCAGTCGTAGTTTGTTGGCTCCACGATGCCATTCTGGTGTCCATTGGGCACTGGATGAGCTGTCGGATTCAAAACGTCGACATCAGGAAGACCATCGATTCCTTCTAGAATAGTTCTTAGGAGCCAAATCTTCCATTCGCCATCGGCTGGTATTAAGGACACGAATCCAGAGCCGTTCTGTCGAGGTATGCCGTTTGTCTTGAAGACGAACCTCGCTTCAACCCAAGATGACCGAACGCCAATTTGCACAACACGGGCTGATTCAGGTATTAATGCAAAATCGCTGGGCTTATGGGTTTCGGTAACGTCGTTCCAGGAGGTTTCAATATCGGCTGGAGTATGGAACGTCCTTACAGTTCCCGTGAATGCAAAGGTATCTCTCCAAAGTGCATCTTCAGTAAAATCCGACGCCTTGAGAGATTGCAGGCGTTGGACATATTCCAATGCTACCGTTTCCGGATTGGTATGTAACGGTACCTGTGCAATTGGAAGACCTCCAGGCAGGTTGTTCACGACCCTGGCTGACGTGCTCATGTTTTGCAAATGCATAAAATTAAATATATAGTAGGAGGTGCCATTGTGCCGGGCATTGTGGCCATGTCATTTATGGTTTTTATAATCCTGATCGTATCTCAGGAACAACCGGCACGCTGGCGTCTCGGCCGATGCTTTTGTATGAACATAAGAAAACCGGGGCCCGAAAGTCCGGGGCCCCCTGCGCTTAGGTCATGGCATAATCCCATGACAAGAGCGATCCGATAGGCCGGACCAGAATCAGAGACGAAGAACCAAAGGGATAAAAGAATAATTTAGGGCGAGGCTCACCCCGCGTTCGAACTATGGAAACAAGTTGTGGGGAAAATCCGGAGACTCGCGAAAAGCGCGCATGATTCAGGTCCGGAAACCAAAACCGGCAAAAATGACCATTGGAAAGGAACAATAAATGTCCGCCCTTGAGGGCTTCCAAGACGATGCCAAGACCGGCGGGGCGGAAGTTGATTCCGAAATGCAGGCACCCGTGAGTTTGAAGGAGAATCGAGCAGGACAAGTTGTCACACATATTGAAATTCAAGAAATCCAATTAATGAATAAAATAGTACATAGGAAGGCACTCCTTACTCCTCCCATCCCTTGGTACAGTCAATGGTCCGACAAATATTAATTCCGGGGAAAGAAATGAAACAGTCCATTTTGTAAATGATGACAACAATAAACCTAGGAAGAAAAAAACCCCAAACACATACTTGATCAGCAAAGGAAACAAGAAAGAAGCAGAAGAAAAGGAAGTCCATGGAGAACCGGGATCAGGGTAAAGAAAGCATTCTGAAATGACCCACAGACTCCAGAAACCTCTGTGGATGTATTATCACGAGAAACGTGGAAAGAAAAAGAGACAGAAACCTTTTATCTGGTGGGAATTGTTCCGACATAGCAATAGAGACTGATACCAATGGAACATTGCCGGTGTGCCATAGGGAATTTTCAACACTGCTATAAGGGGGAAAAAAATGAAAAAAGAAGCGAGACAAAATAACAAACGCCAAATGCTTTAGTTTGCCTAATACAACCGAGAATGTAATCGGATAGAGATAGGAGAGGATGGAGGCAGTAGCGTCATAATGCATAAGGGATTCGAAGTTAGCGATGTTTTAGAAAGTGAGGCACATTTCCAGAGATTTCGTCGATCCGATTTCGGGATCATTCCTGGCGGGTGCGTTTTGCTCCATGGGGGTTCCAGGCGCCATCACTGCCTCCATGTTGGCCAAAGAACGCTGGGTTAAAGTGAGGATTCTGGCCCTGGAAACCTTGCCCTAGAATACAAATTAGCATCGACCTAAGCCCAAAAGAAAATGTCATCAACATGATCTTATAGAAATACCTTGCATTCCCATACCACCTTGCATTCCACCCATCATGCCACCCATCTGATTGGGCATTCCTCCCATACCTCCCATACCACCCATTCCCATGCCGCCCATACCAACGCCTCCCATGCCACCGACAGGCATCATATTTCCGCCCATAGGCCCACCCATGCCTCCACGGCCTCGCATATTTGGACCACCTCGCATGTTCGATCCCATCATACCTCCGCGGTTACCAAAGCCTCCGTAAGGTTGCATGCCTCCGACAGGTGTTCCTTGGAAGCCAGCGCCTCCCATCGCACCGCCCTGAAACCCACCGGAGCCCATTGGGTTGGAGAAATTGCGGTTAGCATTGAAACCACCCATGTTCATGCCTCCACGATTGAATCCGCCGCCACGACCACCCCTATACCCACCAGTGTTGCCCATGCCAAAGTTCATCCCCTGGACCGGCGAATTGAAGCCTGCGGACGAAGACCTCGAACGGTCATCCTTCCCTCGCATGGGGTTATCCTTCGGAAGTGTACGGAATGGGTTGGTATGTGGCTGAGTGTAATTGACCGAGTACTTCCTTGCACTTTGCTGGGCGGCGTTGAGAGATTCGATTTGATGTTTCGCAGCCGTTGCTGCCTGCGGCGAAGTAAACTCCACAAAAGCTTGTCTATGATAAAATGCAAAAAATCAGCGCCACAAAAGTCAAGAGACAACTTAAGAGCTATACAGAGTGGCAAACATACCCTTTACTTTTACCGTTCACCTTGTGTTCGCTGAATGTAACGTCTTTGAGCTCGCCCTCGCAGCCGGCCGCGTTTATCCATCCGCGTATCTCATCGTCGGTAGTCCACCAATAGAGATCGGAAATGTACAAAGCACTGGTTGCGTCTGGGTCTGTGGGCCTATCCGTCGGGCTCTCTTTCCGTTTGACACCCTGTTGGGGTACTTGGAGATTATCAGAAGCCGATTTACCGGGTTGACCCGACTCTTCCGTCTTAAAGATCTTATGATTGCCGTTCTCAGTAGCATTATTATTACCACCAGAGGCACCGCCGTCGCCTATCCCATTCTGATGGGATGTTTCAGGTGCATCGAGGATGAGCTCAGGCTCTTCCACCTTATAATCTCCCTCGTTTTCATTGCCATTGTACCCCCCTGCGTCGCCATAAATGTCAATGTCAAAATTATCATCTTCAGTGGCCATGTCGGGCTATGTGGGGACGGATCTCTGAAATGAGACGCAATTGATTGTTCCTTGAAAATCGTTATGCACAGGCTTTTGGATCTCGCAGAGATTTAAGGAGAGTACATGTCTGCCAGTTAGGGAGTCCGAATTAGCGATAAAGAAGCATTCTCGTAGGACAAATGAAAGTTAATGTCTTGCCCAAAGTTATCCAGCCAGTCATGGTCTCTGTTGCTTGCGTGGGGCAATAGAGAAAATAGAAAGCAGAAATCGAGGGAGACGAGAAGAAAAATCAAGATAGATACGTACAAATCCTGATGGTCGGTGGTTTTGAGGATGCTTCAAATTATGTGAAACAAGAGTATTGAGGTTTCGCAAAAGCGGGAATGGACTGCGCCTAGTTTTCTCGAATTTGAGATAAACCGCCCGACTGCCTTCGATGGCAAGTACAGGACCAAACTCTCAGGTGTTTCACAATAAATCCGCCTTCTTATCCTTCGACAAATGTGCCAACAAATATGATATCTCAAATCCCCGTGGTCTGTAAGCAATGTATGCGGGCAAGAAGCTTGATCAAGCAGACAAGTGACACAGCTATCCGTGAACCAACAAGTGAAATAGAAAGGGAGAGCAGAAAAGTCTGGCAAGAGCTTCAGTGAAGCCAAGCTGAATATTTAGTCTTATGTGCCAGCGATGGCAACATGAGAGTGGTCAGCCGCGTGCTTGATCCCAGTTGCCTTCGGCAAGGGGTGACAGCTCAATGTTGGAAGGCAATTCAGGGGAGAAAGCTCACACTAAGTGCCTTTCCTTGATGTACCTGGTGGAATAAGGGGTCTTGTAATGATAAAGAGGCCAACAAGAATGTGAAGGAAGATGAGAAGAAGGCGTTGGGAGTCCTCTGATGTGAGAGGGAGGACGACCGTGGACGAACCGGGATTAGCGTGTTTCTCACGTGACAGCTCACCAAGTTAATCCGGGAAAACATTTGTTCCGCTGATAGGGGATACTTGGCTTGTCAACACAGGACACCTCGCCAGAATGCTCCCCTGCGATGCCATGAAGACAAACCAAAGTCACATACCTGCCTAGTTTTCTCCCAAGCCTGTTCCTCGCTGAGGGTGGTTTTACTTTCTTCTTTTTATTCCATCTTGCATTCCCCGCCTCCGCGGATCTCACTCATCATGTCCGAGACATTTCAGGAACTGGCCGATATCCCCAAGGATTTCGTCAAGGATGGCATGCTCTTCGTTAACCGGTGCACGAAGCGTAAGTAGCTGCACCCTCGAGTAATCACTTCTCCGTTTTCATATCACGATCTATATAGCATCCAACTGCTATCCGAGAGCGCTGCTAACAGTTGCGTTTGATTCTAGCCGACAAGCGCGAGTTTCTTAAGATCAGCCAGGCTGTCGGATTTGGTTTCCTCATTATGGGAGCCATAGGATACTTCATCAAATTAAGTCAGTCCATCCGATTTCTTTGATTTTAAAAGCGCGGAACCCGGGCCAACTTGGCCTTGTTGAAGAGATGATAGTTCACAAGTGAATCACCATGAATGCTAATATGCGCTGTTAAATAGTACATATTCCCGTCAATAATATCCTAGTAGGAGGCGCATAATGTAGGGCGCAGCAAGCGCTGGTTTGGGACGGCTGTGAAGTGGAGAGATGAATGCCTCAGAGCGATCAGGACGAAGTCTGCAGAACCGCATAACCTTTCCTGCTAGCATATTCACTGCAGAACATAATTTTGCAAGTCGTGAATTTGGGAGTCGGCGCCTAAGGGGGGCACTTGAATAGAGGAAACTCAAGGTTCTTTTGTTGCAGTACTTTATTGTACTGCCCAACCGGAGATGTCCTTTGGCTCTTTTTTTTCCCTTACTTTATGGGGCTTAGTATTTTGCGTGTACTATACCATTGTATATGATTGGTTCTATCATTTTCTTGCACTGTTTTATTTCTTGATCTGGCTCTATCTACGGTATCATCGCAGGGGGCCAAATCCGGGGGGAAACACCGTGAACGTTATATACAATTTTGAAAAGTATATTGCGCGATATATGATCGGGGATTCCTGTCGCGTTACCAAATACTTTCCGACGATTCTCCAGCATCTGACTGCCGAGTCTGTCGGTGAACTGGTTGACTTCTCAGCCCGTGATCGCTATCGCGGTTTAAATCACTAAATCGATTAAAGGATTCGACGTATTCCAAACGCGCGTTATAGCTCTGGCCAAGAGACGGATCACCTTCATCATCTAAAGCATCATCATTCCAGGAATGTACAGTACACGTTCCCATGGACATGCCCCATCCATTCCAAGAAGTGGCTAAAGCCGCGGAACAAATCAGAAAAAGAACCTTAAAAATTGACCCATTTTGAGATATAACATACCTGCTAGGATAGGAGCGCTCGGATGCCAACTTGCATCCCGGACGACGGTCTTCCATTGATTATCGAGTCTCCTATAATGGGATGCTGGGCCATAAATATCCGGGTCCATGGGTCGAGTTAGGTATGTTGCTTTTGCGACATCCACTATTCCGGCAATAGTAGCATCCAGGTTATATATATAGACCTTTCCACTTTCACTGCCAGTGTAGACATATCTAGAGTTGGTGCTCTGTGGTGGTGAGAAATGACATCTGATCAACGTTCTCAGAACGCTGTGCCCACGAAATGTAACCACAGAACAGTCATACGGGTGTGGTTGATAGTCCTCATCCGTAAAATTCATAAATCTGTAATCGAATCCAGTGGAATATCTACTCGGATCAATTGTATCGAATTTCGAAATGGTCATCATTTTCCGAAGGTCCCATAATTTCATCAGCTGGTCCTTTCCATTGGAGAGCACGTATCGACCGTCCCCTTTGCTGTCAACAAAAGTTAAGCCTTCTGTATGGCCGAGAAATACTCCTGCTTCTCGCCCGTCTGCCATGGACCGTCGGTCCCAAACCCTTAGGGTTGTATCATCGGATCCAGAATAGAGAATATGCGGGGACGAGTTGTCCCCAAAACAGACAGCATTCACATCATCTTCATGGTTTTGAAGCCGTAAGATCGGCTGCTGTGTTTCGATGTCATATACGACAACGGAGCGGTCTGAAGTTCCAGCAACAATTTCCCGCCCATCGCCTGAGAATCGAATAGACCATATCTAGGTTGTTCATAAGCTCGTTGGTCCATTGATGATAATTGAGAGGTTCCACTTACACCAAAGGCCCCGCTTGCAGGATGATTGAATCCTTGAAGATTGGGACCTCGAAGTCGTCTAGATTTAGCAAAATCCAATATATGCGGATCCGCGCTTGATGCTGGATCTGTGCTAGCCAAACACACAACATTACTGATAGAGCTACAAGCCAGATACTTATTATCTGGACTTAGCGAAGCGTCTGTAATGGTCCACTGGCCAAATGGACACTCAACTGTCTTGTAGTACTTCCAGTCGCAAGGATTAGAAGTATCATACATCCGGACTTTGAAATCCTGGCCACAGCAAAAGAAAAAATTACCATCGTCGGAGAACTGTCCCGAATAGCATCGAGAATCAAAGTGTACGATTTTGTCCGGGACGGAGCTCGGAATTAAGCCCTAAGGTAATATTATTCGTCAGATCTTTCTTCATAAATGATGAATAACAAGCATCAAAGTGGGTATTACCTGCGGAATCGCCCTGGCAGCTCTCAAGTCGGCGCCACGAGGCCCTAAGCCCAACTCTCTCCACAACATTTTTGTCCCAAATTTTGTTCTTCTATTCTTAATTCTATCGAGATAGTATGGGTTACTGCCGAACGTTCCGGACACCATTAATTCAGCTCCCGCTTCGCTGGGAATTTTGGGGTATAGATCTTCAACGGGCTTCTGCCTTCGTCGTCTCCTGAAGCCATAAGAACCAAAAACAAATGCATCTTCATCATCTTCGTTGTGAGAAGCCTGTCCTCTCCATAATCCATGTGTCTGCAAGATGCGTCTGAGTCCAGTTGCCCCCAGTAACCGAAATAACTGTTCTGTTGTTACTAAAAAAAAAAAGGAGCGTGAAGTTAACACCGTAATTCGGTACAGATAAACAGCGTTGACAATTTCGCACCTCGAGTAGCGCCAGTGCGGGTAGTGTTATCACCTTCCGCATCTTCAGCTTGGTCGCTGTCCTCCACCGTAAATTCGATGTGTACATCTCCATCTTCTTGGTCTAGCTTGTATGTAAGCGTTTGGGAATCCGGTTGAGGGTAGCTATCCGTACCTAGTAGCTCGCGCACTGCCTCGTCTTCGAGGAGCTCATGGTCTAGGTTATCCTCCTCATCTTCATCATCATCTTCTTCTTCCCACTCCTCCGATTCAGGTTCAAAATCTCGATCCTCATCTTCATCGCCACAGCCTTCATCATACCTATCGCTCATTTGTTCACGTGCAAGGTGATATGACACATCAGACTGTGTGGCTGCGTCTGATTCTGAATGCGGTTCAGCCAGAGTCGGGGTGGGAAAATGGGACGAGCTCATGGGGCTGATCAAAGGTGCAGACTCCGATGTACATGGATTAAAATAGAAGAGCGATATATTTCCTGAGCGCAACCAAGATAGAGAGTACTCTGTGCTAATTGTCGATTGGTTTGTTTATCAACGGGGGCGAGCGGCGGATCAGTTACGCATCCGTCACTTGGTTAACTGGTCTGGACTTTGGGATGGGCTTCTTAACTCCGAGATTTGCCACTGAGAGGAAGCGCTGATATATCGCTCCGCGGTCGGACAGTGTATAAATTGAGGCTATATAAAGATGGAGATTACTTTGATGAAAACGAGGCTGAACTGTCAAACGTTTCATTTGAAATCATATTGCGATGTTAATGCCGGGTACTCCTCCGCGCTCCGCACAAGGTCGCACTTGACCGTTCATCCCGAGAGCTGGTTATGTCATAGTTGGTGACCCACACCACAGGCGCTTCTGATTGGACAAATTTAATGTGATGACATAATACAACCTGGAGGCGGGGTCGGAGCGGAGCAACTATCATCCACGGACCGGCATCGTCGTCATGCACTCCGTGGTCAGATATCAAGGAGAGAAGCATTACTCTGTTGGCCCTCCTTTGCAGAACGCGCATTTATATCTATGCTTTCAATCTAATCTAGAAGGTATACTTTGGAATTCTCCTTGCTTATCATCGTCGTCATCAGTCCGCGATCGTCCGATATTTGCCGTGAACCGTCTGTTCTTCAAGGTATCAAGATGCAGGCCCTACCAGAGGCGCGACAACAAACCTTCGAGGAGATATACGGACCGCCAGAGAATTTCCTCGAAATCGAAGTACGTCTCCCAGTTTTACTCTTCCCCGTTTAGTACTGATTCTTCTTCTCCCTGTCAAGTTTCGGATACCCCTCCTTCCCGTGCCCTTCTCCGTGAGCTAACGCGTAACGCTTTTTTCGCCGGGCATACAGGTGAGAAATCCTCAAACCCATGGCACATCTCGCAACATGTACACCTCCTATGAAATTGTCTGCCGCACCAATATCCCAGCCTTCAAACTAAAGCACTCCGTCGTGCGCCGTCGCTACTCCGATTTCGAATACTTCAGAGACATCCTGGAGCGAGAAAGCGCACGGGTCACCATTCCACCGCTCCCGGGGAAGGTTTTCACGAATCGCTTTAGTGACGATGTTATTGAGCACCGACGGGAAGGCTTGCAGCGATTCTTGCAGATCGTTGTAGGTCATCCGCTGCTGCAGACGGGAAGTAAAGTGCTGGCCAGCTTTGTTCAAGGTATAACTCAAGTCCCCTTCTCCCATGCATGGCTGTTTAGATGAAGAAGTTTAAAGCTAACTATGGGTTCTAGATCCAAACTGGGATCGCAATGCATGGTGACCAAGCAATGGGCGACCGACTATGCATTGGCCTGTGCTGAAGGGCTCCTTTCATGCCTTTGTAATGCTTTTATATGATCGATGAATATTGTATGTAGTCCACTCCTTTCAGATCTCAAGGATTTGATATTTTAAGTTCCCCCTGAAACCGCGTGATTCTTCCTGAAGCTTTGTTTGATGCATTTTAGTTCCAATTCACCCTTGGCCAGTATTGTCAAGTGGAGTGCACCCATGGAACGATGTCAAAATCAGCCCGCTTCTTTTGGTCTTGCTGTACTGTCTCATTATCGTATGACCAGGACACTGTGTTCCTTTTTGATTAAGCGAATATGAGCGATGAGGAGTTCAGGCATTGACACTTTTGTGACTCTGTTATACTTACCCGCAAAAACAATGAAAACAACATAACGTTTTTCGGTATCAAATATTATATTTTAATCATTCTCAAAGGGGCTAATGCACGATATTTAACCCAAGCATTCATATTTCCAAACAAGAATCAAACTAACTGGGGGCTATTATGATGTGAAGAAAACTTATCCTAGCTCATCCCATACTAATGGAGGTAAAGTGTTTTCTGCCCAGCGAATAGCATAGCTGTTTTCTTCTGGCACGTCCTCGTCAATTGGAAATGAAAATGACGGGGTGACTGGTACATTAGGTGGTTCGGGAAGACTTGATGGTGGTGCGGGAGGCGACATGGCTGGGTCAATAGGAACTGCGGTTGCACCGCTGGTAGAGGTAGGTATGTCCGCTTTTCGAGAATTATGGTTCGCAAACTTAGCATTGTTCGTAGATGAAAGGCTCGATTTCGTCCCATCTGTAGCTGGCGTTTTGCCGCCCTTGATATTGCTTTCTATTTTTTTCACGGTGGCAAAGCCACCCTCGCGATAGACATCAGGGAATTTTGTCCGAAAACGGTCCCGTAAGTCCGTAGCCTTCCTATGCATCAAATCTAAATGCTTATCTTGACGGATCAATGTCCATTGAAATCCATGGACAGCGTAACCTTTGAGCAGCGCTTCATCTTCAGCAGGAGTGAAGGGACGGCGGTGTCGCCGAGTTGACTTAACGGTCGCATCCGGGTTTTGCAAGCCGAGCGATATGAGGGTAGATTTAGATTTATTAGACAGACCCTGGCTTCCATTCAACCCTGAAGAACGCTTCTGTTTCAACTTTGACTGCTTTTGCTGAAGGTCTGGGGCCGTAAATCTGCATGGTCTAACCAACTCAGTAGTAGGGCGGCTGGAGTTTGCTACTGATAAGCTCGAGGTTCCGATAGACCCTTTGTTAAAGTCTAGACCACCCTTAGCCACTCTGGGATCAGGGAGAACTATCTTTGCAACCAGGCCAGATTGGGCGTTGCTTATACTGTCGGCCAACCTGGCTTGGATATCATCCGAAGTGGGTGTCTGCCCCGATTCGTATGCCCACGGGCAACACACTCGAAACCTATCTTTCAGATTCCCAGGAGTTCTCTGATTGAATTTGAGATCCCGTTGTGCGAGAATGGTAGTCCAATTACCAGCACCGCATCTCACTACACCGCGGAGAAGATCGTGAGTTTCTTGTTCCGACCACCTTCGAAGTTTCCTTTTTGGTTTCTTAGACTCTTTTCTTGCTGCAGACTTATCGTATCCATCTATTACCCGCTCGGTATCACTTGCTAGTTCCGCTTGGTCCGTTTCCTGGGTATCTGCGCTTCGGTTATCACTTGCCTGGCTTTCCATATTAGCCCCCCCATCCTGGTCGTTCAGCTCAATAAGGTCTTCTATTCTTTGTGCACGGCGTTCCCCAGCCTGCTCCGAAGATGGTTGTTCGGTGGAAGGGGACGTACCCTTTCCTGGAGGGTTTAAAATCACAGGACGTCTATTTGCCTCGATGGGCGGAAACAAAGCAGCATTTGGAGGAGGCTCTTTAAGCTCATTCAAAATCGGCAGTGGCCCAAATGGACGTGGCTTTGGTATTTCCTTTTGGACCTTCGGGATAGGTAGTTGTAGAAGTTCTCCAAAATTGTCTCCCACATGTTCTAGCCGGCGACGTTTTCGCGGAGCTTCGTCAGAGAATGAGGAATAAGGCAGTTTTTCAACAGCCCTAAGACTAATAAAAGCCGGAAGTATAGTCTTGGGTGGTTGTTCTGAACTCGGCAACATGCCCAAGATATGAGGAAGATCATTATCTCTGCGCGCCGCTCTGAGGAAATCCTCGAGTGTAGGTAGCTCTGTTGGCGGATTTCCAGATGGGAGGTTGGGTGGTTTCGAAGCCCCGGAGTCCCTAATTCCGGTAGTAGCAGGCTCAAGAGGGGAAGGGATCTTTCGAGAGCCTGGAGGGATAGGGTTGCGCAGAGGAGCTATTCGCAAGTGCGGCCGCGTGGGGATGTCTCTTGACTGGAAAAAGGGATCATCGAGGACTGAAGGCACAGAAAATGCCGCTGCAGACGTGTCGTGGACTTCATTCCAGGGCATTTCTCCCTTGCTTAAGCTGCGCTGTCTATGCTGCAAAGATATCTGAGTGTGTGTACTCCATGAGCAAACCCCATGGACGACAGAGAATCCCGGCCCAGTCACTTGATCACGTGATTCACGACTTCAGGTGGGTTCCCGAAGTTCGAACCCGACGCTCAGCATTCAGACACCAGCAGCTACTCGAGGTTCGGAGCTGGCAGGCATGCAGATGCTGAAATCGGAGAGGCTATTGAGTGTTATAATCAAACAATGCAAGGGGAATGTATCCACTTTGTTAAAATTTAAGGGATGTCAAATTCCTCCCATGAACATGAATCTCAAAATGAGAACCATCTTGCCACTTTGGCCACACATCCTGGAGCCACTTTCAGTGAATTGCCGCATTTAACTGCTATTCGGATTGGATACTAACCTTTGCTAGGTTGGTGGGCTGGTGGGTTGCTTTCTACGATGCTCATAAATTCGTTGTTGGCCAGACTCCAAACATAGGCGAGGCTTTAATCCCCTACCCGAGCATAAAGTCTCTTGCCTATCAGCTCGGCAATCAGTATTTTACTACTGCTGTTTGTAGGGGTTGGGGTCTTATGCAGCGAAGGTGGTCCAAAATTATCTAATCGCGCTGGCTCTTGCGGACGTGATCCATATATATGCTACACATCTTCGGGTCGGTTGGGATGCATTGATTGCGGTGAATAAATGGAACGACTGGTTATGCGGCAATATTGGTGCTTCTACGTTTCTTTTCGTGAACCGGCTAGCATGCTTGTTAGGAATATTTGGAAAAACCAAGGCAAGCAGTTTCATTGATTGTGCAAGGGAAGTCAGGCATCTTTTTGAAGACGGCACAAAAAGATCCGCCGAACCACGCGTCCCGTTGCGGCCCCAAACCATACCAGTCACAATGATTGATCTCAAGCGGCTCGCTTGCGAATTGCCTAGAATCCTATCTGGCGACAGGAACCAGGCTTCTCTGGTATGAGCCTGACGGGGCTAGACTCAAGCGAGACATCGATCAATCTATCATACAATTCAAAATTTTCATTCTACTGATGAGACGAGGACGGAACTGAGAAAAGTTTCTTATTCAGGTCGCTCAAGCGATCCGATCTTCAACGTGCGTCTTGAAACGCCAACGTATTAGTTCCGAGGACGCAGTAATCATGGTGTAAACCCGCCACCAAGCATCGACATTGGCCGAACGTCGGAGTTGAGAAGCTTGACCGCTACTTTCTCCCTGCAGAAAGATTGGTCTAGCAGAGCTCAGAGTGTCTAGAAGGCGGCCTCTATGGTGGAGCGTGTTCGCAGCAGCTTCTTGAAGAGTTTGCGGACACGGCTCTATCCGTCGAGCCCGCTAACCTTACCATGGCATTGTGCCCGGGAGTGGAGCAAAAGAACCTTTGGTGCACCCTTTCCCGAGTACAAAGTATACCAGGCGGTTATGATCCCTGTACCGTATGCAGTAACTAACAAATCATTTGTAGAAATGCGGCGGCGGACAACATAACCAGCGACATCAAGTTGAGAAAAGCTTTCCAACGCAGCATACGGAGTATATATACATACTATACGTGAATATCCAGTAGGTAAGTTTACTCCATAAATTGCTTGTCGCCCTTTCTCTCAGAAGTTGAAATAATACTCTGTTACTCGAGCTTGACTGTAAGAAAGCTGCAAACTAGTATGTAATCATGTACTGTAAATACCTTCGGGGTACGGACTGCAGCGGTAATAAGGGTCCAGAAGAATACACAACCAGATTGTGCTTGCGGAAAACTCCACTACATCCTACCCGCTCCTTTTATGATAGTCCCCTCAACTTTGTATTTCCGACTGCGGGAGCCTAAAGAGGATAAGAAGCACCCATACGAAGCCCACTCTCCGGAGGGCGAAAGAAGTACTCGTACGGTCAGCATCGAGGAACAGACTCCGGGGTGCGGACGGATGAGCCCGTAAAATTCCTCCATACAGCGTACTCCGTACTCCGTACATACGTTAACTATCGAATTATGTATGTACAAACTGTGGCTGAGGTAATTTTACGAAGGATGAAAGGTATGTTCAGTACATCCATACACTCAAAGAATATTCTACTACGAATGCGGCTTAGAGTGAGGGTTTTCTGGGCTCCCAAAAATCATTCAAAAGAAAATGGGCTTCTGAGACTGCTTTGTGTATGAAATACTCTGTAAGTTACTGCATAGCATCATTTTTGGTGACATATCCTGCCGAAATCTGCAATCTACAAGGTACCTCTCCCGTACCTCCACCTGAAGCAAGGTAACAATACAAGATACAACTATGTAACTTATACATGAATTAGCCCGTACCGTATATTACAGCCCACCTCCAGCTCCGAGCCACGTGGAAAAAACGAATGTCCATGGAAACTTGAAAAGTCCGAGCCCAGTTGGGACTTCGAGCCCATCAAAGCCCTTTGGCGCCACATCAGTACTCCGTATAGCGACTGTTCTGTGATCCAGCTTCATAAGGATTGTGGAGCTGGGAATATGCGGCTGCAGCTCACACACGAAGGTTCCGTGTAATGCTTACGGACGATTATGACATCAACGAAATGAATGCCGCGAATCCAAGCAGCGGATTCCTGGTCCCGGAAGGCAAACAATGGGTTGCCCGTCCTCCGTGCTTGTCGGGCTTTTCATAGGGAAGGGACAAGGATCGGCTCTCGAATGCTCAATGCAACTTCATCTGGAACCAGCCGCATTCTTATGCGGGGAAAGAAATCACGCGCGCAGGTACGAAGTATTGGGCTTCATTTTTCACGGCTGCAATGCCGATAGCAAGCGAAAGTTTTCTCGCTGAAACATTCTCAAGAATCCTGAAAAAGCATAATCGCTTGCGGGACAGCAAATGATAGTTCATTTCATCCGCCAAAAGGAAGTTGGATGCAACCGTCTCCGCGTTCTGTATGGGGTACGGGGTACGAACACAGTAACTAATAATCCACCACTCCGTACCGAACGGCCCGTGATTCCCAAAGAGTTAATAGTTTGTCAGGGAGCAAGATCCAAGCCGCTGGGAGGCTGTAGGGAAGTAAGAGAGTGCCTGGGGGTGGCCGTGAACACTAAAGACCGTCCTCGCATCACACTGATGCTCTTAACTGTAGAGGATGCGCGGGCTGGAGCAGTACACAGCTTAACGTGAATAACCTTGGAAAATTACAGATGACGCGGAGATCCGAACTAGGTCAATAAAAACCGCTCAAACGGCTCGCAAAAGACGCTTCGTACAGGTATTACATGATTGATCTGCTGAAGTCAGGCAAACCGTTCTTGGCGAATGGCCATTTGATCGTTTGAGTTGCCAGCCTGCCGGCGGTGGGACGGATCCATTCCAGGCGAATGGGTCCTGGAACCTTTCCCATGGCCCTAACTAGCGTCAAAGATGGAAATTCCAAGGAACAACAGCCACTCAGACCACCCTGCCGTATCTGACCCCTTTTGAACCAACCTCAGGGAGTACGGAGCAGATTGAATCCTCTTCAGCTTTTCTCGTCTGATCAGCCTATTCAGAGCCCCAACTCCGATCTCTGGAACACAGAAGGACCACAATGTCGATTAGTTACGGACGCCACCATTCGGTCTCTGTCGATACAGCAAAAGGCCCCAATGCCAACGAATCTTCCCCTCATGACCCATATTAGGGAACTTTATAATGATAGTCCGTGTTCCATTCTTACATCCCTGTGGTCCATGCGCTTTTGCAGGACACCTCCTCCGTCTGTACTCCGTACTGAGTAACTATCTCGGTAACCTCCCCAAGTGCTCTGCGTTCGTTTTTCTGGAGGTTGGGACGTGACCATGATACCTATTCTCTTATTCGCTCTTCAGCCCCCTTTCGTCGACACTGGTTTGTCTCAGGTGATGATTCGTCTGTATTCCTTACACTAATCAGATGCCTTTTTCCCCATTTCTCCTCTTCACTCTCTTTCCAAGCAAACGACCCTTTTGACGAGGTATTTGTGATCTATATGTTGGAATAACAGGCACCTCCTCGAGGAACCAGCTAGAGTTGTCTGCTATGGCACACCATCGCACGGAAGAGGACTTTGCTCCTGACCTACAGAACCCACCTTTGGATTTCAACCATAGCTCGATTCAAGATCAAGACTTCCTTGTGTCGGCCACATCCCAACAGTCTAGTACCGTCCCTCGTGTATTGCATGAAGCCGTCTACACGCCTGTAGCAAGTCCCCAGCCGCTGAAGCTGGTGGCTCTATTTAACACAGAACTTACACCGCCCCGGTTCCATGTTACTTATCGGTGGTGGGAAGAGGAGGCCTTACCCATCCTTTGGGCATTCAATATCGGCGATATCAAACGACTACTCCAATTTCGTCTATACGATGACGACGATTTCCCGAGAAGAATCTTGCAAAATAGAAACACTGCCACTTTAACGGAATTCGTTGCGTCTTTGTTCCCTCCAGGACAGCCGGGCCTTCTTGACCTTGCTCACCACGAGAAGGTCGATGAGATAATCCGTTTGTGCCAGAAAATCATTTTTCCAATCCCATGGAACTGGTTTCCCAATTATCTGAACGGTGTCAACCCTGTTACTATTGCCCTGGAAATCAATACAGAGAGTGTTCTACAGTTCAAAGCAATTTCTTTCGAGGACTGGGTGCGTTTTGCTCTTGGATACCCTACGATGTCTATCGTATGGTTCGTAGAGCAGCATCGAGAATTATATAATCTCCTTTCCGCCCATCTTGATAGGCATCCTGAGAAGGAGTGCATATATGTTGATGTGGAAAAGGTTAGTGTGAGAAGGCTCCAAAAACTGTCGACTTCAAGCTAAATGAGAACCAGCAACTCCGATCCCGTTGCCCATGGGCTCATCGAACGGTGCTACAGTGTTTGAAAGATAGGGGGCTTGCAAGTGAAAATACGATTCCGAACCACCGCGTGGCCAAATTCCTCATTGAACCGATACAAGCTCTGTTTAAGTCTCGTCCCAGGCCATTCGTCAAATTTCTTAAGAAGCTCTCGGTTCTTTCAATCCGTTTCTCTCGCAAATATCACGAAGACGTGGATATTAACTGGGCTACTCCTTTCGATGCGGAAATCCCCCATTTGGACGATTTTCTTGCATCAAGCCCTGCCCCGACACTAGCGAGAAGACTCACTTTCTCTGATGAGCGCGGATTTACTGGACTTTCGACCTTAAGTTTTGGTGAAGAAAACGGCCAACTACAAACTCTGGTTGATAATTGGCATTTACTTTCGATGTCAGTTGAAGAATGTTGTACGGCTTTTGTCGAAATGCTCCATTACTTCAAGGAGTGTGTAAAGGTAAGAGAGAAAATACATTTATATTATCAGCACTAAACATGATATTAACAACTTTCTCATACTCAGGCACTACTTAATATGAGAAACTATTATTCGGCTACGGCAATGCTCCATGGCCTTCAAGAAGCGCAACCTCGGCCATTTGATTCGCCCCTAATTGATTCGCTGGATTCTCTCTTCAACCTCTTAGACTCTACCGACAACTACGCAGCATATAGGCGAACTATGGGGGAGAAACCCGGTCTCCCATTCTTGCATCCTCATATCGCGGAATATCATACCAAGGGGCAGGGAGCTATTGCTGGCCTGTTTCCATTGTCCTTGTAGGATCAAACGGAGGATTCGCAATTGGCTTATCTTTAATCGGCATCGCCGTATTTTCTTCTCAGTTCGCATCTGAGCCCATGGTTTTAGACCGGCTGGCAGGGGAACGTTCTGTGGCGATACTGAGGGAGACCCACTGATCAAGAGCTGATTAACTTGTAGCCTGATTCCTGAAATTATATTGGCTTGATACCATGCCCTGGAATTACATATCAAAGCGCCACTGTCGTTACGGTTACAATACATCCTGTCATCATCAACGAATCTTTTCCAATTGAGAGGTATCAATTTACTTGAGCTCTTCCCCCGGTTTAGGTGAGATGGGCAATTATCCTTGCATATGCCTCAAGAATGCTGAGTCCCCGCTAGTTTGTTGAGCCTGGCAGCCAATCCGACCGCGCTAGGAGAATGGCCGTCCTTGCAGCAGTTTCCACAGGCGTGTGGATGGGGACCAATGGTTAAGCCGAGCATGATTGACGAGGTTTCATAGGATATGCCCGGGTATAGTTATAATTTCTAGAGCGGGCCATGCAACTTGCCTTCTCAACATACTTGAACCTTTCTGACAACCACTATCGGCTGGGAGAAAAGTACTAAGTATATGATTGGGGACACCGAGAAGGCTCGACACCCCACCCGTGGCGATGATTACATATATCACAGTCCATGCTGCTATCCAATGGGCTATCAGGTAATATACGCTCCGCTTATGGCGACGGTTGATCAGTTTCAGCTGGGTTCATCCGATGTTCGAGGTATCACGGCTAGCCCATCTAAGTATGGAATTTCAGTGTTTACTTTTGATTTTCAGTTACCAAGGTGGATTCTTTTCACTCATATTATATTTCCTTATGTTGCTGTTCTCCGCATTCTGCTGCGTGAAACCAGGCGCCCAGCTGCATACTTCCTGGTACGGTGAGAAAAGGACAGCCAGCCCGCATGGGTATAGTTCTTGGCCATTGGAGCCGGTACAAGTACAAATTGATGTATGATGTTTCGGTTTCCGAATTCTGAGAAGGGCTAAAACGCAACGGAGATCCTGATCTTCCAACTCATCCGTATGATCGTCTGGTGGTCGATGATGAAGTACCTCAGGTAAATCAATTCAATATGACTTTACACGATCTCAAATTTCCTGAGCTATCTATACCGGGTATTGAGACCCATGGGGCAATACCATCATCCAGTCAATAGGGTGCTAAAGGTTCCCGAACCGACCTTAGGTAGTCGTGGCCATCTTTGGGGCGTCCCTGGTTGAATTTTAAATGCCTAGGTCTGCACATTATGCACTGAGCATGCAGGTTGTAAATCTTGCATTTAGCGAGCACATACCCTCCTGGGGTGGCAATAAATGCAGGCCTATTGCACATTTGTGGCCTGTCGTGTATACGAGGTCCTACCCCCCCTTTTTTTTTTTGAACAATTTTCGAAAGCTGCTGCTGGTGGCCAACATCCCGGATGTAACGAGTCAGTGGCACATAGAATTTCTGTGCAGGGGAGATAGTTTGAACCGCTTCTGAGGCGCCATCGAGAAAGGCTACTTTCGAAATCCCTGTGTTGCCCAGTAGTTACGTTCAGGTCTGCACTGTTATGGAAAAAAAGGAAAAAAAAAAAAAAAAAAAAAAAAAAAATCAGGAATTTTTGTATCCTTCTGTTTACAATTGAGCCCAAGCCGAGATGGATCCTCCGTCAATACATACAAAGCACCCAACAAACCTCTCGCTATTTCAAACCAAAAGCTGAGCAAGATCTAGCCCAGAAATTAGATTGGTATGCATGTGCCATGGCATAACATATAATTGACCACTAACTAGCGACCCCTTACTGAAGGTGAAATCTTCATATCAAATGTCAAGAAGGGGATTCACAAATTTCTACTTCCACTGCCCGGTGTGCAGTTGTGGCCATGAGTTGCAGAACTTTTGTATCAAAAACGTCCTCAAGGTTGTCCGGTATCGCCTATCCATAGCTGATCTTGGAAGCTGAATACGAAGCTGCATTGAAGCATATCGCTGCACCTCTTTCGACTAAACAAAAGGCTTGGATCTCCTTAGGCAAATTTTCGATGTGTAGCGCCCAGCTAGTGTGGTGCTGTATGAAGGTCTACCCTTCATTGGTGCTTAGGCACTGGAAGAAAATTTTGGGTGTGGCAACCGGATTGCACGGAGGGAGAGAAGGCCCCGAGTTTCCCGTAATAGAGCAAGAAACATACGTGTCATGGGGTGACTTTGGAATGGAAGCTGTTCATGCTATCACTGGCCGCCCAATGCTTGCATCTTCGGCTTGCCCGGAGGGAGTTGTCATAGCTTTCCGGTGAGGTTTACTTGCTTGCGCTTGCAGGGTTGGAACTGCATACTGGCAAAGTTGATACTATGATTACAAGGAAATAAGACATGAATTCATTATAGGAAGATCCCATTGGCCCCGTATACCTCCTTGAGATACAACCGACGCCATTCTCCTTGATAAAAGGGTTCGTAACATTATTTTTTCTTATTGATTCACATGGATATCTTTTAATTGCTAGAAAACCTACCGCTACATACGTGACAATGGATGATAGGCAGTTTAGCGGCCAGCAAGAGCCATGGCACGGCGACGATCTCTCTCTTCAGCAATGGAGAGCTGTAAATCAGAGCATTAGCACTTATCGATGAGAAGTTCGTAATAAGAATAAGAACCTACCTTGACACCCTTGCCCTTAGGAAGACTGACCCAGGGCTTCTCATGGCCAATGACGAAGACGTTGGATTCACGAGTAGCGAAGGTGTTGTCAATAGCATCCTTGATGTGGACGATACCGAAACCACCCTCGTGGCGCTCACGGTGAGTGATGACACCAACACGACCCATGTTACGACCGCCAGTGGCCATGCAGATAACACCAGTATCGAACTTGATGAAGTCGGTGATCTTGCCAGTAGCAATGTCGATCTTCACGGTGTCGTTGACCTTGATGGCTGGGTCAGGGTAACGGATCCTAGAGTAGTCTGTATTAGCATTTCATGTTCCAAGGCTATCTTTCATCTTTCACCGTTTGTTTCCCAAGTTTCATGGAGATTATCGATTGGAGAATGTGATGATGTCGCGTCTTTCAATCCCCCACCCGAAATCAACCAAAGCTTGGTCCAACGTCTGAATGATGCGGAATATGATCAGAAACTCACGTTCTCGCATCGTGCGTAACCAAGAATGGGATTCCGCCCTTGCCCAACTGGACACGCTTGACTTTGCCCAACTTGTATTCGGCCTCCTCGCCGGAGATGCGGTGGACAGTGAAACGGCCCTTGGTGTCATAGATAAGACGGAAGTTCTCGCCGGTCTTCTCGATGCTGATGACGTCCATGAAGCCAGCTGGGTAGGTGGCATCGGTGCGGACCTTGCCGTCGACCTTGACGAGGCGCTGCATGAGGATGGCATTGGTCTCACGTCCGTTGAGGGCGTACTTCAACCTGTGATACGACAAATCTTAGATAACGCTCTTCTTTACAGAGTGAACAATTTTTTCAAAACCAACCTGTTACGGATGAAGACGATGAGAGGCAAGCAGTCTCGTAGCTTGTGAGGACCAGGGGATGGGCGAGGGGCATAGGCACCAGACAATTTGTCCAAGAGCCAGTGCGAGGGTGCGCTCAAGCGCTTCTGGTGCTTCTTTCTGTAGGCGAAATTGTCAGCAATGGGGGCGCATATGAAATGCTGACTATTTTTCAAAGGATAACTCACGGTCCACGGCCCATTTTGGATGTATTGTCGACTTGAACGCTTTGGTTGTCGAGTTGGTCGCGAGTCGAAGGTCAGAAAGATTTCGCGAAGGGGGAAACGAAAATGCGTTTGGTGTTGTGGAGCGGTTTGTTGGTCGAGCCCTAAAAATTGCCCTTTTTGGGGAAAGCGCAGTTTCCGTCCCTGCTGACATAACTAACTAGTTAATCACGCTAAACTTAATCTTAGATTTTGATTGTGAAAAGCGCCCGAAGCACATAGAAGATGTATTGTATTAACTATTTGCCTTGGATGAATTAATAACAGCTTTTTCCGTCTTTATGTATCATGACAAGCTTTTTGTTTTTACAAATAGCCCTTGATCACAGCAGCTTCCGCGTTGAGGATCGACGATCCCGCTGCGCCGATGACAGTGTTGTGGCTCAGAGCCGCAAACCTAATATCAAAATATCCACCTTTTTGGCCTTCTCGGATACGGCCAACGCTCACCGTATAGCCGCCAGACAGATCTCGGTCAAGCCTGGGCTGTGGTCGGTCAGGTTCATCAAAGACCTTGATGGCCTGTGGCGGAGCAGAGTAACAACCCAGTTTCTGAGCCTCGGATTGGTATTCTCTCATCGCTTGGGCAACCTGTTCCGCACTGGGAGGAGGGCGGTTCTTGAACCTTAGAGAGACAAATGCCATATGTCCATCTGTAACCCCGACTCGAGTGCACGTTGCGCCAACCCTGAGGCCTTCCTGCTCAACGAAGGCTGTGGCGTCCGCATTCAATGTACCAAGGATCTTTTGGGCCTCGGTTTCTAACTTATCTTCCTCTCCCGAAATGAAAGGAATAACGTTATCCACTATATCCATGCTCGGGACACCTGGATATCCAGCACCAGAGATCGCTTGTTCTGTAAAAACTTCAACTTCTTCGACAGGGCCGAACTTGGCTTGGAGAGCAGCGAATGGAATGACTATGCCAATGACAGCACAGTTGGAATTGCACACCAGGAAACCCTTGTTGAGGTTGTAATGCTTCCTCTGGTAAGGGATAAGGTCAAGATGCGAAGTATTGACGGTCGGGACGACCAACGGAACTGCTGGGTCGCGTCTATAGTTCTTCGCGTTCGAGAACACAGGAAGATCTGCCTTGATAAATTCCATCTCTACAAAGCACCAGATCCTTAGTTCAAGTCCAAGAAAGATTGCCAAGTCCAGGTCAAGCGGTAGCACCAACCTATTTCTCCAGCGATATCACTATCTAAGCCCGAGAACACAAGATCGCAGTCTTTGAAGTGCTCCGACCTGCAATCCCGTACAAGCAAGTTGGCGATCTTTTCGGAGATGGGCTTTGCCTGCTTCCATCTCACGGCATCCTTGTAGAGCTTGCCAGCGGAGCGAAATGATGCTCCAACAGCGTGTAATTCCAGGAAAGGGTGGTCAGCAAGGAGCAAGACGAAGCGTTGACCGACTGAGCCAGTGGCTCCCAGGACGCCTAATTGACGATTAGCACTGAAAACGGCATGGGGGGGTATTTGAGCAGGGATCGGACTCACCGCACTTTTTCTTAGGAACTGAGGCCATGGTAGACTAATTATGATGCCTTCTCGAAAAGAATGTTAATGACAAGGTTCGTCTGTGAGTAATGATGGAATTTCGAGCAAGCTGCGACTTCGGCGGAGTCACCGAGAAATTAGTTAGTCGGAGGGGTTCGCCGATAAGGAATGAGTTTAGATAAGCCCTCCTGTCGACGCTCAGCGATTGGCGGGGTTGCAAATTGACAGCAATTATCACTCGATCTTCCTGAGAGCCAATGCACGAGGTGGCGTTGAGGCAAGGGGAGGGAAATTATTAAAGCTTCCGCATGAATTCTCGAGGGCAAAGGGGATCCGCCCTCCATACAATCAGATGCTGTTCAAAAGCTTAATTGTCCTGAGAGTTGAAACTTTTGCCTCGTGTCTCTGCATGTTGTGGCGTTGGTGCCAGGGGGTGACTTCAACCGTTCACTCACAACTAACAAGAGATCAGGGATCTGTTTTGAGTAATAATAGAAGGCATTCTATATTTAGATGCTTCGGTGATTGACCGCCGCCTCGTCGATCTTAGAGCAGGGCATTAATGCTTACGAACCGCCGCTGGGGTACAAATGAGGTTATGAAAACAGATTCCTCTCTCTCCCATGGCATTCCTAGCTACAGTGCTGCAGGAGGTAGATTGAGTCAATTCTAGGAAGTTGTGATTGCAAAGATATCTCGCAAGCAGTAGGTTAATACTTTTTCATTATAGTACATATTATTCCATTTGTGTCTATCCAAAATCCAAAGGTACCGACCGCTCTAATTCATGAAACATCGAGGCAGGATCTCGGACATAGTTAGCACATTAGTTACTTTCTTTTCGCATCGAAGATTTTTCCAGGGTTGAGAAGCCAGTGCGGGTCGAGAGCCCGCTTAACACTTCGCATCACATCGATGGTTTCCGGACCCAGCTCCTTGATCAGAGACGACATTTTGCCCATCCCTACACCGTGCTCTCCCTGCATAAGTTACACGATCGGTCAGTTTATCACAGCTTGAAATTAGGTAAGGCTTTAGGGAATGAATTTACCGTGCAGGACCCTTCCATCTCAATAGCGCGATCAACCATGTCGTAAACAACTTTTTCGACTTTCGCACGCTGCTCCGGATTCTTTCTATCGTACATGATGCTTGCGTGGAAGTTTCCATCACCGACGTGGCCAAGGACGCAAGCATACATTCCAAGATCATCAAGATCCTTTTTCGATAGTTCTAGAATGGCGAGTTAGCCTCTAGGATAAGCTATGAATTTTCGGAGACTGACCGATAATATCTGGTAATCTGGAAAGGGGCACTGCAACATCTGTGGACCAGACATCGCTCGAACCATCCTCTCTCAAGGCGAGCATACTCCAGAGTGACTCTTTTCGCGCAGACCATAAATCACGACCTTCCTTGTCGTTCCTGGCGAATTCAAAGGAGGTGCCTCCGCTCTGTTTTGCAATGCCTTTTGTGATGCTTATGCTTTCAGAGACGCCGGACTTCGTGCCAGAGAATTTAAAGAATAATGTTGGGCATTCTTTCCATACCCGGTTTGTGCCACCTGCTCTGTTGATAATGCTCATCTGGACTTCATCAAGGATTTCCATGCATTGGATGGGAACTCCCCTCCGCATGACACGCATCGCCGCGCTTGCAGCGTCCCGGATGCTATTAAATGTAGCCACACCCACTCTAGTCTGCTCGGGTATGACGGCTAGTTTTAGGGTGATTTCAGTAACAATTCCAAGCGTACCCTCTGAACCTACAAACATGCCAGTCAAGTTATAGCCAGCAGAGCTCTTCCGTGGCCGATGTCTTGTTTTGATAATTCGGCCATCTGCAAGGACAACGGTCAAATTAATAACCCAATCTTTCATGGTTCCGTAGCGCACAGCGTTGGTACCACTGCAATTCGTCCCAACCATGCCTCCGATCCTAGCTGGTGGTCCCGGATCGATGGGAAAGAATAGTCCTGTATCTTTAAGCTCTTCATTGAGCTGAATCCATTGCATCGATGGCTGAACGACGACGTCCAAATCATCTTCATGCAGCTCAATGATCTTGTCCATATGCAAAAAGTCTATGCTTATCCCTCCGTGCGGGGCTGAAAAATTTCCCTCCAAACTCGAACCACCGGAGTATGGGACCATTGGCACCCGATATTTGTGGCATACTTGTGCAATCTTGGAAACCTGTTCCGTGTCTTTGGGATAGGCCACGGCGACAGGCAATCGGTCGCTGTTAACCGTCGACCACTCCGAATATCCATGTAAATGCAAGACTTCATCGTCTGTACTGATCGCCTCCTCCCCAAGGATTTCTCTCAGCTCAGCAATTGCCTATTATTCACCGTTAGTATAATCCGTACCACATTCCACACCTAGAACAGCATCTCGATACCTTCTCCATTTCTTCGAGTGTCCCGTACTTTAGATCATTCGCAATTACGGTCTGCTGAGACTCGGAGTAGTACTTGCCAAAGACATAGCCCGAGGCGATAGCAGCAGCAGCGGCCACTACTATCTGACTTGTTTTCCAGGAAGTTGATGTTGAAGACTTGGATGCATTTTGGGGGTGTGTAGCGCTGCTATTCCATCTCCGTCGGGTGGCCTGAACAGGAAGACCTTGCTGACGGGGTGCAACGTTGACACCGCGCCGTGAAAATTGGGCGGCAGCTCGACTAAAAGCTTTCATGAGATATACGAGATACGGAGCTTATTGCTTGAGAAGGGAGTAGTACGAAGTAAAGACACAAAATTCAAGTTGAGAGTTGGGAACTTCCGCTGAAAACATTTACTCGCACTTGGCATGGGGGAACTGGGGATTAAATACTTCGTATAAAAAGGTCGATTCTTTCTTACGGTGGTATTCTCCAGTTAAGGATGTGAAAGAGCTCAAGCTATCGCTCCTGTCTGCAATCTACTCCATACGTCTGCGGAGGAGCGAGCCGAGATAAAAAAGAACATGATACCACTTGACTAGATGACTAAGCGGTATTGGAAGTCGTTTAGAAGTGCGCCGGTAAAGTCAATACAGAATTACAAGGCATCTCGATGAAATGTTCCTTCACTGATCTTACCATGTTTCTTCGTCTTTCCCACTTGGCACCGTGAATTTGGGGGGGGTTGATTTAGCTTGCTAGTTTGGCGACTTTGGCGAGGGTCCAAAGACCCTGGTTATGCAAAAATTTAGCAATTTTACCTTGCTACTTTGTCAATCCTTCCAATCATCCAATTCTTAAAGTGAAAATATGAGAAGCAATTTGCATGTGTGTTATTCAAAAATTTAATCAAGCCTCATGTTCTAGCAGGGCTAGATGGAACTTCTAATGCTAAATTTACGTGAAAGTTACAAGTTGACTACTGACTAAGAAGATACTAGGGCCTGGGAGCGAGGGCATAATAGCGTGCTTCCACCATGGTCTAGATGTTAAAGCCGAGAGGGTTGCGGCGCCCGTTCTCCCAAGGTAGCTTCACCCCTGCCAATGCTCGGCATCTTGCCGGGTAGCTTGCAAGATAACCGGCGCCGTCCCTGGTCCAATCAATATGGGGAGAGCCACACTCAAAACAGCGCTCAGGCTCTCCCCCTGATCTGTTCCCATCGACCAGGCGGTCAACGGGAATCGGCTGACGCTGCCCTTGCAATGGGTGATAATAACGATGCATGTCTCTGCAAGATCGACGATCCTGACCATGTGAAATTTCGGAGCAATTTAAATGAATTGACGGCTCAAAACCCGAAGTAAAATTTCTCTCGTCCATAAACGGAGTACTCCGTGCAATGTCGGGATCCAGTGAGCGTTTCGCCGTTTCGGCGCAAGTTTCGAGAGCTCTTCGATGCGCCGACGCTAAAAAAAGGGAATGCGGGGAATACGGAATATTTCCGGCATGATATTAGAACCACGACGACTTTTCCAGCCCGTTTTGACCATACGGGTCGAGTTTTAAGTGTTTTGCTGTTGAAGAAGGCTGGCGCGGTCCAGAACGAAACCATGAATCGTTTCTGAGACGAAGTGGGAGTTTTTTTTGCATCAGGGATCGGGAGGATGGAGCAGCCGGATTTTGTGGGAGTTGGTTGCGGAGGCAACGGTGACATCGTTAGAACTTCAACTTTGATGCGACTTTCCTCTCACCCCAGGATCCTTAATAATAATAGCCGGATGGAGTAGCATTAACTCGCTCAGCACGGTCTATGCTGAAAGAAAACAACAGTGAAAAACCGAAAGTCAAAATTCATTGCATTGTGTATGTACTGTACATAACTGCGGCATAGCTGTTTGATTTCAAGGTGCGTGCTATACCCATCAGCTATCGGCATCGAGATAGCCGGGGCAATCCTGTTTCCGTCCAAAGAAAAGTGGGTGTCGAGAAAGGCAGAGAGAGTATGGCACCAAAGTATTCGTTTCATGGCTGATGGCCCGGGACTAGGATCTCCATGATATTATATGTTCGGGTGAGCATCCCTCCAAACGCCTGCGTTTGTGGGCAGATTGTAAACCATGCTAGGTTCATTTCCTTGTATCTGCTACGTCGGATGTCTTGGAGTAGTGGCCGTATATAGTCTGGATATTTATATCTTTGGGTAAGCTGTCGGCACGAGATGGAGAACAGTTTCTCTCATGCAATTGCTTCGTCCAGTTGGTTTGAACCACGGGTTCTGACATTTATTGTTAAGTGTTCGTGGAGCTATTTCGAGATGCAATTTTGACCGCAGAATGGGTGATTCTTGATAATCTTCCGGAAAAAAACATTTGGATCTTGTGCGGATCGAAATGGGGAGAAGCAAGATATCCAGAATGATGGTGCATCAATCCTATCTGGACGGTGTGTCGAAGGCTTTTTGCCGATTTTGTCCAACCCACTACCAATTCTTTCGTTATTCCTGCAAGGCTTCAGGACTTTGTTTCCAGGTCGATGGAAATGACACTTCATCGACGAAAGACTCTTTCTGGCCTCTCTACCGAGTCATTAACTGTATTCGAGACAGTGGCCTTGAAATGCAGCCAGGACAAATTCTGGTAAACTTTCACTGCGAGTGCGCAAAAGTCCTACCCGACCCGGGTGCCTATATGAGCAATCTGCCGAGATAAGCCACGATTGCAAAGTTTGCAACTACTCCGCAACTATTCACATCCCAAAAGCCGCATTGGTTCCTCTCCATTTGCTAATTCTTTTGATGCGACAAGAGCCTGAAAACCTTGGATCCAGCTTTCTTACGTGCAATCCCGGAGGAGTTTTGGGAGTAATCCGTTGCCAGAAAGGAGCCTGGATAAACACTAATAGACGCGGATGATGGCAAGCCTGCATATCAGCATGTTTATACGCACGTTATAATTACTATGGCAGGGCTTTGTTCTTCTAACCTCCACGTGGAAACGCCAATTCCTTCAATGAGATTTGAGATGGAAATGCTAACCGCAAGGTACGAAGAAAGCAAAAAAAATTTTTTGTAAAAAGTTAAAGCACAAAGCAATCCGGGTTTCGGAGCTGATCGCGAGGTTTGTTAACAATCAGCCTCATCTTAGCGTGGAGCATATCACTACAGGTGTGAAAACTATCCAGCATATTATGAGGTGCCGATATTGATTTCAAGATCTTCGGAGGGAGCCAACTCAAGACAATCTAGTGGGATTGGGAAGAATGTACGGGCTATACGGCGGCCGGCCTTTTTGCCTCAACGGCGTCGGCCATGCCTAGTCCGAGTCCCAAACGGCGAAGGAGTACCAGTCAGTTATCGACGACGACTCGTGAAAGTGGAGGAAATTTTGAACGGACCAGGATTGCCCAACATACCCTTCGACTTGCAGGCGGCCACTGATCGATCGAGTTGGATACCAACGGTCCAGTCAGAAGCAATCATCTCCTTTTCTGGTAGTTACTAGGTCTTACCGCTTGCATGGCGCAGCAAAGTTCATTCCGAAGGAAAATCGATTTTCGAGAATATCCCGAAATTTAATTTCATAGATGAAAATCTCGAACGAGTACGCTGTATAGTGACAAGTTCTTTCCTGGACATTATATATCAGGGGATTTTCGCATTTCTTCGCAAAGCCATGATGGTGATTCTCCAACGTTGCAATTACTGATATTACTGAGACAGTGAATAAATAGCTAATTTCCCTCAGTAATATGCAGGTTCCCTCTGATTCTTTGAATAGGAATGCGGGTTTCAGCCAGCGGGAACCTGCAGCTGGATCTTGTCCTGTTATTTTTGCTTCACCCACAGGAAGTTTGCTGTTTTCGTACACTGCATATCCTGCAAACAAGAGATGAAATCTCAGCGGCCAGTCATTTTACTCCCAGAATTCACCGGTCATTGAGTGATACCGATGAAATTTGTTTCAATGGAGCCGGAATAGGTTGCTTCAAATTCGGACTACTTTTAAAAGGGCACCTCCGTCCCTGATTTTCCTATAATTTCCCTTGTCTGACTGCCACTTTCTACTCTTTGTATATCAACTTCGTGGGAATATTGCGTTGCTTTTAAAGCTGTGTTTTAGCGGGACTCTATATAAATTCTCATACCCTTGGAGGAGACAGGGACAGCATTTTCCATGGTGAGTTCCACTTCCCATATGCTATGTATTTTTAAAGTTGTTTCCTATGGAATACACCGCAAAGATGTGTATCCTGCACATGCCTCCATATAGAAGCACATAAACATAAGTCAGAAAGCCCTAAATTTTTGGCATTACTTACACACCAGCTCACCGCAGTGTTGGTGGGTATATCCGGACGTAAAGCTGACTCTTTCTTCCTCTGCAGGACCAAGCATTAGGACCCTCAATTTCGAGGTGGAGCCGACGGAAGAAGCGCCAGCGCTCTCAAAGGGCCAAAAAGGGTGGGATAGTAAGGAAGTTGGCGAAGGAAAGCCCGGGCCTGGCGCAAGGGCGACATTCACGGCCCTGGCCACAACCGCATCTGCAGCAACACAGCTGCACTCTGATCGCCCAGCCATGGATGACTGTGCAGGGCGATGTTGACATTCCCTGTGCACGCCGGATGGTTTTGTCTGCACCAGCGGCTGTTGCTATGGAGGGCGCTGGTAGCCAGAAAGGGTAAGCCTGAGCAAAATTCCGGCTGAGAGAACTCACTTTTTGCCTGTTCTTTGTGTGATTTCGCTTGATGCCGTGCTAACATTCACATTCACCTTCCTTCCCTTCTGTTCCTCTCACCGCAGCCCCTCTCGTCTTCTCAGTTAAATCCTCTCTCATCCTTGAGCTTGCTCAGTTTCCCATCCTCTTTCAAGAGTACTCTTCCTTCATATTTTCACTGTTTCTCAGTCAATCTTCTCTTCAACAGCGGACAATGGCTTATTTTCGTCCTCGTATCCCCAGTCAGCGCCAACCTATCGCCATGCCCAGCATGGAAGACCGACAGCGGGCTTCTCGGCTCTTTGCAAGCTGGGCGTCCTGGGAATCCCTTACTGTCAACATTTCAGGGCTCCCAAAGGATATCAGCACATTCACGATTTGGCGGTCCTTTAAAGTCTACGGTTCCATCGAATGGGTCGAAATATTCGAAGACACGAAAGGGAGGCAGGATGGCAGGGGGAAAATTCGGTTTCGGTGAGTCTGCAAGACGTTACTGATTTTATGCCGTCTATGCTTACATCAAATTTTTATTTGTACCCAGGCCTCCTCCGCGGGAAGTCTTTTGCCCAGATCGAAGGCACATTCTTGAGCTCGACGATGGCCAGCGTTGCCTGCTTCAGGTGCACATTAGCCCAAGGAAGCCTTCGAACCAGATTCCAAGCCCTATAAATCTGGGGGTAATGTACCCAATGACAACGGTATGTCACCAGCTTATATTGGAGCGCGATACCAACGTGAAACTGAACTTTTCCTAGGAGATCTCAGTGGGGAAACTAGACTTTGGGACATTAATAGATAAAGACATGATGCTCTCTCTCAGAACCGTTGATTCGAGCCGAATGGGTCAGATTCGATTCATAGTTGATCTCAATCGTCGCGAAATAGTTGTGTTCTTTAACCTGTCTTTTTTTGACCCCCGTCTTTCGTCACGGTCTCCCCTTATTTACAGCTACCGTTTCCGTATCCCATTTGTTCATCTTTCCCGTGTTCTACGGACTAAAGAATTAGGCGATTCATCATTGGTGATTGTTTTGGACACGCCGCCAATATATCACAGGAGATTGAATGACGTGACAGTCACTTTCTCTGACACCGAAAATACGTGGAAAGAGTCCGACTGTTGGTTCCGACAAACAGATATTCCTTACTCCCAAAATGAAGCCGCGCAAGCGCCGCTGAGCTTGCGAAAGGCACAATCTCTAATAAATATCGGTAAGATCGTCCTAACCTTCGAGGCTGACGATCTTTGGCTAACATTGTTCTTGTCAGGACGCTGGACGACTTTTAGACTGACTTTCCGCAATCTTGATGATTCCAGCATTCAAAAGCTTGAGGTACTCCAAAATATTTATACGGACTTTAACGTTGAAGTCCAGGATGCTCCAGCATTCGGGGTCAGCGCGGATTCCGCAGCCATACCAGCATGGAGGTGGATTGATCCACCTATCCGCGGCTCAAAACGAACTCCTTCGCTACAAGAATTGGTAGAAGAGGACTATACACCCCTTCCATTTAGTGTCAGATACCAGCTGGAAGTTTGCTTGTCTCATGGGCTTCTAAACGAATATACCATAGGTAAAGAGTTTGTGGCTGCTCTTGTTGCACTTGGCGAAACGAAAGCAAGAGAGTTGCTGGAGCATGTTGCAAGTGAGAAGCATGTGTATTATGACCCAAAGAAAATATTTGACATATTATTTGTCAAGCCAGCGACGAGCCGCAGAATTCCAAAATACTGTTGCTATATGAGAACGGCACGAGTGACCCCTTCGACGGTCTATTTTGGCACTCCTTCTGTTGATATCACAAACCGCGTGATCAGACATTATATTGAATACGCTGATCGATTTCTCCGTGTTCGTTTCACCGATGAGAAATTCGAAGGAAGGATCCAACCGAGCCATAACAATACTATGGATGAGGTATTTACCCGCGTTAAACGTACAATGATGAACGGCATCACACTCGGTGACCGGCATTATGAGTTCCTCGCTTTTGGAAACTCTCAGTTCCGCGAACACGGGGCTTATTTCTTTGCTTCCTTACCACATCTGACAGCTGCCAATATTCGTGCGTGGATGGGCCATTTTAGTGACATCAAGGAGATTGCAAGGCATGCCGCGCGTCTTGGTCAGTGCTTTTCAACAACTCGGGCAGTCACCGGTTGCCCCGTGCAAATCCGTGAGATAGAAGATATTCAAAGAAATGGATATACGTTCTCAGATGGCGTCGGTCGCATTTCAAGATTCCTCGCGCAAATGGTCATGACTGAATTTAAAATCAAAACCCCATGTGGGGAGCCTCCGTCTGTCTTTCAATTCAGACTTGGTGGCTGTAAGGGAATCTTGACTGTTTCTCCAGAAGCTCAACGCCAACAAGTCCATATTCGCAAGAGTCAATACAAGTTTCCAGCCATACATAATGGGCTTGAAGTCATTCGGCATTCGCATTTCTGTATGGCAAGTTTGAACCGCCAGCTCATCGTCGTGTTATCTAGCCTTGAAGTACCAGATGAAGTCTTTCTTGAAAAGCTCAGGATGATGCTTGGAAATCTTGAATTGGCCATGACTAGTGAAACTCAGGCTATCCATCTGCTTCACAAGTATATTGATCCTAACCAAATGACCCTTGTGTTGGCGGAGATGATTCAGGATGGCTTTCAGAGTTCAAAAGAACCGTTTGTCACTTCACTGCTCGAGTTATGGCGTGCATGGCAGATCAAATATCTCAAGGAGAAAGCGAAGATTATCATTGAAGAAGGCGCTTGCTTGTTCGGCTGCCTCGATGAAACAGGGACACTCAAAGGCCTTTTTCATGACAACATTCCTTCTAAGGACGCATCCTACGAAGAAAGGCTCGCCTGCCTTCCTGAGATTTTTGTTCAGATTTCACGCGCCAATAATGATGGGAAATATGAAATTATCGAGGGACCTTGCATAATTGCCCGAAATCCTTCCTTGCATCCGGGCGACATCCGGGTCGTAAAGGCTGTCAATGCACCTGCCCTACACCATCTTAGGGATGTGATTGTATTCCCACAGACAGGAGATAGGGATATCCCAAGCATGTGTTCGGGTGGTGACTTGGATGGTGATGATTACCTGGTCATTTGGGACCAAGATCTCCTTCCAAAAGACTGGTTCAAACAGCCAATGAATTATGCACCATCAGTTAAAGCTCTTCGTCTATCTCGTGATGTCACTGTCAATGATATCACTTCTTTCTTCGTGACATACATGAAGAACGATCGTCTTGCCCAGATTGCTCATTCACATCTGGCATGGGCGGATTATTTGGAGAAAGGTGTCAACGATTCAAAGTGCATAAGGCTAGCGGAATTGCACTCTGCGGCAGTTGATTACAACAAAACTGGGATTCCAGCCAAAATGACGAAGGATCTGGCACCTCGCAAATGGCCACACTTCATGGAGAAAAAGCACAAGCCAAAGGACGCCCAGTATATTTCGCAAAAGATTCTGGGGAAGCTATATGATATTGTGGAACGGGTGAATTATAGGCCAAAACTTGAAGCACCATTCGACGATCGGATTCTGAATAGCGGTATTGAGGTAAACGATGACCTTCTGGCTGTAGCTGCCGAGTTAAAGGTGCTATACGATGCCGATATGTGCAGGATCATGGCACAACATGAGATTAAAACCGAGTTCGAAGTGTGGTCAACCTTTGTCCTAAGCCATTCTAACATGAGCAAGGACTATAAATTCCATGAAGAGATTGGTCAAATCTCATGTGCTCTCCGGGAACGATTCCGTAACCTTTGCTGTGAAAAAGCAGGTGGTAAAAATTTTGAGCACCTAGCACCCCTTGCCGTTGCAATGTACAAAGTCACTTGCAATGAAATGACGCAAGCACTAGCAAAGATAAAGGCAAGGTACGGCGAAGACGATGATCAAAGCCCATGGTCAGAGCATGAAGAGAAACTGCCGTTGATCAGCTTTCCATGGCTGCTCCAGCCCGTTCTCGGGAAGATTGTCAATAAACACTACGACCCCGCATGTCTTGAGGAAGTAGGTTTGTGGTCTGGTCAAGCTTCGTTCAAAAAGCGCAAAGACGGCATCGATGGAAATTCATCCGGTACACGCGATGTAGAGACCGCAGGTGGCGTTCAACATGCTGGAGAAGTGCTCGAACTGTTTCAGGGTCCTAACTATGATCCCAGGACTGGCCTCGACGCAACTTTCGATAGACCTGGGGCATCCCCAGGAGAGACTGATGATCTTGCCAAAGTTCCCCTGGGAAACAGGAGTCCTACTATTGAAGGGTCAAGTCAGCTTATCAACCTTGGTGAAGAACTCTCCACTTCAGGTTCCCTAGTACCGACTTCGTTGGATTCGATGATGAACTTGATGAGCGTTATTGATCAACCAACTGACCCAAACATAAAGCGAACCTCCGAGCTAATTCCAACAAGAGCACAACTTATGGAAAATGGGCAGGTGTTGGCAGATAATGATCTAATTGATCATCCCTCAACGCTTCTTCAAAAAGAGCCTCTGCCGGAAAATGATGAAGTGGAAGACATTATTGAACAAGAAGGGGAGATCAAGCCGTCGGCGATCGATGAGCTGGAGGCATTGCTTGGCATGTGAACACTTTGGGAACGCGTTTACTAGTTGGTTTGGCTTTCTTGAGACCACCGAGTATGAAATACAAAGGTTAGGGGCGATTCGGAAGTGCATGCTTCGTAGACTTGGACTTGTTCAATCACGTTGTGGAGTAGTAATGGGTTTGTTGATGGTTGCATGATGGACTGTAATTCCTGGACTAGACTTATTTTATAACCCTGAAATTTTCCATCTAATTGGTGATCTGTAAACCGCGAGGAATTTCGCCAAGTGTGTTGTAGTTGAGACTGCGAGCTTTTCATGGTAGAGAAGAAACGCCCTTCCCGTTCACACACACAGGCACAAGTTTGCGCTCGTCAAAATTTCTGACCTCAATGCATCCCACCAACATAAAGTTTTATTTTTTATTGATATCAGATCCAACGTGACAGTATTGAATATATATCTGAATGCTGGTTAAACAAGGAAGAGAAAATCAACTATCTAAATAAAAAACAATCAAAATATACCCCATATGCCAACAGCTACAGCGCCCCTCCTAGCTCCCTACACTTCCCCACCTCCAGCCCGCTCTTTATCTCTCATAACCTCCCTTCTGGGTACAACGAGCAATTGGCTTGTGTTGAGAATTCTATGTGATGCACTCTATTCTTCTTCATCCTCATCAGTGAGGGGGAGATGGCAAGAGGATGTTGAGATAGGGATTGGGATTGAGGGTGAAGGGGTTACCATAGGTGGAAGAAAGGGAACAATGAGGGTGATTCTCATTAGCTTCTTGAGAGGATGGGAGTTTTGGAGAACAGAGGCTAAGAGGCTGGTATGTGTGACTTGTGTGTTTGATATTCTCTTTCTTTCTTATAATTTTGAGGTTAAGTGTACTGCTCCTTTTTGAGGTTTCTCTTATGATACCCTGTGGTGCCGAACTAAGGCACATTGAGAGAATATCGAGGTATAATTATCTTCTATGGTGCTCGCTGGATAAATCTATGTTTCCCTAACACCGCGCCGGTGATAGAGGAGTCCATTCTTCTTAAGGCACCGGCTATATTTCTTTTTTGCTTGCATCAACCTCAGCTGCCTGAAGAGACTTGATGTTGACATTTACTCAGGGAGTTGATCTCACCAAGCTCGCAAATGAACGCAAGTTTGCCTTTGTGGATGGACTTACAGAGCTTTTCTCCTCTGAAAACCTGCACTCTGCACCAGTGCCTACAACTCTTCGCGGCAGACCGCCTGCGGCCCACGCTTCACGTTTCATATCTACAGCCCGATCTCACCCAGCCACTCATCCTGTTCCAGTGCATCAAAAAGCCAGTGGACCGACGAAACTCCATTGGTCTAAGATGGCAAATCTCGAAGCTCTAGAGCGAGGTGTCATCTCGGCCATTGATAACTTACACGGCGCTGCCGGCGAAGAGGATCGAGTTCCAGCCACAGAAGATGTACTCCTTGTGATCGATCAGCCGGATATGCTTCTGGCTGCTACGGGACCTGATGCAGGGGTTGGCGCATTGGAGATAAAAGATATGATTATGAGTTTGCGACAGGTATGTTCTCTGCTTACTAGGTCTTCAGGGAAACACAGCAGGGTAGCTAACAGATACTCGCGCAGCATGTGCACTCTACGCTTGTGACATTGGCTGCTGACTCGCCTCTTATCCACTACGAGGAGCCAGGAACTCCTTTGGAGATGGAACACGCAACTTTAGTTGTGGGGATGGCATACCAGGCCCGTATGGTAATTCAGCTGAGAGGACTGGAGACCGGGGTTGCTCGAGACGTTAGTGGTGTGCTCCAGGTTAACAAGGGTACACAGTTTATGGATTTATCAAGCTCACGGGACCTGGGCGAAGACTATGATTTGGAGCCGAAAGAAGTATTGTATTACGTTCAGGGCGATGGCGCGGTGCGAGTTTTTGGGAGGGGCGAATAGAATAAGTCCACCATAGGAAAAACAACCATAGGTTATTCCATCAATATCCAATAGCAGTCCGCTGGGAAAGTGTTCGCACTGCAGGAGAAAATGACATTATGTCGAATGGGCCTGCGAAGGTAATCTCGGAGTTGGCAAGTTGGGAGAAGGTACAAAAGTATTAGCGAAACCAAATCGTCCTTGTCATTCCGGGCGAAAATGGATTCCTGTCAGTATCTAACAAGAGAAAAGACCCATGCACTCCGTTTATTTCCATATTTTCCGGTCCATGAACTTGATCTTCTTGGTAGATTCGATCATAAAATTGAATTTGTCGGGATACCACGCCGCGTAAAAAACAAACTAAGCTCATAAAAACAGCTAGTTGGTCCCAGCAAGATTCAATTACCCGCTCCTCATGATGGAAAATGGTATGGTAAACCTTTTCCTAAATACCCCTAGAAACCGAAGAAAACGAAACGGACATTATCTATGCGGTCTGAGGTCCCCGAGCGCCCTTGGGGGTTCCGGTCTGGAAGCCGTTCTTGAATCGTCTCTGGACGACCTTAAGGTATCTCATGCGACCAGTGCCGGTGGTTCTGCGTCGAAGGGCCTTCTCACCCCAGTTATCTGTATGCATAGTGAGCAACTCCGGCCTTCACCAATCATCCCGCGCAATTTTGGAACGACTTCTGCACTGGGATGCCTGGAGTGGTGTATTTGAACGTACATTTCCGCATCTTAGCAGCTGGATAACCGCAGGAGCCACAGGTGTGCTTTTGGATGTGGAAAGATCGGCGACCTGATCAAAACCAATTCCCAGTGTCAGCCTCCAAATCGAACGAATCTTAATCTCTCTTTTATAAGTCCTTCACTCCGTCCCCTCTTGTTTTCCCGGCGTATTCTCGAATCACCAAAAGGAAAGACTAACCGCATCGTCGGCACAGAGTGTGCGTCTTGTTGTGGCGCTTGCCAAAGCTGGATGTTCCCTTCGCTAATCAAGCAATCAGTAATCTCGAAGTTCAAGTGATTCGGAGGTCAAATTCGACGTCGTGGTGGTTCTGGGGTAGCTCGTACTCATCTTGGATTAGGAACTCTACTGCCAAAAAAGAACGAGTCAGTCCTGAAAAATCCGACGTTAAGTATAAAAGCAGCAGCGAAAATTGACATACCTCGATATTGCCGTTGGAAGCGCTGGTCGTGTCGTCGTTGTCGCAAAGGCCGTTGAGTCCAGAGTTCGAAGCCCTAAGCGAATTGTTGTGGGAGGGTTCAAGCCCTGAATCACGTGACCGAAAATTGGACTTCCCCGGCTGGACGCGCGACCTTTCGAGATGCTAGGCTGGAGGTTGGGTAAAAAATTTAAAATAATCACATTATTGAAACGCAACGGCTCTGGATATCGTAAATGCACTGTATTTACAAAGATTCGCTTGAACGCTTCAGATTTATCATACAAATTTATGTTATGGGGTTTGCCAGGTCAAATAACCAATTCGTCTTTTCCGAGAAACGCAGCCATGGGGTCATCAGCAGCTTGTCGAGACCTTTTATAGTTCTCGAGCTCTTCCTCTGTCACTCCTTGCTGCATCTCATGCAGAGTTCGTTTCTTTAGTGTAGTGACCACAGATTTATGCTCTTTTTCACCGGCATCTGCAGCAGGCTCTTCAACAGGGGCCTTCTTAAGCTCATTTAGAACCATATTCTCCGCTTCCGCAAAAGCTTTCTTGCCATCTTCGCCTGTACAGTAGCTATTTTTCACCGTAGAATGGCAGCAGGCGTAACCCCATTTGAAACTAGACCACCAACTTCCCCATACTGACGTATGGTTGTTGATCAGCACATCTTCTGCGTACTTTGACTTCGCAGCCTGTTTTGGCTCTCCTTTTATGGCCCCGGTCTCGTCGTACTCGACAAAACGCTCATTTTCGGTAACGGCGGTTTGGTGTAATAATCCGGGCTGTAAATGTTCTGCTCCACCATACTTTTCTAGTAGTGCTTTCCTTTGTTCTTGTTTTTTGGCATCCATCTCTGCCTTTTGTTTCTTCCTGTAATACTCTCCTTGTGTAGGGTTGGCCTGCAAATGCTGTCTATCTTTGTCCCCACGCTCTTGCGACTCCCAAGCGTAACGTTGAGCCCTTTCAAATTCAGCAGCATCGCCCGAGGCGCGCATGAAGTTCTCTTCGGCAACAAGAGCGGCGGCTTGGTCGGATTGCGCACCCATATCCACCATTGAACGGGTCTTTGGATCGTATTTGGCAGAGTCAAGGTCTAAATTCAGCAAATACTTTGCAGTATCTTCTCGAATTCGTAAATTCCGGGTGGCCGTGCTTTGTTTCCTTCCCATGTCAGACTCTTCAGCATATTTAGCCTCGCCCACGCCATCAACATCCCCTTCGTCCTCATCATTATCAGCCGGTTCCGACCTCCGACCCTTTTCAAGTTCTTCTTTTGCTTTTCGCTTTAATACTTCCAACTCCTCGTATTCTTGCACAACGTTCGAATATTCCCTAGCATCATAACCGTTCCAACGATCTCGTTTGGCATCCCAGCCCAGCTCCACGTTTTGGATGACCTCGTCAGCTTGTATATCTTTCCCGGTCCATTTCGCTCCGTGCTTTCTGGGTCTGCTCAAACATTCTTTTGTCTTGTGTGTCATCGCGCCACAGTTCTCGCAAGCACCCTTGCGGTATTTTGTAGCTGCAGGACCTGCCCGCTTGCCTCTATCGTACCATTTTGATTGATCTTCTTTTGACTTCTGCAAACGCTGATGCTCTAGATAGTCGTTGGCAGATGATTCGTCATCGATATAAAACGGCTTTTTGGAGATGAAGGATGGGATGTATTCGTTGCGCTCCTTCGACGCCACGTCCGTCGGTCTTCGTGACATCCTCGCAGTTTCGCTGGCCCAAATAAAAAGACCAATGGAGTACACGGGAGGTCGACCGTCTTGTACAATCTCTGCAAATTGAAAAATAGTTCCCTACCTGCAACTGGGCGCGAAAAGCAAGTAGTCAAGCGCAGTCCATATCTATTGAAGGTTGACCCAAGGATATCGACCTGGATGGCGGGCGAATTCGCCTTGTCACGTGAGTGGCGCTTGGACAGGTCTGTTTCCAAGTTCCAGAACGCGTCGCCATCTGCCACACGAGAAAGCGTCTCGACGCCCATACGCTCAAACGCTCATCGATAAGTTTCGTTTGGATATTGGCTTTGGGATTGTTCTTGTATTTATGGGATTTTGGTTTTTCAGCTCCGATGTTCCTCGATACGTCCCTAATCTAGCCTATGGAACCGTTTCGCGTCCTGTTGAACTGTGTTGACCATTATCAAGCTGCGCCGACGTATCTGGACCCTCAGCTTCCGTGCGGCGATGGCCCTACATCAGCGAGGACGAGACCGAAAGTTCCTGTTATCCGAGTATTTGGTGCCACCGAGACCGGACAAAAAGTATGCGCTCATATACACGGAGCATTCCCATACCTTTATATAGAGTATCGTGGAAGTTTAGCTGTGGAACAAGGTTAGAAAGACGAATTTCCCATTTGAAATAACATTTGCCTAAGTATTCGCAGTCAAAGCTGCTACTCGTAGCCTACACGTATCTATTGATCATGCCCTGGCGGTTAGCTACCGCCGAAATGCATACGATCCTGGCACTGCCTACGTCGCCCACATAAGCCTTGTAAAAGGTACACCCTTTTACGGTTATCATGTAGGGCATAAGTTTTTCTTCAAGATATATTTGCTGAACCCCTTACATATGACGCGACTTGCGGATCTCTTGCTTCAAGGCGCTGTAATGAAACGGGTTCTTCAGCCGTATGAAAGCCATATGCAGTATATCCCCCAGTGGATGTGTGACTACAACTTGTACGGATGTGCGTATATCGACTGCAGGAAAGTGACCTTCCGAGGACCAGTACCGCTCCAATGTGAGCTAGAAGATTCTGAGCATCAATGGCATGATCAAAGCATTGCTCCAGCGCTGATATCGGATGCTGGGGCGTTTCCAAGGCAAAGTCATTGCGCTCTCGAAGTTGACGTTCACGTTCAAGATATTCTCAATCGACTTGGGATTAAGGAACGCCCTTTACACAACTATCTATTTGAGGGCTTGGATACGATTCCTCCAGACGCGAAATTGGTACCTAGCTTGGCTAGTCTCTGGGAAGACGAAAAGCGACGGAGAAAGGCCGCAATGGGACTTACAGATTCTGAAAGCAGCCCGTTTACTTCAGCAGACCTTGTTTCCATGTCAGCTGACTCCCGAAACGTAGCAGCTGGAGGTTGGATTCATGAAGAAGAGTTTCGAGCTCGGGTGGCGGAAATAGTGGTGAAGGAGCAAGCCCGGAACAACGGAGCGAAGCCATCGCCAGCCAGTCTTATCCAATCCGACCCCTTTGAAGCAAGTATACAGTCGGCTTTGGATAGTGTGGAAGATTTATATCCCGAAAAGCTTCAAGCTGCCGTCTTTGATCCTGTCAATGTTGGAGATGAAGGAGTGGAGGTCGACATTGAAGTTGATGAGGCACGGATTCTGTCGCTCCAGCTTCCAGATACATCGAATAGCTGCGAAGATTCTAGCGGTTCAGGTCTGCGTACCCCACAACCTGACAGTACTAAGGAGACAAGAATAAGAGGCGATTTGGCCAATGTTCGGACGCCTAGGGAGAATAGGGAAAGATCAGATGAGGAAAATAACACCCTTGATTCTTCTGCACACATCACGGATGCCGAGTTGACAAGTATGGGAGTCCGGCGATCGTCAGCCATCATTAATAGCCAGGAAGATTTTTTCGAAATTGACGATGAATTCATAAGCAAAATCGGCTCCAACAGGACAAAACGCTCAATTTCCACCGCAGCAAATACACAGCCATCTAAACGACCTCGATTTATGCTCGACCCCGTGAAATCTTCTTCTATCTTGAAATCACCTAGAAACGAGATGACTTTGTCCCAGCGCCCGGCCGACCAAGTTGAACGCAAATGGCATAGCGCTGCTGAAGAGCCTTCCTCGCAGCCAAAATCTTCTCAAAAATCAAATAAGAGTGACGGCAACTCGAGATTGCAGTTTCCTGTGGTCAAGGATCCAAATGACCCTGCCACGATATCGCGAGCCAGCCAGCAAAGCGGCTCGGTGAAATTATCTCACCCTATTTCAGGGTTCGGTTCAAAGTCAGCGCTTACTGCTTTACCTGCACCTCACTCTCATTCAAACTCTGACAAGACCACGAGCTGTGAAACTTCACAGTTACCTCGCTCAGATGGCGTTGAATTTGATAAAATCCTTCGTGAATCTTTCAATATCCCGCCGAATGCCACAATCTACACGTTCCATCCTCCCTGCCCTTCTTCGTCTCTAATTCGGGAAACAATAAGCAACGATTCACGGCCATCCGTGGTTTATCAAAACGCGTATTACAGCAACGATGATGATGTACCGGACCGGTCACGGGAATATGCAGGGAGGGAATTTAAATTGGAGAGCAATACAGTGCCCTATCTTCCTCCATTTGATCCAACTGGAAAATCACCCTTACTTCATGGAGACAAGCCTCCGGTAGTTGTTGACCAGGGCGCCCTTGAAAGGGAGAGTGATAGGCTTCGAAAAGCTTGTTCCCTCCGATGCTGGGAGTTCGCTCCCCTGCCTCCATCACGTTCGGAGGTAATTGAATGGTGCAAAGAGCAGGACTCCAAGCGCCTTGGCCCTCAATCCTTTACTACAACAAATTCAAAGCGACCTGGGATTTCTCAAATCGAAGCAGCCACCCAAAAAGATTCACATGGCTTCTTATATTCTCAGAAAAAATTTTCTCGAAATATACAGCACGAGGCACATTACATGAGTGTTATGAGTCTCGAGGTACATGTGAATACTCGATGCACTCTGGCACCCAATCCTGAAGAAGATGAGATATCTTGTATCTTTTGGTGTATCCAGTCCGGGAATCGATCGCTTGGTGTTAACGAGCCCAGCGATGAGGTTCAAACCGGAGTTCTTGCTGTTGCAGAAACTGAGAGTATAGCGGGTAAAATCAGATACGATACCAATGCTGAGATAGAGGAAGAGTCCTCAGAGCTCGACGTTCTCACCAAACTGGTGGACATTGTGCGTTATTATGACCCGGATATCTTAACAGGCTACGAAGTCCACAATGGCTCTTGGGGTTATCTTATCGAACGTGCAAGGGTCAAGTATGACTATGATCTTT